ACGTACAGGAATCAAGGCCGGTGGAAGGAGGCTGAAGAGCTGAACGTGCAAGTGATGGAGACGAGAAAGAGGGTGCTTGGGGAGCAGCATCCAGACACGCTGACCAGCATGGGTAACCTGGCGTCGACGTACATGAATCAAGGCAGGTGGAATGAGGCCGAAGAGCTAGAGGTGCAAGTGATGGAGACGAGAGAGAGGGTGCTTGGGGAGGAGCATCCTTCCACGCTGACCAGCATGGCCAACCTGGCGTCGACGTTTTCGAATCAAGGCCGGTGGAATAAGGCCGAAGAGCTGGAGGTGCAAGTGATGGAGACGAGAGAGAGGATGCTTGGGGAGGAGCATCCTTCCACGCTGACCAGCATGAACAATCTTGCTTTCACGCTGCAGTGCCAAGCCCGTCACAAGGACGCTCTTGTACTGATGGAAAGATGCTTCCGCCTGAGCCAGCAGGTCCTTGGCAAGCAACATCCTGATACACAGTCGTCGCTGGGCACGTTGGCGAGCTGGCGAGCGGATTGTAGTGACGAAAATTCGTGACACATATTAGTGATTTATAGCATCAGGCACTAAGATCTACATTACACCAAGTTAAGTAGCTTATGACTTTCAACGGTATGTTGTAATGTAGTAAGTTAGCTACGTTACAAGAGTATTTCACGAAGGGTTTTAATCCACTCGCCACAACGAAATAAGACCTGCCTGCTGTCCACAGCCACCGTTCTCAGCCACAATATCTCAGTACGCTACTGTATGCCAAGAGCTACTAACAGCGCACGTCCGTTAGGCCTGTTTTTCACAATTTGGCGGTTTGCGCGGAGAAACTGCCGGGTCGCCCACTGCTAATCTCAAACTAACCGTTAAGCTTACAATATCAATCTTTGCCATCTCAACTTCCTGTCTAGCCTACCGAGCCTTTCACAGATGTATCCTGTCTCGAGCGAACAGGGGGGTGTTAGAGGAGAGTCTGTTGAAGCATCAACAGAACGAGCGACAGCAAGGTCAACAATGTATTTTTCAGCGTCGGGGGCTCATGTGCTAGGAGACTGATAGCTGACAAACAAATACGCCTCGCGCTTAATCATATAGGTGGACGTTGCGTGCATTCTGAGTACCCGAAAGAAAAAGTGTTCCGTTACACCGGGCGTCCCGGCACAATTGGATGGACGTTAGAAGCGGAGAAGCTTCAGAGATCGCTAGCGGGGTAGAATAGGCTAACTACTTCTATGCTATAGCGTCTGCTTAGCTGGTACGTGATGTTATCTATAATTCGCCCGATCGGATAAATTAAATCCTAGGTACCGACCAGAGGTGGCGATTCGCATAAATTGCGCACCAGCTGCAGCCTTATCACTAGGATCGACCTCGTATGACAGAAACTAGGTTCTTGGGACAGTAGAGAAAGGGTCCAGCGATTAAAGAACTCACAGTAATATGATGTTGGCCGCATAAGTTGTTATTGATCTCGCCTAGAAAGGTATACTTTTTTCGCGAAGAGCGGAAGGTATCTCATTAATTGTAATTTTGTGAAAGCTTAGATCAGATCGGTAGAGAAGATATTGAGATCCTTTATCATAGAGTCTTGCCCTTGGGCAATCAAGATAGTAGGCTTTATTAGGCCCTAAAGTCGATGTACCGAGGAATTGTTTCGGCATGATGGGTGTTTCGTGAGAGATGGACGTACGTTAGTTCTGCTATCAAATCTTGCTCGATTTTACCCTACTACCGAGAAACAGCCGCATAGTTCACACTGGCTGCTTGCTTGAATTATCTAAGCCTTCGATGCTCCATTCCGCGGAGCGGCCCATCCAGAGTGCCGATTGCGTTGGGCATACGTCTTCTACGCCATAAATTGCTTCCTGCGATACCTTGCACAAGCACATAACATGATGGAAATGATAACAAACCCGATGAAAGGAACACCCGCGTAAAAGAAGATCTCGTTGAAAGATGTGCGGTTGACTTCCGCCTTTTCTCGAATGAGTTGTTCGACCTGGTAGTGATTAGCATAGTGGTGTTCAAGGGAGACCGACCACACCGGTACCAAGTGGTGTTGCAATTAGAGGGGGCGGCCTGCGCTGTGATGACGAAAGCGAAGAGGAGGATTGAAGCGATCATTCACAGAGTATGATAACTTGATTAGATCAAGGTGTTCAGTGCCTAGTTGGCTCTGGAGGATGCACCACGGCGCGTACTCATACGGGAACTTTACATTGTGAGGGCTATTTTTTCCTTGGAAGAGTCACGTCGTGAAGATATTTGCATTGCATTTTGCTTTATTCTTCGTCTTACGTTCATAACGCAGCACGAGTGCTACCTTCTATAAGGCTCCCTTCACCTCGATGTTTCCTGCGAGTTATTCATGAAACCATCAAGGGCATCTAAAGAAGCACTGTGGTCTGAATAACATCTAACATCATCAACAGGCAACTAGTTCCATCGACATGGCACCCTTTTCCATCATTAATAGCACCCTGGCATTGCAGCCTCAAGATAAACTTGAGGCCGCACAAGCCGCCAACGATAAATGCAATCACTTCAAGGTCGTCATGGCCGTGCTCGGAATCCTCCCAGTTAACATGGTATTCTTCACGATTGCCTGGTTTGCTTAGTACCGCAGGCGTCATCAGAAAAGTAAGGTATTCGAACAGCAAAATTCGAAGGACTTCGCGATGGCTGAACTGTTTGGTTGCTCGTAGTATGTGAAGGGCCTCAAGGTAGTCGATTTTGAGGAAGTCGATTTGATAAATGAATAGAGGAAGAAAAAGGGCATTACGCGGTGGTCATTCGCAAGGGACTTTACGACGTAAGTCATAATCAAGTGTGCGCGACAAGTAAGTGTTTGGCAAAATAATGGCATGCTTTCTTCAAGGCCGTTGCATCCTATGATATTATCGTTGAGACTTTATAACCTTCATCATAATGTTGAATTCGAGTTCTTAGACTGCGCGTCCTTTTGCAAGTCGCGGTTAGTGATTCCTTCACATATAAACACTTCATGTACTTTTACCAAATTACTACAATTGCAAATTTGAGTACAGTTCATAAGTTGTGTACTTCAACACGCTGCGCTCAGTACATATGCAATGAAGCTTATCCTTTTCTTTCCATTGTCTTGCATCCCTTTCTCGTAGATCCTCATCTGAGCGTGTGTGCAATGTCCCCAAACCGATAAACATACAAGAGCTGAAATAAGGGATGTGGACTAGCACTGCCATGCAAGGAACAATAATGAGGCTCTTCTCAAGCGGACAGGACCACAATCTGTCTGCCTAACACGGACGGCATTCCAATATCTCGTACCACCACACGTCCCACATGAAGCATATCTCACAGCCCCTTCTATGACGCCATCGTAAATGCTACGTTATCATCGTCATTCATCATGCTAAGCTCCAAATCACCAGTCTAGGCCTCCCGCGCCACGTTCTCCACCGGCAAGTATCATGCTAGCTCTTGCTTGCTCTCCCACACCGTCCTTCAGATGGCTGATGGCAAAGCCTTTTCTTCCCTTCTGCGATGCTTTCAGCTTCTTGTCGAGAGCTTCGAATGGATCGCTTGTCTCATCCTTCTTTATCTTGAATTTGCTCGTCCCCAATACGCCATCGAGTTCCTCCACGCTCGGAAGCTTCACATACACAAAGCCATCATCGCGCTCCTCAACTGGGAAAGTGGCAATGTTAACCTGCTCGTCATTTGCGCAGCGACCAGCTTCAGGACCTGAGAGCTCGTAGTTGCGCTTGTGGTAGGGACACGACACCCAGAGCTTGTTGTTCTTGATGTCATCGCCAATGAGTCCGTCGCTGAGCACGAAAGCACGCTTGTGGGGGCACATCTGCTGCGTGCAGTAGTACTTGCCGCGCACCTTGAAGACAGCCAGTTGCGTGTCGCCGCGCTTGATCGCCTTCGAATCGCCAGTAGGAAGGTCTCGGAACTCTTCAGCCTTGACCAGAGGTTGCCAGCTAAGATCTCCCCACTTGTGGCCTTTGAAGTCTTCCTTTACTGATTCTGAAGGCCAGTAGCTCGGTCGTTCTTGGTCGCGTTCTTTTGTTGGCTCGATTGCTGGCTCGATATTTTCTGACGTGTTGGCGAATTGATTAAAGTGCGCTCTTCTTTCAGGGCTTTTAAGGACCTCTGTCCATTCACAGAAGAATGATCCGACGAGATCTTGCATCTGCTTCTCAAGGTCGGCGCATATTCCGAGCTTGTCCTCTAGAATCACTTCTTGAAGGTATTTGATACCGCCAGGTAGGTTCTCGATCCATCGCGCTGTACGCTGTAGCTTGTCTGCTGTTCTGATATAAAAAGAGATGTAGCGATCGAGGATTGGAATGACATCGTCGGGCGGAACATCTTTGGCGAGCAATTCTGAATGTCTTGGTTTCGCACCTCCGTTCCCGCCCACGAAAATGTTGAACCCCTTCTCCGTTGCAATGAGACCGAAGTCCTTGTTCTGTGCCTCGGCGCATTCTCTTACGCAACCGGATACACCGCCCTTGAACTTGTGTGGTGCTCGGATGGACTTATATCGCTCCTCCAGACGTACCGCCATGCCTACACTGTCACCCACACCGAAACGACACCATGTAGTTCCTACACAGGACTTCACTGTACGGAGCGACTTCGCATACGCGTGGCCAGACTCCATGCCGCCATCAACGAGCTCTTGCCAGATGGCTAGGAGGTCTTGCTTTTTAGCACCGAACATGTCAATACGCTGTCCACCGGTGATCTTGGTATACAGGTTGTACTTCTTGGCAACAGTCCCGATGATAATGAGTTTCTCGGGGGTGATCTCGCCACCCGCCATACGCGGGACGACACTGAAGGTTCCATTCCGTTGGATGTTCGCCAGGAAGCGATCGTTCGTATCTTGCAGTCCTCGTCGAGAATCGTCCAACAAATGCTTGTTGAACAAGCTGGAGATTATGGAACCGATCGCTGGTTTGCAGGCCTCGCATCCCGTCGACTCCGGCTCCTTTCCGCACTCCTTCATGACGTCGGCGAATCCAGTAAGCTTCTTGACGTAGATGATATTGAAGAGATCGGCGCGCGAGTATTCGAAATGGGGGCAAAGGTGGTTCTTGACTTCCTGGCCCATCGAAGACATAGTCTTGTTGAAGATGGTTTGGACGAGAGGCATGCAGCCTCCACACCCGGTGCCGGCCTTCGTGCACGCCTTCACGTCGCCGATGGATTTGCAAGAGCCGTCCTTAACGCCCTTCACCACATCACCCTTGGTGACATTGTGACATGAGCAGATTTGCACATCGTCGTCGCTGTAAGTGGTCAGTATAGCTTCATCGAGGCAGAAAGAAGACTCTTACAGATCATCACCGTCATCATCTCCTTTCGAAGCACCGACAATGAGCTCGCTTGGAGGCATCTCCAGTTGTTTCTGATTTTTCACCATTGGCACCAGCTTGACGTAGTCTTTTGTGTCACCAATCATCATTCCACCGAGCAGGTATTTCCCATCCATGGTGAACAGGTACTTTTTATACACCTGTTGGAATGGATCCTTGTAAGTAAGTGCTTTGACTGGAGGAGGTGCTGGACCATCAGTCAAACTCTTGACTTTATCTCTTGGTCCACTCTCACCATCTTTCTTCGCTGGTCGCCGTCCGGGCATGTCTTTGGGTCCGTCACGATCGGCGAAGAAGTCTCCGAAGCTGGCCACTTCTACGCCTAAGAGCTTCAATTTTGTACTTAAATCCGGTCGCTTGAACTTGCGCGGCGTGTGCGCTTTTGCCTGTGTGAGGTTGAAGGCGAGGACGTCCGCCATCTCGACACCTGGAGCGATCAGACCGAAGGTCTGGTTTTCCCAGCTTGCACACTCGCCGATGGCGTAGATGTCCTTGGTTGAAGTCGATAGGTCTGGGGCGACTATAATACCACCGCCGCGATCTGCACACTTGATGCCTGACTGTCTAGCGAGCTCGTCGCGTGCTCTGATGCCGATCTGTAAATGTAAGAAACTGAGCAATATATCTCGGGAACCAACTTACAGCGAAGCATATAGTCGAGCACTCCATGCGCTCTCCATCTTCGAATAGGACACCTTTCACAGAGTTTTTCTCATCGACTTCGATCTTGCCGACTCGCTTAGAGAGCATGACATCCAGGCCCAGTGCTCTGACTTGCTCCACAACCATGCCTCCTGCGTCGCCATCCAACTGCCTGCTCAATACCCATCTATTTCTCTCGATGAGTTTCACTTTGCCAAAATCTTCAAGATCCATCATTGCTTTGGCCGCTTCCAGACCTAGCAGGCCACCTCCAACCGTAATTCCAGTGGTGCCTTTTCGCGTCGCGGCGAATTTAATGAGCCGCTGGAGATCGTCGATAGTCCGGTACACAAAAACGCCTTCTGCATCGTGACCAGGTGTGTGCTTGGGGAGGAGCGCATCAGAGCCGGTCGCGAGGACGAGGACATCGTAAGGGACTGTCTCGCCGCTGGAGGTCTTGACCGACTTGTTCTTTGAGTCGATTTCGGTGACGAGGGTGTTGAGGTGGTAGCTGAGGGATCCTTCGGGCATTGAAGAGTACTGAGATTGGTCAGAAAGATGTAGGGAAGAACGTGGGATTGCAACTTACCCAGTCCTTAGGGTTCAGATATAGGTTCTCGACTTCGCGATGTTGGAAGAAGCTGGTCAGACCAACGCGGTTGTACGCGAGATGGGGTTCCTCGCCGATTACCACCACGTCATACTCTCTCCGCTTGACATCGTACTTGAGAAGCTTTTCACTGAATGAGACGTCAGCGCAATTGTTATCTCATGGTATCTCCAGCTTCGAGATAACCACGCGATTCGAGCTTACATGAACGCAATGCCCACCATTCCCAACCCCACAACCACAATCCTTTTCCTCCTAGATTCGATATCTATCTCTGAATCCTCGTCTTTCTTCGATTGTTCGATTTTCTCGGGCAATCTGCTGACCTCCGAATCATTCAATTGGCCTACTGGCAGCTTCGCATCTTTCGCCGGTTTATCACCCCAGGTAGGATTGTGTGGTGGTGAATCCGGTGGAGAATGTGTTTGCATGCTCGTAGGCTCAAAGCCGGGTGTGTGAATTGGCTCAGCTTCCTCCATGATTTTTCACGTTGTGATATCTATCGAGCTCTCGCAGACAGCCGATGGCAAAAACCACAACGAAGTGGTCAAGCGCGTGAAGCGATAATAAAAGAAAAAGATCAAGCAATTGCTTGCGAAGGGGTATAGCGCACAGAGAAGACGAAGGATGGAGTGAGGACAGGAGAGGAGGAGCAAGAAGCTGGGTAGGACTTGTAACGACAGACACTACATGACATCTCCACCCGTTCTCCGGGCCACCAAAAGCAACCGATTATCCAGCGATCTGGGCACCAAAGATTGACACTCTACCTTACCTCAACCCATCTCAAACCCTCCAGCACGACTGCATATCGCCCCCGTCGACCAACCACAGCCCCGCCATTACCCTGAGCCCTCCCGTGGAGAGAGATAACACAAGAAATCGCGCTACGCTACCCGTCCGGTATCGAACCACTGCGCCCGCGGAAGCGTGCGCGCAGCGGAGAAACGTCATGGGCGCACAGATCGCATTTGGCGATGCGCATTTGGTGACCGCGTTTCTCCGGGGAAATGCAGGCGTAGCGATCCTGATAAGGTCGAGGTGTTATTTGGTGCCAAGAGGCCACGAGAGATAAGGTGCCGGGCTAGATCGGAGCAGGGATCTGTTAGCGTGGGCATCTTTGAAGGTGCGGAGATAAGGTGCCGGGCTAGATCGTAGCAAGGGTCTGTTAGCGTGGGTATACAAGGTGAGACTTGAAGGTGCGGAGATGCAGGATGGGAGCGGGATTTCTCCGTGTGAGGGTTTCATACGATACGGACCTTGGAGTGACCTTGGAGTGAAGGAGATCATGAATAAGCGCTGGAATTATGGCGAAAAGGTGAAGTAGGACGAAGAGTCACGTGGTCGGAAGCATTTCGAGGTCCAGAGGCGGGCTGGAGTGCTGAAGAGAGAACATTTCGAAGAGCAGTTTATCAATTCAAGAAATCCTTATCCTTAGGTACTTTCTAAGCTTCTCGAAAAGTCGTCCCGGTAGAATGGCTAGAATCTTGACTCCAGGCACCATACGCCGATTGCTCTTACATGTGTACAAAGAGATTCGTGTCCAGTCCGTCTCCAGCCCCATAATGTACAGTTTTTCTCTCTCAGAAGAACAATAGATCTTCTTCTTTCCAACCTTGCTCCAGAAGTGCTGCATGCGTAGCCTTCTCCAACGGCTCCGGACCACACACCAGCACCAAACTCTCCCCATCCGCCCGGCATACACAATGCTCCTGCAAAAGCGGTGCTCCAATCCGGCCTCTCATTCCAGCCCAATCTTCTGGTCCTTTCGTCAACGTATACAATAGCTTCAATCTATCCGTGTTCTCCCTCGCAAACACATCCAAGTCCTCCTTACAAAGGATATCCTCAACAAGACGATTGCCGTCAAGCAACACGCACGTCGTAGGATCCTGCTTATCCTGCATAACAGCGCGCAGCACCTGGAAGATAGGTGTAATCCCGGACCCTCCGCAGATCATGAAGAAGCGCTTGATATGCCGCGGTTTGCCGTTGATGAGACACTCCCCTTTGCCAATATATTCGAACTTCCCGATCGGTCCCTTCATTTCGACGAAGTGTCCCGCCGGTATCGCATCTAGTGCTTTCGTCATCTTCCCGCCAGGCTGGTCTTTCGTGTCGAAGTAGACTTTGACTAGCACGTCGAGGTAGCCCCGCTTCGTGGTCTCGGAGATGGGCGTGTAGGAGCGGATGATGGACTCGCGCGTTACTGGGTCTCTGAGCCGGATCATGAGGTGTTGGCCTGTCGGGAGACCGAGGGTTTGGTCCTCGTGCTCGAGTTTGAAGGTGAAGACACGGGTGTCCCAGGAGACGGTGGTCTTGGATTGAAGGAGGGATTTGGTCCAGGCGCGGGAGTCGAGGAAGACGGGACGGGGTTCCGCAGATTCAGTGACAGGTTCGCCCTCGGCAAGGATGCGCTGAGCAGCTGGGTCGAGGGTGCCGATGTGATAGTCTGGCATCATTGCTTTTGCGGTCTCGCTGTCTGATGGCTGTCAGTCACTTGCGGAGTTGTAGGAATTGAGAACTTACGGATTGCCATGAACTCATCAGTGCTATCAAGGCCAGCTGCACTGATGATGCTTTGAGCTCCGCCGGGATGACCATCCAGGAACGGCGTTCCATCATAGACCTCCCCGTTTACGACGAACCATGGGGTTTCGGGATTGTTGTGTTCCCTAAACTCCTCGATCGTGATTTCCTTTTTCAATCCGTCCTTCGTCATTTTGATCTCTTTTGGAGCTTCCGCTTCGACGGCGTCTTTCTTCTCGCCTTCAATCTTCTCGCCCCAGTACCCGTTTGTCAGATTGCCACCAGTCTTCTTGATACGGTCCATCCAGCCTCCAGGAATAAGCGCTGGCTGAGTAGGGTGCTCGAAGCGCAGTATACCGTCCTCATTGTGGACGACAACGCGGAACCAAGGGTTGTTCATCATACCAAGTACAGACCAGTACATGTCTCTTGGCTGGACATTCATGCTCTCATCCATCGCTCTGACGACAATATCCTTTGCCTCTTTCAGCTCTTCGACTAGTATGTTGAGCTTCCAGAAGCACCAGCAGAAACAAGTTTCTCTCCAGTCCATGTCTAGTCGCCCACCAAAGAGTTCCTTATCTTGGAAAGCACGGTACTTGTCTTCCGCATACTCAATGTTGCCGAGTCTCCAGCTCTTGCCTTGGTCGAGAGAGATCTGCACGCGGGTGATGCGTCGACCACCGCCGCTGTACGCATACCCTTGCACTGTGTAGTACTCCGGCGCTGTAGCTAGTTCGAGCTTCTCGTCGTGTGCTGGGACAGCAGTAGCTGAATTTGGGCTCAGATCGTAAATGGCATAGCGTTCGTCCGTCCACCAGTTCTTGTTCTTTGCCGCCTCGTCTGGATCGACCATTGTGCTACTATGGTCAGTAATCGTCCGTGTGTCAAAGAAAGGGTACTTACGGAAGCACTCTGTTATCGTAGATGTGATACCAGTTGTCGCTCGGCTCAGCAGTTATGATCAGCTTCTTCAACCACTTCACACTGCGACCGCCTATCTGCCCTGGTATCACTACTCGAAGCGGCTTCCCGTGATCTGGTGTCAGGGGCTCTCCATTCATTCCGTGTGCAAGCATGATGCCACGGTTAGGATCCATAGCCCAATTGAGCTTGACGGAAGTGCCGTAATAGCCATTGGGCTGTTGGCTGTTAGCGTTGCATCATGTCGTAGGTCAGGCGACTGACCAACTTGTCCGCACCCTCCATACACACGTAACGTGCTTTCCTCAAGGGCTTCGCTCTTTCTAGGATATCTTTCATGACCACACCAGTGAACAGCGCTGTCGATACGCCCGCCGGACCCCATGAGAATCCTTTCGACTTGCGGACGACATTCTGCTCCTTTCTTCTGTTGCCCGCACAAACCAGTGTGATGGGGTATGTCACATTCTCATAGTCGGATAATAATTCCTTGAGCGTTATCTTCAATGGGTTGGCAACAAGGCTGCAGTGGATGTTAATGATTCCGATCTAAGATGGGATGTAGGCCGGGTCACGTACCCTTCTACGGAGAATTCCCAGTCAGGTATGTCTTCTTCCCGAACTTCTGGTACCGGACCATGATTTCGCACATAGAACAGCTCGGGAGACGTCAAGAAACCTTCCTTAAACAGCTCGGTCAGAGGTGCTTCGCAGTTGAAAGGATGCACACCCGTGAGCCGTATTAACCGAGAGTCTCTTGCTACGTGTGAGTCTGGTGTTGGCTTGTCAACATCTAATACCTGTGTGGGTGTAGTCGACGGTGGTGGTAATGGAAAATCGAGCTGCTCCTTGCCGTCACTTATCGACGTGACAGACTTTGTATCTTCACCATCAATAATTGTCTCTGGCGGTGTTGGTGGGAATTCGACACTCTTCTTTTGTTGAACAGCCTGGGTCTCTATAACTGTGGCCATGTTGCGCGACGGGGTATACGAAGGAAGTGAACAAATAGCTGTAAATGGAGTGTGGGGTATTTAAAACGACAAAAGAATACTGATCGCAATGCGAGGAAGGTGGCTCTCTGTGGGGGGGTATCACCAAGCTGACATCGATTGATGAGGTAGGAGTTGTAGTGTAACGAAGAGAGTGGCGTTCAAACAGAAAACACCATAGTCTGGGCCTACCGTTAGGTCCGGGTATTATGCATACCATCGCTGGGAACTTGCTCGCTGCCGCTTCTCGTAATGCCAGCGATCACCAAACGTGTCCGCCGGAGAAGATCGATCACAACGACTTCGGCACACCAACTCACGAGCCTGCCCCATTGCCGAAAAGCAACGCTCTGATCAGGCGCAATATCGTGGGGAAGGCAGTCCATCGATTTCGTTATCATCCCTGCACCCAATAAAAGCATTCGAGATGGAATGATCCTCTGAAGATAATGCATCCTTATCTTTGCGTATTAAGCGATCCGGTCTGAGACTAGTGGAGTGGGTGGCCAGTAACGCCCAGCGACTCCACAGATGACGCCTGTCAAGGGATCTCTGCAGCTAAAGGAACTTGCAGTAAATTGTGGAGCAATCTATCCGTCCCTGAGAACGAATTGCAAGATGCTCCGCGGCTCGAATGAGCACTTGTTGTCTCCGTGGACACGGAAATGCAAGTCAGACCGTTTCGCGGGACACTAGGGCGAGCTTTGACGAAAATAATGGAGGGTAGTCTTTGCAGATCTGTGCGACAAGCTGTTCGATTGCGCTGAGTCATTCTATTGAATGGCTTTCAATTCACTACCAGCAACCTAAACGTCTCTTTCTTGACATGCGCACATAGTGTAATGCTTTGATATCGGCGCATCATAGTGCCGATGGATGCGGTTAGATTGTAGACTGCTACGTAGAGTCAAGTCAAGGAATGATAGGAAGCCGTAGTTGGAACATTGTCCATGTATGCGGCGCCAAATTGCCGCTCATGAACAAGGATGCGTTCTCCACCGAGCGGCATCTACGGAGAAAGGACAGACACCCGGTCACAAGGAGCTAGGTGGGCAAAGAGACATTAGATTCTCGTGAGAGATAAGGAGGTTGTAGAGTGTAGTTCTTCAGCGGAGAAACGAACACTCCGTTGTGTTGTGCATCTCCGCGGCGAGTGCAGACGCAGCCAACAACTTGTGGGTCCGGCCGGGTACAGCCGAAAAATGGCCGACACCCAGCGTTGGCTCGCACCATGCGAAGTTACAGATGCTCAACTCTGATAGCTTTTCAAAAAGGGTTTTTTTGTGGATTGTATCTACAATTAAGTTCTATCCCAAGTTATGTACCGTATTGGTCTAGAAGACCAGCCACTGGAATGTTCTCAAACGGAGGCGAATTACTTCTACTGTCATCTCCTTCGTGTACTCCTGCGATCGAGACGTCATCTAATTGAAAGGCACCTCAGAAACCGAAGTTCAGAGGCGCAGTTTCTTACAATGCCTTACTTGGCACATCCCCTAGCTTCCCTGCGATGTCACTGAGGTATTTCTTCTCTCCTAGAATGGTGTCATCGCCCTCGCTGAGTTGAACTCCATTTTCATCCATCACCCGTACTAGACTGGGCCATGCGACAATCTCTTGGGTCGTAAGTCTGATGGATGTGGTTGCCGCAATATTTATGGTCGTTGTGCTTAAAAAGCTCTCCGGTTTGGGCTCGGTTTCTGTCTTGCCGTGCGCAATCGCGCGATCAGAGCGCCAGTCGAACTTCCAAAAACAAGGCTGACCGAATAGCGTAAAAGCAAAAGAAGCACCTAGCCTCAGGACGTCCCTCAGGTCGTCAATGCGCGCATCCTTGCCATGACTGACATTGCTGGGCTTTGCGTATCTTGCGAGAAGAGGATCCAAGTCCTTCAAGGCACGCTCGATATTCACGGTGCGCGCATCGAAGAACGTAAATGCGTCTAGGACGTAGGCATTGTGGCACAGAGCGGCGGTTGCCTGCTTCCAACGGGACAGCAGTGCAAAATTGACAGGATTTGGCTCATCTTTCCTAAGTGTGACGGCCCCTTTCCCGAAGGAGAAGCTCTGAAAACACTCTACGATCTCCGGTGGAAGGAACGTGCTGCCAGGGCTATTACTGATGCCTAAGTTCAGCAGAAGACTTCGACTCAGGATCGTCCACGCGATGCACATAGCTAACATGGCCATCCTTGTCTTTCCGTCCCCAAGTAGTCCCAATATCTGCGGCCACGGAAGAGAGATCCCTGTGCTGGCGTGTTCGATGACAGACTGCGAGATGCCTTTTTCTGCATCATCTTCCGAGTAGAACTTGTGCACATGAGCTACAATGACTTCGTGAAGACCAGAGAATTGCTTTAAGAGCTCCGCGCTTGAAATTTGTCCTTCTGTTCCGTACACAGACGGAACCCGGGAAAGCGACGATGGCGTTGGCACCCGGGATGGCCGTACTGGATAGGAGGGTCGCAGATCCAAATCTTCGGCTGAGATTTTATGTGGCTTGATTTTGCGAAGCAGACTCGTGCGGTTTGACTTGCTCCGTTCCATTACGTTAGAGACCGTAGACGAGGGCGCCTGAAGGCCTGCCACAGGCAGAAGGTGATTATGTAGCAGCATAGGCATACGCGTTTCTGAATAGGTCTGTGAGGACAAAATGCCAGCTCCGTTCACGCGGTACGTGTCATATAGATTCTGTCTGGGGATCCGTTGCTAAGTACGCGACCTTCGACTCCCATGTGACAGGTATCACCGATCGAATGATCGCATCTCACATTCCAATGTATCGGTAACATTTTCATAAGGAATGCTTCGAGAAGCATTCGATATCCTTCGCTTCCGATCGCAGAGGGATACACGTCCGGCACGTGGTTCTGAAACAGACAATGAAAACCCGGCGGCCTTGGGCTTTAGCGCGAACATCGACAAGGTTTTACTGCACGCGGGTGTGAATGATAAGACCAAAATAAACTTTCGGTTGCTTCAACAAAGGAATTGAGACGTAGTAGGCTTGGCGAGCTCACTCAGAAAGCCCTCGGAAGTTATTCGCGGACAAAGGACCAACCCGTGTCTGGCCTTGCAGCCGATCCTTCAAAGTGTCGGCTCTTTCTTGTACCTTCAGTGCACTCTTTTGTTTCGCATGAGCTTTCTTGAATTTACCCGTCGTCCCATGTTTGATTCTTGTGATCATATCCCCTGCCTTGCCTTTGGTGAGGTCCTTTGATTTTAGGTGATCTTCTTCTGGACGGAACTTATTGAGGTAGTCAATCTGTGTTTGGGATGCTGGGCTACGACGCCAGGGTTGGTTTTTGGAGATCCAGATAAACTCGAAGGCTTCCATTGCGAAGGTGTCTGCTGCATGGACCACATGTTCGAAGCTGTCACTTTGTGCGATCACTCTAGGTGTGGCATACGGGCTCTTCGATCTAGTGCCAGCTGGGAGTCTCCAGTAATGCTTGACACGGAAAGTCTGATTATCGTTGCCCGTTGGATCAATGACAAGGTAGGCACCGCCATTGGTAGAGAGGACAAACCTACCCTCACCAACGGCAACCCAAGCGAGCTGGCTAATTCTTCGTATGACGTGGTCGCTCGATGTATCTGCGATCAAATCGTGCACAGAGTCATAATCAGTGAAGGTGATGGACCCAGGAGGCTTGGCCGAGAGAGGTCTTGCAGCGGTGTCAGCTGCCGCCTGTTCTCGCTTGCTCTCCTCCTCTTTCCGTTCTTTGAGTTCCATCATGTCTTTAGTATTAGCCTTTTCAAGGATCTCAGCAGGGTCGAGACCAAACAATGTTGGCGTAGATACGACACCAGTGCTCAAAGCTGATACCATGTCGATAATATGGCAATTCTCTTTGCCAGGATGCAAACGCATGCCTCTTCCAATCATCTGAACCAGTAGATTACGCGACTTCGTCGGTCGTGCTAGCAGGACGCAATCAATGTTGGGGATATCCGTCCCTTCAGTGAAGACACCACAGTTGAGCAGCACCGGAAAGTCGCCTCTTCTGAAGGCGTCAACCCTGGCACTGCGTATTTTGCTTGGGGTATCGCCGGTCACGAATTCGGCGGCAATGCCATGCTGGCGGAATCTTGCAGTCAAATTGGAAACGTGGCTGAGGTCAACACAGAAGACGATAGTGGAGTTGCGGCTTTGGGCTTTCGCCAGCCACGCTTTGATCAGGAGATCGTTGGTCTGTTCTGTATTGACGACTCGAGATAGGGCAGCCGTCTTAAAGTCGCCATTTGCAGTCGTGCTCACCGTATTTAGATCGGCCTTGATCTCGACCGTGGTGAAGACGACATCGGAAAGCCAGTTATCCTCGATCATGTCCACATAGTCCCTGCCACCATCAGCCTCGCTACGAGCTGTGTTACTGGAGGACGTACCTGTGGTAAACTATGTGGTCAATGACTGCGCCAAGCTTGCGGCCATCAAACCGTGAAAAGGTGGCAGAGACACCCACTAGGGCAGGAGCTGGCACCTTTTTCCAATCGGCAGTGTGGCGCAAACCAAAGTGTTCCAACAGATCCAGATACTGTTGGCTCACTATGTGGTGGGCTTCATCGACCAGTACGAGCTTGTACCGAGCCGGATCAAACTTGGCGACTCTGCCACTAGACATGATGCTCTGTATGGATGCGACGGTAATATCGGCTGTCCCAGAAGCACGGTGGTTGCCCATCTCGAGGTCGACGTGCTTGTTGGGGTATGCGAGGGCGCAATGACGAGCGGCCTGTTCCACCAGCTCGCGGCGGTGGGCCAATATAAGCGTTTGGGAGGCATCTCCGGTGGCAGGGAGTCGGTCGATGAGATGTGTGAAGATGACCTAGGAATGGTCAGACATGCGTCGAGCGCGCACGGCGGCTTCCGCGGTTGCACATACTGTCTTGCCGGATCCGGTGGCTAGCGACACGCCGAGCCTCTTGTGACCCTTTGCGAGGTAGGCCAGCACCGACTGGATGCATTCCTCCTGGTACTCGCGCAGCGTGATCTTCAGCGGTGATGAGGGAAGCGACGGAGGCGGGGTGGTGGTAGGCGCGCTCTTAACCGCCGTGGACACGCATCTACGAGGGACAGCGAAGGGGTGGGCTACAGGAGCCGCTCGCCTGAGTATACTCGGCACACATTGGAAAAAGCGAAACATCAAGCGATGGCGACTGCAGCCATCACCGCACAGGAACGAAAGTTGCGCGCAGTCACGGGTCACGGGATCCTTATCGATACAGCAGCACGGGGCCGAGGCATCTCCGGCTTGGCGTGTAAAATGCGACGAGCCGAAGACTTCACGGTACCATGGAAACGGATCGTATACAATCATGCTCCTTCTAGACCCATCTTCTCCATCGCCAACCTTGGAGCTTAGCCAGACGAGCGCCTGCACCTTTCTGCACCGCTACGTTGAGAGTGGAAGAACTGTTGCACCGTAGCTGACTTGATTACCCAATCTCAAAGTCCGGAACCTTAATGGAGCGAGTACACACCACAGCCATGAGCTCGTCTGAGTCCGACTGGAAAGCATCGCCGCAACCCTCCCCACCTACCTCGCCGCGAAAACGCCGCAGATCTTCATCGGCTGACTCCGGACGACGGCGCAAGCGTACCGCTTGGGCTGCACCGTACAATGATGCCTACCGCCTCTTGTACAATGATTTTGTGCAGACCATTGCAGGGAACCACAAAATCCCGGTAGTATCAACTTTGAAGACTTCTCAGCTAGGTGCGACGGTGTGGACGGCCAGCGAAAAAGAGGCTTTCTTTGCAGCTGTAGAAAGACTCGGGAAAGATAATCTGCCCGGAATAGCTGCAGCCATCGGGTCAAAAAGCATCTTTGAAATACGACATTTTCTTGTACTCCTTGAGGATGCATACATTGACCGCGCCGGCAAGCGGGACATCTCACTAGCCGATATTCCAGCCGCTGCAGAGGTTGGCTTCATCTGTGAACGCCAGCTAGATGCAGCGGGCGACACTCTCGCCACAAAGCAAGAGCGTTTCGAAGCTACTCAAGAACAGAAGCGGTATGGTGAGCATTGGCTCATCACGTCTGAATTGGCCGGGGAAATTGAAATTGCTGCAAAAGGTTTGCGTGCTTCCGTGCCAGTCGAAAGCGGGGACGATGACGACGGTCTGCACGCCGCGAGTGATGCACCATTGCTCCGAGAGATACCTGAAGCGCGTCTCATCATCCCGAAGTCGTTTCTTGAGCTATCGCGGAATTTGTTCATGAATTCGTCATCCAATACATCTTATCCTTGGCCGAACTGGCGAAATCTAGCCTCTGACATCACGCCTGAGCCTTGCATGTACCGCACTGCTCTTCGCGATTTTCACACCTTGGTACTGTTGTTGACCAAGCGTGTCATGCAGACCGCACTTATTCAAGCAACATCTAGAATACGTGCTCAAGGCTGGCGCGCCAAGAAAGGTGTCAAGCTGTTTGTAAGGTCAAGAGATGTTCACACTGCAGTTGATCTGTTAGGCGTCAACGCAAGCAGAAGACAATTTTTTCGAGATGTCCCGAGGCGTTGCAGACTAAGAGTCACAGACGGAAGGTATAAAGCCCGTGTCCTCCGCTGGGACGAAGTTGAAAGAATCCTTGATTCTACAGAGAACAGGTCGACACCTCTGGACTCGGATACGGAAGCTGAAACACGCACAACCCAAGCAGAGCAAGTGCAATTCAAGTTCAGGGCCGCTCGAAGTGGGACGCCCTTGCCTCTAGCCAGACAATCCAGTACCGATGAATCTGCAGATGACCATGCGGGAAGCAATGCCGAGTCGCCTGCCGAGGGTACAGATTCTGACGGCTATCAAGCTTTAGATGATTCGTTCGAAGCTTCTGATGCCGATGCTGAAGCAAAAAGCGAATCAGGTTATGATTCTTCCGAAGACGAACTGAAAGGACTGGAAGAGTTTGATAGAGAAGCGAGCCGGCTAGAGGAACGTCGATTGTGGTCGGTATTAGGCGACGCTCCTGAAGATCCAAAATCCGCGCCTGAAACGACATATGATCAATTGATCCGCAAGATTCCACGCCGAAGAAATAGGGCCGAGGGCAACGAGTGGCGAAACTGGACGAATTACCACCCTGAATGGGAGGAGACGCGTTCACGAATACCCGAGATCAACTTTCTTGCCAACCAAACATCACCTAGTTCTTCACGGAGTTGGGACCTAGCTACAGACTACGAGACAGACTATGGTGCCGAGGCGGGCGTATCACCGGGTGGAGATCACAAGTCAAAGAAGAGATTACCTCTACGTATTGTTGAAGAGTTACCTCTTCGAGATCCCCGATCATACGCTGCTTTACGGGGCAAGCAGTCAGAGTCAGCGCAGCGCGATGCTGAATCGGATGCTTCTGAGCACGAAGCCCAAATACCAGCGCAGTCAATTGAACTGGTCAACGAGGGCGCTTCCGCAATGTCAACTGTGGAAGATCATACCTTGGACATATTCCACTAGGGCGGAACCTCGTTTACGACCATGGCCTCAATATACCTCTTCATATTCAACAACGCCTGCAACGGTTGAGCAATGGGTTTTTTTGGACCCCGATATGTATCTTGCAGCTAAGCAAAAAGTCCCATCTAGCAACAGAAGCGAAAATATGCACAAAAATCTGATATGATCATACGCGGAAAAGTCACTGTTCGAAGCGTCATAATGGCAGTCTTCGCGTCCGGGTATTAGCACCTTCCTAATTGAGCAACCAACTTCCCTGTCGATCCAGGTACGATAACCAACAGACGAGAGATGCCCAGCCGCGGACCTAGTAAATCTTGACGGCAGTACCGTTTCCAAGAGATGACCCCTCTCAACTCATGGCGACGCCTAACTCGTACGGGAAACTCGCTCTTGTCTATCCAGCCGTTGCAGATGCCGTCATCGGAAGGTTGTTTCCACCACACTCATACATAAGTACGATGCCCTGTCAAATAGGAATGATGCATAGCTTTACACGCTCGCCGCCATGCGTTTTTCTACATTGTCGGCCGCGACATTGCTGGCATCGGCTAACGCTCATGAATTACTTCTTGAACGGGAATTGCCTCCAGCAGTAGCCCTTAACCCCGATAATTACGCTTCGTGCGCAAACGCAGCGTGGCCTCCCACGACCTCAGAAGTGGGTGTAGAGCTCGTACCACAAGCCCCCGACGATGAGCTCAAAGCACTTGTAGACGAGATCAGCTCCGCGAATATCCAAGCCACCATTCAGAAACTTGTTTCTTTTGGCACTCGCCACACGCTATCCACGCAAAACAGCAGTACCCGTGGCATTGGTGCAGCACGCGATTGGATTGCGTCGGAGATGAGGAAATACGCTGAGGAATCGAACGGTCGTATGACTGTCTCTGTGCCTGGATATGTTCAAGGCGTTGCGTCTAGGATCCCGTTTCCGGTCAAGATTTCAAATGTGCTGGCGACTATCAAGGGCTCTGCAACGCCAGATAAAGTGTATGTGATGACAGGACATTACGATAGTCGAGTCACAGACGTATTGGATTATACGTCCGATGCTCCAGGTGCAAATGACGATGCCAGCGGCACTGCCAGTACGTTCTCCTAACTTGCGATGTCTTGTGACCTACCTATAGTATCAGAAGACTAACCGGAAATAGTCGCTATCGAATTGGCTCGTGTTTTAGCCAAGGCAAAACCGAGATCCACCATCATTCTCGGTGCCGTGGCTGGTGAAGAGCAAAATCTCTACGGCTCCACCTTCCTCGCGCAAACCCTCAAAAACGCATCCACAAACGTGGAAGGCATGCTCAACTGCGATATCGTCGGCTCCTCAACCGGTGACCGCGGCCAGAAAGATCCCTACACGATCAGGGCCTTCGCGCAAGGTCCGCCCTCTTACGAGTCCACGACTGTTGCAGCACAGCGTCTGCAGATTGGTGGAGAAAACGACTCGCCTGCTCGCGAACTCGCGCGCTTCTCCGCCGAAGTAGCCGCGAATAATGTTACCGGCATGAACATCGCCGTTATCTACCGTCTTGATCGCTTCCTGCGAGGCGGCGACCATAGGCCCTTCTTGGACGCAGGATACCCGGCTATCCGCTACACGGAGCCTAACGAGAACTTCAACCACCAACATCAGGATTTGCGCGTCGTGAATGGTACGCAGTATGGCGACCTTGTCGAATTTGTAGACTTCGAGTACACCGCTCGCGTGGGTAAAGTCAACCTTGCGACCCTGTGGTCGTTGTCAGAAGCCCCGGGCTACCCACGCAATCTCACTGTCGATACTACCGCGCTGGACAACAATACACGACTGAAGTGGATCGTCCCTGACGATGCGAATCTGAAGGGGTATGAGGTGGTGTGGAGGTCTACGACAGCGAGTGTGTGGACGCACGTTTTGGATGTGGGTAAGGTAGGCAGTGTGACAATACCGTTGAGCAAGGATAATGTGATCTTTGGGGTGAGGGCTGTGGGAGCGAACGGATACAAGAGTACTGCATCGTACCCATTCCCTGGATAGATATATGTGGAGCAATTGAACGAGTCCAAGCCACGTGTCGACATCCTCATTCACTTCCTTGCATTTGTCCGGGGGTGTGTGTACAGCTATTCAGACATCGCTTCCTGCCTCGTCTTTGCACTTCCCATACACGAAATTTAGAAGCAGATAACGGAACGGTCCATTGTCATAGAGTTGATGACATTAAATCATGTCCAACCCTCAAGGTGGACCTAATCGATCTGACAACAGTGTGCTTATGACGTCTACTGTGAAGTGTAGCCCCCTTCGCCGCAGAATGTGATGCACTTTTGACCTGTCAGGCTCAAGCCGTCAGTGTAGCTTGCATATCCGAGCGCCCTGTTTTCGAGGCTGTCCGTATAGCAGCCTGGATATGACCAGTTGGTTGGCAAGTTGGTAGCTGGTGCGAGCAACGACATTGCCATTGGGGTAAGTACAGCCGCTGTGTTTCTCATGATCACTGAAGACTGATGTAATTTCTGTATGATGTAACTGTAACATCAATGGCGGGGTTAATGTCTGGGGTTCATGGCAACAGCGGCCTTGCAGGTCTTGTTGGGAGCAGCTGGTTGGTTCTGAGTAGAATGGTCTCTACCCGAACCTGACATGTTCACAGATGGAGAGCCGCAACCCGGATCTGGACAATCACTGGGTGGTATTGATTATTTTGGATTGGTGGAAGATGCACAACTCAATGCAAGTGAGGTTGAAGCCCTTAATACCTTTGCGGCCTGACAGGTGTAGTGTGGAGTGAAATTTCGGACAGCTTTCGAAACATGGTCACGGATCCACTCGCGCACAACACCCCGCAACGTAGACATGGGTATGGAAACACCGAGTGGAGCCCAGAGTGCAGAAGAATGCAAGCCCTCGAGAACATGATTCCATATGACAGAAATAGAAGACCAGAGATGGTATCTTTAGCAATGCAGCCGCGCGATGCGGAAAAAGTCGCAGCACAAACAACGCCCAACTATGCAGGTATGCTTCGGTCCAAGCTCTGTCCCAAACTCATCTCGTAATACATGCCTCGCCTTCCCAACAATTCTTTGTGAGTTCCCACTTCCGCAACCCTACCTTTCGAAAAGACAACGATGACATCGGCGTCCTTGATTGTGCTCAGACGATGTGCAACTGCGATAGTAGTTCTTCCATCCTTCACTTTCTCAAGGGCGGCTTGTACAATTTTTTCAGATTCAGTGTCGAGCGCGGAGGTAGCTTCATCGAGAAGGAGCAAGCGGGGTTGCCGAATGAGGGCGCGCGCGATGGCTATGCGTTGCCGTTGGCCGCCGGAAAGCTGAGTGCCCCGGCTTCCGCACATCGTGTTGAACCCCTGAAAATATTAGCCATTGACCCCTGCAAGAGTATGGTGACTGTACATTGGGTAGAGATGCCACAAAGGTGTAGATATTGGCTTGTTTCGCGGCATCCTCAATTTGGGCCTCCGTAACCTCGTTGTCAACACCCATAGCGATGTTGTCACGAATAGACCCTTGATACAGCACCGGTTCCTGTTGCACAAGCGAGACGTGACTCCGATACTTCCTTGGGCATAGATCTAGCAGTGTGCTACCGTCGCATGTTATGCAACCTGAGGTTGGGTCATAGAAGCGTTCAAAGAGAGCGATCGCGGTACTCTTTCCGCAGCCACTAGCACCGACGAAAGCCACAAATTGTCCAGGTTTCACATCGACGTCGATGTTCTTGAGGACATTGGCATTCGGTCTCGACTCATATGCGAAATCCACGTTATCAACCTGGATATGAGCAGGGTCTTTCTCGTTACCGTCGTTGAATGGTGGTTTTGACGGATTTTCCTGGACACGTGGCGTTTGGCGACGAAGCCAAAAAATATAATTTGCTGCAGTTGCTGCTTTCGTCATACTGGTCGTGTATGAGAAGAAGGAGGCGGCCGCCTCGCCCGAGAAGATGACTGCGATGAAAACCGTGTAGAACTGCGTTGTGTTGTACTCGCCACGACTGATTAGCTGGCCACCATACCAGAAGCCCAGCGCCATCGCCAGGAATGAGACGGACTGCGTGAAAGAGTACCAGAACATGGTCCAGAAGAGAGACTTCATGGAATGCCGTGCTACGCCCTGGAGACGTTCTGCGTATCTTGCGATAATGTGCCTTTCCAAAGCCAGAGACGAAACGGTGCGGATGGCAGAAACAGCTTCTGAGGCCAAAGCTGCACTACTGGCGAAACGCTTTCCGGTTTGTTCTTCCAACTTGAATTCCAGACGAATTCGAAGATACCCTGAGAAGACCACCAAAGGAAGCGCACCAAATGCGACTGCGCATCCTAGCTTCCATCCCACGACTAGCGCAAGGATGCAGCTCGAAAGCACACTGATGACATTGATGAAAATGAGCATTACATTGAAACCGAGGAGCTCAAGTAGGCTGGTTGGGTAGGTTGATAGATTAGAGACAAGGGCGCCGGTTGCGTTCTCTTCCCTGTCGAAAAAGTTCATGTCTTGTTTAAGGATAAGGTTGAAGATTTCAAGCCTGTACCCGCGCGAGACATGCTGAACGACGACATTGCTAAACCATCCGATCAGCGAATAGGCGATGAGGTTGCCTATAGCGACGACGAAGAACATCAGCGAGTAAAAGTCGCCCCGTTCAACAGCCTCGGCACCCGGTATCTCGAATGTTGTCGCGATGCGCGCGAAGAGAACAGCCTGGGCCGGATAAGTCGCACCTCCCATTAACGATGCGAAGATGAGGATCAGGAAATACGGCCATAACCTTCGGTGCTCCCAGAACACAATGAAGATACAGCTTATGAGGTTATAATTAATTCCGTCTTTGCCCGTTTTGACGGCGGCCTGGCTGTGCATCGATGCCTGAGTTTGCGTCCGTACAAGAGTGGGCTTCTCTCCATCGTCATCAGCACTGTGCCGGAGGGTTTCTTCCGCACCGTCGGCTTTCCCAAGGTCTTGTGCGGTGACAAGACTTGCGTAAGCCCCCTTCTTGTCCAATAATTCGTTGTGGGTGCCTTGTTCTATTATCGAGCCTTTGGCCATGACTGCAATATTGTCGGCGTTCTTGATTGTAGACAGCTTGTGAGCAATGACAATTGTGGTCCGGTTCTTGCTGACGCTGTCTAATGCCTGTTGGACCATCTTCTCAGCCTTCGGGTCTAGCGCACTTGTCGCTTCGTCGAGAAGTAGAACCTGTGGGTCCGAGATAATACTGCGAGCAATCGCAAGCCTTTGTTTTTGTCCACCGGAAAGCATCATTGCACGCTCGCCGATTTGTGTATCGTATCCCTGGACAGTCAGTATCCATACAAGTTCCAGCAGTCGTATCAAGACAGTGGACCCACCTGGGGAAGTTGCGCCACGAATTCATCTGCGTATGCCGACTTGCACGCTTCCACAACAAGTTTCCTCTGTTGGTCCTCGGGAAGACTACCCTTCTCGGTCCCAAAAAGTCCGCACGCAACATTTTCGAAGACAGTCCCACTGAACAACACAGGCTCCTGTTGTACCAAGCGAATGTTCGTTCGTAGCCATCTCAGGTTCAAGTCTTGGATTCTTGTTCCGTCGAGGAAGATGTTACCAGCGCTCGGGTCGTACCATCTCTCTGTTTAATCTTAGCGCCGTGTCCATGTCACACCAGATGGCCACTATCCATGGTAAGAGAAGTCGAACTTACCCATCAGGCCAACTATGGTGCTCTTGCCAGAACCACTTGCACCAACGAGAGCTGTAGTACTGTTCGCAGGGACAGAGAGAGAGAACATTTGCAATACTTGAACATCGGGCCTGGTCGGATACGCAAAGCTAATACCTTGAATCTCAACACGCCCGGCGCACTTTTCGGGGATAAGACCTTCTTCACTGAGCGAATCAATCTCCGAAACGCGGTCTATGACCTGGAATAGCTGTGCGGCCGCCGATGCACCTTTGCCTAACGCGATAATCTGCGGTGCGATGGTGCTCATAGCCGTAGCTGCGACTATGACGGCGAGAATGACGGTAAACACCTGGCCGGGTTGACTGATCTCGCCACTCACGTACATGCGGATGCCCCGCCAAAATGCCAGACCGTAGGCGCTGTAAATGCAGAAGAATTCTGTGGAGAATAGTACAGCGTAGACTGGACTATTCTTCATACCAATTACTCGTGCATCTAGTAGATGTTGATCGAACTTGCGGGCTAGGAGCGGGTTCAACCAGAACGCGTGGACAGTTTGCATAGTCGAAAACACCTCTTCGGCTAGTTTCCCTGCTTGACCGTAGATTTCAAGCATCTCGTTCTCCCATTTGGTCATGAAGCCAAGGCATACGCCAACAGCGACGATGATCGTCGGAATGATCGAGATGGTGATGAGGGTGAGCTTCCATTGCACAGCGAATGCAATGATGAAAGCTGTGACGAATGTCGAAAGCCCTTGGATTGTCAAGGTCAATTTCTCCGATATGCCATTATTGACGTTGCTCGTGCTGGTTGTCACTTGTGAAGTGACTGACCCTGATTCAGCCGAGTCGAAATATGCCACATTCTGGCGTAGCGTGGCCCTAACGAAATCGACTCGTAACGCTTTCGTCGTCCGGATGGCAGCGATCGATATCAGGACAGAGTGGGTATAGAAAAGACAGAATTTGGCCACAAAAAGGTACAGGAAATAGAGTGTGTACTTGTTAACTTCAGACCGGTACTGGGCCGGCGTTAACACGCCCGTGGAGAATCTCACGAATGTTGTGACAAACTTTCCAAAGATCAGATCCATGAGTGGCAGCACCGCACCAGCGCCAATGGCAGCTAAGAATGCGATAACATTCAGGATCCAGCTCAGATGGTCGGCATACGTAAACACTCGCTAGGAGAGTGAGCGCACAGAACGGTATCGGGGTTGGAGACTTACCAAGTAACTGTGCAGTCCACCTTGTGCCTCCTTTTTGGGATCCTCAGCTCTAGAGTCGTCTTTTCGGGCATCGTGATTTGGCGTCGTAACGCCATCTCCCGGATTTAGCGATGCATTCTTCTCGGCCTTCTCGTTGTTTGCCATCTTGCTTCTGGTGTAAAGCAAATGACAGTGACCGAAGTGAGCATGTCTGGTGTCTATCTGGAGGCCTGCCAGAAGAAGGTGATAAAGGCATCGTGAACGCAACCCGTGCGCTCCGATGGAAAAGGCCAAGCAAATGCGGAAACACCTCCAATGTAGGCGTCATTAGACCGCTTCGGGAGGTCTAGACGATTGAACCAATGAAATATTGACCAGCGTACCAAAACTGCGCTAATGCTTTGCCAACTTCAGAATCATTTTTAACCCAGCAGAGTCAACCATGCCAAATGAAAGGGCGCAGGTGGATTCGAGGGAGGGTTTTCCGGTATCAAGAACAGGAAATCACAATGCTCGGCGCATCAAGAAGGGCGGCCCTGATTCTTTCGTGCGTAGTCTGGCGGCCGCACCCACGCGAGCCCCTGTCAGCGGCGCGCCAAACACCATACTCGACACTATACGATGCGGCTCTCTATTCTCTGGGTGCCCTACATCACATCAACCACATGGGGTTTACGCGACAACGTGCCCCTGGTGCCTACCAAGCGGAGACTTTGAAAGTGGACGAGCCCCACGTAGTAGTTCTGCTTGGCATCCGGGGTGCGAGAGCTCCGGCGCCGAAGGCATCCGCCAGACGTATGAATGAATTCGCCTACGGTGCTCGCCTTCTACGCACCCCGGCGTACGATTTCCGCGTGCCGAGATACCCAGTATGGATCAGACCGACGAGATGGATGTGGCGGGCGAAAATCGCATGCAGCGAGCGGTGTGTAACGCCACGCGAGTATGTTCAGACTCAGCTGATCCACAACAGTGTGATGGTTGTCGCTCGCGAAAAATTCGTTGCGATAGAGCTGTACCATGTTCCAATTGCAAGAGCAGCAAGCTGAGTACGTTTTCTGTGCTCGATGAACAAATCGTGGAAAAATAGTAGAAGAGACAGTAGCCGACTAATAAGCGCAGCGTGCACAACTACTGCACCAACACAGAAGCCACAGCGGCAGCGGGTGCATATCTCCGACGAATAGTATGCTAAACCACAAAGGCTTGGTCGTAGGTTCCTTTACTGATAGGTTCCAGCGAGAAGAAGATTGACCGGATCGAGGACCGCCTTGCGAGCATTGAACACGTGCTCGAGGCACTCTCGAATAAACTGGGTAACTTGGATATCAAATCCGAAGTTGAACATAGTAGTCAGCCAAGATCTGGCATTGCTGCTGCCCGCAGCCCTCTTTCTAATTCGGAGGCTAATGTGGCTACTCCTGCCTTTGAAGGTGAAACCACCATCAATCGCCAATCGGAGTTCGCTCGTGAACTGTTGGAGCAAGCAGTGGGCAGCACTCCGTCGATTGGACAAAATGCAGAGATCAAAGCCGCCTTGTCATCTCTCCAGAACATGGTAACGCGACAGAGTGCCAATCCAAACACCATCACTGCCTCTTTGACCTACCCATTCTCAAACAAGGCGCTTGCTGAAGTCGACCACACTAAGCTAGAGCGGCCCCCGTGGGACTTGGTAAACGAGGTGATCGACAAAGCTTCAGTCTACCCGACCATGTCGTTTGCGGTGGTTTTTCCCTTTCTGAAAATGCCAAATATGAAGGACATCTTCCGCGAAGCCTTCGAGAATACATCAGAGTGCAGTGTTGGTCGCAGAATGCTCGTGTATGGGGTACTCACCAGCCTCTTTTATGAGTTCTCCTGCTACCCTGTCGTGGACAAAAGGTAGATACACCATGGAACGGTGAGACGGTACTTATGAAGCTGAATGAGCACAGAGTAGACAGTTATCGGGGCCTTGCTCGCATCTGTGAAAGACAGATGGAAGTTGCCATGAGCCAGCTGGACCTATACCTTCCAGCCACGTACGAGAACATCTTGGCATTGCTTCTAGGTTCGGCGCAGGCCATCGAGATGTGCAAACCGTCACTTTGTTGGACCATGATATCCACGGCAGCACACCTTTCCCAGAACCTCGGCTACCACAGATATCAGACGATGAAGGACGATTCTGAAGAGGAGCGCAATGCTAAGATACACGTTTTCTGGTTCATCTACGTTATGGACAAGACGCTATCGCTCCGCCTGGGACGAGCGTCTATCATCCAGGACTGGGATATGTCATTACCATATCCTAATATCGACTCGGACCATGCACGCTTTGGATCTCTAGTTCAACAAGGGCAGAAGGGAACCGAACTGCTGCTCTACTGGATCAAGATCGCCCAGATCCAAGGCAGAGTGTATGAGAAGCTATTCAGCCCAGCGGGTTTCTTACGCCCTATGAGCGAACGCGCGCGTACTGCAACCGAACTTGTGGACGCGCTGAACAAGGCTTGGACCGAACGTGGAGAGGCAAGTGCTTTCGACTTTGCCTATCTAGAAATAGAGCACGGGTTGGCGAGGCAGCGCATGGAAGCTTCCACGGGGCCGAAACGAGCTTCGGAGTGCAAGCGATTCCGATATGTCCTGCCAACTACGACCCACTTGAACATCAATGGCCCAGATATGTCTTATTGTGAAGTCGAAGAGGTCGACAATACAGGTGCTGTACATCGCTGACTGTTGATTAGACCGTAAAACTTACGTTTCCAGGGTCCTTTAGCTATGTAAGTACAAGTTGAGAGACATGGAAATCCGTAACATCCTGCATCTTTCTGTGACTAATTCATCGACAGATCGGAGACATCTTCTACCATGCAGGTACGTGCAAGCATGGTACTGATTGGTCTCGACTGCTTTTTCGAGACCTTGACGTATCTGGACTCTTTCAGGTTCTGTCGAGGGTGACCAGCGAGGCACCTTGGTGATAGTGAAGATGGATGACCAAGGTACCTGATTTGACCTGTAGGATGATGCTGACTTTGATTGCTCCTATAGACGTGGTCATGCACTATTCGACATGTGCCTTAATCCAGCGCGCTGTCAGCCCAGATAATGTATCCTTCAATAACGACTGCCTGGAGTCGGCTCGTGCAGCCCTTGTAGCTCATCAGAGATGCGCAGCACAGTTCAACATCAAGGGCAATGAAGATCTGTGGTCAGGTTATATTCACTGGTAAAGATACACATATACTTCCCAAAAGACCGACCCAAGCATGTTGACATCTTGTAGGGCTATTCTTCAGGCACCCTTCACACCCTTCATCGTCATCTTCTGTCACAGTGGTATGTTGACTTCCATCAACTTGAGCTTGTGTCTGATCCTCTAAGTCCTCCATTGTGATCCATCCGATCTCAATTCACTATCCGACTTCGTCGTCAGTCTCGAGTCCTGCCGCACCATCTCTGAAGGCGCCGACAAGCTCTACAAGATGTGTCATCTGTTCCTCCAGGTTGCCAAGCTCTACGTCGAGGCGAAGAGGAACGAAGCTGTCCCTGTGGCAGCTTCGAGAACGCAGCCGGGCCAAAATGGCTTCTTCCCTCAAGAAACAGGCATCAACCTGGATACCATGACACAATTCGATCCGTACCTTAGCGCGCTGGGATTGATGCCGAATGCAGGGTTTCCCATGACAGGATTCCCAGCCATGAATCCGAGTACTAATGTCGATACGTTTCCACCTGGAAGTTTCGATGCAAGCATGGCACCGAGTGGATCCGGGATGGGACCAGGGAACCCAACGAATGTTCAAGATTGGTTTTCGGGCTCACGTTATTTGCTAAACTTGATGGAAGACGACATTCAGATGCCCGATTTCAACTTATAGATGGTGTTGCTAGGCGCCCTGTACGATATGGGATAGACGGCTTCGCTGGACGGATACGATAATGTACTCGAAAATTGTAACGATTCGACCTCGTAGATAACACCTCTCAAGACCTATGACAATGGCTCAGTATGCGTATGAAGCCGCCCACGACTTCACCTGCATCGGCGTCGACACGTGACAAATCCTCGCTTAAATCCATTAATGCCGAGTTTCCAATGGCTCGACGTCACAGCCACAACACTACAGGCGGCCTCCCTCTCGCAGCCTTCGAGGATACAGTGCCATGGTCTTCCTGATGATCAGAAAAAGCTACTTGAATATTCACCCTGCTGTGACGTGAAAGTGGCACCAGCCACGGAGATCCTCATCCAACACCCGTCATGGTCGACGTTGCGCCTCCACTCGAGAGCATCGCAGAAGATGACCTCTGCCCCGTACGGCCTTGGATGCGTGTCTCCCCACAGTGTCGCTAATAAGCATCGCAGATCTGTCACCTCCTCCTCAGCTCCCCCGTGCGGACGACATGCGCCCATATCCTCTGCCGCGCCTGCATGGCGCAGTGGGCCTCAGCCTCGCAGACGGTGCCCATGCACCCGTCCTCCCTCGACATGGACATGCGCGACTTCAACCCCGAATTCGACCCCACCTACGACCTCGAAGCGCGCTGCCCCATGTGCCGCACGCCCACCACCGCCCAACCCGACGCCCCGCTCGCGCGCTCCCTCGAAGCGAAGTACCCGCAGACCTACGCCGAGAGGCAAGCAGAAGACGATGCAGCGAGAATCGTCGTCAGCGGCGAAGGTGTAGAAAACGTCGCCATATTGATAGGCAACAGACACGCGCTTGTTGGCGGCAGGGACGAGCCCGGGAACAAGCACGACTGGACGTTCTTCGTGCGGCTGAGCAGACCCGACCTCGTCTCGCACGTCAAAGTCAATCTGCACCCCACGTTCCGGCCGCCGTCGCTCGTGTTGCACGATCCGCCATTCGAAGTGCGGAGACTGGGGTGGGGCTACTTCAGCATCGGGGCCACGGTGGTGCTCAAAGAGGGCTGGGAGTGGATTGGCGGGAGCGAGGTGAGGGGGGAGCTGAGCGATAGGAAAGGCGCGCTGGGTCTGGAGTGGATGTTGGATTTCGGGGGGGATGGAAAACAGGGGCGGATAAGGGCGGGGGTGAGGAGGGTCGGCGGGTATGCAGATGAGGCGGTGGATAGCGGCGTGGAGAGTCCGCTGAGGGAACCGAGTCCCGTGGAGGAGGGGAGCCCGGTCAGAGAGGCAAGTCCCGCGCGGTGGCCGCATATGGATGATGAACACATGTTTAGGTAATGTTGTTGGGCTGCATATGACGACCGTTATGATAACGAATGGGATGGCTATCAGTGTTACACAATTTACTCCAAAATGCAACATGACCTTCCCTGCGCTTGGTACATCGATTCTTACATCGACCATACAAGGCCAGATATCTTACACACCTAACTCCATTGTAGCCTCCGCTCCAACGACGCGGACACCTGCCTTTCCAATATCCTCCTCAGAGGCGTATTACTCCTCTTTACAGGCACACTCCTCGTCTTCTGCACCTGCAGTCCGTCGTCAATACCACTGGCCCATTCCTCCATGCGCTTCTGCCGGTGCTCCGAGACCGTCGACTGCGCCAGTTCCTCTGCATCTTGTTCTGACATGACAGAGTCGACCGGGCTGACGATAACCTTCGTCTCCTTAAGTGTTGGTGAAGAATCAATTGGACTGGCATCTCTGCTCGTCTGGCGCGCCAGTATGCGCCGGAGCGGCGTGTTATTGAAGCGCGCTTTGATTTGGGCAATGCTCTCTGGTTCGGAGGCATCTTGGAGAGCAATGACAGTATCTGCAGGGCTGGGAGTCCCGTGTTGTGGCTCTGTCGCGGATGGTATTCGAATAGGAGTGACCTCTTTACTCAGCTGGCGGGCGAGTATGCGGCGTAGAGGCGTGTTGTTGTAACGTGCTTTGATTTGTGCGACTCGTTCCCGTTCGGACTGCTCTTCGGCTGCGAGACGAGAGGTACGAGATACGCGGGACTCACTTGTGGGCTCGAGGTATGCTAGGCGTTATTAGCTCCATCTGGTGTATTGCTGTGGGAGGTGAATTACATACGCTTTTCGTGCAAGAAAGTATGTTTCGTAGAACGTTGCTCTATAGTAGGGGCATTCGAGATGTGTCGGTACGCAACACAGCGATTGTCCCACAACGCAATGTCTCCTGGTTTCCACTTCCACTGGATTGTATGCTCTGCGGATGAGTGGATCTGGAACTCGAGGAGCTCGAGTAGTTTATCTGTTTCTTACATCAGGCTTCCCGCGGACCATTTTCTTCAGAGGGCGTTGACAAACCTGACTCCTTCTTATTCAGCTCTGGAAATCTTTGAACATTCTGCGGTGTAACATTCAACGCTTTCAATCCCGAAACAGGATGCGATCGCACGGCCGGATGTTCAGCGCTGCGCTGTCCAGACGAATGCACGGCGGTCAATCCGTCCAGGAAGCTCTGCAAAGGCTTGCTAAGCGAGTCATATACACCATACTGCGATACGAACGCTGTTACGCATACGTCTTCGCTTTCGCCTTCGATTTGCAACAAGGAGATGCTGGGTGGCGAAGACTCGTTGCTGGCATCTGTGTGCCATTGGTCCTGCGCTTGAAGGGGTGCTGTCTGTTCACTCAGGCCTTTCCGTCCTATGTCATCTTTCGGATTGGTGGAATCGTCCGCTGGATCAAAGAGTGCCACTATGCGGTTCAAGGCTGACTTGTCGAAGCCATCCTGATTTTCGAAGAAGAGGACTCCACGGGCAGTGACCAAGGATGCCAAGTTTGCCAGGTCTTCACGAGAAAGTGCTGAGAGCTGTATGCCTGGAAGGACTGTTCCCACAGAATCGCTCAAATCGGTGCGGAAAACAGCGTCTGAGGAGGCGATTTCCTCCTTGTGAGGCACTAACGTCGTAGACGACGACGCGCTATCCGTGATGTATCGCTCGGCCATACCTTCCTTCTCTTTGACGTCTTCGAACTCTGTCGCGGTATCAAGTGAAATAATGGCAACACGCGATGTTGCGTTCCTCGTGACTAACTCTTGCAGATACCCTGATCGCTGTCGCTCAAACGTACTCTTGTAAGTACTCCACGTATTCGACAGCATAACACGCGTGCATCGCTGCGAGACCAGTGCATTGTGGCAGTCGGAAGCGGCAAGAGGAATATATGCAGGTGCTCGATAAGCCGCCGAGGTGGTCTGAAAGGGGTGCTGGAGTGTTGGATGTGGCTTACTATGAGGCTCGCTATTGGCCGAAATGACAATGGGGATGGCGCAATTCGCTCGGCTTATAGCATCACCGTTGGGCCTTGGCTGCTGCTGGTTGCAGTCTTCCTACATAGCAATTTCTCGATTTCAAGGTAAGGTGGAGTTATGTTCTATAGTCTGCAAGTTCAGGACCGGCTATCGGGAGTGATATGTAGGCTATCTAGGCAGTTCTCCCTAGGGAACATCCTCGTGCTCGTGCAACATACTGTATGAGTCGCGAGCACTGTGCAGTGGCCTGTACACGCCCATAACCTAAACCTGTCGATATATCAAGGTCCGACATTTGCGCTGGTCTCATTTAGGCACTCGGCATTGTCCTTCGACGTCTTCGCTCCATTCACACTATTTACATTTGCGTTATGCACGCCGTTAGTCGCAATAGCATCCGCCTCGCTTATCTTTTCATCTTCATCATAGGTGGGCTTACCACGATAGTCGCTCAGCTTGACACTATTCACAGGATCAAAGTACGGACGCTCTCCAAAAATCGCTGTACGTTTTCCTTCGCGCTCTTCGGGTTTGTATCCTCCTGGAACTGCGCGGTGTGCAACAACTCGGTTGTCCCAGAATGCGACGCTACCAGGCTCCCATTTCCAGCGCACTGTCAGATCGTCCGCCGTGTGTAGGTGACTACATTTGATCGTCAGTTCCTTCTCGGTCACTGAATCAGAGGCCTACATACTCGCGCAAGAAGTTGAGCACGTGTAACGACTCTGCTCCTTTCAGACCCTCGAGATGGATGATGAAAGCTGGGTTGTAGAACAGACTCTTCACTTTTGTTACGGGATGCGTCCGAACGAGTGGATGTGCGCGCCTGACTGGTCCACGGAAGGGTTGCGTCCCGCGGTTGATTGCGTTGACATAGCCGTGCTCCGATGTGTGCACGGCCTGGAGTCCATCGATAAACTTTTGAAAGTGTGAGCTCAACTTATCGTATAAAGCTGTTTGAGATGTCCAGATGGTGTCGCCGCCAGTATCGGGAGTGCGGATCAAACGAAGCATGGTGTACGCTGGAGGGTTTGCCTCAAAGGAGTGATCCGAATGGAAATCTGCCCCGTAGTTCGCGAAGGCGCGAATATCGCTGATCTAGTTAGTACTGTTGTATCTAGAGATGATCATACGCGTACTCATCACGTCCCAAGATGGTCACATGTCTGGGGTTGACTTGATTGGGATCGCGATCTTGGAGACCGTAATGCCTCGTGAGCTCGTACTGTTGATCGATTGTAATATTCTGGTTGCGGAAGAAAATTACGCCTCGCTCTGCTGCGAGAAGTGCTAATTCATCTTTTTGAGCGGGCGTGAGTCGGTCTAGTTGGACACCCGTAATTTCAGTGCCGATGTAAGGTGTGAGATTCTTGACAGATGTAGCTGCAGACAGCAGTTTCGATTTCGATGCTTCCGCATAGAACGCGCGATCTTTTGGGGGTACAAACTCTTTCACTGGTGGATGTGGCGCTGTGTACGCGAGTACTTCTCTAGTAAGTCCTGTGTGAGTGAGCGTCATTGTAGTGATGTCTCAGCACGCTTAGAAGTTTCCAGTAGTCCGATAGAGCTTTCTGGTGTTATATGTATGTTCAAGCGCGCAATAAATATTCGCGATGCTGTTAGAGCTGCGTGAATTGTCATCGTCAATTAGTAACTGCAAGAGGGGTAGCTACTGCTTGTTGCGATAAGTCCGGCGTCCGGCAACTGCCCCCTGCAACCTCTCGTGTACCTCTTTTCTAGAGCAGTCACATTAAATAATCCTTTGCGAATTTGCTATCGTTATTCGTCGATGTTTGATCGCGAGTGTATCGCAATCCATGTACATCTCGCGTGCTCGAATGCTGAGGGAGAGCTGGGCTTTTATTGGTCGATCTTTGCACCAACAATAGTTACCATTTTGGAAACCCGCTCGTCTATGCACCTCGTCTGGACGCCCACATGTCCTCGCTTTCTTATCGGGAGGCGCACGGCTTGCATCTTTCGGGATGCGAAAGTCTCCTTGGCCCGGACATCCGTCGTGTTGCCTGGAGTACTTAGTACGGACCCCAGCTCGTAGCCGATGCCACAGGGGAGATCAGTAAGTCTCTATATGAAAGAAAATAAAAAATACTCAGGTATGGCCATAATTAATAACAAAGCCGACAGCGACATTGAGAAGGCGTCTGCGGTCCACGCGGTTGAGAGTCGGGATAATAGCAGCTCTGATGGCAAAGGTTCCGCGGCTGAGGTATACGATTCCTCTCGCGTCGACCCGATTTTGGCCAAAAAAATGTCACTGATAAACGCTGCGATCGATGAAATTGGGATGACCCCATTCCAATGGAAGCTCTTTTTCTTCAACGGGTTCGGGTATGCAGTGGACTCGGTATGGCGTTGGCATTCTCGTAGAATCGATGACTTACTGCTAATGTTGTGGTAGCTTCTGATTGTTTGCCAATCAATTTCGCAGCCAGCTGTAGACCTGGAGTTTGGGCGACCAGTCAAACAGATTGCTGGTGTCGCACTCGCATCTCAGGTTGGACTGCTAGCAGGCGCCGCGATTTGGGGTTTCACTGCGGACATCATTGGGCGGAAGCTAGCGTTTAATACAAGTCTTTTCATCTGCGCGGCTTTCGTTTTGATCGCCGGTAGCATGCCGGACTACTACTCTTTCTCCACCATGTGAGTACGCCATCTCAACCCTGTAGAAGTACGGGCATTTCGTTTTGCGAATATATATGCTCGAAGTCTGAGCAAGCTGACGACGCGCCAGGGTGGCCATATACTCGGCCGGTGCTGGCGGAAACTATATCTTGGATGCGACCAATCTTTTGGAGTTTTTGCCCGTCAAGAATGCCTGGCTTGTCACATTCATGTCCATTTGGTGGGCTGTCGGTTATACCGTAACCGGTCTGTTCGCATGGGCGTTCATGAGCAACTTCAGTTGTCCCTCGACCGCCACCGGACCTGCTGACTGTCTCAAATCGGAGAACTGGGGCTGGAGATATCTCCACTTCACTTCCGGCAGCCTTGTTCTCGTTCTCAGTTTAGCGCGTGTGCTCTTTGTCCGTATGAAGCAAACACCGCGTTGGCTTATCGCTCAGAACAGAGATTCGGATGCGTTCCAAGTTCTCCAAGATCTTGCGATTCAATACCAGCGTCCATTCTCTCTTCGTTTGGAAGATCTCGAGGTCCAAGGCAGGGTACTACACACAGAGATGTCGAAGTGGTCTTCACTTCGTCTATGGAAGCATGTAGGAGGCCTCTTCGAGACCAAGATCCTCGCATGGTCGACCATTGTAATAATCGCCAATTGGTTCGTGATTGGGATGGTTAGCCCTCTATACTCGACCTTCTTGCCATACTACCTCGCGAGTCGGGGAGCTGATGTATACGGTACACCTTCTAATTACACCACGTGGAGAAACTACGCCATTAATCAACTTGCGGGATTGGGAGGTCCGATCATTGCTGGGGTCTTGGTTGAGATGAAGTTCTTTGGGAGACGAGGCACCCTTGCTATGGGCGCGCTTCTCACCATGGTGCTGCAATTTGGCTACGTTAGTCTGGAATCCTTGTGAGGGACTGACATAAAGCTGACCATTGTAGACTCAAATTCGCACTCCAGCTCAGAATGTTGGTGTGAGCGCAGCAATCACTGCCGCATCAAACATATATTACGGCACAATATACGCTTACACACCCGAAATCTTGCCAAGTGCGCACCGCGCTACTGGTTACGGTCTTTGTGTCGTGCTGAACCGTGTTGGTGGTATCAGCGGTGTTTTGATCGGTAGTTACGCCAACGTTCAGACGACAGCACCGCTCTTCGTCTGCGCTAGTCTTTTTGGACTCCTGGTGGTATTGAGTCTTTTGCTTCCATTCGAAACGAGGGGCAAGCGGAGTGTCTGATCAATCGGTAATGAATGACTTAACATCTGTTGGGATCTCAATAGACGTGGTAATTGAAGTTCAGGTACAGGCGAACTAGATCCTATATAGTGTGGCGGCGAAGTCTCCAGAATGCAATGATGACACTATTTCCTAATTCATAGTCGTACGTCATACAAATATCATTGAAATAGGTATTCAGCCATTCGAGGAGCTGTGCGAGTTTGAACCTTAGGAGAGGCAAAAAGACCGCAATTGGATCAACAGCGCCATCCACGTGAAGTTGGCGCAATGAAATCTTGGCAATGGGATGTCTGCTGCCGAGACATATGCTAGATTTGCATTGGACCGTGGATCTACCTGTAACAGGGGCTCGTCACTCAGTTGGATCCGAATAATCTTATAGTGAATCTTCTCAACTTCCCGTGTCTTGAAGGCCTTGCTTGTCTCCAGGTTCTAGATGGCGTGCATCATCTCCACTCCTTTGTTCAAAACCTGCTGGTGCTGGCGCATCCACTGAACTCGTATTGTAAAGCACTACAACCGAACCTCATGCATATGCCTGAGTCCTTTCTTCTAATTCTTCATCTAGTTAATCGAAACACGCTCTCTTGATAAGGAGCCCTAGTCAGAGTTCCATTGGTGACTGATATACCACCGGAAGAAATCATCGCTTAGGCAAGAGCGCGCGAGAGGCATCGCTTAGGCAAGAGCGCGCGAGAGGCATCGCTTGTTGCGTGGCGTAAACGACGTCGTCTGATTGCATCGTGCCCCTACGACACGCTTACTCATTGTTTTTAATCCCCATATACTGGCTTTTCTTATAGTCCACAACAGTGTCGAGCCTTGCTGAAATTCCGATCCCGCAACGTTTCTGACTAAAGTACCTGCGAATCTGCCAACAAATCTGCCCTGGATAATCAATGCAGACCTTACGCGAGATTAGGATGAGAAAATCCATACGGGGGGTTGCGCTCATCTTCGCGTTCCTGCGGCTTTCTTTCGCAAGAGTATCGTCCACTTGCGGTGTATCATCGTCTATCCACGTCCAGTCAATTCTGGAATCCGCAACAGCCCGTAAATTCTCATCTTCATATCCTACATTCGTAGACTCTATAGTAACTCGCAGTTTCAGATTCGATAGATCTGCAAGCTATCCCAGGTATAAATCTGGATGAGATTTTGGATAGCATCAGTCAAGCGTACATTGATGCCGAGTGTAATGATTTCGCTACACGCAGAGTGACCAATGTCACCGATATTGTTGATGTCCACGGTGGGTCTCTCGGGGTTCATGTCTAACGAGATTCAATGAGGTTTTAATGCAAAGTGTAGCGCACTGCGTCCCAGACTGGTACCGTACAATCGTACCAACAACCGGTGGCAATCCTACACCGTCATGGAACCTCACCGGACATCTTGATTTCATGGCCAGCGAAGGCATATCTCGGGCAATCCTCGCCGTTTCATCACCAGGCGCAAATGTGTATCCCGGAGATCAAGCCGCCACGATCGCGCTCGCTCGCTTGATCAACGAGCAATCCGCTGCATATGCCAGAGCCCATCCGCACCAGTTCAATTTCTACGCCGTCGTCCCGCTTCCCTACACGCAAGCCGCGATTTCCGAGGCTCATTATGCGCTCGACTCGCTTGGCGCCGCAGGCATCGCTCTCTATTCCAACTTTGAAGGATACTACCTGGGCGACTCGACTTTCACGCCGTTTTTCGCTGCTATGAATGCACGTGGCTCAAGACAGATCGTCTACGTGCACCCCACAACACCATACCTCCGGATCAATGGCTCGCTTATTGAAGCAAATTCAACTGTATATCCAAGCGGCAATATTGAATTCTTTTTCGAAACGGCGCGCATGCTCGAAGACTTGGCTGTCACGCAAACGATCTTGAACTTCACTAACATCAACTACGTCATCCCGCATGTTGGCGGCGCATGGCCCTCGGTCGCAGATCGGCTCTTGAGGTCGTTTCCCGCTATCTACGATCGTACGTTGCAGGCGCTACGGACGCGATTTTACTGGGATTCGGCGGGGCCAACATATTTCCACCAGGTTGCGGGACTGCTTGCGTATGGGGTACCGGCGGGCCAGTTGCTGTTTGGGACTGACTATCCTTATGCGCCGCCTTTTTCGTATGCGGTGTCGCTGGCTGGAGTGGAGAGCTCGCAGTGGATTACAGATGCTGAGAAACTGGATGTTTTCAAGACCAATGCAGAGAGCCTATTCGGAAACAACCTTCCTGGATAGCAGTATTTCATACTTTATTTCCAAACGGAATACACGCATAACGCTTGAGTTAATGCATTTAATCCTTTAGATTTACCAAGCAAATGATTAGTTGATCACCTGGGGTCTCGGTAATGTTCTTAGGTAGTTAGGTATGAGAGGGTAAGCCAGGCAGGCATACCAAACATTCGACATCTAGCCCCTCTGGTTAAATCATAACCTAGAACGTGTAATGAAGGACAGGTCCAATCTCGAGTCGGTTACTCCGAAGCAAAACGTACGGGCGCAGCGGGCGCTCCCGCCATGCAGGACTGCGCCGGATGTCATGCAAGTCACACCGCTGGCCGAGACTAATTGGTACAAGCGTACTGTGGAGAACCTAGAACGTGGAGGAATAGAATCTGGGGAATCTGTGTTGTCGCGGGCGATGCTCGAATGCAAGGCTCAAGTACATGCTGTCTGGCGGCCTGTGCGACGGCATCAAACATTTGACCGTGCTGTTGATTTGGAACGGTCCGTCAAACCCAAGGAGAACTATTTCCATGAGAGCAATCATCCAATTTGTTACGTAGGTGGAGCTGGCGACGTGAAACTTTTTTTCAATCGCGGATGCTGGGCCACCAAGAGAACCAGGCGAACGAGATGGCGCTCTGCATGCGGCTGCAATTAATGACGCTAGCCAATAATAGAAAGGTGGCTACCCGGGCATATTTTTCTTGTCTCACCGCGTCGGGAATCGATTCATACGGGCTAAGTGGACGATCGCCAGCTGAGAAGTGCTCTCGCAGAGCCAATCGGGGACACCCTTGCCCTGTGAAATTCGGCAGCGGTTTTTCGCTCAAGAAATCATGAATGCTTCGGCCAAGAGTGGCAAAAGTGCTCAAGACGGTATGGAAGATGTTCGGCAGCATCGGGAGGTACTTTGAAGAGAGGCCTGGAGCCTCCGTATGCGACCGTAGCGCCGTTTCTACTCAGGGTTCAGCAGGGCTGGAAGTCGATGTCGGCGCTGCATCAGCCTCAAACAGGCAGCTGCGTGGAGGCTTCATTGGCTGCGGGATGCGATTGTGTACTGTGTCCGTAAGTTGTAACGGCGTTTGGGCGCCGTGCATGCCAGCGACTGGCTCAAATGGCCAACGTGGCAGTGCCTGCCGCTCTTAGGCGAGTGCTGTAGCATGCGCATAATCCAGCGACTCCGAGACGTGGCCGGGGGTGGTGAGAGGAGGCGGTCAGCGCAGATTTGAGGGGAGGGGCCACAGAGGGACATCTGGTACCCCACCAACAGTTGCTACAACGCAGTTCGCAACGCCCCTTGCGAGCAGTAGATGCACAGTACACGGGGCTAGACATAGACCTGGGCGCGCTTGATGCAATGGCAGCAGTAACATTGGGGCGAAGGCGAAAACTCGGTGAGCCCAACCCAACCAGTCCGTCGCCGTCTGCGCCCGCAGTCGTGTCGAGGGGTCCTTTCGCAAAGGTGGTCCGTGCATATGCCACAAAAATTCTTATCGGGCCCGCCATTTATATATCGCACTTGCCCCTCGGTGACTTCCCCAAACTCTCTCCCTCTTTACTTGTGGGCTTCTTTCATTTCTGTTCCTGTCTTTGCATAGCCTGCATAGACGCTGCCAGTGCAGCCTTGATACCCAAAGAGCAGACCGCGCGCTTTAGTTAGCGTCGACTGCCCACAAAGGCGCTTTTTGCCCCGCCAAATTTTTCTCACCTCGACATCTACACCACCACAATATCAAATATGGCTCCCGCTGCCACAGACGCCGCCCCTCACACGGCGAAGAATGTCAAGGCCGAGAACTCCAAGTCCGTCAAGGTGCTTGAGGAGCTTCTCAGCAAGTTGAACGTCTCCAAGGCCCAGGATGAGATCAACGCCACCGCCAACTCTCTCGCCACCTTCATCAACGGTGACATCGAGGAGGGTGATGCGCCCGTAAAGTACGTTCATTCGGCACGACTCGCAGACAACAGTGTACTAACAATATTCCAGGGCCGTTGAGCTTCTCCGCAAGCAGTTGGGCAACCGCAAGGATGCCGTTGTCCGTGAGCGTGCCCTCGATGCCATCCGCGCCATCGCTCAGCACTCAACCATCTCGCCCGCTGTTGAGCCTTACCTCATTGCTCTCCTGCCCGATACCCTCAACGCCGTTGCCGACAAGATGAGCGCCGTCAAGGTCGCTGCCCAGACTGCCTCCGAGGCCATCGTCACCGCGGCGAACCCCAACGCCGTCAAGGCCATCATCCCCCACATCATCCACTCACTCGAGGCGACCCTCAAGTGGCCCGAGAAGATCTGCGATCTCAGGTGCATTGAGATCCTCACCAAGAGCGCACCTGCGCAGCTCGCCTTCCGCGTTCCCGATCTGATTCCCGTCATCTCCGGCGCCATGTGGGATACCAAGGCTGAGGTCAAGAAGGCTGCCTACGCCACCATGGAGACTCTCTGCGGTCTCATTTCCAACAGGGATATTGAGCGCTTCATTCCTGAGCTCATCAAGTGTATCGCCAAGCCTGAGAACGTCCCCGAGACCGTTCACTTGCTCGGTGCCACCACCTTCGTCACTGATGTGCACGAGCCCACCCTCGCCATCATGGTGCCTCTGCTCGAGCGTGGTCTCGTTGAGCGCGAGACTGCCATCAAGCGTAAGTCGGCTGTCATTGTCGACAACATGTGCAAGCTTGTCGAAGACCCCCAGATCGTCGCTGCTTTCTTGCCCAAGCTCATGCCCGCGCTTGAGAAGAACCACGACAACCTTGCCGACCCCGAAGCTCGTGAGAAGACCAAGCAGGCTTTGGACACCCTTATCCGCGTCGGTCACGTTGAGAACGGCAAGATCCCCGAGATCTCCAAGGACGGTGACATCTCCACCGTTGCTGGCCACCTCAAGGACGTCATTCCCGGCAGCGTCAGCCTCGACAAGTTCGGTCCCATCATCGACTACATCGGTGCCATCGGTGGCCAGCTCATCGACGAGAAGGACTACGAGCCCTTCAACTGGCAGTCCAACCTCGGTCCTTTCCTTGCCATCATTGTTGGCGACGAGCAGGCTAAGGATCTCGTTGATGCCCTCCGCAAGCGTGCCATTCCCGGCGCTGCTGCTGAGGACGCCGTTGAGCCTGATGAGGAGGAGGGCGAGGACCTCTGCAACTGCACATTCAACTTGGCCTACGGTGCCAAGATCTTGCTTAACCAGACTCATCTCCGTCTGAAGCGTGGCCAGCGTTACGGTCTTCTCGGCCCCAACGGTTCTGGAAAGACCACTCTCATGCGCGCCATCAACAACGAGCAGGTCGAGGGTTTCCCCAAGCAGAACGAGGTCAAGACCGTGTACGTTGAGCACGATCTCGACTCCGACGACACTGAGCAGACCGTCATCGAGTGGACCATGAAGAAGCTCGGCGCTGTCGGCATCACGACCTCTGAGGCTGAGGTCATGAACACTCTCGTTGAGTTCGGTTTCGTTCAGGAGCAGCTCAAGAACCCCATCACCTCGCTCTCTGGTGGCTGGAAGATGAAGCTCGCCCTTGCCCGTGCCGTGTTCGAGAAGCCCGATATTCTGCTTCTCGACGAGCCCACGAACCACATGGACGTCAAGAACGTTAAGTGGCTCGAGGACTACCTCATCAGCTCCCCTTGCACATCCATTGTCATTTCTCACGACAGCGGTTTCTTGAACAACGTTATCCAGCACGTTATTCACTACGAACGCTTCAAGCTCAAGCGTTACCGTGGTAACCTTGACGCTTTCGTCAAGCGCGTGCCGTCTGCTCGTTCCTACCACGAGCTCGGCGCCTCGGACCTGGAGTTCAAGTTCCCTGAGCCCGGTTTCCTTGAGGGTGTCAAGACCAAGGCTAAGGCCATCGTCCGTGTCAACAACATGGCCTTCCAATACCCCGGTACCTCCAAGCCCCAGATCTCTGAGATCTCCTTCCAGTGCTCTCTCGGATCCCGTATTGCTGTCATTGGTCCCAACGGTGCTGGAAAGTCCACCCTCGTCAACGTCCTGACTGGTGAGCTTATCCCCACCTCCGGTGACGTCTACCAGCACGAGAACATCCGTATTGCGTACATCAAGCAGCACGCTTTCGCGCATATCGACCACCACTTGGACAAGACTCCCTCCGAGTACATCCAATGGCGTTTCCAGACTGGTGAGGACCGTGAGACCATGGACCGTGCCAACAAGATCGTCACCGAGGAGGATGAGAAGGCTATGGACAAGATCTACCGTATTGAGGGCTCTCAGCGCCGTGTCATCGGTATCCACTCCCGTAGGAAGTTCAAGAACTCGTACGAGTACGAGTGCTCGTTCGCCCTCGGTGAGAACGTTGGCATGAAGAACGAGAAGTGGACTCCCATGATGACTGCCGACAACGCCTGGATTCCCCGTACCGAGATCATGGCCTCGCACGCCAAGATGGTTGCTGATGTCGATCAGAAGGAGGCTCTTGCCAGCGGTCAATTCCGTCCTCTGGTTCGTAAGGAGATTGAGCAGCACTGCGCCAACTTCGGTATTGACGCTGAGTTGGTTTCTCACTCGCGCATGCGTGGTCTATCCGGTGGTCAGCGTGTCAAGGTCGTCCTTGCCGCCTGCTCATGGCAGCGTCCTCACTTGATCGTTCTTGACGAGCCTACCAACTACCTCGACCGTGACTCGCTTGGTGCTCTGTCCAAGGCCATCAAGTCCTTCGAGGGTGGTGTTATCATCATTACTCACTCTGCCGAGTTCACCAAGGACCTCACTGAGGAAGTCTGGGCCGTCATGGACGGTAAGATGACGCCTTCCGGCCACAACTGGGTGCAGGGACAAGGTGCTGGTCCCCGTCTCGCCGAGAAGGGTGAGGAGGAGGAGAAGTTCGATGCTATGGGCAACAAGGTATGTGATTTCCCCGATTTAGTAGTTGTGCAAATGCTAACGTATTGTAGATCGCGGGAACCGAGTGAGTTGAAATCAGAATTGAGCGTATTTAACATCTACTAACTGTTGCCCCAGGAAAAAGAAGAAGTTGACAAGCTCTGAGGTAAATAATTCCACCCAAAAATCTCTAGAACATCCACTAACTGGCTTTCGCAGATGCGCAAGAGTAAGTCGAGATCAGAATAATTCAACCGGCCCCGAACGACTACTGACCTATTTCACAGAGAAGAAGGACCGCATGGCCCGCCGCAAGCGTGGTGAGGAGGTTTTCTCCGACGAGGACGATTAGATGGTTACGACATGCATGGTACGGTCTCAGTAGGTTTACGAACAAAAGTTTCGAGCACAGTTTGTCTCATGGATGGCGTTATGATCGATACCTTGTAGATCTGATAGATTTTGCTGAGACATGTGTTCTTCAGCGGATTAATGAAACAATTACATTTCAACATCCTTTCCATGCCGTGTCTCCTTTCGTAATTTTTTCTGCGCTGGGCTTTCGCTCGGTGCATGGAGCAGACCTGCCGACGGTCACTCATGTGAAAGCTCTGTCACATGACTGCGCTAAGCGTGTGTGTCAGTGGCGCCATCGCGTTGGTTCTGCCAAGTAGAACATCACCGCACGCCTCAGTCGCATTACTCTTCTCCCCTCATGAAAGTTCGCGCTATCGTGAGTCGACTCGACCAAAATGTTTTCTAGGCACCAACGAGCTGCCGATGTCATGGCTATGAAGGATGCATGAGCCCGACCGCGCAATATGGGGAGTTTCCAGCGCCATTGTGGTATTGAGCAGTATAGCCAGCCACAAACATTCCCGCAACCGCCCACCAAAGTGTCGTCGCCGCAGCCGGTCTCTGCCTTGGCCATCCTTGGGTAACACCAAGTACCATGAGTAGTGTCCTGCTGCCTTATCTCATCGAGAAAGGTACTTGTCGTCGGTTTGTTACCTAATACATGTCTAGAAACTACGCTAGCATCGCCGACAGACCTTGTAGCTTTGGACAGAGCAGGCGGATCCGGTAACTTCTATTGTAGGGAAACTCCGCATATTAGTACTTTGCCCTATCGTGGGTTCTAAGCTGTACCGAAGATCCCTGTCCGCTGTTGCCTGCGTCGGTGGAGATCTCATCTAGCTGCGTACCCGAAACATCCTCCTGATACGCGATCGAAGCGCTGGAACTTGGTGTACTCAGATGCGGCACACCATTCTCGTTGGAGATGCCCCCCATGGCGAAGGCGTACAGAACGTGTAGCGTAATCGACTACACGTTCGAGACAGCGAATACGAAAATCCTGGTGTAGTAATGCTGCTCGAGAAAGCGAGCATTGACCGCACTGGTGGGGCAACGATTGTTTTGGGAAGGCACGCTAGCGGCACCGAGCAGTGAATCAAGTATCACGTGTTGCTGAGTGCAATCATCATCGAACATTATTATCACGTATGCGCATAGAAGAGAGAGCAATGATCAGAGACAGTAAACACCGCTTGCTCCAGACTGCTCGCAACAGTTGGCATGAGCCTCGAGTTGGATTAGCCGGCCGTTGAACCCCTTCCATCAAGCTTGCAGTACAAAAGTACCTCCTGAATTATAGAACAAACAAAAATAGAGCATCATAGATGTTGTTGCTTTCGTGCCAGCGCCATCTCGCCTCAAGACGTAGTGGAGATTATTTTGTCCTGGATCATAAGCCCAAGCTTCTTCGGTGCAACGCTGATTGTACCATGTAACAAAGCTTGGATCCAGATGATCCATGGTGCCCCGGAAAGGAGCAGATATAATGCCTTTCTCACTAAGCCTTGGCTTTGGGGTCTGCGTTCTCCTTGTCGTCCTCCGGTACCGACCCCAGGGGTTTTGGAGCCACTTCGAGGTAGGGCGATTGAGTATCCTAGTAGGGCTTTTTGGGAGTTGTGTGCTTCTCACTTGGGTGTACAACACCCTTTGCGGCGTCTTCTACACGAGAGCCCTCGGATCCAAGCTCATCAACCTGCTCGGTCACGGTTCCTGTCTTCGCGGCCTCTGTCTCCACAGATCCTGCCTTTGCGGCCTTCTTCTTCGCGACGTCCTTTTTTGCGCGCTCCTCCTTCCATTTACTCAAGCGCTCATCACTCTCATTCAAGGCAGCCAATCGCTCCTTCAGGGTCAGAGTCTCCGGTTTCACCTTAGTCTCGGCTTTGGGTTTTCACAATCCCAACCGCTTGGGGTATAATTCTGCCAGCGAGGCAACTCGGTATTTCCGATGGCTCTCATCAATCCCGTCAAGCAGCTGATGTAAGGTCTTCACGTCGACCGTCTCGGTGTCCAGGGCAGCATCGCCGTTCAAGTCAGCCATCATCGCATCGACAAGTCCATTGGGAAACGTCGCGCGCATTGCTTGTTCGACGCTCTCCCGGAGCTGAGCATCGGAGAAGATGTTATACCGCTTGATTTCTGCGCCTGTTGTCTTGGAAGATGTATTAATTGCGGTAGTAGGCTCGGGTGCTTTTCCTGGAGCGACTCCAACTTGCTTGGGCTCAGAGCTGGAGGTGACTTTGCTTTGCTTCACTGCCGCTTTGGAGGTCTCGAAAGATGTGGCGAAAGCAGTATTAGAGACTGATTCTTTGTTCGGAATGATGGCAACATTCTTGACCTCAGCGGCAGAAGGAATACCATCTTGCTTCGCCATCAACTTTTGAGTCTTGAGAGCTATCGTGGCAGCAGCGTAACCCCCAATCGTGTTTCCGGCCATGGCCTTCATGGCTGCTACAGGATGAGGTTTTGATGATGTGATGGGTTCAGGGTCATTGGAAGGGCCCTTGCCATCCACGCCGGGTTTGGCCTCCTCTTGTAGCATCTTCAGAGGTGCGGTAGTAAAATCATTAGAAGCGGATGTCTTGCCATCAGCCTCACTCTTGGCGTCGCTCCAACCTACGCTTTCGAAGTCGTCATCGGATGTGATCTCCTCGATGAGCCAGTCGAGCTGTGGCATTGTGGGCTTGAAACCGTCGGCGGCATTGTTTTGAGTTTTTCCCATCGAAGGCCGAAAGGGTTTCTTTGCCGCGTCGATGATATCCGTGGGAGCAACAAGCTCTTGGTGGAGCAACGTAGGCATATGCACGCTGCTCGGGGCTCTGATGAGCTCTCGATCTGCTGTAGTCCGGTGGGTAGTCTCGGGTTCGTTGATCGATTCGTCAGTAGACTTGGTGTGCGGCTAAAGCATGGGGTTAGCTTGCACATCATTTTTTTTTGTTTTGGAGATGCAATGGATAGCATACACGTAGCACTACAGAAGATCCAGAGGGGTCTGCAGAGACTGAATGGTTGGCGTGCATGCACTGGGAGCATTTGCATCCCAACGTGTGATTTGGGATGGAGTACATGGCGTTGGTTCTGGAAGGTAAATGGTTTCAGTAAGTCTCCAGGCGGTGCAAGTGTGTATCAACACAGTAGAACCAGAGGCGACCTCAATGATAAAGGGCGTTTGTGGAGAGGGCTGCGTCTCTACAGCGTGGATTTATGTAGGGTGTGCGGGAGGCAGGAGAGCACTAAGAGCGTCAGTGACCAACGCGGCCCGTGCTACGTTACGTTTGTAGCATTTTCGATCTGGATAATGAATGTCTATATTCCATGTAGTCTATCAATCATTAGTTGAGTCATCAACCATTACACCCTACGCTTTCCACCTCAGCAGCGTGAAAGAGTGCTTTCCAAACCTGAACTTGCCCACGCCGTCCCAGCTTGACTCTTTGATGCCCACCTTCTGCTCATCGGCGGTGTTCGCGACATCCACATTCTCCCCATCTACTGTGTACACCTTGACCTCGCCCTTCTTCACGCCCTCAACCTTTACATCGAAAGCCTTCTCCTCGTTCAAGTTCGCCACCGCGAGGCTCATATGACCGTCGTCAGAGATTGAAGCGCTCACATCCAGGTATGGCGTCTCGATCGTAGCCCTAATCCACGCCGGATTCGTGCGGCCAGTGTACTCGGGCGCCCTCACATTGACGGCGACGCTGTGTCCGCGCATGTACTTGCTGAAGAGTAGCAGCGGCCACCAGATTGTCTGTTTAACAATCCCGTCCTTATTGGTCATTAGCGGCGAGATGACATTGATAGACTGGGCGATGTTGGCCATGCCCAAGTCCTTCGCCTGCCTAATGAACCCGTTCAGGAAGACAGACACAGCGAGCGCGTCAGAAAGTGTGTACTTCTCCTCGGCACCTAGCTCTCCTGGCGCCCGGATCGGGTCCCAGACGTTCCACTCGTCGAAGCAGATCGTCTGCCTGGGTACTGTTTCTGGTACCCCGTTCTCGATGCGCGCAAGATCGATCAAAGCACTTGCCATCTGAATCGCACGCTCAGCCCCACGCGGCGCTGTAGCGTTTGCCAGGTGCTCTTTGTCAGCCGTGTAGACGTGAATGCTGTGCATATCGATGAGGGACTTTGTGCGATCGCCGCCGAGGCCGTGGACGGACCATGTCACGCATTCTTTGAGCACATAGTAGTCCCAGGAAGAGTAGCCAGTCTCACCACAGAGGATGAGGACGATAGACGGATCTAGCAGCTTGAGAGCTTTGGCCCATTGGTACGCCTTCTTCGCATAGTCCTCTTTGGTGAGTTGAGCTACCTGCCAGGGGCCCCAGCACTCGTTGCCGAGGGCCCAATACTTCACCTAGTACAGTGTGAGAACTTGCTTGAACGTGGTCTTAAAAGTAGTATGGCCTTACGTTGTATGGCTCCTCACGACCATTCTTACGGCGGAGGTTGGCGTAGTATGTATCTTGCGTCGAGTTGCAGTATTCGAGCCATCCGAGGGCTGTCAGTCGAAATTAGTCGAATTGCATCAAACACAAATGGTAGCACGAACCTTCATCGAGAGTACCGGTACCAAAGTTCAAACAGAGATAAGGTTCAGTGCCAACAATCTCGCACCACTTCATGAACTCGTCAGTGCCGAACGTGTTAGGTTCGAGACCCAGCCACGCCAGCTCAGGTCTAACTCATACACATTAGCATCAGATGCATGACTGATCTCCGGCAAGGTCGGGCGGCTCGCTTGCGCTTGTACGACCGCTTAGGGATGCATCTTACCTCTTCGGCCTGTTCTCTCTCGGGCCAACTCCATCGAGCCAATGATACGTAGCGACAAAGTTGCCGCCAGGATATCGAACTACCGGAACATTCAAGTCCTTCATCGCATCAATGACGTCCTTGCGGAAGCCGTTCTCATCGGATAGGGGATTGCCGGGGTCATAGATGCCACCGTAGATGCAGCGCCCCATGTGCCTGGTCTGTGGTAAGCTTCTGCGTCGTAGATTTTTCTGCATATTGCTTGTTTGCTCACTCTGTAAAACCTCCATAGATGTTGTCATTGATCTTGGCGATTTTGTGGTCGGGATGGACAATGATCGAGGGCGAACCCTCATCTGCAATCCTCGTAAAGCTCGTCATTATGAAGCATATAAATCTAAATCTCGATCAAATATGCAAATGTCGCGACATGAAAGCGAATTCTCCTGCTCAACCCAAGCGAAGGCAACTAACGCGTGATACCACAAGTTGTTGCTTGTCCACAAAAGGCTTAGTGTCAGATCCTCCGATTCGTGGAAAGATCGCACTGCGTGGTACGATGCTTGTTTGCTCACCTCTAAGCTCATCAGAGTAATCATCCCGCTCTTAGCGAGTGGGTTTCTTCCACTGGCAAGGCTTGGAACTTCCCTCTGTAGATCTGGTGGCCGGCATAATGCACCCCGATGCTTCAGAACAGCCGAGGGCAAAGGGATTGGCGGAATGGCGCGCAGAAAGCGGGGATAAGAGAATCTGGGGACCTGGCTGGGGATTGTGCAGCGCGCGGCGTGGTCCGATCTCATGTTTAGCCCGCGTTCGAGCTCGGTTGACGCGCGCATGGGAGAAAGGCATGGGCAAAATGAGGTGCTGGTATAAAGCCTCGGTGCGACCACATTCACGGATCTAGCATTATTGTCTGCAGCCATTGTTTGCGCCTTTGAGCTTGACAAGATGGCGCTTCCTCCTAAGTGGTACCAGGTACGATGAGATTCTCGAGACAAGGGTCTGGTAACAATGAATTGACTTGAACAGTTCCTTGTGGGTGTTTTCGCCTCCCTCGGATCACTTCTCTTCGGTTATGATTTGGGTGTCATTGCTCAAGTCGTCGCTTCGCCATCGTTTGCCAAAGAATTCAACAATCCTAAAGCCAATGAGACAGGCGCCGTGGTGTCCGTCTTCACGGGCGGCGCCTTTCTGGGAGCTGGAGTCGCTGGTGTCCTCGCTGATAGGATTGGTCGTCGCTTGACGATCATGATCGGAGCCATCATCTTCTGCCTTGGTGGTGCGCTGCAAACGGGTGCCATGGCGCTGTCATACCTCTACTCCGGACGTGCTATTGCAGGTCTTGGGTCAGTAAACACGAGCCATTATTCCAATAATGACTGACGTGCTCGCAGTGTCGGTGTGCTCACTATGATTATTCCTCTTTACCAAGCCGAATTGGCACATCCTAGCATTCGTGGTCGTATAACGGCTCTCCAGCAATTTATGCTCGGCGTTGGCGCGCTCGCAGCCGCCTGGATCTCCTACGGGACCTACACTGGATTCGCCCCAGACGACAATGGCCAATGGAGAACTAGTCTGGGAATCCAGATCTTGCCGGCTGTCGTACTTGCCGCGCTGATTCTGCTTTTCCCCGAATCGCCCCGCTGGCTTATCGACCAAGGCAAGACCGAGGAAGGGCTGCGAACCTTAGCCAAATTGCACTCCCATGGAAATATCGATGATGCGTGGGTGCGCGCCGAGTTCGACCAAATCCAAGAAACGATTACATACGAGCATGAGCATGAGGCCTCGTCGATTGGCGAGCTCTTCACGGACCGGTCTTCTTTCCGCCGTCTTTTCCTCGCATGCGCCATTCAGGCCTCTGTCCAGATGACTGGTGTCTCGGCGATTCAGTATTACTCTCCTGCCATTTACAAACTCATGGGCATTGCGACCAATGATACTTTGAAGTACCAAGCCATCTCTTCCATACTTGCCCTCATCGCGCAGGCTACCTGCATCCTCTTCATCGATCGCTTTGGTCGCCGCTGGCCGCTCATCTGCGGTAACCTATTCAACATGGTAACGTTCATCATTGCCACTGTTCTGTTAGCGAAGTTCCCGCCTGGCGCAAACGACAACAAGTCCGCGGCTTGGGCATTCATCGTGATTACCTGGCTTTACAATGTCTCCTTCAGCGCTACCAATGGCCCACTGTCTTGGATCATTCCCGCTGAAATCTTCGACACCAAGACTCGTGCCTACGGTGTCATGATCGCCACTATGACCTCGTTCGCGTTTAACACCATGATCGGACAGATCACGCCCATTGCCATGGAGAACGTCGGCTACAAGTTCTACATTCTCTTCGTCGTAAGTTTTCCAGTTTCGATATTCTTTGACGTGCCGCTGATCCAATTCCTCAGGTTGGTAACTTCACCAACGCTATTTTCTTCTGGGCTTTCCTCCCAGAGACTGCCAAGCGCCCGCTCGAAGAGATGAAGTACCTCTTCACCGAAGCGCCGCTCTTCGTGCCTGGCATGAAGCGAGTCGATTTCGAGACACACGATCTCGAGCACAGGGTCCAAGAAGTGGAAGCCAAGCAGGGATACTCTTCGCATGTCGAAACTCGCGCTTAGGCGTCCGCGTCGTGTGAAAGGCGTGGTATCGCGCAGTATCACGTGTGCTGGTAATTAATTTTCTAGCGCGAAAAGCGTTCTCTGCACCTAGCCGTAGCAACGCAATACAAGCTTTCATTCGGGGCAGTCTTGCGTTATATATCATCCTTCCCTGCAATCTAGACGCCCTCGCGACCTCGTGTCTCGCACACGTGCAGCCCGGCACCGGCGCGGGCTCATATCCGCACATGCATGCGTTCCGGCCGCGATAGCCAGTCTGTCAAGCGTCTAGACCCCGCGGACCGTGAGGCTCACGCGGTGTACCACCCTGACGGTTTTGCAACATTCCCTCCAGGGAAAGCAAAGAGGGAAGTGTCGATTGCAGTACGGATCAGACGGCTCTTCCACAATGTCGTGTTGGTGTTGTGCGGAACGGTCGGCCACAGAGGTGGTGAATCTGACTGCTTCGGGCAATGGCGCAGAAACCGTCGATCTCTGCGATCGACTCGTCCGGGATTGAACGGTCACGCGAATATAATCCTCTTGGTAGGGAGAGAGACCATTCGATCACGGTGTAAGCTGATCGTGTACTTCGCAACGCACGAAAGGGATGAGGGAGGATCTCATTGGTCTTTGCGTATAGTCTTATCGGATACGCTTCGTCCATGCGCGTGCTGCCCTTCTGGGAATCCTGTTTCATTTCTGTCGATTGCTCGTGTGCGACACACGACGCACAGCTGTGGCCAATCGTCTGCGGGGGTCGCACGAATCTTGAACATCTTGCATCGCGGCTCCATGCCCCATAAATCGGATCACCACCAGCTTCCTCGACCCCGTGCGTACATTTCCAAGCCAGCTTGTCAGAACTTGTCGCTCAATTATCAGAAGAAGACTGCCGATGGCCGGTGATGCAGACGGCGGCTCAGAGAAGGATCGCTGATAGCCTGTGAAGCGCAGAAAAGTATAGAGAATAAGGGTTCAGGGAGGATAACACCGATGGCGAAAGCTCAGTGGTTGCATACACGAGAAGAGAATAGTGCAGAGGGTAGGCAAATAGGAGCATATCTGCGCCTCCCCGCATTTCCTCGCCATGGTCAGCGCAGTCGCACACGCGTGTAAATACGCCTGCGACAATTTCAAAGCTTGACACCACCATCAGAAGCTTTACCAACTTATCTCGTCCGTCAAGTCGCGCACCGAACCGACAGTGCGACCTTCCGAAGACATCGACCCAAGCCCGCCACATATGCGGCCAAGTTACGTATTCGCTAAAGAATATTTGAAGGCAACACTGACTGGTGATAACACACCGTTGACGTGCTCAAGGTAATATTTGTTTATCCTGTCTTCCACAGCATCTCCAGTCAAATATGTAGCCTATCGCGTTGTTCGCATCCCGGCTGCGGTGGGGTTGTTCTGTGGGTGTGCAAAACATAAATCGATTCGACTGCGAATACGGTCAACACGAACTCCTGCTGCTTTGGGAGTGACTGTAGAGAATTATGACGGACGGCACGAGCTATATGTAACCCGGCCGATGCTGTGGCTTCATTTTCGCCAATGCGACTTGCCACAGTCAACAAGCATTATGAAGACCTTCATATTATTTACATCCCTCATCGCAGGCACCCAGAGCCTCGCACCGATAATAGGTCTCGAAGACGCAAATCCTACATCAGACAACTACATCGTGGTCCTGAAAAAAGGAACTTCCAACGCAGCATTCCAATCGCACTTGTCGTCTGTCAGCACCAGACTAAGCACACGTAGCACGATCAAACAGCACGATATCTTCAACACTGGCACATTCAAAGCCTACACCCTCGTCGTGCCAAATACCACCATCGTCTCCCTAGCAAAAACCCCCGAGATCGACTACATCGAACGCGACCAGCCCTTTACTCTACCTTCTGTGGCGTCTTTCGAGTCTACCGCAAAACGCAGCGTCCAGGCCAACGCGCCGTGGAACCTTGCGCGGATCTCGCACAGACAAAGAGGGAGTACCGATTACGTATATCAACCAACGACCGGCACATGGGTGTATATACTCGATACTGGCATAAGAGTCTCGCACCAGAGTTTCCAGGGACAAGCGGTGTGTGCCTTCAACGCTGTTGCATCGGGCACGTGCGATGATTTGAACGGGCATGGAACACATGTCGCTGGCATCGCGAGCTCGCAGACGTATGGCGTTGTCCGTTTCGCGGGGATTGTGGGCGTACGGGTGTTGGACAGTTCGGGTTCGTCGACGAGTAAGTCCAACAGACACTGTCGCGATGTTATTCTTCACTAACAACGAAAAGCTGCAACTATCATCTCCGGCATCAACTGGGCCGTGCAAGACATCCTGAGCAAGGGCCGCGTCGGCAAAGCAACCGGTCTACTCGCTGTCGGCGGCGGGTTTAGCGCTGCCTTGAATGCCGCCGTTGCTAGCGCCGCCAGCTCTGGCTTGATGCTAGCAGTCGCTGCAGGGAGTGAGGGTACCAGCGGTGGTAATACATCTCCTGGGTCGGAGCCAACGGCTTGCGTGGTAGGCGCGACCACTGTCGGGGATGCTCGGCTGGCTTCTTCCAATTACGGACCTAATAGTAATTCTACCCCTTTCGGAGCCGAGAGATGGGGTTTGCTAACGTTTGCCACAGTCGACATCTGGGCCCCAGGGCAGAACATCGTCTCGCTCTGGATCACAAGCAGCACGGCCACAAATGCGCTCTCGGGTACATCGGTCGCAGCGGCGCACATCGCCGGGCTTGGGGCGTACTTTCTCGCGCTCGAAGGACCGCGAGGTGCGGTAGAACTATGCGAGAGGATGAGGCAGGTTGCGACGGCGAATGTGCTTACGGGGATTCCAGCGGGCACGGCGAATCTCCTGGCATACAACTTAAGCGGTCTGTAAGGGTGAGAAACGGCGGCAGTCATGGGGCTCACGTTCGCGCGGATATAGAAGTCGTATTCATGGCAATTACGATCGTGATTAGTCTCGAAAAGCAGCAGCCTTGCGTATTCCCATCATTGCATGCCTCGTGCAACCTAGACCTCGCAAACTGCCAATTTGGACAGCAAGTCCATTCTCCGTCCATTACAGTGGTTGCAGCCGTCAATGTATGCAGCTCGGGTAACTCCGCAGCATGAGCAACCACTACGTGTGTGCTCAATGGCAAGGGGTGATACAAGCGGCTAGGCTTGTCACAACGACAATCAGAGCCCTTGCGAATGGACGAGTTCAAAATGCCTGAATCGGTAAATTCTGGCAGGCATTGAACACAGGACGTGCCACGCCGGGAACTAGGCAAGTCCGACGAATCGTTGACCACGATGCCCAACGACTATCTTATGTGTGGGCCCAATGAAATCATCCCGATTTGTTACGGCTGTTATAGCGACATGCAGAGCGCTGGGATGGACGGACTTGAACTGCCTGAGATGGTAACTTTTGGTGAGCATTGAAAGCAGCTGTGGCACGTTTACGTTAGAGCAACATGCAGAAAGCCAGAACGGAGGCGTTCAAACTGCCTGTATTGGTCAGTTGTGCTGCATGTTGATTTTAGCTGTGAAACGGTTGCTGCAGTCATCACGAACATGCAGATCGCTGGAAACGGAGGTGCTTAAGCTGCCTGAACTAGTAAGTTACGGAGGGCGTTGAATGCCGTATGCGAACCCCTCGATTTAGTAAATCTGGGCAGGGCCTGGAAGGATTCTGGCATGGGACCCGGCATTGTACGACGGGTCTGGCCGCTGCAATTGAATCAGACGACAGGTACGAGCACAAATAGTAATCACGCAAGGCTTTGTGACCGAGCAGATGAACATGATGTACAACATTTAAATAACTTTGTAATAATATCTATAGCTGTTCGTTGACAAAGAGACCAGCCATGCCCATGCCCGTGCCTATGCACATGGACGTGAGCAGGATCTTCTTCTTTTGTCTCCTACACTCGCTGAGACCTGTGGCGATTTGTCGCGCGCCCGTGCATCCGAGCGGGTGACCCAATGCGATAGCTCCACCTCGAACGTTGAGCTTAGAGTGGTCAATCTTCAAAGTCTCGAGACAGTACACTGCCATGGAGGCAAACGCCTCGTTGATCTCGATCAGGTCGATGTCGTCGAGAGTAAGGTTGAACTGCGTGAGCAGCTTGGGGATGGCAACGGTAGGACCGATACCCATGATGCGGGGAGCAAGTCCAGCGACGGTGGCACCGACGAACTTGGCGAGGATGGGCTGGCCAAGCTCCTGCGCCTTTGATCGCTTCATAAGGAGGACGGCGGCGGCGCCGTCGGTAAGTTGCGACGAGTTTCCGCCGTGCGACCTGTCGCCGTGCGGCAGGAAGGCAGGCTTGATCTTCTGCAGACCCTCGAATGTGGTGCCGTACCGCGGGCCCTCGTCCTTGGTGAGGGTAATCTCCTTCTCCTCGCCGGTCTTAGGATCCTTCACCTTGACCTGGATCGGCACGATCTCGTCGTCGAACCAGCCCGCCTTCTGCGCAACCTCGGCTCTCCGGTACGACTCAACCGCATAGCGATCCTGCCTCTCGCGGCTGATGTTGAAGTCCTTGGCGACGTTCTCCGAGGTCTGACCCATGGGCTGCATGCAGTCGCGAGCCTCCTGCCTCTCCAGGATCTCGTCGAAGAAAGGGCGCTCGAGGCGGTCGCCGCCAGTGGTCATCGACTCAGCACCCATGGCGAGACCGATCTCGATGGAGCCGGTGGCAATCTGGTTGGCGATATCCTGCACGGCCTTGAGACCGGAGCTGCAGAAGCGGTTCACCGAGGAGCCGGATGTGGTGTTGGGGAAACCGGCACCGAGCATGGCGGCACGGATGTAGTACGCGGCTTTGGAGTCGGAGACCTGGCTCCTTGTTAGGCCAATTCTCATGGGGCATCCGTCTCCAAATACATACATTGCCCAGGCAGATGTCCTCGACAAGTGCCGGGTCCAGGTTCGACTTTGCGATGACCTGCTTCAGCAGCTTGACCAGGATGCCATCTAGCGGCGTGTCCTTCAAGCCGCCCTTGTGTGCTTTGGCGAGCGGCGTCCGCACCGCGAGCGTGATAACAATATCATCGGGATTCTTGGTGGTGCTGTTGTGGCACTATCAGCTTCCGCTGTCTCACCGCGCCCGGACGCGTGAGCTCGGCAATCGGATGTACTCACATGGCGCTCAGTCCGCTCTGGGACGGCGAGAGCTGCGAAACGATGGACTTTAGTCGCTCAGTCATGGTGAAGATGTGCTGTACAGTAGAATTCAATTGAACGTTAGAAGCAGGTGAAAGTGATAGAGGCCAGACTGTGAAAGTGCGGAGCGAGTTGCGGAGGTCTTTAACGTGTGGGGCGAGCCGGGGCCGAGGCACCTCGGGAAAAAGATCACGGGGTCCGGCACTTGCTCTATTGGACGTGCCTCGCCTGATACAACGTCGTCCTGTTCGTAAGTAGAATAGTAATCGGGGCGAATGTTTACGCAATCTGAAGATGGGGGTGTGGAAGAGATGGATTCCGAGATCCTAGATGCATAGAGGTTGTGGCAAGCGCGAGGCTGGTAGGTACAGTTCGCTCCTTCCACAAGCGACGCAACTTCCTAGAAATATGGATCGTGCCCTTCAACCGCAACGAAACCACATGTATGTCCTGTTCCGATCCGCTTGCGCCGCCTTGAGGGCGCCGTAACTACACAATCTTATCATCGATAATCTGCGGCGTAGGCACAGTTCCTTTGAAACTCTCCCTCTTCTTCAACCCATCAACATAACGTGCCAATTCCGGATGCTGCTTCCTCCAAGCATATTTCGGTCATCTAACATCCAGATCCGAGCACACAGTCCCCGCCGCAATCTCCGCCAGCCCAAACTTCCCTCTGACCAAAAACTCCTTTCTATTGATCACCGAAGCCTTCTCAGCTAACCACATCATTCCCCAATCAATCTTGCGCTGCTGTCTTTCCATCCACTCCTTCGAAGGTTGTTCCCGCTGAATCTCGAAGAATCGAAGTACAAACGCATCGCACATGCCGTCACAGACCACCTCGACTTCCTGCGCTTCCAGTCAGCCGTCTACGTCATCTGCAAGCATGCTCGGCCAGCGTGGTGCAGCGAGCTTGGCTTCGAGCCATGCCATAATGAAGTGGCTCTCGTAGACTGCGATCGGCTTGCCGTCTTAGCTTGGGGGAAGGCTGAGTTCTGAAATGCCTACTGCGGGGATGATCAGGACGGGGAGTTTCTCCAAAGGATTGTATTGCGGTTATTGCGTTGTGCTGTTCCAGAGAACTTCGGTGATGAGCTTGAAGGGTATGTTCTTTTCTTGCAGAGAAATGCGGACTTTGTGCGCGTAAGGCGAGGGGGTGGCGCTTATAAGTTTGAGCATGTCGTCTTGGGTGGAGCTTGTCAGGATATTGGTACAGTATCCGGTTTCCGCAAGGTAAGCTGCACTGCACTTGCTTCGATGGAACTTGGAAGGTATAATGGTATTTAAGGTGCTACCATTCGGTCAACGTCATAGCGTGGACTGGTGCCCTTGAAGAACCTTCACAAGAGTATAGGTATCAGTATCAGCAAGACTGTACAGTTCTTAGCAGACAACCCATATTGCGGAGACTCATTGCAAATCGCACTTGTCGAGCTCGAATGTGATGGACAAAATGCACGTCGTAGACGCCGTAGTCACCTCTATGAAGAGTACGTTGCTTGGCACTCCTCCGAGTTCAACCAATATGACCCTATTCCGTACGAACCAAATAGCGAAGATGGAGAAATCGACGAGGAGATGGTCGTTGCCGATCTTGTCAACCTCCCGCTCCAAGCTGTTGGCCCTCGCATTTTTGCTACCGAGGTTAGTGACGTCGTGACTGGACCTGCAACAATAACTCCACCGGCAGAAAATTTGGATAGCGAGAAAGATAGAAAGGATCCTAGTGCTGAAAACCCTGGCAGTGTTTGCTGGGATGAGCTCTTCGCATCCACTGAGGACCCGTCCATGCAACTGAAGAATTGCGATCATCGCTTCCATAAAGTATGCCTTGAAACATAGATTAACGAAGTGTTCACTCCTGATGAGTGGGTCGCGAAGGTCGGTTATCCGTGTTGTGTAAAGTTCGTCTGCAATGTACGGCAATACAAGGGACGTCTTTGAGCACGTGTTGTTGCCACGCGAGATGCTATAGAGAAGGGCGCCACGCGAGAAGTTGAAAATTATTTCGGCCATGTTCCATCATAGTCAATCTCAATATACTCAGCAAACCTTGCAATTCCATCGCATTTGTATTCTGCCTCAGCGTCTATGCACCTGATCGCTAAAGTTTGCTTATTCTTATGACCTTAGTGTCAATCAAAGAGCCCATATGATGATCATTCTTCGGCTTTATAATACTCACAGCAGCTCTCCCGTCTCTCAACAGTTGAATTGGTTCAGCCCGCAGTGAACACTATTTCTTTAGACGATCGTCTACCCTTGACGCGCCTTCTGTCTCTGGGTACTCGTGCAACTGAATGACCATGCAACCATATACATATATAATTAGAATTTGAAGCTGTCACTACCCTACAACAAGTAGATCATGGCATGGAGACGATATCATTAAGATCTGGGCTGTACCATAGCCAGGGATCTCATTTGAATGAAGGATGTGATTAGCATTCATCATACCAAGACGGGCTACCCAAACAAGGTCCTATCGAACTCCACACGTTGACTAAACCGAGAAACGCAGTGACCAACGTTCACCAAAACTTCCTAATCCGGGTTAGCATAGACCACTCGCCTCAGCGTCTTTCAACTCAAGGCCAAGTCGAGAACCACTGCGTTCGAACGCTCGCTACCTCTCATATGAAGCCCGCTGAGCACTACCCTGCCTTCCAGCAACCGCGCACCACCCACACCCGAGATCCACCCGTGACCTCCCTCTTCGTACAAGTATGGCATCCACATCTTCCACAAAGCACCACCATATCAAGGATACCCCGCTGTCAGGCTGCGGCTGCATCGACTGCATCATGAGCCTGCCTTGGCTCCCTGCTGTTCCTCCAGAGCAGCAGCATGACAATGGTCTCCTTCCGTCTGCGGCTCCCGTGTCCCGTATCCCTGATGGGATCTTGGGTTCCGCTCAGAATGCGACCAAGGAAATGGTGGCCCAACTGCTGAACAAACAGAACAACAGCGAGGCCGACCACGAAGGTAACATGATTGCTTTTCCACCTTAGAGCTGCACCGAGACGAAACTAGAGTCTTTGTGGGCATCTGCTTACAAAAGCCTACTGACTTGTACAGCTGGCCAACGCATCACCACCCGCGATAGGACTGTGTCCTACCAGGCGAACAACCCAGACGAGGTGTGCCGCTACTTCAACACCGGGATCGACTGCGCATCCTGGCTCAGCCACTGCCAGCGCGCGCACATCTGCTCGAATTGCCAGAGCACCACTCATGGCGCGCACGGTTGTACGTTCAATCCCAGCTCACTCATCAAGGGCAGCTACATGACCAGCGCCAACCCCACCCCGACCAGCCACCAGCAGCCTCTTGCTCGCGAACAGGTGGTGATGTGTGCCACTTCCCCACCGGATGGCCCCCTCTCTACAACCACCAACCTCGTCACTATCCCACAAGCCCTCACCGCCGCAGAGCTGACCATGTACCCCATACCTCCGCCTCGCGCCCCCTTCAGCGACCCCCGCACCGGCATGCCCATGTACTTCGTCCCCACGTCCTTCAACCCGTCCTGGATCTCCAGCGACACCACACCAAACAGACCCACCCGCATCTGCGAGCTCCACAACAGGACCTCAGGCTGCACATGGAGCGAATGCCACCGCCAGCACATCTGCTCCAACTGCCACTCTCCCAACCACACGCTCCCCGCGTGCACGAACTACCCGAACCATGTCTGCGAGAAGTTCAACTCCGAGTGCGGATGTCTATTTTTGCACTGCCAGCGGCGCCATGTGTGCAGCAACTGCCATAGTTCCGCGCACAGCGTGTTCCTGTGCTCGAACTACCCCGACTTTGTGTGTGAGAAGTTCAATGGGACGGCTGGGTGCTTGTGGGTGGGGTGCAAGCGGAGGCACGTTTGCGGGAAGTGTGGGAAGGAGGGGCATGGGCAGGCGGTTTGTGAGGGGGTCTGAGGATGGATGGAGGGGATCGGGTAGATGTATGGAGGTATTAAGAAGCTGGTGGGGAGGATGCAGCAATGGGTAATCATCCGCGTATATGGTCTTGTTGAATACAAGATAGAAGGAAGAAAGACGATCGGACATATTAGACACGGGTTGTGCAGGCTTGAGAAGGTAGCTTGGTCTGATCAGATGGTGGTTCGAGAAACGAATCTCGGTCTTGGGTGGGGGCCACCGTTGCTGTTTTGATCAAGACAACGTCCCAGGTCACCACCCCGCAGTGGAATGGTATACACGTATCTTGACCTGTTGTTGTATCATGTCGAGGGCTTCCCACTGTTAACTCGTTATTCTGCGCGACACGTCGATGATAGCCATGGTTGTGCTGGCTTACTTACTTGAGTCGTGGGGGCTGCACAGACGTGGGGTCTGCCCAGGTGTTCTTCACAATGGCACGTGTGCATCGGCCATGGCTGACGTAGATGAAAAGCAGTTTCCCAAGACCTGCTCGAGAGCGACAAGTGTCTCTTGTTAGTGACAAACTCGTATCTGCAGTATCTTGGATGCTCGCCGCGGGGGCGAAGGAGTAGGATGCTGGTGAGGCTGAGTTGTCTTGGCACATGAAGTTGGCTATGTCCCTCGCGTGATGTCATTTTCGTTGCAGGTCACACCCCGAAATGGAAAGAAGAATACAGCGCCGAGCTACAGCGGAATTTTCCACCCTCGCCAAGATCTCCATTTCCGCCGATTCTTTGCTAAGAATATCACACTTCTTGGCCGACGGGGTCACACAGTGGAGCGCACAGCGATCATGGACCCCAACAGGTCAAAGGTTTGCATCTGGGCAGAGGCATACAGCGTCTATGGGGCTCAATGTTCCAGGACTCAAGTTACGAGTGACGAAAGATTGTATCTGGTGTGATATAAAAGATACCTGGCCTACACAGGATGAAAACAACAGAATCATTTCTTGTTTTTAGCGTCATCACACTAGCATCTAACAAGCACGTTTTGTTTCTCCAAAAACCCATATAGCCGCATCATGAAGAAGTCCACCGTTATCGCCGCAGCGGCCATTCTCTTCCAGGGCCAGCTGGAGCATGCCCAGGCCAGCCCTGTCACAACAGCTATCGTCCCTCGCCAGGTCGGAAAAGCGATGCAGAAAGTTGTGGGCTTTATACTGGATCTCTTAGACATTGCAGGTGTCGATGAGGACGAGCCGGTGAATCTCTGGTAGGCAGGATTCTACCCCAGCTGCGGAGACAAGAAACCTCCCTATGAGCGAGTTCGAGGAACTAACGAATTCACAGGGACTTCAAAGAATACCCGGAGATGTGCGAGGTCTACATGTCGACTCACGATGGCGGAGAGTGCTACGCTTCGGTCGAATGCGACGAAGACAACGGCGGGAAGAAAGAGTACAAAAACTTTCCCAACTGCCGTGTGGGCGGGCATTCCAGGTTTGAGGACGACCGCATCGGGCCGTTCAGTATCGAGTTCTCCGAACGGGACGGAGAGGGACAGGGCGAGGGACTTACCACGCCGAACCTTCGGCTCAAGGTGAGTGCTCCGCAAAGGAGACGCAAAACCCTCACGACATCGCGCGTCTTCGGAATGCAGCGTTGCTGACATCTCCGCCAGTACCTCAACGAGTGGGAGCCCATCGCCGTCAACTCGGAAGCCCAGCGCCAAAGCACCGACGGCTCGGCCGGCGAATACGGCAAGGCCTTCCTCTGCAAATACGGCAACTACAAAGCCTCGATAATCGGCAGCCACATCAGCAACCAACGCACCAAGAAGTACAGCTGCGGTGTGCCCCGCGCAGGCCTGCAGTCGGAAGATGGGACGCTGGACTCCAACATGCCCGAAGACAAGAAAGGGTACCGCTCCGGCACGTGCAGCTTCCACGTCAAGCAGTTCCAGAAACCGGATCCGAGCAGGGATGACTACGCGCTGGAGATCTCGTCAGTCAAGGATGCGAACGAGAAGAAGATTGGGGGCAAGGGCAAGGCGGGCCCGGACGTCGTGCTCAAGACGAAGCTGCCCAAGACGATCAGCTTCAAGACTGGCAACGTTGATGCTGACCCGGTGAGCTTCCAGTACGGAGACGACAAGTGGACGTCGGACGACGAGGGTCGCTGCAGCGTGGGTAAGTACGACAGCGGGGATCGAGAAATGGACTGCACGTTCAAGTGCGACTAGAGGATGCCGGACATGCGCAGTGCGATGGTCGCGACGGATAATGGCCAAGCTCTGGCCTTGAGAAGTGTCACCGCGAATGTGTACGACCAGTGTATTGTGGACTTTAGCTGAGAGCGTTGTCCGCCTTTTGTTTTCTAGGATTAGACTTGTACCATAGGACTTCTTTGGCTTTGCAACGCATCACTTCGCACGTTCCTCTCACTCTTCACCTGCAGCCTACCGCCGCTCACCTGCCCGTCTTCACTCACCTCACCCGCCCAAATCCCCTACCAGATTTACACTGTCAGCCGCTATATTGCCATCAAACAATCCCCGGGTACATAGTCCAATGGCAAGACGCTGTTCGATGCTAGGATACGGCGCTTGAGACCGGCAGGCCGACAGAGCGTTTACGCTTAGGGTAGTCAGAGACCTACGTTCGATTCGTGGTGTGCCCCAGATCTTGTCTTTTTGCCGTTTGGTGTTCGCTGTGCCCAGCAGGCAGGCTGCAGCGAACGTGGCCACTGATAGTTGCTTGAAGAAAGAAATGGATTTCTGCAATGCTAGCTCACGGTACAAGCCGTACAAGATCATCATCATCATCATCATCATCAGTCACGGGATTCACGTCCATTCCAAGTTCTAGTTATATGTAGAAAACCTGAGTGTGAGGTTTTTCATTCCAGCTACCAGTACATTTTTGAAGCCTGGCTTTTGTCTATGCCGATTCTTAGGGAGTTTATTTGGTATCATGCGTGGTTCATCAAATCTACACCTCCTTCTTGGGGACGCCGCCGGGCAGCGTCGCAGCCTTCTCGTTGAACAGCTTCTCTGCGCCCTGCCATACGGGCGCCGTCGCCCTGTCCTTGAGCGCCAGCAAGCTGGGAAGCAGCGCATCGCTGAAAGCCTCGGACGACTCTCGCGGCAGCGCAGACGGAAGGTGGTCAATCGAGATGACAGACAACCTAGGTCCGTTGCCCTCGACGGGGACCTCGACGGTCGGCTTGTCGAAGGTGGTGTTGATGTTGTAGATGGGGATGGGGTTGTGCGGGTTGGTGGTGTCGCAGCTGACGTCGCACACGACGCTCAGCTTGCGGCTGGGCGACTTGAGCGACTCGAGGTTGACGAAAGGCGGGATGGGCTTGGAGAGGTAGATGCAATTGACGAAGAGGTCGCTCTCGATGATCTCAGGGTACGGCCCGTCGCGGTCCTTGGTCTCGGGAAGATCCCACTTCTTGATCTCGGGGCAGCCGACCTTCTCGAGTAGGTCGACGGCGCCGCTGCCGCAGCGGCCGAGGGCGCCCAGCACCAGCGACGAGGGCTTGCGACCGGCGACCTTCTCCCCTGCGGCGACATCCTCTTTGAGCTGGGTGATGAGCTCGGTCTCGTTGTTGTAGTAGCCGCGGCCGTCAGTAAAGGTCTCGATGCCGGGGAGGGGCTCGCCGTTGGGGTGGGTGAGCTGCCATGACCACGTCTGGAGGGGTTAGCATCGTGTGTGGAGGCGGAGTTTCGCGCGTCGCACCTTGATGGCTAGCGCAGCGCCCACGAAGCCCGCGTGGTAGCCAAAGGCGGCGACTCTTCGGCCGGTCGAGTCCTGGAGGAACTCGAGGTCGTACAGGGTGCCGCCGCCGCGGGGAAAGCGGGCGAGGACCTGCTCCCAGCCGCCCTGCTGCTTGTAGCAATGTGCAAAGTGCACGAAGGTGTGCTTGAGCGGCGAGTCTTCCTCGGGCAGCTCCTTGAGGCCGATGATGATGCGGTCCTCGGGCGCCGTCTCCCACGAGTTTGTGTCGACCAGCGTCGCGCCGGCCTGCTCGAACTCGTCATCCTTGAAGATGCGCGAGTAGTTGGGGTCTGTGGGGCTGCGCTCGACCAGCACGGGGTAGCCAGCGTCGAGCAGCTTCTTCGCCGTGGTGGGGGTGAGGCAGGAGCGGTGCTCGAACGGCTTGCCCTCTGCGCGGGCGTGGAGGGTGGGGAACGACATGGCGGCGGCGGAGGCAGCTGCTGGCGGATCGCGCGGTCGGAAAAGGTCAATTGGGAGGAGCGCCGGTATGCGGATGACGTCGGGTATAAGTACGCCTGCTGCGATGCGTGCTCGGAATGAAGGGTGCAGCGCTGTGTTTGTTGCGCCGTGGATGAAGTCGGCGATGACTCGATGCGCCGCTTTTCTGCCCGCGTCCACCGCCATGGCTGGGCCCCGATGCTCGCTCTCGTCAGGTTTACTCCGAGCGGGCAAGTCGGCCCTCGCACGTGCCGGCGGAATGGCATCAAGCGGCGGCCAGCGCCCGTGGCTAGCCTGGCCTCGTCCGGGGATCCACGCAAAGAAGCGCAAAAACAACTGAGACGCTCTTTTCCACAGGCATCCGTCGCTGCACTATGACTGCTGCGACACCGCAAAGCACACCTTCCCGCCTCTCTATCCACCAGGACACACCCGTGCTGCTGCCGGGCCACGGCGATTGACGAGCCTGCATGCCTCGACGGCAATAGCGCCCGTGAAGAAAACAACTGAAACATGGCTCCCCCGACGTCACCCTCGTCGCACTCGCGCACGTCGTCCAACGCCAGCGCGAGGTACAACCCCCACGCGCCCACCACACCCAGCCAGCTACGAAACTCCCATGTGCCCTCGGAGCGCTCTTCGTCGCCAGAAGAGACCATGCACGCCGCACCCGACCACGACGACGGGCCCGCCCACGCTCCCAGTAGCGCTGCGCACCATGACCTCGAGTTCAGCACCGACGGCATCCACATGAGTACAGACCGCGCATCAGTGCACTCGGCAGACGACAACGCCGAAGGACCACGCGGCGGCATAATAGACGTCGACCTCGAGCCCACGGTGCGAACACGGCTGCTGAACCACAAGAACTGGGACTCCGCGTCGGGCTGCGGCGAGGAGAACTGCAACCATGGCGCCATGTCCCCGCGGCCAGCTTCGAGCAAGAGCTACGGAAGCTTCAACACCGACGGCGGCTTTGGTGGACGCTATCCTGGCGCAATAGACCCTCGAACAGGGGAAGCAGCAGATGCGACGCACGCCCTCTTGGGCGATGCATTTGCTGACGGCGTGCTGGGTGGCCGCGCCGGCAAGAGCACGACACAGTACCTGGCCGAACGGCACGGTGTCAAGCACAAGAAACTGATGTGAGTGAGCATCGTATCATGACATGTACCTCAAGCTGACAATCCAAGGTACATTGCATACTATATACCTATCGTGAACTGGGTACAACAGTACGAGCTGCGCTACCTCAAGGGCGACTTCATCGCAGCTTTGACCATGGCTTCGTTCTATATACCCATGGCGCTCTCGTACGCGTCCAACCTCGCTCACGTTCCTCCGGTCCATGGTCTATATAGCTTCGCCATAAATCCTTTGATATATGGAATCTTGGGTACATGCCCCCAGATGGTGGTTGGACCAGAAGCACCGGGTTCGCTGTTGACAGGCGAGGTGGTGCGGGACGTCATCAGGCATGGCTCAGGCGACCAAGATGGAAGGAAGAATGCAGAGATTGCAGGCATTGTTACTTCGCTAGCTGGCGCCTTCATCTTGACCGCGGGCATATTCCGACTTGGCTTCCTCGACAATATTCTCAGCAGGCCCTTTCTGAGAGGCTTCATCAGTGCCATCGGTATCGTCATTTTCATAGACCAGCTGATCCCGGAGATGGGATTGGCCAAGCTTGCCGCTGATGAAGTTTCGCATGGAAGTACCGTGGACAAGCTCGTGTTTCTGGTGAGGAATCTAGGGAGCGCCCACGGGCTCACAGCCGCACTTTCCTTCACTGCGTTCGGCATCATCATGTTCTTCAGGTACGTCGGTCCAACACGATCCGTGAGCAGCATCTGACACATTCACAGAGAGCTCAAGAAGCGCCTCCAATCACGTTACCCAAGCGTGGCCTATATCCCAGATCGTTTCGTCGTGGTCGTCCTATCAGCCATCATCGTTTGGAAGTTCCGCCTGGACCTCAAGGGCGTCGCCATCCTCGGAGACGTCAAATCCAGCGGAAGCGTTTTCGCCGTGCACTTCCCGTTCGAGGCTTCTCACCTGAAGTATGCTGGGGACGCCATCAATACCTCGCTCATCATCGCTCTCCTAGGCTTCTTCGAGTCTTCAGTAGCAGCCAAATCGCTGGGCAGCGGCGACCGTAACAAAGATGGCGTATCCATGCCGCTTTCCGCAAATCGCGAGCTCATCGCTCTTGGTACCGCAAACATTACAGGCGGCCTCTTCATGGCGCTGCCAGCCTTTGGTGGTTATGGACGATCAAAGGTGAACGCCTCTACGGGCGGACTTACACCCATGAGCTCCATCTTCCTTTCCATCATCACCATCCTTGCTACGTTCTTCCTCCTTCCAACGTTTTACTACCTGCCCAAGGGCGTGCTCTGCGCCATGGTCTCAGTAGTCGCCTACTCCCTTGTGGAAGAAGCTCCACACGACATCAAGTTCTTCGTCCGTGTCCGCGGATACTCGGAGCTCATCCTGATGTTCCTCATCTTCGTCGTCACCATCTTCTGGGACCTCAAGCGCGGCATCGGCGTCGGCATCGGACTCTCGATCCTCCGCCTCGTCCGCCACTCGACCCGCCCACGCATCCAGATCCTTGGCCGCGTGCCAGGCACCACGGACAAGTTCGCCAACGCGGAAATGGACCCCGACAGCCTCGAGTTCATCGAAGGGTGCCTCATTGTCAAGATCCCCGAGCCGCTCACCTTCTTCAACACAGGCAACCTCAAGACGCGCCTCAAGCGTCTCGAAGACCACGGCACGGCGTCGGCGCATCCCGCGCTGCCACGGGTACGCCGCGAGGAACACAACAAGAACATCATCTTCGACGTGCACGGCGTCACGTCGCTCGACGCGGCGGCGGCGCAGATACTGGTCGAGATTGTAGAGTCGTATCGTAAACGCGACGTTAGTGTGTTCTTCTGCAGGGTCCCTCACGAGCGGTCGCTGGTGGGGCTGCTTTTCGAGAAGACGGGCATCGTCGAGTTGTGCGGTGGGCGGAGGCATTTTGTCAGTAGCGTTGAACAGGCGTTGCGGATGACGGAGCTGGAGCGGATGAGTGAGGAGTTTGGGAGTGAGGCGGGCAGCTCGAGGGCGGGTGCCGGTACGGGTGCGGAGAGAAGGGCGACGGTGTGGTAGGGGCAATGTGTGTGCGCATCAATGGGCATTCAGACGGCGTTTGAGCGTGGCATGGCATGCAGCGAGGATATGCGTTCTTCTTGGTTAAGATTGATGTTCACCCATGTGCATTTGAAATCGGAAAGACGTAAGAGAGTCGACTTGTTCGTGCTGCGTATCGATCATATGCTCTGATCTGTTTCCTCTGTCCCACTTCTTCGTCGGGGTCCGATGTGTTCGCTCGCTGTCGCGGTAATCGCACTCTCCGCACCTTGGTTTGGCTCGGAGGGGCGCGCCTAGCACACGTACGGTCCACCCCGGCAACGAACCATGGTACAGCGAGCGTGCTCGTCGCAACCCTACTGCCACCTTCATCCTTCACATCTCTCCTTGCCCTTTGCTTCTCCCGTCAACGCAGCGTGCGGAGTAAACCGGCGGGCCATTTTCGAGTATAATTGCGCCGTCATTGGCTGGGGTTGCTTGATGCTACGGAGGGGTGGATTGCGGGAGCATAGGCAGTGGTTCGCATGGCTTCCTCGTCCGCCCACTACCCCAGAGATTCCAAACCGAGCCGGCCGTGGAGAAAGAGAATGAGACGGAAGAGCCGCAACTCGGACTCTGACCGAGTTATCGCGAGGTCGCAGCGCTACGGCATAGCGCGGAGCCAGCGCAGCATGCCGCCCGCATCGGGCTTCCCGCGCTGAGCCCACAGCGCTGATTGATCAATTTACGAGATGCCGATCCGTCGGATGAGGGCCCTCGTCTCGAGAAGATGCACGGCAGGTTGCAAACACGCAGCCACGCTTCAGTCCCTTCGCTGGCCTCGAGTCTGAGAAGCCCCGTGGCGACACGCGCGGAGATGGCAATCCCAGACGCTCGCTACGTGACGTCGGCGGTCTCGCGACAAGCCTTTGTGCTCATGTGCCACGGCGCCTTAACGTCGTCAAGGCGGCCCGTTCGACGGGCTTGTTCGCTGGGCCAAGGCTCGGCATGCATGCCGTCCGTGCAGCCCCTGCATCGGCCTCCAGAACCCGGGGCGATTGGCGGGGAGCGCCCACGGGGTTAAGCACGGGTGGGGAACGGCGCTGGCTGGTGTCATGGGAGAGGTCGGAGGAGCAGAGAGGGAAGGCAAGTGCGCCGATCGCAGTGGGCACGACCGGGGTAGGTTGGAGCTCTGTGGAATGGTATAAAGGCCGAGGGCGCTGGAGGGGCTGGGTTTCCTCGCTCGCTTCTTATCTTGGGTCTTGACATTCTTGACACGGCTTTGGCAAGACAGTGGTGCTGCCGCGGGACTCTAGTCAGGTTCCAACCACTTCACGCACGGCACACAGCCTTGTGCTGCAGCTCAGTCGCTTTCCGCGCTGACGTATCGTTTCGTCCTACCACTCCTCCATACCCATATCCACACACAATGGACGCTCCCAAGGAAAGCTACTCCCCCGGAGAGGCGGGCTACGGCCAATTCGAACCCAAAATGACCGCCGGCCGCTACATCGCAACGCGCTTTTCCACACTGAAGCCGCCCATGGCCAAGGTCCCCAATCCTATCCGCCTCCTGCGACTGCTCAACTTCCAACAATGGATGTTCTTCCTCGTCGCGTTTTGTGCTTGGACCTGGGACGCGTTCGACTTCTTTACTGTGTCGTTGACGGTGGAGGATCTGGCTGAGTCGTTTGGGAAGACGAAAACTGACATCACTTGGGGCATAACGCTCGTGCTAATGTTGCGTTCCGTGGGCAGTATAATCTTTGGATTGGCGGCTGATCGCTACGGGAGAAAGTGGCCGTTCATCGTCAACAATCTGCTGTTCATCGTACTGGAACTGGGGACCGGATTCTGCACTACATACAACAGCTTTTTGGCTGTGAGGGCGCTGTTTGGGATTGCCATGGGGGGATTGTACGGCAACGCGGCTGCGACAGGTGAGCAATATCCGTCGGCATTAGGTTCACGAAGAGCAGCACAGAACTGACCTTCCTCAGCGCTCGAAGACTGCCCCGAAGAAGCTCGTGGTCTCATCTCCGGCATGCTCCAGCAAGGCTACGCCTTCGGCTACCTCCTCGCCACCGTCTTCGCTCGCGCGTTCGTCGACACCGTCGGTCACGGCTGGCGTCCAGTAAGCTCCCTCCATTCTCGTCGTTTAAAGCCTCACACTAATCCCATCCAGCTCTTTTGGTTCGGCGCCGGCCCCCCCGTCCTTATCATCGCCTTCCGCCTCTGCCTCCCCGAAACGCAAGCCTACCTCGAGCGCAAGCGCATCCGCGAAGAAACTCCCAACGCCGCCAAAGTCTTCCTCAACGAAGGAAAGGTCGCTCTCAAGAAACACTGGCTCCTCCTCATCTACATGGTGCTCCTCATGGCCGGCTTCAACTTCATGTCGCACGGCTCCCAGGACCTGTACCCCACCATGCTGTCCAACCAGTACAACTTCTCCCCCAACGCCGTGACCGTCACGCAGGTCGTCGCGAATCTGGGTGCTATTTGTGGTGGCACCGTCATCGGGTACTGCTCTAGCATCTTCGGGCGACGCTTCAGTATCATCTTCATCAGCATCATCGGAGGCGCTCTCCTCTACCCGTACACCTACACTTCCAGCACGAAAGTCATCGCCGCTGCCTTCTTCGAGCAGTTCTGCGTCCAGGGCGCCTGGGGCGTCATCCCCATCCACTTGATGGAGCTGTCCCCTGGCTCGTTCCGCACCTTCGTCGTGGGCACCTCGTACCAACTCGGTAACCTGGTCTCTTCAGCATCCTCGACAATCGAGTCTACCATCGGCGAGCGGTTCCCGCTGCCGCCCAAGGGCAAGGTGAAGAGGTTTCAGTATGGCAAGGTCATTTGCATCTTCATGGGATGCGTGTATGTATATGTCATTATCCTTACACTGATCGGGCCCGAGTACAGGGGGAGGAGCATGGATGTGCATGCGGATGAGGACATGGCGGAGGCGGCGGGACATCATCACGAGAAGCGTGTACATCGGGAGTCGACTGATGGCAAGGATTTGGGCGGGGCGGAGGGCATTGAGCGGGTGTAAGGCTCAGAACCAAGTGACGGACATGGACGGAGGGAGAGTGTGCGTTGTGGAACGAGGGTAGCAAGCCCAACGGATAAGACACAATGTGCTATGCAAACCAAACCAAACCATACCATACCAAGCCCCAAGCCTCTCATGTTGCGGTGAGCTTCCGTCATACGTTGCCTTTACAGTTCAATCCGCCAGTGTCACATGCTCGGCCATCTACTACGACGCGACTACGAGACTCACGCTCTGACACCGCTGGCACAACGTTCTGCAAGCCCTCGGGCCACGCTTCACCATCCCAGAACAAGTAATCTACCCAACCTCATACATGCGGTCTGTACCAGACACCCGAACAATATCCTGCACCTAATCAAGCAAGCACGAAGCCCATAGAAAATAGTCCCTCCGAGTGCCAAAAATGAAAACAAAAAACAGAGCTTGCAAGGTGTGCAGCAAAGGTGGAACAGTGAAGTGAAGCAGAGTCTCTGCGCCCGTGTGACAAAGTATTGTAGCGTACTTGCAGCGGGGAAGGCGATATGCGGTGGGTGTCTCTAGGAGAGTCTGGGAAGGAGGCATGCAGGTAAGCGGGTGGGGGAGGAGAACGCCAGATTTGGCGGTCGGCGGGGACTAGCAAGGGCACGAGAGGGGGTGTGCGTGCACGAGAAGATTGATATGCTGGAGATGAGTGTGAGTTTACTGTCGGTGTGGTACGACACGAGGCGTGTAGTACCCAGGTAAAGGTGTCGACTCGGTGTTGGATTGGTGTTCGAAGATGGTTCGAGGTGGGTTTGTTTGCTCATCGTGGGTGAATCTTCGGTGGTGTAACGGTTTCGTGTCGTCGTCCAGTGTGGTCCGGGGAGGGTTGGTGGAGGGCGTGGTCAGAGGATGGCAGCATGGGTCTACGGCATGTAGTATGTTTTGGTGAGGCGAGGGCTGGTGGCCTAGCGCTGCTGTCCTAACTGTATGGTTGGATCTCCAGTAAATCCTCCAATTGACATTAAGAAGCGCATGCTGCGCGAAACCTTTGTCGGAGTTTGAAGTAGAAGCAACTTTGACTACTTGCCCACTTTCCAAGTGGGGCTCAATCCCGTACTGAGCTTCAGTGGGTTGCCAAAATGCAAACTTCTCACACCCGAAGTGTGTGGCCTGGAGGAGTTGAGGTCTTGTTTAGTACGGCCTTGAGCGTACAAGTATTCGTGTATTAATTGCATAGTCTCGTCATCCACTCTACATACCACGCTGGCAAGCTTTCATGCTATAAGTTCCGGAAGCCTACGCAGCACATCTTTAGATCAAGTTTATACTGCTCTTCGTTATTTTTTGGTGCTGCAGCTGATGGAATCAGTCTACAGCAAGAGGGAACCTGCTACGCAAGATGGTCTTCGAGACCTACGACAAGCCAAGGTGAACATAGGCCCGCATCATTCGCGAGGTGCATTGGGGGTACGATACTGAGGCCAGAACGCTCGCCACCTGCGACAATGCCCGGTGGCATCGGCATGAGCGCCGACGAAGCCGTGACAGATCTCGGCGCCAATGCGATGGACAGCAAGCGCAGGTTTATTGCCAAGGTGAGAGGTCGGAGGAATACAGAAGAAAATCACCCATTTTGGTGGAAAAGAAGGCGTAGATGTTGGGTATAGGAAAGTCGTCAATGTTGTGGATTCGATCTGATGGCAGACGGATCGCACTAACTCATTTTTGGAATAGTACCGCACCAAAGCGCCGATCCCACAAGTGTTCCTACCGACGAGATGTAATCATTTTCTCATTTCACTGTCGCATGCTTCATCCAACTTCGTCGATGCCAATGTCGTGCACCATGTACACTGCCCGATGCAAGTGTACTGTAGTGTCCGGCAACTCCTAGCGACGGGCATCCCGCGCCGATGTTCCTAGGAGATCGCATCCACATTGATCTCCCCAGACAACGTCCCGCCCCAAATCTAAGCGCGCACTAATCTAATGCACAGGCCCGCGTGTGGGCTACTACATAACTGTGCCTATACTGTGCAGAGTGGTGTTTATTACCTGTTAAGGAAGGTGGTCAATCCAATACCATCTTTGCAACTAGCCTCATAGCACCTGGGCATGCAAGACCATTCACAAGGAGGCGTAATTATCGATTGCATCAACACAGCACTGCCGAATGGCATCTGCCACTAGTCCAGGACCGCCCGCAGACTTGGCTTTTCCCACACTTCCATAACCCGGTTACAGCCTGCTCGCCAAGCTACTGGAAATTAGCCGCAATATAAACGCACTTATACCGAGCCCTGTAGATTGGCTCAACTTCTCACCTGATGTTTCCAAACCTTCGAGAAGCCTTCTTCCCGCACCTTTTGAGGCTAGTCGAGACCCACGCGATGTTTGCGGGACGCAGGGCTCTATCTCCGAGGTTAAGAAGATAAATTGCTGGTCTCGCATGATTGGACAATGGCAGTTCCACTTCGCGGGAAAACTTCGCGAACTTGCGATCTCAAATCTCTAGAACTGGGGTAGGGACCGGGTTCTCAGGCCTCGCGGGATTGGCGTAGAGGCAAGTAAAGTACCTGTCAATAACTACCATTGTACCGGTCCGAGGAGCATACCACACGCAGGTCTATAAGTTCATTCGACCTTCCTTTGTCACAGCTACCATCACGCAATTCCTTCGTCTTCGCTCGTCACTAATTGTTACCATATAATGGCACCATACGCCCTTGCCGCTGCGGCCCTTCTTGGTCTTGCTGCCGCTCAGTCTTTGGGAACTGCGAAGGAGGTACACCCCAAGCTCACCACATGGAAGTGCACAAAGGCGGGTGGTTGCAAGGCCCAGCAATCGGCCATCGTGCTTGATTCGGCCTCCCACTGGATCCACCAGAAGAACGACACCACGAAGGGATGCGGAAACTGGGGAAGCGGACCCGACCCCACTGCGTGCCCGGACGAGGCGACATGCGCGCAGAACTGCGTCATGGAGGGAAACTCCGATTACGCTGCCAGCGGCTTGACCACCAAGGGCGGCGCACTCACCATGAACATGTACAACAAAGACGGTGGTGTTTCCAGCCCCAGGGTATACCTTTTGGCGCCCAATGAGAAGGATTACGAGATGATCAAGTTGACCGGTCAAGAGTTCACCTTCGATGTCGACGTCTCCAAGCTGCCATGCGGCATGAACGGTGCTCTGTACATGTCCGAGATGGAGGCATCGGGTGGTCGATCCGCCTTGAACCCGGGAGGTGCTACTTACGGAACTGGATATTGCGATGCGCAATGTTACGTCACTCCCTGGTACAACGGCGTCGTAAGTTTGACTTCTTCCAAAATTAAGTGCGGACCACCCTAATAAGACATAGGGCAACATCGCTGCCAAGGGCGTCTGCTGCAACGAGCTCGACATTTGGGAGGCTAACAAGGTCGCAACCCAAGTCGCACCCCACCCCTGCAGCAAAGACTCCATCTTCGGCTGCACCGGCGCCGAGTGCACCAAAGCCGGCCTTTGCGACAAGAATGGCTGCGGAAAGAACCCCTACACCACCGACAAGTCCTACTACAAGCCCGGTGGCAAGGTCGACACCTCCAAGCCCTTCACCGTTGTCACGCAATTCCCCGCCTCCAACGGCACACTCCAGTCGGTCGTCCGCAAGTACGTCCAGAACGGCAAGGTCATCGAGGACGTCGCCTCCACTGTCCCCATGGACGATGCCTACTGCAGCAAGAACGGCGCGAGCGACTTCATGCGCCTCGGTGCTATGAAGCAAATGGGCGGTGCCATGAGCAGGGGTATGGTGCTTGCGATGAGCATCTGGTGGGACGAGGGCGGCTTCATGAACTGGCTTGACAGCGGAAACTCGGGACCCTGCAATGCGACCGAGGGCGACCCCAAGATCATCCAGCAGATTGAGAAGGCTCCCAGTGTAGTCTTCAGCCAGGTACGATACTCCCCGGTACAGATTCGATGTGTCTTGGACATGTCGCTTTGTCCTTTAGCCCCCTTTGGTAACTCAGCTAACATAAATTAGATCAAATGGGGCGACATTGGCACAACTTTCTCCGCGAAGAAGCCTCACCCTCACGGATGGGCCCGGGAAGAATAAGCGCGCAGATGGGCCGTGCTCATGGTGTATATAGACGATTTCTAGACGAACAATGTGAATAAATTCTTTCTACGTAGCTACACCGGATATCATGGCTTTTGGACGGAGCAGTCGCTTCCTTTTGCAGAATCATCGAGAGAAGGGCTGGTTATGCTGTCGAAATCATGTTGTATCGCATATGATTTATAATTGTTACGTCAGTGATCCACCAGCTCACTTGAAACGCTGAGCAAGGGTGATATGATTTGAGCCATATTGTCGGAGACCTAGAACGGCCCCGATTACCCCAGAATCTACTAGCAATATAAGTAGCGAGTGGTCTGGTTTGCCATGTGCATACAGCTTTCCTATCACTACGAGAGCAAAAAGCTCGTTTGAATACCCCAAAATCGCACAGCTCAGTCTTTCCATCAAATGTACCAGTAGACAGGGTGATTGCAACTTTGGGAAGGGGTGCAGGTGCCCAGATAAGCTCCGTGTCACGTGATTTAGAGTGAAACTCGACATCTCCTTTTCTAGGGTACACTAGTGGCGGTGAGATTCTCGGGTGTATTCCTGGGCATTACCCTTCTCCGATGAGTTCCGTGCCACTCGGTCACATCCTTCAAAACACATCGTAAAGGAAGCGTAGCATACTCGCGTTTGGGCCGGAAAGGCTTGGCATGGGAATTGCGGGGACACGCCCACCGCTGGTCGCGTGTAACCCCATTCTGGTTCCGAGAGCTCGCGCACGTCCATCAATATTGCAAGGAATGGGAATGCGCCCTAGAACAATCGCTGAACAGCCGTAACGACTATCTTTCCATTCACAAAATGCCCGATCGCACTGCCGGCCGTGAAGGAGCTGGATCCCTCAGCTTCCGCTTTCTGGACTTGCCACCCGAACTGCGGGATAAAATATACCAAGAGCTCCTCTGCGACTTCAAGGCAGCACCGTCTCTCGGCGTCAACGATGTGGTCGAGCACAAGCCGTGTGGCTACTATGTCCGCACCATTCATACAGCTATTCTTCGTGCCAACCAACAAATACACCTTGAGGCCTACGACATAATGGTCAAAACCAACCGCTTCGTCCACATCAAGTTTTTCGGCGGACTGCCCCTCGATCACATGCTCGAGACATCTACTCGGCGTGTCATCTGCCATCATCTGCCCGCGGTGGAAGCTTTCAAGGGCTACACGATGAGTGTGTCGGTTGTGCCTGAAGGCCTAGCCTGGTGGAGTCCGGAAGACCATCATCTTGTCACGAGGGCTAACTCGATGGCTGTGCACTGCATGATTCTGGGCGAAGACTGTGCAGGCTTGATCAGAACCTTGGGCAATGTGCACATGCCGAACTTGAATAAGACGCTTAACATCAGTATCGCGGTGGCACCATATCTTCAACAAAACTCCCCCGAGCAAAGAGAATTGCTGGAGCCATTCTTCAAAGAGCCAGGAACACAAGAGAAACTCTTAGCTCCGTTCCGAGCAAAGCTGCGCGGTGTTGAGGACATCAAGATCATAGGTGTGGACCCAAGCCTCGCTAGCGCCATCAAAGAAGAAATCGCGAAGGATGAATGGACTGACTCTCAGACCGTCCTATTCGAAATTCAAACTGCCAAGCAACGCGGAAATGACTTGTTCAAGGCCAAAGAACTACGTGCAGCATCGCAAACATGGGAAGAGGCCGTGAACGACATCGAACGCATGCACCAGAGCAGCTCTTGGAAGAATCTTTGTGTCAAAGGTGATACCGCATTCGTTGACGCTATGGTAGAGCTCTACTTTCTCATGTGCTTGAATATAACGCACGTCCAGCTCACCGGAATCGACAAGCCAATCCCTGGTTATCCTCGTACGCACGACGCACATGTATATCTCTCGCTCGCAGAGCAGCAGATTGACAGGGTCATGAACGCACGCCAGCCCAACTGGTGGAGGAAGGACTATGTCTGGGAGCCCTCAGATGCTCAGCTGGCCAAACTCTTCTTCAGACAGGCAATGTGCCGAAAGGCTGACGCGCTGCTGAATGGTGAGCCGATCTGCATGGTAGATGCGATAAGGACCTTGGAGCTAGCGCGGCAGATTGTTCCAGACGATGCCGCTATCAAGAGGGAGGCCGAAAGCATGGAACATGAATATGAGAGGATGCTTTTTGAGGCCGAGCGGGACGTAACGCCGGCACAGCTCTTTGGGGAGTTTGGCGGTGATTATGAGGACGAGGAAGACGGTTTTGAAGATGAAGATGATTTCGACGATATGCCCGAGTTGTTGAGACATGATGAGTCGGATGAGGATTTTTCAGATATGCCGGACACGGTTTGAGCCATGGAAGGCAAGGCAAATCAATGGTTCTGCGCGACGGGCCAACAAGCTTGGTAAGGGTACTGGTTGGCCTTGAATCGATAGTAACCAACTTCAGGTACCTGCAGCAAGGCCTCAGGGCAAGATACCCATCGACCAGATTCACGCCTCACAACACCATGTTACATGTGCGCTACAAGTGTGGGATACGCCATGGCGAATCTAACTGGAATCTAGTCCCACATGAGAACGAGATATATTGCAACAGAGGTTTAATAAATGCGAGAGAGCTTTTATGGAACCAAATCTGTGTAGAGTACGAATTAGCGTCTGGCCCAGACACAGTAAGCTGCCTAGATACCCTCTCTCGACAACCTGAACACCGGCGATAAAGTATCAGCTAAGAAACATAGAAATGCACAATCGCTTAGTTACCCTAGGCATATTATGCTTTTTCAACATTACATGTATTGCTTAGATCCGGTCTTTTTGTTGTCATGAGAGGCTACCACAAGTTGTAGTTGCACTGTTGCCTAGGTTGCACGTTGCTGCCTATTGGTTCAAATATCCCCCAACATGTACCATATTATCATCTCCTCGCAGATATATAACTGCAAACACGTCGGCGAATTCTACTCACCAACAATTCTCATCTTCTCTACTGATACCCAAATACCTGCAACGCCACCGCGTTCCCTACCACAAAATGCCCATCACCGTCGCAATAGCGAAGCATGATGCTAATGCAATCAACACGTCGAATTGGGACTGGCGAAGAATGAACAATCATGAAGAACTCCTGCCCCACTCTGAGAAGAACAAAAGCAAGGGCGTCCTCCAGTCCTCGGTGTTGCCGAACGAGTACTTCCCAAAGCACATCGCATCTTCCACGAACGGACTTGTGTGGGCAGCGTACTACGCTTACAGCGACCACCACAACCTCACACTACGACCAGAGGATATTTGGTTCGCCATCATCTCCCAGCTGAGCTTTTACATCAATGCGCATGCAGAGGAGCTACGGTACCTGTTCGTCACCCATGAGGAGCGTAAAGAACTTATTGTGCACACTGAAGGGTCGATCAACACAATTGACTTTGCGAGGATCGCAAAAGAAGTTGCCAATATGATCCAGGAAAACGTCGAGAGGGCTGACCTGCAAGAATGGATCATGCCGTCCTTCAGTACCACCACCGAATCCGACCGCGCTGTTGCGTCGGTGCTATTCATGGGCGCAATGCAAAAGTACTTCTCGTACGGTGCCTGTCTCAGTTGCGGCATCCCATCAGTCACTCTTCTCGGCAAGCGAGAGGACTGGGAAAACATCCTGCAGAGACTCGATACACTTCCAGAGTTTGGTGCAGAACCTGCTGCCTTTGCAGATGGCCTGCGGCCTGTCCTTCAGGGCTTCATTGCCACATTCGATGGCGAGCGCACGCCAGAGACTCTCGACTTCTGGGGTCGAATTGCGCACAGGACTTTCGGTGGTAGTGGCCCAACTTATCTCTCAGGATGGATCACTGCGTTCTGCTTCTGGGACGCGGATGGGAAGCCCATTAGCAAAAGAGGTTGGTCCGAAGACTTGGGCGCTCCGGCTTGCGAGGTCGATTTCAAGGACGTTCCCAATGGGTATGCTATTGTGCCACTCACCATCAACGATAACGGGAAGGAGTACCTCACGCAAATGGTTGCAGGATCTTTTGGCATGGAAGCGTTCAGTCAGCAGAAAGTGAAAGACACTCCGGACGGCCACGCTACCACAGAGGACAATAGTACGACAGACTCCAAGACAAGCAATGATGGTATCCGCGATGAAGACCCAGACTCAGCGCTTGACTCCATCAAGCCTTTGACGGGATGGATGATGTATCACACGAACACCTTTGAAGATGGTCATATCAAAAACCTCCAGCCTGTTGCAGATGGATCGGCGAACCGGATTGACCGAACTTTGTGATGGAGGTTTCGTGGCAACTAACACTTGGTCTGGATTTTGTCTGCAATGGTCAAACTCAAAGAAAAGAATGGTGCGGGGGCGTTACAATGCGATGCTTGGAGGCTTCCATAGTCGTTTCATCATCTAATTATCGTCAATTCTATTCCTAACTTTATTCCTCTTTTTCTACTGAAGCGAAGCTGCACAGATGTATGGTGATTTCACAATGATAGCAAGAATAGCAACATCTCCCCAACGAAAATCTGTCCGTTTAGGCGCTACTGCTATGCGACGTCTCACAGATCTGTCGATACATATGGCCCAATTAGTGTATAGGTATTTCACAGTCTTCCATCTCATCCGGGACAACCCATGAGCCCATCATCTCGTGCCCAGGCTCTATTTTTTCGAGCTCCGCCGTAACTTGCTCATAGCTTCTGACCGATGGTTTTCTTCGCCATGTAATTCCGCCTTTTGAAGTATATTCTGAGTTTCGATAGGTGGGGTACTCTTCAACCGTTTGCGCCATACACACACTGCAGATCCCAACAATAACAGCAACAGCCCAAATGCGCAGCCAACTCTGATTCCTGCATATGTTCCTGTCAATAAGCCATGTCTATTTGACGGAAGAACATCAGTGTTTCCAGAGATAGGGGAAGAGTAGGCGTATGATTGGGTTGATACCAGTCGGGTCCCGGCGCCGTGATTGCCGAAATGCGCGAATTGTCCCCAAAAGCAGCCTCGAAAATGCTTAAATTTGCCCTTTCACAATCTACCATAATGTACGCTTCTTATAGGAAAGATCTCCCTAAAAGATGTACGTCTTCGTTCATCGTTCTTTTCAAAGAAAAATATCTATAATAGTGTTCACTTCGTCGATGAGTACCACACAGCAACAGCCGCATGCAGTCAGTATTAATAGTTACCTCCGCGGCCGAACCTAAGTACAACAACTGCCAAAGATGCTGAAAATTGACATGACAATATGACCAATGAGAAAGATCTCATATGAGAGGCGACGCATGAAGAGCACGCTAACGATAGCAGACACAAAGGCAGTGTCTACGATATTCCACTGCCAATATGGCAGCTTCAAATCGACGTGGTATGTTCTGGTTTGTGCACGCGCAGCGAGGAGAAAGACGGAATGGAGGAAGGTATGAAGAGCGAGAAAAATGTGCAATCTGCCGATGTAAGAAAATATAGATTGAGTGAGGCCAGTTCGTAGGCCACCACAGAATTTTATTACGTCAAGCAAAGAAAATCAATAACGGAAGAAGCGCGAATGCAAATCCGCCAGTCAGATAGCCAGTATGCGCGAGGATTTCACCACCATGATCGTATCCCCATGGCTGAATGCGCGGCCACTGTAACTTGTAGCCAACACAGGAGAGTACCAGTTGAGTGCGACGTATTCAATGATGTAGAGATTCTGTCCCATAGTCGGCGAATTCCCCAGATGCCACGGTAGCAATCGATCATGGTACCTGCCGATCATCGAAGGCCACTCCAAATACGGTTTCAGCTGTTCGACAAGTGGAGACAGCAATGGAAGCTTGAAGAGAGCTGTTAGAGCGATAGGCGTAGCAAAGCCAACGATATGTATAACAGCACTAAACGATAATTAGATAGTGTTATCTTCATAATATCTGCAATGTACGAGTAGCTATAAGAATTAAGATGTCGATGTGGTCCATCACAAGAAGGTAGCTCTTCCAAATGACCCAGGTATTCTCTGGCACAACCATGGTAATGTCAGCGTGCGTCCCATCATCCAAGCCATAATCAGCTTCTCAGTCATATAGCTGAGAGCCTCTTGGTAGCTCGGTTTTTCAGGCAGTTCCGGTACTCCAGTGGTACTGTCGCTACAGCTGCCAGAGTGGCACCTGGCCTTCCCATCTGGTGTCGAAACAGAAAGATAAAGAGGTCAGGAAGGCATCGTCACCGGCGCGACAATCAGGGCTCATCATTATGATCATGTGATTGCTCATGTGCACCATATGTGAACATGTGAGGTCGGCAACTCCTCAGACAGTTCGACACGCTCGGGCGCAATAGGGCTGCTGGTCTGCAGAATACCTCAATCCTCGTCCTGTTGATCCCAAAGGCACGGTGTTATTTACGACCATCAAAACGGGCATTCTCACCAGAAAAGGTGAATTATTGAAGAATTACTGAAGTATAAGGTGCTTTCGCACGGCGGTCCTGATAGAAGAATGCCTCGGGCCGCAAGACACTTATGTAAACTTCAACTATTGAAATCGCTGACAAAGATGTATCAAGTAAAATCTATACGTATCCAGGTTGTTTTACAGCAGCCAGATCCGATTATTGGTGATGCCATGCCCGGCTTGCTGACAAGGGATCGCATTCTGCTGCAGAAAGCGCGGTGACCTGGCGTAGCGAACCGAACTGGATTTGTACATCCTTCGCGCACAATTATCGTTATCTTCGTATACGCCCGTCCTGAACCAGTGGATATTCGAAGCACTTCCGGTGCCCTGACTGAAATGTGAGTTGTGTTCTGTTTATTGGTCGGCCACTCTCTTGCGTCCCAGAAGTTGTGCCGCCCGGACAAGGCTGGTCGGCGTCAAGCACGAAAGTAAGCAGTGTCAAGTCTTGTGCACGGACGCACCTCAAGGCCGCATCACTGGGAACAGGACGGCGTTCATCCGGACGCGCCCACCCACAAGAGGCCCCGTTTGGATTCGGTCAATCCCGCCACGTCTATAATAACTTGCATCTCCTCAGCCATGATCCCCACCGCCGCAAAAATTTACACGGTATCTCGCACGCACGCCTGGTTCAAACCTTTCTGATGAAGAGTTATACCTTTGAGTAGCTAAACTTCGGTGTATATATTTTATGTTCGCTCATTTGGTGTTCTCATTTTACAACCCTACACTCAGCCTAGTGCTGGACGACCACTCGGATCTAGCATCGCCTATTTGCACTCGTAAGCGGTCACCTTGACGTACATCGGAACATTAGACGCTTCCCACCCATCCGACCACCTTTCTTCGTTCGGACTCCACAATCATGCAGCGCGTCGCATGCTCACAATCATCAAGCCCCGTCAACCGAACCAGTGTCCGCCCCTCCATCAGACTATGTATTCGGCACTTTGACGGTGATTATTGGTCTTGCAGCACTCTATTTGGCCTATCGCCAATTGCACAAGAAGAGGCGTATTCAAATGTATGAGATGGCAGGGGACTTTGAAATGACGCGCATCCTGTAGAATAAGGATTAAGAAGTTAGATCAGACAATGAACGAGTCGATTACTTCAATCTAATTCTTCAAATGATCACACGTCTGTCCGACTACTTTGTCCGACATCAGCCTTGCAGCATCAAATATTTTGCTTACGCACGTTATGGATCGTGTCTTTACGCTAGGTAAGACTGTAGGGCGTTAGGAAAATCGTTTTGCAAGGTTTACCGGCTGTAGGGTTGATTTGCTCGCACTTGTGAGGGTTGGGCCCTCGAATACTTTGACATGCCACACACACACAAGCCTACCTAAGCTGATTAGAATTTTCAAAGAACCTATTCAGGACCGCCAGTTCCACCTCTAATTTGGCGTCGTTACCGTATGCCCAACCGCTTTGCAAATATGTATCAATCCTCTTGCCTCCTTCCCTTCGCTATGTATAATTATGTACCGTCATGTATCCTTCCTACTGTATAGCCGGGCATGTAGAATCGAAAGCAAGTTTGGAGGTCTTGAATCTTTGATAGCTATGTTTCCGAGATCTCTTTGGCGCTTCATTGTATGCAAGCCATTATAAATCGCACTTTGTGTCATCCATCTTCATACGTATATCAGTACACGTGACTGTTATTCGATGCGGAAGCCCCTGTTACTGACAACCCTGTTTTCGGCCTAGCTGACCATTTCGTATAACTATGTATCGAAAGCTTTCCGGTCACGGTCACGAGACTTCGGTAGCAGCAAGGATCCGGGCGAGGAAACGAAATGATTGGGCGATTGAGACGCATGAACATGCACAGGGGCGGCTGAGGCCACCAGGCGAGACCGGCTCTTTACTGGTCGCATTCCTTAGTTTGGTCGCTGAATTGACATCCGTGATCGGGCAGCCTGCCTTCTCCCGCAGTATCTCAAATTCACATCATATTTTCTTTCAACTCAGACAACTCATATCACGCTCACATACATACGTTTCACATACATACGTTTCATATACGTCTATATAATCAGTCATGGCTCCTCTTCCAGCCCCAGCTCAAGGTAATGTGTCATTCTTTATCTACCATCTCTTCGCTGAGATGTGTTTCACAAATGCACACTCGGTTCTTGTCGACAAAATTCCCCGTCAAATATTCCACAATGCTGCTCTTCTGAGGAGATTTACTTCCTTCGACCGCCTACAGGGTTATTTACAAATTCATTCTCCATATTGTCATCGCTCGCATAAATTACCTCGTTACCACCATTCGCAACTGACATCGAAACCTTAGCTGCCCCGAGTGGACCCGCCTCCGCTCCACCATCAGACTACGTCTTCGGTACCCTGGCTTTCCTTGTTGGGGCTGCAGGACTCTATCTCGCGTACCGCCAACTACACAAGCCTAGACAACAAGTATACGAGTTATCCGGAGACTATGAGATGACACGTAGGTGATGATTAGACTGGGTCAAAGGTTTTCTTCAAATGGCAGGCTGTTGGTGGCAGCCATATATCGTGCGTGATTGGATTGGAGGTTTGGGGCATGGAAATATTTTGGGCGCACGCCAGTTCGGTGGTTTGGAGCGAGCGAATGTGTGGTAACATGGTCCATAGTAAAGCAAAGTGGATACTCAATCTCAGCATGCACTTCCGAGACATGTCAGATCGTGAGAAGGTCTGCCTTAGCGTGACCGAGAGAACCACTGTAAGACGTATCGATAACATTAGCACCCACTATAACGTACATGTCCTCTTCGCATATACCCCGACACCAATCCACCAACTCCGCGCTGAACTGTACATGGAAAACGAGCTAAAACTCGCGTACACAAGCCCTTCTCATATCACCAATTAATATCCGCCAACGCTGTTCGCAACACGTCCGTTCTGGTCTTCTGCACTTCTGGGTCGCTGACCATATCTAGGATGGCCAGGCAATGCTTGGAGTCGTCTCGGGCCGCACTGAGCAGGGGGTCACTGGCGGGGCTTATGCCCGTGTCTTCGACTGAAAGGGCCTTCTCTTGCGCACTGAGCATGCGTGCCATGAGTAGCTATGTTCGTCAGCTAAGTGCAAATCTAGGAAGGTAAGGGATTTCTACAGCTTCTTCAAACGCACGATGTTGGAACACCCACCACACACCCGCATCGATGCGAAGGTACTCCCAAAAGTGGAAAAACGCGAGCAGTGCCTTTCGTGCAGATTCCAGCGCGCCGCGGATGTCACACGATACGCCACCAGCTTCGTACTCGTCGGCTTGAATTACCATGACGCAATGCCAGTAATTACTTCTGAGGAACAAATTTTGCCGCAAGAGACGTAAGTTGCTCGCTAAGTCTTGAATCGCGCTATCTTCAGAGGTCGTTAGAAGAGGAGGGAACGAGTTCAGAAGTTGATGGTATTCGTTGACGAGGTCTATCTTCTCTTGAGGAGACCTAATGATGGGACTTCCGAGGGAGCGAGGATTGCACACGGTGCGTTGGACGAGGTTCGCCATGTGCCACATGGAGCGGATGTACTGTCGGTCCTGCAGCTCGTAGGTGGGGAAGATATCGGTTACTTGGGCGATGTTACTGATACTCATGGGGTTCACGGATGTGCCATTCGTAGCTGATCCGTTGATAGTCGGCAAGTAGTCACCTAGCTCATCCGTGAGCGACTCAACACGCACATCGGAGAAAGTGGCCGTGGGAGGAAGCTTGAGCAAGACCGTTAGAAATGTATCTTGGAAGAATACAGCTTGCCACAGTTTTCTCCGCTGCTGCTTATCGCTCAGTGAGCATCTCGGGGCGATAATATCCGGGTCGCGGTGGAGGCCCATGGCATAGGACTGTCGTATGAGGACACCGCCAAAGGCCCACGCATCTGAAGCATGGTTGTCGTTCATCAGGAAATAGCATATCAGAACCATTGCTTGGAGCGTTCGGACAGAGGTCCGACTCAGATACGAAGACAGCCGCAGTGCTTGTTGGGAGGCAGACACATAAAACTCGGCGATCTCGGAGCGCTTGTGATCCGTGGGTGGGCCTATGAATTGGGTCGCCATGGCATATACGACGAAGTGGAGAGCGAGAAGCACAGGGTCAGCAGTCTGCTTCTCAGCGTGAGGCAGCGACCAGAAGCGGTCATAGTCGGCATAGAAGTTCCGACGGTGGACCATCGGATAGACAGGGTCGACGGCATCGAAGTACTTTGCGACCAGGATGTCGGCCTGGTCTTTGGCTGGCAAGACACCAATCACTTCAGCTAGTCCTCCCCGGCTGGTCCAGTAGTTGGCGAAGGGATGGTCAGAGCCGAGCCCAAAGAAGGGAGAGGCCGTGTGGTTAGAGAAGGGGATGTTGGAGAGCAGGAAGGGCGAGGAGCCCGTGGACGATAGCGAGACACTGCGGTACTGGGATCTTGGCGCGGGCGTGGGAGGAACAGTGTGGGACCCAGGGGTATGGGTGTGGGCAGGAAACTGTGGGCCGGGTTAGGCAAGTCACCAAAGAGATACCGGGGCGGGTGGAGGCGAGGCGCGGCGGAGCGGCGCTCATGGTGGGATGTGGTGAGATGGCAAGGGCGGGAATAAGAGAGGATTACCTGGATGGGCAGCGCTTGCGTATCGATGCCAAGGGCCGGGACTGGTTTATTGCTCATTGCCCTCTTCGCGCGCCCAGCATGGCGCGCAGAGCCGCTATGGGTCAATTAGCATCGCAACGCGCCTGGCGGCCGGGTATCGGCTCACTCTGTAGTCGCGATGAGATTTGCGACTTCGGAATACTTGCAGGGTGACTGGCGCTTCATGCACGCAAGACAAACAGGCCTCCCACGGTCGCACTGGGACGGTCGTTAGCGGGCTGCTCTCATTTCATTCATGATCGCATCAATTGCTTGATATGAGAGCGCGTCGCGTCGCGTCGCGCGCGCGATGCGCATGTGACCTGGCGACTCACCTTGGTCTTGCGCTCGACGCATTCCTCGCAGCTCAGCGTCGGCTTGTTGCGCTTCTGCTTCTTCCTGGGCGGCGCCGGCGACGACGCATCGTCGCGCGGCTCGGGCTTGGGCCGCGCCTCTGGATCCATGGTGCACCGTCGTGCGGCGTCTCGTTTGCTGTCAGGGCTTGTGCATCATGGCATGGCGAAACGAGCGGCGGGTGTTGCACGATCGGGAATAAGAGAGATGGGCGGACGAGATTGTTTCCACCGCGTAGATTTGAGGATCCCGGAGCCGAGGCGGGGAAGCCCAGCCCTACAGCTGGGGCCGCTATCGCAGACCGCTCTAGCCCAGGCGTCACTGCTCCACCATCGCAATAGGCAAAGTAGACGTCACGAAAATTGGCATGAGTTGGGTGTGAGGCGCTGTGAGGCGCAGTGAGGCGCAATGCCTCGATGCTTCCATTGGTGTATCCAACCAGCTCCACCTTTGCGTCGTTCAAGCGTTCGTCTTCACAATTCCCATGTTCCACCGCAGTATGAACCACCAAGGCACCTTTCATCAACCACCAGACCACCGTCTTTGAAGAACTCAACCACTATCCACCGCCTTTACCAAGCAGATTAGGAGAGCAGGCACCATCCACCACCAACAGGCTTCAGGAGGACCCCAGACCCCACCCTCTCAGTGCAATGCAGGTAGGCCAGGCACGAAGCCCTCAATTCCACACGGCCTGCTTTCCGACTGAACGCGGCTTCGTCCGGCTGTCATCGACCGCCGTCACAATGCAGGTGCTAAAGGCACTCTACCGAGGACGCCTGTGTCCCGTCCCCTTACTGAGCACAAGGCTGTTCAAAAAGGACAGTACTGGGGCCAGCTCGGCGGCAACCATCCTTAACCCACGCGGCTACCCTTGCTCCCGCCACAGGAGACGGACCGGAAGAAAGACAACGGCCTGGAGAGGCGAGGCAGCAGGCACTGCATGCTGAGATGAGGTGAGCAGGCCATGCGTCAAAGGCGCAAAGAGAAGAAGTCCAGACCACCCGAGGGCAAAGCTGTGAAGTCGGAGTCGAGTGGAGAGAAGAAGTGAGAGAGGCGGGTGACGGGCTTGTTTTTATACTCGGTGGACAGCGCGCTAAGGTCTGACACGTGCCATGTTACGTGCAGGCGCAAGTTGGTGATCTGGGAGCCGCCTTCACCAGCAAACACGCTTCTGCAACTTTTGCTGCTCGAAGAAGGCGCAGGAGGCGGTGGAAGAGCGTCTGAGCTCAGGTGAAGGCGACTAGGGCAGCGCAAGCGCAGACCGCTGGTGACTCTCGCCTTCACTGGTAGCTTCGGAGCGCTTCAGTGCACAAGAAGCACTGTGCATGAGACCTAGAACCCAATTTAAGGCGTCTTGAATCGAAATTACGGTGGTAGGCTTGAGCGGGCAGCCGTTGACTCTCACCTTCACCTGTGCCTTGGGAAGCGGCAGGCAGAACAATGACGGTCGTGACTGAGCCTCGCGCTCACGCTGAGTTGAGTGCCTGGCTGTAGAACTTGCGTAGAAGCTCTGATAGCAACGGCATCAGAAATTGGGGCACACTGACAGTTGCGCCTTCCGCTCCAAGACTCTCATCTTCACCCGTGCACTAGCAGAGCAGCTGCGAGTCTAACAAAATAAGGTGGGACACAAGAGACCTGGTGCCCGCTTGGGTGAAGGCGAGGCCTCTCACTTGTACTCGCGACTGTGAGAAACTATCGTGAGTTTGACAAGGTGCTTTGGAAGTAAGAGCATCAAGAAGCGAGACGCTTCCGATAGGATGCACGAGACTCTGGAATTATGTAAGACAGGTTGTAACTAGATAGCATGCCAATCAGTTCTAGGTAGGTGCAATGAGCGAGAGGATCTTTCTAGCGTGACTGCTTTCCAGTCTAGTCGCGAAATTGTTCCAGTCGTAGCGCATACATCTTGAGTACCGTCCGCACCAGTATCTAGGCATCTAATGGAGTGGAATATCATTGGACTTGCTCAGGCCTTTGTTCTCTCATCACTGCACGTGAATGGACAGCTTCGACGCCACAGCCGCTACCTCGATAGGTGAGCTGAATGCTCATTGGATCCCAAGTTTCAAAACGAGGTTGCGAGTCGGCCTCACGTGTGCATCGTCCAGTCATTCAGCCTTATCCATACCTAGACGCCGTGTGCGGTGCCAGCCAGCCCAACAAGCGCGACGAGGTGCTGGTCAAAAGTGGGCCTATGATTGTCACACCAATGCACAGCACCCAAGAACATTTCCTTCTCCATTCCCATAAAACGATATCGTTCTTCAGCCCAAAGCACTTCCAGTAATCCCCTGAATCCTGTCATCACTATGGAATCCATGCTGCCCAAGATCAATGCCCAGCGAACCGTTCCAGACGCTCCATTCGTCCTAGCCCTTCTCCAAACCATCTTCGCAATCCGTGCCTTCGCCCTCGCATGCTTCACGTTTGCGATCGCTTGGCTACGCTACCGCTCGCCTCATCGAAGTCACGCATCACGACTTAGTTGGCAAGGAAACCTTTACGAACTAGAAGCGTAGAGAATACACTGGAAGTCTGCTTTTGATCGCTCTATAGACGACCAGGAGAAGCTCATACCAAATCCATCAGAAATGAGAGACTTGTAGCTTAGAAGTCATATATATCATTCTTGTATGAGACCCGCCCATTCGAACACAAGACAGGCCCCCTTTAGATTCGATCAAACATAGAGAGGCGTATACAAATTCGTTATACTCTACAGCCGTAGAGTGTCCATTCATAAGTGTCCCGGTATTCATTCCACCCATTCGCCCAAGTAAACGTATTTCCCAAGCCATTCACAATTTGTGCCTCCCCTTCCAATCCGATCATGCAAGCAGGCCCCCTTATGCAATTTATATTCCGCCACCGTCATTCCTCGTCACATCGTCCCAATACTCTTAAAGCTCCTGTTCGTCTTCGTCGTCGCATATATCTCATCACATGCTATAGTCTGCAAGAGGACTATGGGAGAAGGCACTCAGGTATAGTGCCTCATCGCATCGCGATAGCCGCGACCACCCTTCATATCTTCTTCGAACGTCTCGTGGCTCTCCATGACGCGCTTGACGTAGTCCATGCCAAATACACCCTTTTCGGCGATGGCGATGGACTGGCTCGTCTTGACCGCGTTCTTAATCTGTTTCCCGTCAGCGCAATCCCAAGACAATACACATGAGTGAGAGGATGCACACCTGTCGTCCATTCATAACCTTCCGACTCAACTCGTCGAAATCCGCATCCGCAAACGCCCGCACTTTGCCCTCGCTGTCTTTCTCCCCCATCTCAAGCACTTTCCCTACGTAGTGCATCCAGATCTTCTTGCGCGCCTGCACCGTCAACTGCTCGTACCGGATCCCCATGTGAATCCTGCTCTGGAACGCCTCGTCGAACGTCGCCACGCGGTTGGTCGTCAGGAACAAGATGCCTTGGTAGTACTCCGTCAGACGCAGAAATACACTGACGAGCGCATTGCGGTGGATATCGTGCGGCTGGCGCGCCTCGAGAAACACGTCCGCCTCGTCGAGCAGCAGGATCGCGCCCCACGCGTGGGTAATCTCCATGATGCGGTTGAGGTCGCGCTCGAGCTGGGCGGCATTGGTGCCCAGCTCGCCCGAGGACACCATGTACAGCGGGCAGCGCAGGAACTCGGCGATGGACTCCCCGGTGAGGGTCTTGCCGACGCCGGGCGGGCCATGCAGCACAACGTTGAGGCCCTTGCCCTTGCCGACAATGACGTCGTCGATGGTTTTGGCAGCATTGAAGCGGTGGCTGGAAACGAGGCCTTTGAGGTTCTGCTTTATCTGGGCAGGGAGTACGAGCGACTCGAAGGCTTCAGATTGCCACTTTATGTCGCTGATGCCGGCGAGGGAGAACTCGAGCCAGAGTTTCTCCGAGAAGGAGAAGCCTAGGACGACGGGTGAGGAGATGAGGAGCTCTTCTTCCGAGAAGATGTGTTTGATCTCGTCGTCTTCGTTTGCGACGACGTCGAGCTTCTGCGAGGTGATGTCTTCGTTATCCTCGGTCTTCTCGATCCGGATAAGGCGTCGCTTGCCAGACTTGTCGCGCCATAGGACGGTGCGCATCTTGAGCGGCTTCTCAGTCTCCGATTCGGAGCCGCAGTCTGAGTCGCAGCAGTCAGATTCCTCTTGATCCTCGTCTTCGTCTGGACCGAGCTCATCCTGCGTATATACTATCAGCACACAATCCTATAACGTATGGAATAGATCGAAGGTTTGAACTTACCGCCTTGATGTAAGACAGCAGGTAGTTCGGATGCAGTCTCCTGAAGATTGCAGGATCAATCATCACCCTACCATTGATGTTATGCTTCAGCACCGTATTTTTGTGTTTCAGATACCCCAGGCCACAGTGGAACATGTAGTTCATGCCCTGTAGGGTGACAAACTTCTTGCCCCTCTCGATAAGCTGCTCCCGAAGTGTCTCTGGATCCTTGTGGAATTCCAAAGGATATGTGCCGAGGTTGGAAATCTTCTTGGAACCGCGGAACTGGCGGATAGGAACATAGTGGTCGCCGAATCCGAAAACCTTACCGTCATACTCGAGGTAGCGACCCTCGATCATCCAGTTCTTCTCCAGGGTCATCCAGTTCTCTTGCTCGTAGCAGTAGTCGACTTTAAAGCAACGAGGGTCGTCTTTGTTGCCGTATGTCGTGGTGTAGGCGATAGTGTTAGGTTTGAACAACGCCCAAACAAGGTCATATGTGATGGTACCTGGACATAGGATCAGTATGGTACGCCTTCGTTCGCGAGCCACGAGACATGACAGTCTGAATTGTGCAACCTACCAGCTTTGAGCATCGGCTTCAACGCCTTCCTCGTCTCTTCATAATCCTCGTCAACGTAATTTAATAGAAGCTGACCCTGCCTGATCTGCTGATCAATCGTCTTCCTGGTCTTGCGCTTCTTCGCCTTACTCAGCTGCTTTTTGAGCGTCTTCTTTACATACGTCTTGATCTCGGGGTAGTAGTGGAACAGCAGGTGCGGATGAATGCTCGGCTTGTCTTCCACTAGACTAATGCTCTTGCAGTCTTTGAAGATGACCTGCAGCACACTACGAAGCACCTTTGACTTGACGTCAATCATGGTTTCAAGGTACTTGTTATCCCAGCCGAACCTTCGGCGGACCGTGAAGACGCAGTCGAATTCGTCTTTGACATCTTCGACGCTCTCTGTGTACTTGTAGTCGCGGATTTTCGAATCCCAGACTTGGTCTACGCGCTTGAACTCGAGAACATTTTTCTTTTGCGTCTGAGAGTTTGCTGCGGTAGCTGTAGCCGGCGCATCGCTGAGCGCCAGCGCCTTGCTTAATGTCGCGAGGTCAAGCTGACTTTTGCTTTGCGCAGCTTGTGCTTGCATAGCCGCCGCGATCGCAGCCTTCTGAGCTGCCAGCTTTGTAGCGGCATCATCTACTGATGTGGTGCTGGTCGCCTCATTCACAGCGGTATTATCTGCCTCGTTGTCTGTAGACGATGCCGAGGAGTCGCTGACCACAACCTTCGACTTTATGCTTCTCTGCTTCACGACTTTGGCCTTGGCCTTGGCCTTGGCCTTGGCTTTGGCTTTGGCTTTGGCTTTTCGGCGCTTTTTCTTCTCGACTTCGGAGTCGCTTTCAGAAGAGGATGAAGAAGAAGATGAGCTGTCTTCGCTAGAGCTTTCGTATTTCTTGCCTATGCAAAACTAGGTTAGCACTGTGCTTGCAAACACGGAGAGCTTGAAAGTTGCAGCTAGATTGGGAACTCACTCTTCTTCTTGGTTTTAGTCTTGACTCTTCTCTTGCGCTTAGCCTTTTCGTCTTCAGTCTCAGAGTCGCTCTCGCTGCTACTCTCGCTCTCCGACGATGCGGAAGAGTCGCTTTCTATATATCTTTTGCTCTTCTTCTTCTTCGCCTTCTCCTTTGCCTTCAACTGAGCCCTCTTCTTCTCCGCCGCTTTTTTTGCTGCAGCTCTAGCCTTCTTCTTTCCTTTCACGCGCTCATCTTCGCTGCTCTCGTCGTCGCTCTCACTTTCCGTGCTGAGCTCCGACCCTGACGAGCTCTCGTCTTTCTGCTCCTTCCTCTTTTGCACCCTCCTGCTATTTTTGTCCGACTTGGTCTCACTCTTCTTGGCCACTTTGGACTTGGACTTTGGTTTTGTATCCGCCAGGCTGACCTTGGCATCCTTGTCGCCGGCTGGTTCGGGTGGTGGGGTCGGCGTTTGTGCATCCTGTACTCCGGTTTTGGCGGCCTCCCCCGCAGCCCTGCTGGTGTCAGCCTCCATGAGTGCGGAGTCGTCGGGTTCGGGTTCCTCGGTAGACGTAGGTGTGGGTATCAACACTGGTGATGAAGAGCCCGTAGAAGAAAGCTTATCCGTGATAGAAGCCTTCGTTTCGGTACAGCTGGATTTGTTTGACTTGTTCATATGGCAGTGTTGTATAGTCGTTGGTGTTGCAATGTTGGGCTGTTGCCTTGAACGAATTGCCAACTTCGACAAACTCGTGAAATTGATCTGGGTGGTGGATTATATAGACAACAAAGTAAATGCTGCACGCGCGGCCGGTAAGATGACACTGCTGGCTGAGCAATGAGGTCCTGAGCTAGTAACGTCGGCAGGTAAGAGAACGAGGGAGCCAATCCAAGTAAACGGCGTTGCTCAGCTTGGTAACCCTAAGATATAGAGGCCGGCCGGATGTGAGGTGGCAAGCGGCTCAAGGAAAGGCAATGGTCACCAGAATACGTCTGCCTGATGCACTCTTGATTGCGACAACGAGGCTGAAGTCTGGGTGTGCAGCGACCGGTCAAGTGGTCGCCAATAACTTAGCATAGCCTCTCCACCCTTTCCACGAGGAGAACACGCCACTCGCTGAAGCCGATAACGGTACAGATTGGAGTCACTTGCTCATATTTTGGTCCTGTCTGCCTGGCCCCAGGCCTCAACATGCATCGTGCTGTGGAGGGCATGGTCCATTTATAGGGACGGATGAAGGCGCCGCGGCCCTGCATGCAAGTTATGCGAGGATGCCATGGATCAGCGACTTGAAAAGTTAAATGAAACCGAGGCGCAGAGTTGTCACCTCGTGCACGAATGAGGAGGTTGAAGGGGTTTCTATAGTGTGTTTTTATTCGCTGGAAATGCGACCATCAACGGTCGAGGTCGGAGACCTGATCACGGGAACAAGCTTCTAACCGCAACAGGGTCGATATCGTTAGATTCACCAGGTTCGTGGGAGCACAAACGACTGTGCACACAGGTGTGTTCAAGTGATTCGATACTCGTGCACATAGGCTAGCTGTTCTCAGCCCTGCATCGCTCACCGCCTTGACCAAAGGGAAGTTCGCCTCACTTTCGGACGCTGACAAGGCGCAGAGTGCAGGAGCAGTATTGGAACCACGATCTTGCAGCAATATTGAGATAGGCGCGAAAGAAATGAAATGCGGATAACCCCGGATAGATATGTGGTATAATTCAAGGAAATGTCCCGTCGTACAAAGCAACAGCTTTTCTGGTCCGTCAGCCCGTTCGTCCCAACGCCTTTGCCTCGTCCATGCGTCCACGCCACGCCACGCAAGTAGTGTGAGAAAACATGCTGGAGAAGCTCTCATACGCCGCACCATATTCCCCGACCATGTCGCAATGCCGCGTATGAACCCAAAAGCCGGCCAAAACTGGAAGTCTAAACGCTCACATCGATATCGTACGGAATGCACTAGGTCATGAGCTCGTAGCTTTCTTCATGCCTAAATGGAACAAATTGTGCTCTTTCGCGTCCTTCATTTCTGCTTCGGGTCGACCATCCGGGAGGTCGTCCGTGGAGACGTGCTGCACGCCGGTGACAATACCTTCTGCTCCACTCGCGTGTGACTCGGGAGACTGCAGCCGCTCGTCGACAACTTGATTCGACTTGTGCAACGTACCATCTGGGTGGCTTGGCGTTGCGGGGGTGACAGTGTTCGGGCCGCTTCCGCTCCCGCTACTAACATCGGAAATCACGTCCTCCCCGTTCGGGCCATGCGATCTCACAGCCTTGGTGTCGCTGTCTCCACTTGTTCTGCCAGGCTTTGTGAGCACATGAGGAATGTACTCCTTGGCTTGGCTCCTAACGCTGCTCGCCCGGCTGATGTCGGTATTCGAATCGGTAGGGCTGGAGATGCGCATGCCAATATCCTTGTCTTCGTCTGGGGTCACATGGTGCCGACCTTTCCAGTCTGCAGGTGAGGACTGTTTCACTTCTTCACCCTCTTTTGGCTCAGTAATGATGACTCCGGGTTTCCCTCCCTCAAACGGGATGGCTTTCCATACGACGGCAACCTTCTCGAAAGCTTGGGTCCCTTTCCTAGAAGATCCCTTGATACCGTCCATGGCTTCCCAGCCAATCTCGAACACACCTGAGTCGTCAGGGACCCCGTTCTGCTCAGGGCCATTGCCTTCAAAGAAGGTGTTGAACCACACATGAGCTACGGCTGTCACCATGGTCACATCGAAGGCGGCTTTGTTGCGGCGCTCGATGTCCAGATTGATGTCGTTGGTAGGGAGCACGATGCGCTTTTTAGGGCGGAAGACGACGTCACCATCGGTGATCTCTTCCTCTCTGCTCGTCGACGCGCCATCCAGGAAGCCCTCATTGGCACGCTTGAACGCATCCCCCTCGCTTTCCATCTTTGCTTCGGTCTTATCTTTGGCGGTTGTTGCCTTGCTTGCGGGGAGCCCTAGCCCGTTCTTGTACATGACTTCCTGCACGGCCTGGGCCATGGTGGTAGTCTTGACCTCGCCTCTGACAATCTCCCGTTCCTCGCGCGTGAATGTATGGAATCTTTTAATGAGCTTGCCGTCCTCGACAAAGCCTTCAATCTGTATCTTGACCCCATCCCTTAAGCCCCAGCAGTGGACCTCGAGTATTTCGACCTGGCGCTCGACGTAGATCTTGCCGTGCTTGGCCCACCTGTCTACATAGCCGATCCACCTGAGCTGGCTCGGGATGCTGACGCCCTTGCCCATGTTCGGCCTCATCCTGCGCTCCGTGAATCTCTGCAGCGCCTTCTCTACGGGCCAGCCCTCTTCGCTGATGAGGTAGCTGCAACTGGCCGTCCCGCTCCTTCCTTTCCCAGCCTTGCAGTGTACCACGACGACTCTGCCCTCCTTCTCGCGCAGCCAGTTGCGCATGGAGGCCATGATGTTGGGTATGAGGGCGAAGGGCGGAGGATGGTGGTCAGGGAACGGGTAGTGGTACACGCGGTTGTAGACCTCGGAGTCGGGATACCCCGTCCCTTCGGCGCGGAACTCCCATATTGCCCAGTCGTCGCCGTGCTTGGAGTCGAGGAACTTGACGAGCGAGTCGAGCGGGTTGCGGTAGGCGCGCTGGGGATACGTGCCACTCGGGCCGGACGTTGCGATGACTGTTGCATGCAGGGTCAGCACGCCCTCGTGCACAGCCAGAGACACAGCCAGCTGGCCTACTCACTGTTTTCCGTGACGTAGCAGAGGTCAAGGCCGGCCTCCGGGTGCCTGGCCCTAGGGCCTGCTACGATCTGGCGTAGAAGCGACGCCTGGCACGCAAAAGTCAGCCTCGAGTGGGGCAGCGCGAGGCAGGCGCATACTGACCATTTGCTTCACTGCGACAAGAGGGAGGGCAGGCTAAGGGATTACCGGCGGCTGGGCGACATGGCGTGTTGGCTTGTGTAGATATGGACAGCCAGCCTGATGCGTTCCTGCCTCGCCTGTCGCGACAGCTGCATCGCGGCTAGTGATGTCATCCTTGTCGAGGGCCCGAGCGTCTGGGTCAGTCTTCCGTCGCCATCGCGTCACGACCACCACCGTGGAATGTCCCGACGACGATGCACGTATGCTCTAAGATGCATTGCCACAGGCTCTAGCTATGTTCGCACGATTCGATACCAGTGCGAGGCCCCGCGGCAGGTGTGCTCCTGGAGCCTAGCTCAAGCGCGGAATGTCCATCCAAAGGCATGGTGTCGCTCAACATGTCGTCGCTTGAGTATATATTCGGCGGGTTTCTTGAAAGTCTTGTCGCCAGCAAGAAGAGATACCAAGCGGGGTGTCTCATAGACTTAGGGGCTCGAGTTTGTTTGCTGGCTTGCCAACGATTGCACAGTCAAGTCTCCGAGGACAGAGTCTGGCACATGAGTCGATGCGTCGGTGACTGCACAATGCCTTTCCCGCTGGAGCCCTTCCACGGTCACGACCTTACCGGTCAAAACTTCTTACAGTTCGGGACACCCCAAAGGGTGCAGCTCACAGACAGGAGCGCGAGGACCAAGCGTTCGGCCCGCTATTCAACACTGGAGCCCGACTTCTTTGGATGGATTGTGAAGCCACCTTCGGGGTCCTGGTACTTGCACTCGCGATTAGTGTGTGGTAACCATTGGGCTTTCGTTTCGCGCGCAGAAGCCTCATGTAGCACACGCATGAACCTCAAGCCACATATCCGCGGTCGCGATTCAACGATGATTGGTCGCTCACCACACACAACGAATCCGAGGCTATTACACACTGTATACGGATTTCGCGAGGCTGTGAAATGGTCTGACTCGTGCCATGCGGAATGTGTACCCATCACGAGTCGCGCCTTTTCTGCGAGCAGGGCGTCACCGTATCGCATTTTGTAAAATAAAAACATATTTGCATACACCTAACAAAACACTCGCGAAAGGTACCATGCCCTGAGGCTGGACTGTCTGCGGCTGAAAAGAAGCTGCTGTATTGTGCACAGCGACCTTGCTGTCTGGTTGTGGTATCTGTGGAGCATGAGGAGCAAGACCTCTGCTCCTGGCCGCGGCTGAGGGGCTCGCAGTGCCGGGTAAGAGAATATACTCCTACCACTGGGATCACTGGCTGGCGCCCGACTGTGCGCCCACTGTGGGGTTTCTGTGTGCCGGTAGGATGTGGACTCGGCGAGTTCAATATTGCTGGTGGCTCAAGCGCCTCCGGCATGCCCGTTTATACCGGCATGATCCTTCCAAGTCCGACTTCACTTGGTCGTCGCTTAGCAGACTCAATTGACCCAGGTGTGTTCAAGACCAATGAAAGTCAAAAGCCTTGACGCGATTCTCTTCCAATCCAACCACTATGCCCATGGTGTATCGTTCTACCTCTCTTACACAGTTCGGTCTTGTCGTATCCCACGGATCCGGAATGTTCACATATAATTTCACCGCTCAACTTTCGGGCGATATCTTTTTTGCGATGCAGAGAAATAGAGCGTTGTTCCCTGATGATCATGACATATAACAAAAGTAATCCTTGCGTATGGGACGTGTCTCCAAGTTCAGCCGGGTACGACCAGTGTCGATACTGGCCAAGCGGTGGAGCTAAGCGAGTAGGCCTCGGAATACTGCCCGGTCCAGTGCACGATGTACTGCACGACGTACAGAACTACTTACAGCTCGAATCACTGCTCGAATGGCCCCATATTTTCCGTCAAACTTGCAATGGAACTCTGGCTCACAGACGCATTTCAGGCGTCTCGGGGACTGCCGCTCTTAGATAGCATTTAGGGTTGGTTATGATTGGATTGCACGAACCTCGCGTTCAGACACCTCAACAATCTCCAAGCTATGCGTACGAACTACTATTCACCAGAAGTGCTGATGATTCAGAAGCTGAGTATGAAGCAATTATCATGTTTCCGGATTGGTATTGGCAATTGTGGTAGAAGGCAAGCACCAGTGCAAGTTGGTTTTGGCATGCAGTTTCATCACTACTATTTCCTCCGCATACGACGGCTTGTACCCCACATCGGTAGCTTTTACCCCGGGTGGTATGCTGTAGGCCAATTAACATGAACTGTTGCACTATAAATGACATGTATCCTTTGGCTAATTACACACATCGCCTAAGACCTGATGCCGATAGCTGGAAAAACAACAGCCGGCAATATCTCTTGATACAGTACCGGGGCCACAACGAAGGTGACACTTGTAATGTATGTGGTGCATGAGCTTCGGGGCCATTTAAAGAAAGGTGCCATGGTCTATTACGCTTCTAGTTCACACGACTATGCGCGTCCCCAGCCTTTTAGCGACAGCTCTGGCGCTCTCAAGCGGCGCGAGCGCAGCGTTCGGACTGACATCGACGAGCGCGAAATATACTGTGGACACAGATGGCGGTCTGGTTTTCGAGGTCAACAGGCATGTCTAGAAACGGACTTGGCCTGCAATGTGCATACTGCTAAACCTGAAGAAGGTCCAACGGGGATATAACCAGCCTCAAATACAATGGTGTTGAGTACCAAGGCACTGGTAAGGCATCGGCAATCAACTCTGGACTAGGTACTTCCACAGTCACCGGCGAAACTGTGAATGGCTACGTCAAGATCACGGCCAAGGCGTCTAATCTTCCAGTGACCCAATACTATGTCGCAAAACCCAAGGATCCCACAGTTTACATGGCTACATACATAACTGGAGAGGTCGATCCTGGGGAGCTACGATGGCTCGCACGACTGCGTACTTCGGAGCTTCCCACTGGTGTGCATGGAAGCGCGGGTGACACCCGAGGTTGCACTGCGTTTGAAGGCAAAGACACTTTCAATTGCCCTAATGGACAGACACGCTGCAAAATGTATACATCAGACCGTTTCATTGACGATAAGGTACACTGCGTGTCAGGATCGGTAAATGACTTCGCCCGTCGTTTGGCGAGAACTTGCGACTAACACAAAGTAGAAAACCCAAGTATGCATGATCATGCCAGGTACTGCGTACGAAACCTCTGCAAGTGGCCCTTTCATGCGCGACATCAACAGCCAAACTGGCTCGAGTGACCAAGAATTATACTGGTACATGAACTCTGGGCATGTCCGGACCGAGAAATGGCGCTTTGGTCTGCAAGGACCATATGCGATGACCTTTACTTCACCCAACACGAAACCTGCCGAAAATCTAGATACGAGTTTTTTCAGCACTTTGAGTGTCCAAGGCTATGTCGCAGCCAGTGGGCGTGGCACTGTCACTGGAGCTGCCACGGGCATCCCGAGCGGCTTTGAGACAATCGTTCACTGGTTCAACAACAACGCACAGTACTGGACCAAGGGTACAGATGGTAAATTCACGTCGCCTTTGATGAAGCCTGGATCGTACAGTATGAGGCTGTACAAGGGGGAATTCGCAGTCGCCAACGAGACCGTGACAGTGACGGCTGGCCAGACAGTTGCGAAAGACATCGCGTCCAAAGAGCCCAACGTGCCTGTCATCTGGCGCATCGGTGAGTTCGATGGCAAGCCAACTGAGCTGAAGAATGGCGACAAGATCGAGAGGATGCATCCGTCTGACACACGCATGGCCGGCTGGAGTGGCACATTCACAGTCGGACAGTCCAAGGCATCCGATTTCCCGATGGCTTTGTGGGCAAAGCAAGGAAGTCCTGCCACAGTCATGTTCACGCTCACTCAGGAGCAAGTGAAAGGGCATGTGCTTCGCATTGGGACGACGCTTTCGTTCAAGGGTGGCAGACCATCTGTCAAGATTAATAGCTGGACTGGAGCGGATCCTGGCGCACCGGTGAGTCATGAGAATGTGGGAAAGTTGAAATTTGCCAACAATTACCAGGTACTTATCGACAGTCGTGGCGTTACTCGTGGCGCCTATCGCGGATGGGGCGATGTCTATACCTGGAGCGTGCCATCCAGTGCTTTTAATGTTGGCGCGAACACGCTCACACTGGGGGTGTATGGAAGCGGAGATGCGACTTGGCTAAGCGCGAATTACATCTTGGACGCACTGGAGTTGCAAGATTGATGCCGTGCAGCAGCATGACGGTCTGTGGAACAATACAAATCCTAGTCAATACCTTTAGACCTGCAGTCGACCTTCCATCACAGGAATAGCACCTCCGCCAAGGGTGATAGTATTAATCCCTTTTTCCGCTCCCATTTCCACTGACACAGCGATCTCGCTTCTTCGGCCCATCTCTACCCCTTGCGTTATCGAAAATTCGAGAGTCTGGCCGGGCTTTCCATGCTGAAGAGACAGATATGCCGCAAGGTCGCTGGCTGCGCTTCCGGTAGCCGGATCTTCGAGTGACCCTTCGATCATTCTCGTTCTCAATTGGCGCACATTTTCGGATTTCGAAGTCTGAACATAGTAGTACGTCCCCACGAAAGTCTTGTCCCATCCTTGGTCCAATTTATCAACATTAACCTTCGTGGTCAACTTTACCATTTCAAGGGCGTCCAGGCTTTTGAGCTCGATGAGTATGAAGGTCATGCCCTTGACGATAGAAACAATGGGGATCTTCACATTGTCTTCAACGAACTCGGCCAGCGCAGGTTGCTGGGCAAGCAACTCATCTCGAGACCAGGTTCTGTCATGAACATGACTTACAACACAGGTCAGCTCATGTTCGCAGCATGTTTGCAATGGACATACACATCATGGGGAATGGCCGCTTTCGCGGTCTTTTTTGTAGTATCATACTGAAGCTGGACAGGACCAGCCTTCAGATTGAATGTTCCCTGAATGATGCCCTGAGAATTGGACCTCTCTGCAACTTCCGACAAAGCAAGACAAGCCGTGCCTGGGCAATGCATTAGCGACGGTTTCCACGTTTTTTCGGGTCAGAACAATATACCGATGGTAGGATGTCCAGCAAAGGGCAATTCGGCATTGACCATGAAGATGTCAACAGTCCATTCACATGAACCATCGCTTGTCGGTTCATGCAGGAATGTCGTTTCCGACAGGTTGAACTCCCTTGCAATATTTTGTTTCTGCTCCTGGGTAACTTTGCTTAAGGCTGGGAGGCGAACAATTGCTAGAGGGTTGCCTTCGTATCTCTTGTCAGTGAAGACATCGACAATCGAATAATCTAGCTTTTCGAAATTTGAATTCATTCTGAAGCCTGGGCATGTGTTGAAGGAATCGTCCACGAAGATCTTCTGGAGTTACTAGATGTCCTCTCATGACTCATGCCAAGACGCTAACCGTAGGGCGTGGAGGCAAGACATGTACTTACATATGATAGTCTCCGGCATCTCAACCTTCAAACAGACGAGGTCATCGTTCGAGCCATTACAGGCCATTATACTTAACATTATGCCATAATGGGACCAGTCTTGCTTCCCTAGACAATATACTATGTGCACCCTTAAACGTCGCTGACGTCAACTTTCTACCATGATGCTACCTCAGGCACCTACGGTAGCGTTACACAACTGCTTTGTGCGTAGGGTTCTTCGACTCTAGATCATCTTAGATTTAGTCCCTATCGTATCTAAATTGAGCTCTCTCCGACCTGTTTTCCTATGTACCAACTGCCAATTGCTGGTAGGGTCACGTTCACGTGACTATACTCCGCCCGGCGTCCTACTGGTCGCTTCGAAAGGAACAAGAGCATATGTTCTCGTAGATACGATTGTAGTGGCTGCAAGATATTTGTTCAAAGATATCGAGATCGAAATTAGTCAGTTCAGTACACACCTGGGCGGGGCGTTGGAGACTGACATTGCATCTAGTACAGGAAGATTTAATATAGCCTCAGAATCAGTGAGTCAAACAGCAAGCTGGCTACCATCTCAAAATGGTGAAACAGCCAACCGGCCACGGGAACACTCACTTGCGACTTGCTGATCAACTTGGGCGAGTCGCCCATAATGATTGACTCCTTTGTTCGCATGTTTAGAAGATGCCGAGTACAAGCGAATATCCGTACAATACCCCGCATATCCTAACATTTGCTGATTCTGTGGCGGTTCCAATCTGGCCAGACGCCTGATGCAAAGACTGCAAGCCTTCGGCAAACCTATCGAGGTCAAGGCGAGGCAACATGTGAACGCATGTTTGTGTGAGCCGCTGAGCTCTATGGATGGATGTGAGCTTTGCAGAAGGATGCCACAGCAGGACTGAACTCACGTAATTACCAAGGTATAGCTAGTGATTCTACCCTGTCCAGACGAGCTATTCATGATGGCCTGCCCAATAGGTTATACCCCTACCAACATCTGCACTCCTTCTTTACCATGTACCAATCCATCCATCTACACCCCCGTCACTGAGCCCCAAGAGCTCAAATTGATTGTCGCTGATTCAATTACCTCCTCGGAGGCTAATTTACCCGCCCAGGGCTCGCATAAAGGTCCTACATGCATTCCCACTTCGCCCATCGCATTTTGAACCGACTTCAGACTACGGCCCGCTTTCTCAAATCTGCCGTCTTCGGTATTCTAGAAGAATAGCAAGCCATCTTCTCAGGTATCTACGCCGCTCATGCCGAAGTCAAGGGCGAGAACTACTATGCTGAGGATCCCGAACTACACAAGTGGACCGCAACATCGCTCTTCGTATCGTTGGTCCTTGTCCACAAGGCCCTCTTTGGCAAGCTGCCCACCTTCAAGATCGAAGCGCTATACAAAGAGTCCGCTGTCTATGGAACGAGCCTCGGGATGGATGCATTCAGATATGTGGTCACCAACACTAGCGGACTGCTGTGCGTATTGGGACCATAACGTCGAGACGCTTGAGATTACCGGGTGAGCGAAGTCGCTCGCGCGTGATCTTCTCTTTCCGAGGGGCAGACCGCTGTGGTTCAAGCCTGATGTGCTGGTTGCAAGGCTCTCAACGTTGTATTGGCCTCCGGAAGGGTTCCGGAGCGAGCATGGCTTCACAATCAGCCCCTGAAGACAGCTATGTACCAGAAGGTCGTTAGTTATACAATGCGCATTTGCCCGCATCTGCCGAAGAAGGTGAGGACGGCATCGAGTCGGCTCTACCTGGAGGATATCAAGAAGGCTTTTAAGCGAATTGAGTCTACGGGCAACTGGTTTGAGGGTGGTGAGACAGAGATGAAAATTCGAATCAAGAGAGCCTGAGCCGCTTCTTTTCTGCTGGTCAGTCATGATAATCGTTCATTTATTGATTGGCAATCAATTCGAAATCATGAGTTTTGCAGATCGATTTCCTGACTGTTCCCTGCATTTGATGCCAACCTTCGCTCCCAGCTGACGGCCTATCTCGTTTTCTCGGAACACTTGTTCCTCAATATGGCTTCCTAGGTGGTGTTCATCGCTGCATGACCCCTGCTCCTGCCCACGTCTTCCTCTCAAGAAGCCATTTCTTTTGATCAAGCCTTCTCCCCGTCCATAGCCGTCTTCTTCCAGTTAATCGCGGTGTATGTACCGTCCACATCAGCCCTAACTCGGGCTGTCTTCTTCCAATTTATCGACGTGTAGGTGCTGTCCACGTCTACGGGGTCTCTGGCTGTCTTCTTCCAGTTTTGGGACGTGTAGGTACCATCGACGCTCACAGCGGATGGTGGTGAAGTGGGAAGCGCAGCGGCGAGAGATGAAAGCGCCAGAAGAGGTAGGGTGACTCGCATGATTGCTGCTGAGGGTCTTTGTTTAGGAGAAAGTTCGAGCGTCAAAGTCAGGTCAGTGAAGCCTTCATGTTCGTTTGATCCCGTTGCGCTTAACGTGACTTTAAAAGCAGACACACTCTTAACATGCTTAACCGCATCGAGATATGTTCTGCGCGTAGGACAGCTGTTGAGGTTTTGCGGGCGCCAGATACTGTTTCTCTGAAGGATTCTGAATTCGTCGCAACGGTTGCCCTCCAATGAAATATCGTAGGTAGGGACCAAATGCACTTGATCAATTATTATACGACTATGGATGCCGATTCCCAACAATCCTTCGTGTTCTGGCCAGGTTTAGCTTTCTCCCTCACTGCAAGGGAAGTACTCTGCGATCCCCTCGCAGTCTAATTCCTCTCAAAGGCGTCAGTATATAGCGCTACTATGGGTACCGCCCGTGCACGAGTGGTGTGTTGTTGCAGGACAGTAAGCGCCACTCTTACACCTTCCCGAAGTGGTTAAGTGAGAAGGATCGCACTACAACGCGTTGGCTGATAGGTGACCTGTTGAAGGAATTGATAGGCCTTGTCGGCCTAATATGACGTGAAAGCTTGTTCGCACGCGTGTGCGGGGATGGAACTTGAGTTCCTAACGTTCTTACATCTTCATCCGGGGCTGCGAGAGAGTGAGGGAACCGAGCTCCACACGCGGACTTCTCCCATTCGTGCCTTTGTACTTCCAAGTGTAGTCTTCACGTTGGGCTCGTACTTTGGGCTCTTTTCCGCACTTCCAAACGATGGGCGGAAATATGGAGGAACATTCAGAGCCGCTCCTCGACTCTGCGCGCGCCAGCTCCCCAGACATGGAAGACGGCACCATGCGAGAGAAGTCATACACTTGCACCGGATTCTACGAGAAGAAAGCCTTCATATGGGCCTCGGCGATGTGGTTCACCGGCTCATTACTCCTCTTCGCGTCCGCGCTTCTTCTGCACACTCGGTCACGTGGCGGGCATTTCGAGATATATTGTACGGACACCACATCCGAATCTGACCTTGCAGTGATTACTAACAAGTCGCAGCACCCGTGCAAGACCACATCCGCTACAAGACTGTCGTTTTCGACGGCTCACTCGGAAAGAAGTCAATATACATGGAAGATCCCTCACCAGCGGTCGACGCAGCATGGGAAGACCTCTACGGTCCGTCCATCGCCCCCCACCCAGCCCATCCCATTTCCCACTAATCCACACCCACAGACTTTGGCATATCCTGGCTCCACCCCCACGAAGCTTCCCTCCTCCCCAATGCAACCGCCCGCCTCTACGAGCAACCGCAAAACTACGTCACCGGCCTCGACGTCTTCCACCAACTGCACTGTCTCAACCTGCTGCGCAAGCGGCTATACCCGGCCTACTACGTTAACGACACGGACGTGCACTTCGCTCACTGTCTTGACCAGCTGAGACAGAGTATCATGTGTAGTAGTGACACGGCGACGATACCGTGGAGCTGGAGTCGGAGTAAGAAGAGGTTGGTGGCGAGCGCGGAGACAGTGCACATGTGTCGGGATTTCGAGGGGGTGAGGGGGTGGGCTAGGGGGCGGAGGGTGGAAGGGGGGTTCAGGAAGGATGTGTATGTGGAGGGGAGTGCGATTAGTGATTGAGCGGGGCGCGCCTAGTTGGAAGCTGCCTGCAGATTCGACTGTTCTTGGTACCATCTCTAGGTTTTTTGTGTACAGAGTTTGCGCAACTATGTGCGTAAGTGCATCACCGATACACCAACCCCTCCACCTTCTCCGCAATCGCTAGACAACTCGTCAACCCTGGACTCTCGATCCCCAATAAATTCACAAAGCCCTCGAACCCATCCTCCTTCTCGATCCAGAAGTCTACGAACCCCTTACCCCCGCTCGTCGCGCTGGCTCGGCCTAGCTTCGGCCTGATACCCACGTAGTCTAGATCTATCGCCTCCCGATCAATCCCCGGAAGATATGATTGTATATCGTCGAGCGCGGCGCTCAGGTTCGCGCGGTTCGGCGTGTAGTCCGAGGGGTCGTCGGTCCACTCTACGTCCGGACCGAAGCGGATGCGGCCTGCCATGTCGAGGGTGAGGTGGGTGCCCAGACCGCCGTGACCGGGGATGGGGGCGGGGTAGACGAGGGTGGAGGGTTTGGGTTTACTGACGGCGTAGCTATAGTACGTGCCTTTTGCGTAGAAGGGCTTTCTATGTCGCTCTGGTGGGAGTATCATGTTGGAGATGGGTATAGCAGCAAGACCAGCGGAGTTAATTAGGGTTTCTGCCGTGATAGTGGATTCCTCGCCATCGGCCGTCTTGGTGGTGACTTCCCAGCCGCCGCGACCAGAGTCAATTGGGCTTACGTGGACGACGGGGGACTTGAAGGCGCAGATGCCACCGCGGTTCTCGAAGTCACCCTCGAGGAACTGCATCAGGGAGTGGCTGTCTACGATGCCTGTGCTTGTGCTCTCGAGCACACCCGCCTCGGCGCGGACATCGGGTTCCCTCCGCTGCGCCTCCTCTTTACTCAGAAATCGTGTCGGCACATCGACCTGTTTTGAGAAGGTGTGAATGCCTTCTAGCGCCTTGAACTGCGTGTCGTCTTGCGCGACAATCCACTTCCCCGTATTCCGATGCGGGATCGAGTGTTTAGCGCAGAGGTCATATAGCATCGACTTGCCCTTAATGCACAACGGTGTCTTTTGAGAGTCGGGACCGTAGTACAAGCCTGCGTGGATGACTTCTGAGTTCCGAGAGGATGTCTCCGTACCCACCGTGCCGTGCCTCTCAATTAACACGGTCGATGCGCCATCTCGGCCTTGCAGCTGGCGCGCTATGGCCAAGCCTACGACGCCGCCGCCGATGACCGCATGTGTAAAGTCGGCATCTCGCCGCGCGGTCGTGCTGATACCTCTTCGCGTGAAACCTCGGATGCACGTCCTCTGTATAGCTCTTTGCGATGCCATCGCGACTCTGCGGTTATTGGACACCTTCCCAGATGTGGCGTTGATGCACTCAGTCAGCCTATGATAAAACGGTTCACACTTGGCTGAATCAAAAGGAAAGGAAATGCAACGTATAAAAGTGCAGTTGCTTTCATCGAGAAAACGGCATCATTCACTGACGACACTGATGCTGGTAAAATATAAGTGATGAAACAGTTCTTATCGGTCGGCGAGTTGCTTTTCACGCCGCGGGATTATGTTTATCTTTACCGAGACACGTGACGTCATACCACTAGAGACGCTAAACCACTTTTAGGGCGCATGTGACCACATGCGTGGTGTCCTCTAGGTTAGGCCCTGAAGGCTTCATCGTCCAACTGCCATATAGTTCCAGCGGCATATCCCGCGCCAGGAACATGGACTACTGATACCAAAGCTGTCCCACCGGGTAACTTGTTTGCGATTGACTCATACGTCTTTTTAGCTGTGTCTTTCAGGGTCTCGCCTGGAATAATGGCCCCTGTCCCTAGGGCTGAGAGCAATTCGATATCCTGTCCATGTGTTGTGGTTCAGCTCCTTTTCCATTGGGATGATGATCCCATACGAAGAAGCCCGCTCCTCAAGCTGGTCGTGATCTCCCTCGAATCGTGTCCAGGGTGCCTCTCTTGAGGTATTTGGGTATGCACAAACACCATATACTAAGTTGGATAGTACAGCTAAGGTAGCAGCTGCTCGAAAAATGCACAGTGAATACATCTTAGATTGATTTACGGCTTTATAGATCGAGTTAGATTTGAGTGATGGATTGCGCTAAGAGGGAAAGATATGCAAAATGTAATAGATAGCGCAGCATTAGCTACGAAGCGTGATTGTACCTCTTATAGTTTGTCTCTACGTTTTCTTCTACTATTATACTAATCCTAAAAGATGGATTGTATCAGAATAATTAAGATTGCTGCCGCGCGCGTACTATAAAAGTCGTAATAACAGTCACGCCACTCTTATAACTCGTACAATTATAAGCGCGTAGGTAAGGGGGTGGCGGCGGTAATGCATAGCAAAGATTTACGAAACGACCTAGGCTTATACTAACTAGTTTCGCTGTCGGGCTGAAATATAAAGGTGGCCCAACAGTGCCGCAACGGCGAGTTTGCCTTACGCCGCAATATCTCAGATTCCAACCCTGTCATTCTATCATTTGTATCAGAACGAGCAAATCAAGTATGCATCCTGAATATGCCTGCAACCTTCTACCTGCGCTCTCCCTTCCGCCTTGGGAAGAGAGCCTGTGCCGAGAGGTTTACATGACCTTAGGTGGAGAACAACGGACTCCTTTCCACGCCTACGTCCGGCCACGCCCTATCTGCCACTGCTCTGGTGCTACGAAACCTAGTGTGGATGCGTGGCCTTTCACTCGACTAGCACCAGAACTCCAGCTCTCTGTACTGGCCAATTGCTCGGCTGACACCCTCTATCAATGGATGCACGTCTCATCCTGGTTCCGCAGGGAAGCTTCTAATCTGTTCTGGTCACAGCCAGACACCTATTTTCTCGTTGATGCGTATTGGCTCCTGCAAGGAGCCTATGCCGGCGGCACCTTTGCAGACACGACTATACTCACTTATGTGCAACAAGTCGAAGTAGCATGCCCTACAGGTATCAGCGATCGAATTTGCCCGCTAAAAGATGGGCGATTGCATGTTCAGGAAGGGGTGGCTGTTACTTTCTGGGCTATGTTGCGATCCAGGTGTCACGCGTAAAGAAAGTTATTTTGAACCATAATGGAGAAAGTGGCCGCTGGGAGGATGACAAAGAACCGTTTGCATATGTCCTACAGCTTCTTCTCTGGTCTTGCCCGCCAGATATAAAGGCCTCTGCGCTTTACAAAACAAAACAGAAGTCGCGCCAGCCTGTATATGCTACTAAGACACCTAGTCGTCTGTGGCGTCGAGTCTCCTTCGCACTGGCAGCAGATGGTGAATGGGAAGAGCGTGAACCTGAACTGTCTCGGAAGACCATTCTCCTACCACCGAAACTATTTCAGGGTCCAGTAGGCAGATTTCAGCAACTGCTCCACGAACGCTGCCAGCAGCTTACGCTCCGGCGCGTTGGCCTATGGCCACTTATGGTAGAAGCCCTCGATCGGTATCACTTTGACCAAGGACGCAACGAGCCATTTTCTTGTCCACTACCTGCTTGTGATGGTTACTTTACTAAGGCTGGAGCGTGGTCAGTCCACGCAGCAGAAAACCATTGCGGCCAGTGGTCAAGCTTGTTGAGCATCTTGCCTGGCCAAGTGGGGGTTCACTTTGAAGCACGCCGTCGGGCGCTGGAGAGCAACGAGAAGCGCGTACAAGAGCAATACGAGGAGGTACAACACACGTGGAGAACAGCGAGCAAGACGACTCAGCAAGAAATACAGCGTAGCTGGATGGAGCAGCTAGGCAGCGACCCTTCATGGGAGACTAGCAAACAAGGCGAACAAAGCGATGTTTGGCGTCATTTCATTAACCACATGACCCCTGGGTGGTTGGAAGGATAAGGAAGCGCAATTTGTGAGCCAAAAGGGATCCAAGAAGATTAGGCAAGCGCTTCTCGTGCACATAGCACACGAAAAGTTCATATATATCCTATCTATCCCAGCTTTTGCACCACTTTCCACTATCTGCACTTATACTAGCTACTGGGCTGCGTGAGAAGGTCTCGGTTGAAAACTCCTATCCCGTCAATTTTCCAAGGTCGAATATCAATTTGGAAACTTTGCACTCTAACTAGTAGTTTACTTTCTTATACATGATCTTTGTTTCTACTCGATTGCTTCCGTCTACAATAGCTTATACCACCTCTCTCAAGCGTGATATTCTCCATATATGCAGCCCGGTCGTAGTGGGGCGGATAGCTTTGCGCTTTGTTGCTAATGCCACGCGTACTTAGCCACCAACCTCGAAACTCGATAGGTAGATACTGTCCAGGGTACACTATCAGAAAGAGCACGAAAACACCTATATATAAATTAGTATAAAGGTTGTCTAGACCATTCAGTCTAAGTTATACCTACCTAGCATTGGGATAACGTCCAACACCCAGAATGGCCACTCGTACCGAAGGAGATAGCCTGTAGATTGGCTCGAACTACTGAACTCGGCCATACGATAGGCGGCTCATATCTATTGAGGAGGGTTAGCGCTAAGCTTCTATACACTAGACGAATCATCCTATAGTAATAGCCAGGGTCGCCGCATTTATAACCCAGTTTAATTGCGTCTAATTAAGTTTAGTAGGCGTAGAGTATCCAAGAGGTTTCCTAGCCTAGCGGCGACTGATGTAAAGAAAGCGACCGCCAATAATAAAAAATAGACTAAAGCAGATCAGCTGTAGAGTGAAACTGAGCTTAAGGGCAGCTACTCTGGATTGTATCTTATCCTGGTGGTCGTGCGTTGATAGACCCTTGCTCGTGTAGGCTGTACCGACAGCACTAGCGCCAAGCAGTTGGATGAAGAAGGAACCAAGATCAAAGGGAATAAAGAGCGGCGTTATAAAGCGTGCTAGGCACTAAAGCGTGCGCACGTTTTGACTTTTGAGAGGCGTCACCCACCAAAGAAGGCGTCTAAACGTAGCATAACATGCTGCCGCCATAAACGATGGTGAGAGTCTAGATAGCTTGTAAGACGCAGCTAATGAGGCAGAGGTAATAAGCGTGCCTAGCAGACTTATAGAAGCGATAGATAACTCATAATGAATGGACCGGTAGAGGAGGGACTTCGCGCAGACGCTACTCTTGCTATTAAACTGATGCATTCCACTAGAAGCGGTGTTAGTTAGGGTCGTAGAGGGAGACAAAATCCATAGACTTACTAAACAGCCCAACATACATGGCCCAGAAACACCACGCACGATATCGTACGAGCAACCAGAGGTAGAGTACTGCAGTAGCTATAAAAAGACAAGCTCCCACTATAGCTATAGAAACACTGGGTACGTAGTTGTGGAGACTAGTCTCTGGAGATAGAGTATCCTGTGCCATAATTGTATAGCAGCCAGCGAGATTAGTAGGCTGTGTACCGTCGCGATATTCCCAGATCAGAACGATACTACAGCGGCGCAGTGTGTCTAGAGCAGTGTATTTCATCACGTATCTCCTCTGTATTTATAGCCACAGAGTCCCACACTTGCAACTCCAGACTCTCTCACAAGAACTGCAAAAATAACATCTTCATTTGCCCAGCAGATACACTCAAGTGGCCTATGGGTATGTTCCATGGTATAACCGCAGTTCCTGGAGCACCCGTCGCTCCTGACGATCTTTCAAACACAACCCACCACGACACTAATCGACGGAGCGCACTCCGCCCAGCCAGGTTTCCGCACTGGGAGGCGTTTGTGTTGCTGCAGGTACGAGATAGCGTACCGCTCTTGAGCGTTACCCCTAGAAATAACGTCTGCGACACGCATCGCAATATTCGCGACAAAGATGGCACACGACACATGGCGTCATAGATTAACATTACTCCTGTATACACCTTCTTGCTTCTGCGCACTATATATCCAATTCCCCGCCAGTGAAGCACTCGTCTAACCTAATCACCGCCAATATAAAGAAAGCCTAGATGATGACCCAGTCATGGCCACGTTCGGTTGTCGTCGCTGTATCCCAGCCGTGTGTATTTACAATAATGAAAAGAGTGCGTGGCTGCACGCTATGCAGACAAAGATGCGGAGGAAGCTCCGGTGGAGAAGATGCTTGAACGCCAGTAAAAGTCCGACTTTTGCATGCAATTACAAGGAAATAAGCTGGCTACGCGGGCTGGGTGCCGCTAAAATGGCCGTGTGCAGTGATTTGTTCGTTCAGTGGTGCGCTCATTTCGGCGGCTTCTTGCTCAACCTCCTGCGCTTCTTGTCAGAATCGTTCGATCCGCTGCGCTGGTGGCTGGAGTGGTCCTGCCTAGCAACAGGCGACACATCGCGCATCAAGCCTGAATGCTGTTGTTGCTGCAGCTCGATGCCGAGGTTCTGTTCAGGCGCAGTGAAAGCTGAGCGGGCAAGCGGGCTACGGCCCTGCCTTTGATCGCGCTGTCCATTGCTGTAGGCAGGTTGCGGTGCCTCTATTTCACTATGGCCGTAGTCCGAGGTCTGCCGGGCGAGAGGCGAGTTCGTAGCAGGCGCATAAGGGCTGAGATCACTGGGGCCTCTGTTGTGGGGTGGTCTTTGAGATCCCTTGGTCTGAGACATGTAAATCGATTCGTCAGACAGTGACTCGACGGACTCGTGGTAGTTGTTCTTGCCAGAGCCAGTGCCGACCTCATACGGCGAGTTGTAGCGGTTGTCGGCTTCGAAGTAGGCACCTCCAGCTGGCTTCTGTGCTGCCTGGGCCTTGTGGTAGATGGATGCGTCCGCAGGGTCCATGAAGGATTCGACCCGGCGAGGCATGTAGATGGAGTTATTGTTTGATGTTCCAGAAACCATCGAATCCATGGACGAGCGGGGATGCAATGGGACGTTGGGGACATTGGGGTTCCGGGGAAGCATATTGGGCAGAGTGAGGCCAGAGTCGTTGGAGCCTTGCTGGTACCATCCATTGGGCAGACGTTCGGCTGGGGCAAAGCGACCTTCGAGGTGATCGGACGGCTGGAGCGGCACATGAGCTGGGCGGCCCTTCTGTGCCTCTGCTGCAGCCTTGAAAGTCTCTGGCACGACGTTGAGATCGTCACCTGCAGCTTCGGCCTGCTCGATAGCTTGGGCGGGGGTCGTGGTTGCGTCAGCGGTTCCAGCATCTGCACGAGGACCTCCCCAGGTGCGCTGACCAGCTGTGAAGATACCGTAGACCATGTACACCCAGTTGAAGAAGGGGTTAATGACGAACATGACAGGGTAAAGCATAATCTTGTAACGGCCAAGCTTGGCACCAAAGTAAAGCATGAGCAGCCAGTTGAGTCCAAGCGATATGGCAATGAAACCGACCGGCAGGTTCTTGACCTTCTGGGATGTTGTGATGAGAGAAATGACCATGATGAAGAAAAGGAGAGCAGTGGTTCGAATGGTGTTCTGCATGAAACGGACAACGCAAAGGATTGGGTACCGCTTCCAGAGACGGATATCAGTCAACATGCAAACTTCGTTGGTGATAAAACCAAGGAACCAGCGGCGACGTTGCTTCAGAAGGGAACGGTAGGATTGCACAGCCTCGGTCTTGCAGAAAGCACCAGTATTCATCTGGATCTGGTAACGTTCTTGGGCGCCAATCATGAACAAGTGAGTGAGCCAACGATCTTCCCCAAGATGACACTTGCCGTAATCGAACAGGTCGTCGCACTGCTCGGCTTTATCGGCGAAGTAGTATTTGGACATCTTGCGGAAAGCGGAGAAACGAAGGATAGTAAGAGCACCGGGCAGACAGGTCACAGCGCCGCAACCGGACTCGACCGATCGCTCAAAGAGCTGGCCGTGGATGTACTCCATATCCTGGAGGAGAGTGATGAGCGAGTTCTTTTCCGTAGTTGAGGTGATGACACCGGTCATAGCCAACATGTTCTTCTTGCTTCCAGGCTTGAGTTCCATCTCGTACATGAAATTCTGGATGCAGACCTTGTCGAGAATACAGTCGGAGTCGATGAACAGCATGAAGAGGTTGTCGTTGCGCTTCAGATACTCGGCGTAGATCTTGTCGATGAGCTTGAATGTCCTCTTCTGGCAATGACGCTTTCCACCGTGAGGGAAGCGAGAAACAGTGATACGGCAGCTACGGTATGTCACGTCGATGGACTTCGGGTACGAATCGAGGGTCAGCGGCACGCCAAGCTTCTCGATGGTGTTGAGGTATAGTTCATCCTCCTGGTCTCCGTCGAACGAAAGAAAAATGTGCAAGCACGAGGGTGGGTAATCGCAGTCTACGAGTGAGTCGCACGTTCGCAACAGAATCTCGGGAATTTCCTTGTAGCAGGGCATGACAATAACGACCTTGGGCGCCGATGCCTCGTCCAGGACAGATTTGATCCTCTTTGTGCGGCCAACGGAATGGGTGACAAGCTGATAAACGCAGAAAAGCCACGGGATCGTCAGGAGACCGGCGAAGGACCAGAAAGCGAACCATTGGAGAATTTGTACCATGTCATTCGGGAAGTACTTTGTGACCTGACCGGGTAGAGGTAGAGTGACGACCATGATGGGCAAGAAGATGGCGCTTGGAATGTTAGCAAATGGACGTGTAGAGCCACAAGGCGACCTACCGAAGAGCAGTGAAAAGAATCATCATGATTACGGAAAGTATGCGAATGCTGATGGTCTCGGCTTTCTGGAAACATTTCACCAAGCAGTAAAGGAATGCAGCGACCCAGAGGAACCATTCGAGCAGAGCAGCAAGCATGCAAGTGCCAACAATGGCTACATAGACAATCTGCAGTCGGTCAGATACACGCTTCGTGGTGCAGGCTGTGGGATGGACTCACATCCTTGACCGGCCAAGGGTCGGTAAATGCGGGAATGCCGTCCGCGTCGGCTGCGCGGGCAAAGATGCCCACGTGTTCCCACGTCATGTTAGAAAGAGGCCGACGCTGTCAGGCGTAGCTATCCAAAAAGTGTTGACCAAGCGGGGCACCGCAGACGAATGGTAGTTCGACAAGCTGGGCGCGCGGTACCGAGACAACTGGTGTCTATATCATAGGCGTAGCAGTAGCCGGACACTGAGAATGTGAAGCCGGCCTGGCGGGGCGGCTGCGATGATAAGGCCGCGCACTGGGCGACGTCGGGTGAGGTGAGGAAGTGGAAGAAAGTCCCAGGGCGGTGGAGCGTCGGTCAAGTGATACAAGCACGCTTGCCAGCAGAAAGCGTCGCACGACGCTAGATAATCGAGGGCGCACCGGGTGGGAGGCGAGTTGCAATGCTGGGAAAGAGACAGCTGGAACTTGCTCAGGGTCGGGGCAGGGTCGTGGTAATATGGCGGCTATAGACGAGAACTCGTGGTCGTTCCAGATCGGGAAGGCAAACGAGTGTAGGAATGGAAACAGCGAATGGAGCACCTCGCGCTCTCGTGAATGTCGGAACCGAGTGAGGGGTTGTAATGCGAGGGAGAGTTCCTTGAGCTGGGAGGGAGGAAACAAACACCTGCAAGAAAGTACTGCTGGAAGGGGCCGGGGATGTTTGTAGGCACGAGTGGTGCGGAACGCTGGGACAAATGCTTCGCCCAAAGCGTGCTGGTGCCGTGCGATCGGCACAGGGCCATCAACAGCGATGCAAGTTCTGGACGGCTGCTCGGCCATGCCATACCAGTTCCGCGCAGCCGACCAGGAACAGCCTTGCGCAGTAGTCGCGCCGTTTGGCGCGGCGTGAAACTTCGCATGGTGCGCTGGTTATTCCTGGACGCAGGGCCGCCGCGCATGTCTCGAATCCTCGCTTGCCCTGCTCAAAGGGGGCACGACTGCCTAGAGCAGACGACCATCCCGGTTTCAATATTGCATCTTTTCGCGCCCTCCAGTCGTCTCCATGCACAGAGCATCACATCTACCTCAGGGCATCTCAGGTTAGCATCTCGGGCGACGCTCGCTGGCCCCAGGCGCCCACGTACCTGCGAATAGTTGGCACCTAGCCGCCGCTGTGCCGTGGTTCATGACCCGCGTTTCCATGGCATCATGCTGCAGGCGTAGCGGAGAGATGGCGGGCAGGGAATTTCGCGCTGCCTCAAACGTCTCCAGTCGAGCCCTAGGGTGTCTATTGCCAAGCACATCGCGTAGCGACAACGCACCCAGTCTCCAACCGAGCATCATCACCTGAAGCACGCTGCGTGACTCGCTGCGTGCTGTCAGTCTTCGGTCCGCAGGCGGGGCACCTTGATGCGAAGTTTATCGATATCCCACTCAAATCTTCCCCTATTCGCATTTGCTTGTAGCTGGGTGGCGGTGAATCATCATCGCTCTTTCAATTCGCATGTCTGTCGGGCAGCGTTGACGATGGCAATGGCAATTTTTGGAACGCGCTGACGGCATGCCCGCGCCGTCGCATGAGCACAGCATCGGCTTCCAGCGTCAAGGTGCAACATCGCGGGTGCTACAGCATGCTACAATGTTCCATCGCAGAAGCTCTCCTTCCAGAAGACCACCCAGCTGCCTCCTGTTGCTATACTTGAACGTGAGGCTGAGCAAGGCTAGTATTTCCGCCGAATTTCCATGTGGGCGGGATACCATACCATTGTGCGGGTGCTCATCTCGCCTATTCCTAGACATGGTGGCGATCTTGTGTACGGGTGAGCGTGTTGATCAACGGGCAGTCAGCCCGGCCCGAGCTGACGAATGATGTCGTGCAGCTTTGTAGTAAGCGACCAGAGTGCGCAACAACGTACTTTGAGGTAGCAGCTTCTTTTCCAGGCTTGAATTTGTTCGAAATTATCCAGTGTACACCGCTTTACGGCAATTTCAGATATGCCCTCGGCCTCCACTTCTCTTGGCATGTGTTGAATACGGACTAGGCCGAAGCTACCCCTAAGCCAGCTGCTAATCATCTTGATTAGCTCAAGTCAGTCCTCCACGAGAGAGCCTGAAGAACCGCGTGTGAAGTTTCGCTTGAGCATGCCGATTGAAGGCAGGGCCAGGGGTACGTCGGTGGCCCACGGGTACGGCGTACGACGTGTTGTTAACGCGGATGGCCCGTCAAGCTGTAAGCGACTGTGACGAAGTTTGAAATCCAAATGCTAGAGCTGATACATTTGTCTGCGCCTTCCTCCGCAGAGCGACCGACTGTACTCCACATGCAGAAGGAGGAGTCTAGTGAGACTTAATGCCAATGGCTGTCTCCAGTGTGGCAATGTGTTGAGAGCGTTCCAAGCCTGATCATCATCGATCTCCCGCAGCCCAACATCTTGCATACGAACGAAACTTGGCGCAAAGCATTTGCATCGCCAATGCTCGGACGTCTGTACATGCAAAGGATATGCCGGCCCTTTCGCTCGGAATGGCAAAGTAACCTTGAAGCAAGTCCGCTACGAGCAGAGTTTGATGCTGGATGGAACGACTTTGTGTGCTCGACCAAAAGACTGTCATCTAGGCATGACTACTGCAGGTCACTGGTGCCCCTGCGATACTCACAGCTTGATGGCATAGTCACGCAACTGGTAACCTCATTGCTACTGTTGAAGCTGCAGTTGCCTCTAGTGCACCCCCATGGACTGACGCTTGGCCTTGCCTTGATACATCGCAGAGCAGTTCCAAAATACGTATACTCATGTGATAGTAAACGATGGGATTGTGAAGCGTTCGTGGCAGACATCTCTCCCAAATGCTGGTGAAGTTGCCAAAGGCGCAGCCACATCCAGCCAGGACCGCCTCAGAGCCCCCGCGACGCACGGGCCACCTCTGATAACGCAGGTACGAAGAACTTCGAGCGGACCACCGCTCTGAGCAACAGCACCACTGCCCTACCAAGCCGCGCTCCTGCCACACACACGAATCGATTTGCTCTTTCGAGCTTGCGCACGAGCAACAGTCAAATGCACGCAAACGACGCACCGGACATAGCTGCAAAACCCTATGTGCGACTGCTCTAGCGATCCCGCCCTGCCTTCGATTCCCGCCCCTCCACCACTGCGGGACCGCCACCCCAACCATGGAGCGGCAAAGGAAACGTACGTTCCAGCTGGGGAATCTTGTATATAAACTTCTGACAAGATACAGGAGAGCTCCGCGAGCTCAATATTAGAGTCTGGAATGGAGAACAAGGTATGACGCGCGCAGCCGCGTTTTCCGTGGTGCTCACAATACGCAGATGTATTCCCCGTGCACGCCTCGCTCGACTCGTCGATGAAGAAGAACACGGCCTACATCAAGCGTCTGCGAACCGGTATCCAAGCCTCGACCCAGTCCCAGTTTCTCCAAGATGTGCAAACCCTGTCGCTCCACAAATACCTTTCCGAGATCATCTCCGCATGCTACGAAGGTCTCTGCAAACTCAAGACCCCTGCAGAAATTGCAACTGGCGTCGAAGTTGTCAGCGCGCTCCACCAGCGCTTCGGGCCAACGGAGTTTACTGCATATCTTGGATGGTATCTCGGACGTGGACTCAGCACTCCAGATAAATCCCAGTTGAAAACGCTTGCGCAGGATGTCCGCGAGAAGGAAGAGAAGGAGCGACTCGCTCGCCAGAGGATCTTGCTGCGCGTCGCCACAGAGCTATGGCTTGTTGGTGTACTGCGTAGCTTGGATGACGTCTCTCGGCCAGAGGAAGCTGGCAAGACCAAGGAGAACGTGAAGCTCGTGGAGACCAGCAAAGCTAGGGCAGCTGCAGCCTCGAGCGCTGACGCCGAGCCGTTTCCACTTGAGGTTCTGAAGGACATGCTCGGCCACGACCGCGAACACGTCAATCTACCTCTGCTCGTCATCTTCGCCAAAGCCTTCTCATGGGATATACTCGGAGCTAAGACGTCTACTGCCGAGGGCCGCAAGCACGTCAATGAAGATGGTAGCACCACGACCGACAAGAAGGAGGATGCGTCAGCGACAGAAGACGACGATGCTGAGACCAAGGACCCGCCCATCATCGGATCCGAATTGCAGCAGCGATTCAAAAATATCCTCACGCGCTACTTTGAGGACGTCAAGGCGCACCTGTTGCGTGACCAGAAACAGCTGGCCAGCCAAGGACGCAGGAATGCCGAAGCATATGTCAAGTCGGGAGAGGTCTTCGAGGATCGCCAGGCAAACTATGAGAAACAGACGAAGGCTCAAGAAAAGCTCATTGCCAATGCGCAAGTCTTGGCTGATGCGCTGGGGCTCGAAATGCCGGATTTGAAGGAGAAGGACACGTCTGCGAACACCGGTGACGGCTTGATTGGTCTCGTGAAAACGGGAGAGTACCTACGTGGTCGAAGCGATGGTGCCGGTATATGGGAAGACGAGGACGAGCGTCGGTTCTACGAAAATCTTATCGACCTGAAAGATCGCGTGCCTGGGATCCTGTTGGAAGAGCCAAAGAAGAAGAAAGCAGACGATGAACAAGTTGGCAAGAAGGCCGAGAGCAAAGCAGAAGTTGATGACAAGGAAAAAATGGAAGCCCCTTCGGAAGCCAAAACCTCAGAATTGGACGATGCATCGACTGCAATCGCAAATAAATCTGTGGGGGCTCAGGTAGATGCTGTCTTGGCCAAGTTGCCGGAACTCAACACCAAAGATGCTGTGGACGGGACAGCCATCGACTTCTGTTTCTTGAACTCGAAAGCATCCCGCAACCGCTTGATCAAGGCTGTACAGGAGATTCCAAAAGGACGAAGCGATTTGCTACCACTGTACTCTAGGCTCATCGCAACCCTAGGAAAATACATGCCTGACGTCTCGCAAGGTCTTGTGACCTACTTGGACGACGAATTTCGCAGCCTTCAGCGGCGCAAGTCAAAGGATTTCCTTGGTCAAGTCCGGACACAAAACGTACGATATCTAGCCGAACTGACCAAATTTGGCGTCGTTCCTGAGCATGTCATCTTCCATTGCCTCAAGGTCAGCTTGGACGACTTTTCTCGCATGAACATTGAGATCATCTGCAACTTGTTGGAGAATTGCGGTCGATACCTCCTTCGTAATCCCGATACCTCGCCCCGCATGGCGTCATTTTTGGAGACCTTGCAGCGCAAAAAGAGCGCACAGGTAATGGGACAGCAGGAACGTATGCTGATCGAAAACGCTATGTACTACGTCAACCCGCCAGAGCGTGCCGCAATCGAGCAAAAGGACCGGACTCCGATTGAACTCTTCCTTCGCAAGATAATGTATCAAGACCTGACCCGCCGATCCGTCGACAAGACTGTTCGGACGATCCGCAAGATGCATTGGGAAGAGGAGGAGGTCGTCAACATTCTACACAAGATCTTTGCCAAACCGGGAAAGATTAAGTACAGCAACATCCACCTCTTAGCAATTATCCTCGGGACGATACATCGATACCACCAGGACTTCACTATTTCTGTCATCGACGAGCTTCTGGAGAATATCACCTTTGGTCTCGAGCTGAACGACTTCAAGTTCAACCAACGAAGGATAGCGGAAGTAAAGTACTTAGGAGAGATGTACATCTACCGCCTGGTAGACTCTCCTCTCGTGTTCGATGTCTTGTACAAGCTCGTGAACTTCGGCTGGGAGGGCGGATATGCACGTCCCGGCGTCTACAATCCTTTGGATCTTCCAGATGACTACTTCCGCATTCGTCTGGTGTGCAGTCTGCTGGAAACCTGCGGCATGTACTACGATAAAGGTGCGGCCAAGAAGAAGCTAGATTTCTTCTTATCTTACTTTCAGTACTATATCAACATCAAGGAAGCATTACCAATGGACGTTGAATTCATCGTGCAGGACGCGTACAGTCTCACGCGGCCCCAATGGAAGCTGATCACGAATTTGGACGACGCGGCGAAAGCGTTTAGCGAGGCTGTCCAGCAGAACTACCAGGCTTCTTCGAGCGGAAAGGCCGCTGAGCTTGAAGAGGACGAAGGCTCTGCTTCTGACGATGAAGACGGCCCGGATGACGAGGATCTTGTCATGCCCGAAGGTGACGATGAGAAGTCGTCCGGAGAGGAAGGAGAGGTGAGTGTTTCCGGTGGTCTGGAAACATTGTACCCTGCTAACAACATTAAGGAATCTGATGACGATGAACCTGTGAAGCATAACTCATCCGACGAGGAAGAGGAGCAAATCATTGTCACGCGACCGGAAGATGAGCGTGATCCCGAAGCTGACGCTGAGTTCGACCGTGAGCTCGCAAAGCTAATGTCCGAAAGCGTGGAGTCCCGCAAATTCGAGCGCAAGCCTGTGTTTGACGTTCCATTGCCAATGCGTCGTGCTCGCGACACTGCCGTTGCTGCAGAGGACAGCGCCATGGAGGCACCTGCCCAGCCCGTCCCTACTAACACAGTGAAGTTCTCTCTTCTCAGCAAGCGCGGCAACAAGAACCAAACCCGCTCCATTGATCTCCCATCAGATTCAACGTTCGCTGTTGCTATGCGCAACAAGCAGCAAGCCGAGCGGGAAGAGCAGCAGCGCATCAAGAGCCTGGTCCTCAACTACGACTTGCGAGACGACGATGCAGAGGGTGAATCACCTTTTCTTTATGACCCCCTCCTACCCAACCTTCACAAGACCCATACTAAAATCCAGCAAGGTCTCGAGAAGACGCACAATCCATATGCGCAACCCCGTCTTGACAAGGCCGGGGCGAACCGCAGCAATCAGCGATCGAGGAAACTACAGCTAAGCGATGTCAACTGGTATGCACCACCTTCTCATTTATCTTCACGGTAGTCCAAAGACGCCTTGAACGTTGCATTGTAATCGTGATGGGCAATTCAGCTCTAATTGGAATTTTGATGCTTTCGGCGTCATCCAAAGTCACTTGTCTTGCAATCGATACTTCACTGTACATCAACTCCAACATTCCCCGGCTGACCACAAGGGCCCGTGTGGGCTCGTTGTCGCAGGACTTGATCTGCCCCATACGATGCTATTGAAGCATCATTCAAACGACTCATTATCCAGCAACAAATGCCACCGCCTCTGCAACATGCCTTGTAGGTACGAGCCTGCCACTTCTAAGCCACTGGGCATCGTCGGTCCAGCTAGCTATCTGCCGCCTTCTCCGAAGCTGCAGAGGCTTAGTGTGAACACTAGCTCTCGGCAGTGCGCAAGGCCGATTGCTGCATGCACAAGACTGGGAGGAATTGGAGAGATCGAGCAGAGGACATAGACGTGCATAAGGCTTGGCACTGGCTGTTCCGAGACGGGATATGTAGGTGCTTTGCTGGGTACTGGTGATAGGAGATGATAGTGAGTTAGTTTATGGATTTTTAGCAAATTGAACACTGTCGTCATAGCCGCAACCACTGATTGACCTAAGCGCGGTGGTATGATACTTTTATGCATTCGCCATTCTTGTCCTCTATAGCTTTCCGTGATCGACATAGATAAGACGGCTTTGAGGTAGACCAGGCCTCAAGGTTCCTTGCTGAATACCAGCCATCTTCGACCTCTCACTCTCTTCTTCCTGAAAACGTCCAGTCTATCTTTTCCACCTCGAAGGGTGCATGCATTGGTCGTCAACCCATGCTCGTGACCCAGACCTGGACGAGCACATTCAGTCAAACTTGTTCGCTACGCATGACACGTGGGAGTAGCACCTCCGGGAGCTGTGCCTCTAGCTCAAACGATCTTTGCCGCCGACGTCGGCGGTGGTAGTGGGCGCGGAACTTGCCGCAGAATTTCCAGAGCGTGAAGGCGAGGGCGAGGCAGGCGACTAGGGCGGCGAGACCTTCGAAGGTGGTTTGAAGGAGTTCGGCGATAGGAGGGGGAGGAGGGTTTCGGGGGCGGAAGGTGAGGGCTGGCATCGTCGATGGCGATGGAGGCTGAAGCGAAGGCTGGATAGGAAGGTGGAAGAGATGAGTACAGCTGGTAGCGAAGTGATGACAGCGGAAGCATCGGAGTTATTTAAGCTCTTCGACATGGCGGTGATCAGTTTGAGGCCGTTGAGTGCGAGTGCGACCAGTGCGATCAGTGCGGCTTTGCATTGTCGTGTGTAACGCGTATTGTCTTTCCTGAGGCATGTTGTAGACCCACGACTCCGTTTCAGTAAGTGCGCTGAGTGCGTGTGGACAATTATTGGCCTACCGATAGTTTCCACAGCAATCGTGCAGCTAGTCGAGGACTGACCGGTCAAAACGTGATATGTCCAATATGGCTCCTCGCAAGTCAGCGTCCCAGTTGGTGATCTGCGTGCAAACTTACAGACCAGTGCGAACAATGCGTTCAGTCTCCTGCTGGTCCGTCCCATGAGGCTGACTGCGATCTTCTTATCATTTGTTTGCTTAGCGAGTATGATGCAAGCCACCCTCACTAACTCCACTTCCTAGCCCAGGGTTTGTTGGTATCCGGGCGATCTGGAGGGCTGCAGGGCCCAGCGCCACTTTGTCTTTTGACGCGGCACGGCGGACAGGCTGACAACTCACCCGTTCGTACGATATGTGAACGAATCATAGCAGCGCAAGTCGAGAAGATGTCTTCACATAAGCAGCTATTGAGCGTTGCTCGCACGAAGTCCATTGCGCTGTGCGATCGCCGCTTGCCCCGTCCAACATCCTGCAGCGACGTTATCCGCACGTAGGCTTCAGTAGCTCCAGGGTTCTGATCTTCCAAAGTTCTAACTATTCTTAGTGGGCTCAAGTGAGTCCACAAAAATGGGTTGGTGCGAAAAGCCCTATGAATATGGCGCACGCCCTATTCGAAAACAAGGAGACACCATTTCGTATCTGCAAAATGGCGGTGCCAAACTTGCGGGCCTCTCGAACAGCACTTCGACTTCAACCTAGACAAAGCCCCTGCAACGGAGGGCACTGTGCACAATCGCTTCGCACTCAGCGCGAAAGGCTTCCGATTGGTGCTGTGAGCATATACCCCTGAGAGCAGGTGGCCTTGGCACAGCCCCCGCCACCGCACTGTGCGATGAGCCTTTCATTGGCTACTAATCTCGTACGCTGAAGTATATCCTCGCGCGGATATGATACCTGCCAAAACCCTTCCAAACCAGCCCATTGAAATCTCTACCTTCAACATGCCAAAAGTCAGTACACCCGTCACCGGCACGACGGGACTTCCATCTCGAAGGAAGGAAAGAAAGCCACGAGTGTTGAGTTACAGCAAATGCCGGTTCTGCAGAGATCCAAAGGTCAAAAGCAAGGTGCGTGGAGCGCGAGGACAAAAAGTGCACTCACAAAACGTGAATTCGCTAATGGGAATTAGTGCATTTGGGACCAAGGCTCCTGGCCGAACAAATGTCGAAGGTGTTTCGAGAAAAACCTCGTGTGCTCTCCTCCGCTTCACAAGGCTGAAGAACGCTGGGAAAGTTCCAGGGCTCGACCGCCCAATTTGCCCGCTCTGAGTATTTCCGAGGAGCCGATCTTCGATGGTTCTCTTGAGCATCGAGCTGTCAGTACTGATATCATCGAGGAATCTACGGAACTCAACGATATTCGAATGTGGGTACCCATTCTCACTTGAGCATGCCTGGAAAAGCTGACGCGCCGAAGTCTACAGCTCCTAGCCCTACGATCTATGATCCTCATGGCTCTGGAAGATTACGTTGCCATCTGTGAGTCGCTATTAGAGCCCATGAAGCACGATCCAGTATGGGAGCAGCATGCGGATGTCTTGTATAGAGGATGCTCGGCGTACGAACAATTTGCTCGGGCCCTACAGAATCGTATTGATTGTCTAGCGCCACACAGCAAGCTTGCCATTAGCGCGGCCCTGGATCTGGAACATTTCTCTTGCGCCCCGAGACTTTTCCTTCGTTCTGGCGAGGAAGCTCGGGCGAAATACCACCAATACACTGATTCAATAATAGATGGATATCATGGAGAAGGTCACCACGGCATCGTCACTGTGCTTCTTATGCGACAATTTTTGAGATTCGGCGTAATTACCGATCGACTACCAGTGTTTTTCGAATGTCGGCGCAATTTCATGACGGACGTTGCCACCTTCATGAGCAGCGATGTAATAGAGGAGGTTGCTTCACAAGAACATATCAGACTATTAGAAGATTCTCAGCTGTTTATTCCTGGGACGCTGCTGAGGCATCCACAAATTAGACGGGACTACGAGGATGTTGGCCTCAAAGATTGCCTCGGACGATCAGTGGCTCTCCGCAAGTACGATGCTGGGATCATTGAAGAGCAACAAAACATCAATCAAGATCCATACGACTGTATGGGGAGGACACTTTTACATGCAGCTTGCGCAAGAGATGACGACCACGTTATTGACCCATTGATTACAAAGGGGTTGATCTGCGCCACGAAATCAGACTCCGGTCTTTCTCCACTCCATATCGCTGCCATGAGGGCGCCAAAGACATTTGAGAAGCTATATCTCTACTACAAGCAGTTAGATGATTTCAGCATTCTTGTGTCAAAGGTTGATGTATGCGACCGAACCATACTTGAATGGGCTGCGAGTTGCGGACACAATCAAATCTTCCGGTTTCTCTTGAGTACGCATAATTTCCAGTGGTATGAAGGCGATTTCATTGACCACGTTAATGAAGTTGGGCTCTCCAAGGGAATGGTCATGACTCTGCTTGAACTGGTATTGCACTATAATCACAGCAACATTGTGGAAACCATCATGAGACAAGCTGGGGATGAACTACTCAAAGACGACCAGGATCGCACACCGTTGTGGTATGCGGCGCACTATAAGTGTTTCGATGCATGGCGTTTTCTGGTTTTCCATTTTGAGGGGCATGACATCCAGCTTGAAATACGCGATAAACAACAACGAACGCCATTGATGGAGGCAGCCCGCATGGGTTTTGATCAGGGGCTCGAGTTCTTGCTTGGACGTCCAGCATCAATGATATCTGTTGGGAACCCATGGCTAAGAGACCTCGCCGGTAAAACTGCGCTGGAGCTCGCTCAAGACAACGGTCATGCATATTGCACACAACTACTAATGGATTGGGAGAGCGATTATATCACCTGAAAATCTACGATGTTTTGCTGTGTATGTTACACGTGGTACAAGTTGATTCATGGTGTTGTATAAATGAGCATGGTGTTGCGAACGAACTCCTCAGGCTGTGTCCCCCCAAATGCTAGTTGCCAAATCACGAACAAGAACTAGCTTGTCCCACATACGCTCTTCATTCCCGACATTCTTTCCATGGTGCGCACTCGCAAATCCGCACTGCGGACTGACTGCCAGTGAGTCCTGCAGGACTTCCTCTGCTGACCTGTTTTGTCCAGAAGCAATAACTTCAGCTGCATCATAAACACGTTTCTTTAACTCTTCTAGGCTTTCCAACTCCGACGTCTTCGTGGATATCAATCCCAGCGTGACGTTCTTTCCTCGAGGCAAGAAACGCAATGGCTCGAAGCTCCCCGATCTAGCATCGTCGAATTCAAGATAGAAAGTATCATAGTCGAGTTCGCGAAACAACCTTTCCGCGATATTTTCGTACGAGCCTTCGAGGAATCCAGCCACCGACCCCGGCATGTTTCCCCTGCAGACATGGATCCCAACGTACATATCCTTAGGACGGTCTCTCACAACCTCATTCAACGCCCAGATGTAAGTATCAAGCAACTCAGACGGATCGACCCCCTCACTCCTCAAGCCATCTTTAAAGCTGTCCAAGATGAAGAACAACAGCTGCGGATCATCGATCTGCACATTCCGCAGTCCAGCCTCATACAGAATCTTGAACTCGGTACGGTAAGCAACCGTCAGGTCAGCGAAGAACTCCCGATCCGAGGCATACACATCTGGAGTGTACGCCAACCCCTTCGACAGCCAGATATGATTCCACGCCGGCGACGGCAGCGCAATCTTACACTCTTTCCACTTCTCCTCTGGAACACTTTTCTTCAACAACTCCCACACCTGCAGATAGGCGGGCTCGACATGCTTAATCTTCCCTGTAGCCACAGACGCAGATGTTGTCTTTATGCCTGCCTTCTCCAAAGCATCCGAAGTCGGCATATTGGGGCGGAAGTCCTCGGGTACACGGACGTCGCGAAGCTCATTGCCACGCAGCTTTTCGAAGAAGCCTTCGAAAAAGACGGTGCGCTCGTACTCGCCGGAAGTGATGGGGCGGATGGAGAGATCGAGTTGCTTTTGGACGACGGCTGCGATGGCGCTGGCTGTCGCTAGTTGTAGCTTTTTCTTGTCGTCTTCGGTGGAGTTAGTCCCGGGAGCTGCGCCTTTTGACAGAGTCTTGTGGGCATCTAGTAGAGCTTGTGGTCGGATGAGAGAGCCTACTTGGTCGGCGCGGAAACGTGGCGCCATGGTCTGTAATCGGTCCGTCTCACTGAGCTTTGGAAGAGCGCTCTGATCTTGTGGCAGTCTTTCAGAGTCCAAGTGGACGTTCTATATCCCGCGTAGAGTCAATAAAAGGTTAGATTTAAGCTCCGGGCCTCACCAGTCGAGATCGTGGACTAAGCTTCCTCAGATGACTTGGCCTACTATAAGTGTTTAACACGCTGGCCCAATGCGGTATCGCCGGTACGAGAGAGCAGGGTTTCACACTCTTGCAGGTCGAGCTAAGCGTTGATCGTACTCTCGTATAATGTAAGGTTGTACGATGTCGGACATTCGCGATTCCGAACATGTACAACGCAAATACAAGAAGTCGATCGCATGTGGGGCTGGCTAATTGGACGCCGAACCAGTAGAGGTGAGCATAGAGATTCTTGAGAACGAACATGAAACTCGCTTCAGCCTCATCAACAACAGTCATCAAGAGCTTGCTTGTAGTCGACGAGTCTCACAGTCGAGTAGAAAGGGAGGTGCCTACATATATACCAGCTTCGCGTCCGCGCGCTTCCGTATCCTACCACTCCTGCACTTTTCCATCGCCCTTCCCACTCACATTGTCATTCCCCCAGAACCTCCCACTCACACCCCCAACATCCCCAATTGCAAGCCTGACCGGGATCCTGGCGCCCTCCTCCGGGGTCTTCGAAGGCTTTCCAACCAGGTTTCCCATCTCCGTATCCACCCACCCAGGATAACAGCAATTGATCGTCGCACGGCCCGCATTCTCGCGCGCTAAAATCGCAGTGAGCGCATTCACTGCCGCCTTAGAGACGCCGTACAAGCGGCGCCATGGGAAACCCTGCCCTGCATCTTCGCCAGCGGCTACGGCATCTAGATATTCCCTTACCAAGATGTTGAGGTCTTTAAGCGTGGGCACGGTTCTGAAGCGCTGGGCGAGGGGGGATTGAATGGATCCAGGCTTGAGCCCGCGGAGGAGAGGTTGACTATGCGGCCAGTCTTCGGCGTCAGTAGGGGTAGGATGGCGGTGCAGACGTCTAGGGTACCGCGGTAGTTTGTGTCGAGTGGTTTTCTGGCGTTGGAGGGGGGGAAGTCGCTGTCAAGATTTACGCCGGCGTTATTGATCAGCACTTCGACGTTTCCGTATGAGGATTTCAACTTCAAAACGAAAGTTGAGATACTCGATGAGGATGTGATATCGAGAGATGGATAGAGATTTCTCTGGTTGGAGGAAGAGGTGGTTAGATTGAGGTTGCTGCCTTGGCGGGAGGTTGCAAAGAGGGTTATGGGGTGAGAGATTTGGGAAGGGTGTGAAAGAAGGCTCGTGCAAATCGCGCAGCCGATGCCGCGGTTCGCGCCTGTTACGATGATAACCTTTGGGGATGACATGATTGCGGCCTGAGCTGGTGACTTTGTGTTTCGCGATTTGTTGCAAGTGAAGATGGCGTTGGAGGTATACAACTAGGGAATCATGAGGTAAAGACCCTTACTCCGAAGCTCCACATCAATGATAACAGTCCACACTCATTCTCAGATTCCGAGTGCGACTATATGTGGAATGTGGTCCCGGTTACAGTGTGACGTTTTAGATCTCAGATATTGGGCGTGCTTTAAGTTCTCGTACAATACAAGGATTAGACTTGGACAACATCAAGCAATCCCACAAGTTGCAATGCTTGTTATGCCTCTAGACATACTTTCCGCATTTAATTTTAGCCATACTCGTGTTGGATGCGGATTTGCCAAGGGTGATGGTATAAAGCAGAAGTCTTCCAGGCCAGCACGGCCGTATCTTTCGTGGAACTCTCAAGCGAACATGTTGGATTTCGAGAACAAAAAGAGATCAGGAAGACTCCATTATCTCTGTGAGAAGCGAAATTTTTGGGGCAAAAAGCAGCAATGTCCGATCATTCGATCTGCTCCTGTAGACACATATCGCCCCATCCGTCATTGCAACTCAAAGGCCCTTCATCCGCCAACATGTCGGTTATTCCTCTAGTGGGAGATTATTTGGAACCTCGTACAGGGGACCGCGGTCGAATTAACGCTCCAAAAACTCCACCGCAGTCTTTCCATGTAATGAGGCTCAATCCAAAACACCATAGCACCGAATCGCGTCCCAGGCACGTGGATCAAGCTCGGTAGCGTTCTTCACGCCAGGCCAATCGATACGCTTATAGAACGTCTGGTCATTGCAGACCCGTCCCTTGAACACATCGCAGTGGCCTCCCTCGTCCGGGCCGATTGATCGAGGTTTGTATCCGACGCCGTTGCTGGGGTTTCCGATCAGGAGAAGGGCGCACGCTCGCATGCGCTCGGGCGGGTTCCAGAAGCAATCACCAGTGAAGTTGTCGCCTTGACATGCGTAGACACCACCGGCGATTGCGGCATTGTTGGGAGTTATGTCGGTAGTGATGGAGGCGGGTTCGGTCGCCAGCGGGGAGGCGATAGCGAAGAGGAGGTGGCCTAGCAGAACGGCGAGGAAGGTGAAGGCTCGCATGCTGACAGGCTGCCTGGTTGAGTCTCGTCGAAAGGGCTTGTTCAAAGTGTTGAGTAGAGTATGGTCGTGGGTAATGATAGGTATGGCATCGTCAAGGGCCAATTGGTCGGTACTAAGTGAGAGAGGACTGCCTCGAGTGGCTTATAGCAATGGGCGTGCCAAGCGTAGCAATCGAAGAGGCGCTGCACATGGCTAAAGTGAATGAAAACCAATACGGTCTTAACCTAGCGCGGCGTTGCGAAACCGTGACAGCTGAAACAATGTGGAAGGAGCCCTCTTTGCGGTGTGTACATTTGATATTCGCGTATGAGAAACACGCCGCCGATTGCTAGTAGAAGCTTTGGCCTTCCGTACGATTCAATGTTCTCATCTATTTTTATGATGGACCCGGCCCTCCTATTAGCTCTGAAATGCAGCGGCGTGTGTACACATACAGTGCTTTGTCAAAGATTTTGTTATCAGCCTTAATTCCGATAGAAGTGCCGCTCTCCGTACTTTCCTTGCACGAATCTCTTTGCCTATGTATTATGTATGCTCTTTCTATCTCTTGCACAGTCATCCTGCGGGAACTGCGCTCAGTCTTAAACCCGTGCCAATGGATTGAGCTTTACCATTCACGTTTTCAGCGCTTCGATGCAAGAAGTGCTGCATGTCGCAGTCTGGAGGGATGTTCAATATTCCTATTCGAGTAGTATCTGAAGACCGTCGATTACGGCTAGCTCTGGACGGAGGTTACACGAGGCTGCTTCACCAATTTAGCGTGCTGGTTACGGTTAGCGTCGCGGGATGACGATTGAATGCACATCATTAACCAAGACAGCGCGGGATTCTAGAATATTGTCTATTTTCTCCGTCTTGGATGCGAAGAAAGACCGTAAGGTCAGCTTTTCTTGGTGTCAACTGAGTGAACCAAGGTTTATGGGTGATCAAGCCTTTCAGTAGCATGTGTTTACGCGTCTTGGCGACACGATCTGGATCTGGCGATCGCGTTCCCAGCAAAAACCGGATCGCATCATGGGAAAGTTAGGTTTACGCGTTCCGTCATGCTGAGCACAACCTGAGGGCCTCTGGCCGCGCTCATCCTCATTCTCCACTGTTCCATACATTCACCCCAGTCGCTCATTTTCCCCAACCGCGCCATCATGGTCCGTCCAAGCAAGCAACAAAAGCTTGGGCAGCTTTGGTGGGGAGCTCGTCGATCGTAAGCATAATGCCACCCCATATTCTGCGCAATCCATTGACCCCCGGAAGCTTGCACACTAGGCGCGTTCTGCCCACCAGAGCCACTGCTTTGCACCTAGGCACGCGATACGGTCCTCCAGTTTTCGTCGCAGCCGCGACCGCCGGTTACCTGTCGTCCTCGTCGTCGCCATGCGCATTCCTACGCCCCACTCAACTTGACGCGCCGCAAGCTTCATGGTCCATCCTCGGCCGGCGCGAAGCATCAACCCAGGCGAAGGATACATCGGACGGTAGCAATGGCACGGAATCTAGCGAGCACCGCAGCGGTGAACAAGCTCCCCCACCACAGTCACGCGTTGTCAAAAAAGAAGAGGGCGAGGCATCCACAACCGAGGAGGACAAAGTGTCTGCATGGCAGGCTATAACGCGGAAGCTTTCCGAGGCGCCAAAGTCTGTGACCTCGTTGGGTGACACCATCGTGGACTACGTGGTACCGGAGTGGGCCAAGGTTCTCCCGGGTTTCGTGAGGAAGTTGCAAAATGAGCTTTCTATGGCACCGGGTTCCCTAGCTGAAGAGATTTGGTACGAGGCAAACGACCCCGAGACCCATCCTGAGATTGTCTGGGATGCATCCGTTCGCGTCTCGAATGAGCTGTGCGCAGAAGAGAAGAAATTCCTGGAAAAGCGAGGACAGTTTACGAAAAGAGCTCTGGCACGCTATCTGGATATCCCCGAGGCCAAAATACATCCTGATGACGTTCCCATCATTGCTGTGTGCGGGTCCGGTGGTGGTCTCCGGGCGCTCGTAGCAGGGACAGCTTCCTACCTTTCCGCCCAGGAGGAAGGGCTCTTCGACTGTGTTACATACACTGCAGGTGTGAGCGGGAGCTGCTGGCTGCAGACGCTCTACTACTCTAATATTGCGCAACGAAGCCACTCTCGATTGATTCGGCATCTCAAGAATCGGCTAGGTGTGCACATTGCCTACCCTCCCGACGCACTTGATCTCGTTGCGAGCGCTCCTACGAACAAGTATCTACTCGGCGGGCTTGTAGAAAAAGCGAAAGGAACCCCGAGTGCAGAGTTCGGTATCGTCGACATCTACGGCGTGCTTTTAGCTGCACGATTGCTAGTACCAAAGGGCGAATTGTCCGTGGACGGTCACGACTTCAAGCTCTCGTACCAGCGCAGGTACACTGACGATGGCTCTCACCCGCTTCCAATCTATACGGCCGTTCGACACGAGATACCCCTAGCCGAGCAGCAAGACACTAAGGACCCAATCGCTGCCGAAGCAAAGGCGCGAAGAGAGTCCTGGTTCCAATGGTTTGAGTATGTTGAAGTCAGGTTCCATGAGAAACACATGTACTGACCATATTAGGTTCACACCCTACGAGTTTTGGTGCGAAGAACTAGAGGCCGGCATTCCTACTTGGGCAGTTGGTCGCAAATTCGAGAATGGACGATCGGTTTGGCGAAACAACGGCCTGGCTTTGCCCGAAGTCCGTGTACCATTGTTGATGGGCATCTGGGGTAGCGCGTTTTGCGCGACTCTTTCGCACTACTACAAAGAGATTCGACCCGTTTTCTCGGGTATTACCGGATTCACTGGGTTGGACGCCATGATAGCGGAGAGAGATAGAGACCTGGTCAAAGTTCATCCTATCGATCCGGCCGCAATTCCCAACTTCGCGCTGGGTATGCGAGAATATCTGCCCCCAACCTGTCCAGAAAGCATACACTCAACCGAGAACTTCCAGCTCATGGACGCCGGTATGAGCAACAATCTGCCGATATATCCCTTGCTACGGCCTGGCAGGGACGTGGATGTTTTGATAGCATTCGATGCGAGCTCCGATGTGCGTACGGACAACTGGTTGAAAGTGACTGAAGGATACGCCAAGCAGCGCGGAATCAAAGGCTGGCCTGTAGGAGCAGGCTGGCCTCCAGAAGATGAGTCAGCAGAAGAGCTGCAAAAAGACCTCGATAGTGCGCAAGCGCGTACGGAAGAACAGGCGCAAGAGAAAATGCGCGAAGCCAAAGAACATGACAAACCCAAGCAGCCAAGTGGAAAAAGCAAGGATCTCGGCTTCTGCAACGTCTGGGTTGGCACCACGGAAGAGCGCACAGCGGACCGGGAAAACTTCAGCTCTAAACAAGCCGAAGAAGACTGGGAAATCACGAGACCCGATGCTGGTATCACGGTCGTCTACTTTCCATTTTTGAAGAACCCCAAGGTTTCCGACATTGACCCAACGACTTCAGACTTTATGAGCACATGGAACTTTGTGTATACGCCCGAGCAGGTGGATTCTGTCGTGGAACTGGCCAGAGCCAATTTCCAAGAGGGCGCGGAGCGAACAAAGCGCACTGTGCGGGCGGTTTATGAGCGCAAGAAGAAGAGGCGGGAGGAACGAGAAGCTGAGGAGCTTGAGAGGCGGAGAAGGTGGAAGTTGAGGGAAGGCCGGTCGGGTGGGAGAAGAGTTGGCGAGAGCGATCATGGAGATCACTTCAGCTAGCACGAGGTTGAAGTTACCGCGTCGATGGTTTGAGATCTTGACCATTGGACGCGGTGTTACCAGGCAAAAAGTTGATACTGCGCATTATACCCCCAATCATATTCTGTACCGTGAATTGGTCGCTTCGAGACTCGACTTTTGTGAAACAATCTCTACAGCACTAGGACAAAAATCGAGTGCAGCGTGCTACCCAAGCGTAGACAAATCGTAGGCCTAGTGTACTTACTTTTTTGTCCTGGTATTGCATACGACAGGCCCAGCATTGGACTTCGTGTTTGCGTCGGAGTAGGCGGGAGAGACACGTGACGTCAGACGCGTCGACTGGTACCTGCCGCGTTGGGCCCGCCCACCCACGGAGACACTATAGCTACTGCTGCCTTCCCTCATTATGAAGCTTTCGCCTCTCAATTTGACTCCACGACGCACTATTATAGCACGCTCGGCGATTGGGTCCCCTTGATCCACTGGGATCTCGCGTTACGGTTCCTGTCGCGCAGCCACCCCGCTCCTGCTTAAGACATCACGTCTCTATCCGCAACGCGCAAACCCGAAGCCCAAGCCAAAGACGCCCCACGGCTATCCAAACACTCGCGTCATCGCTTGTTGTCTCCTGAATCCGACAATCACACTCTTCTACTTCTGACCCCGCCCGCAGGCCGCCACCGCAGCTCAACTCCACGATGGCTTCCATCACGACGCACGAGGATATGGCCATGTCCGACATCGCCTACGCTCACATACCGCACCACGAGTATACGTATAGATTACCAACTCCGCCACGAATAGTGGTGCCTCCGCCAACCCTCACGACCGAGGTGCCCGAGCTACATGTCAGCGGAGTTGACCCCGCGGAGGAGAATGACACCAACTTCCTGAAGGAGATGAATCTTGAAAGCATAATAGCTAAGAACACACTGCTGGACTGGTCATACGAACGGCGACGAAAAGCGCAGATGATCCTTCCATGGCTGTATCTAGGCCCACTTAATGCGGCCAAGGATCGTGAATGGTTGAAGAGCGAAGGCATCAGCATGGTGTTGGCTATACGTTCGCAACCTAAAACTATGGCGGGTGCCATTCAGGTTGCAAAGGAAACCTGTGGTCAGGTTGAGTCCGTGGTGGCTGCTACTTACTTCGACTTGGTCGGCCAATTGTCGTACACCACCAGGTTGATCAATCAACATGTCGCAAAGATTAGGCGGATGACGGAAGCCACAGGAGATCCACAACTCGGCAAGGTCCTCGTCTTTTGTGAGAGTGGCAATGAGAAGTCGGCGGCGGTCGTGGCAGCCTACCTGATGGAGGTTCTTGACGACTTCGATTTCATCAAGAGCATGCAAGTTTGCCAGGCCCAACGCTTCTGCGTGAACTTTGACGACAATATCAAGAACATACTCCAAAATCATTGGGACATTCTTGTTGCCCGGCGCTCAGTTGCACATTCGCGGTCAGAGCAGCTGAACTCCACAGTGCTCACCAACGGACTGCAGCAGGCCGCACGACAATCTCATCAACAAGGCCAGCTACATGCGCCTCAAAACTCGTCAGTCAAGGCGAAGCGATCCATCGAGGACATGGACGATGATATGGACATGAGCGATGGTGGGAACCCCACGGATGTGCTTCGGTTCCAGGGTAGGGACGTCACACCCTTCATGGATCAGTGAGATCTGGCATATTGATTTTCCGGCGTTCAGCGGCATACAATTCGTGATACCCAAACATCTTTCGATCCGGCGACCTTCGAGTTTGGTCAACAGCGCCCACCCCTCGCGCCCCGGGTTGTATCGTTTTCGCCCTAGCTCTTGCAAGCGCGCACACACCGTCTCAGATGACCGTGTGATGTCCTAATGTAGGTCTAGCTTTATGCAAGGTGGAGAGGCGATGCATTTGATCCCTTCCTTCGATGCAAGCGGGCTGAGAAACGATTTTGTTTTGAGCGCGAGGGTTCTCGCACATGATGAAAAATCGAACTGGTGGCTTCACACTTAGCATTCAACTTGAATTCAGCATTCAACTTGAACTCAACGTTCAACACACTGTGGTTTGAATGTTCCTCCGTGATTCTTTCACTTCGATGTCGATGTGTTACAGACGAACAGCTCTTTCATTGCAAACTTTGTCACCTCGTGACCCGCTCCAGGGAATTGAACATGTTTTCCAAGATTTGCCTTTGATAATATCTCCCTATTGCTGGTCCTGGTGGTCTAGCTAATCTCCTGTTGTTGGGCAGGGTTCTGCCTACGGGTGTGAATGCTCCTGATTGGCCCGACTCGATACACGTCTCAGCCCTACGTCTCAAGCGCAACGTCGACCCTCGTCGGACCCCCGAACGCGCGCGCGGCCACGCCCACAGCTCCCCACGCCGCGAAAATGGAGTCGATCGAGACGCAGCTTCTCAACAAATACAACATACCCACTCTCTTCCCTGCGCAATGGCCTGAAGAGAAAGACAACAGCTCCGATTCCGAGGACGATGGGCCGGCACCGCAGCGCCCGCAGACGCTGCAGCCCCCCGGCCGCCGCAAGAGCCGGTTCAGCGTGCTAGAGCCCAGCGGCAGCTTTACGCGGAAGAGGGACGGCGTGGAGAAGACGAAGGAGGGCGTCGAGAACCTGGTGCAGAAGGATGAGCAAGATCCGCTGGGGACGTATCCGAGCGTGGTGCAGGTGCTGCGGCAGCGGGGTCTGGCGGTCGAGGACGATGTCAAGCTGAGTATGCAGGCACTGGAAACACCGCAGCATGAGAATAGCCACTGACGCGACTGTACAGGGAATCGGTTCCTCCTCAGCTCGACGACGTTCTCGCCCTCGTTGTTCCTCTCCAACGTGCACAGCTCTGCATCGACCGACTCGCTGCTCTCCGGTCTTGACTTCCTCTCCCGCAGCATTGAGAAGAAATCCGCGTCTCTCAAAGTCCTCGTGGAAGCAAACTTCGAGCGCTTCGTCGGTGCAAAGGCGACCATTGACCGTGTCTACAGCGAGATGCGCGCGGACGGACAAGAAGCGCCCGAACCGCCACCAAGCCCGAGCCGGCGGCCGGGACACTCGCGAGGCCCGAGTCGGAGCAGCTTCTCGGCACGGCCGCGGGGAGCCAGCGCGACTTTGACACCGCAGACAGTTGCGCAGATTAACGGAGAAAAGAAGAAGAATGCGCTGGTCAAGGAGAGTGAATACGGCGTGCACGGCATCAAGGTGCCGCTCACCGAGGTGGCAGTCAAGGCCGAGGAAGTGTGGGGCCCTGCCTTGGGCGGCAGGGACAAGGAAGAAACGCTGAAAGAGATTCTCTTGTCTGTGGAGAAGAACCGTGGCTTGTTTGAAGTGGGGTCTGCGATACAGGACGCAATTCGGCGGAAGGACCACGAGACGATAGTAGAAGAATACACCCGAGCACGGAAATTTGCGGAAGACACGCGCTACATTGTGGAGCAAGCCAACTATTCGAAGACCCCGCTTGCCGACTCCCAAATCCACCAGATTATCGTCACGGCGAGAATGTGGGCCGATGTGGAGCATCAGATTGAGACATTCAAACGAGACTCGTGGAAGCGGCTGACCTCCACGCACTTCTCGAGGCATGAGACTGGCCTTGATCAGGCAAAAGAGCAGTACATGGAGCTCATTTCCATCATGCTGGAGCTGGGCGTCGAGGATAACCCTATCTGGGTGTGGTTGCTCTCGCGATACGAGCATCTGAGGAAGCGAATCCTTGAAAGCTGCGACCGTGCAAGGATGGAGATCGAATATCTGCGGCGGCTACTGGGCAACCAGCCGAAGCCGGGGCTGAAGACTTTGCTGAAGCACCTGAGGGCCGTCCCGACCAACAGCAAAATCACCGCCGAGCCTGCGAAACTGGATACGTCCAAGACGATCGAGTTCTGGGAGTATATGCACACCTCGATGACCTCGCTTCTCGCCGCTAACGGTGGCATATTGGGCGAGATCGTGGAGTACTGGGACATAGCCCAGTCTTTCATCGATGGCAAGGCGCAGAAGTCGCTGCCTATGGGTTTCAATAACCAGTCATCTGTGCATCACAAGCTCTCCCCCGGCAATGTGACTGAGCTGGAAAATGGTATCACAGAGCTGGTGAACATTATCAGAGAACATCTCTTCTCGTTTTTTGCAGAACCGCCAATCGAGGATATCACCTCGCTCTACTCGCCGCTACCGACGAGCCCTACTCCTACTACACCAAGAACGCCAATGAGTGCGGCACTTAGCCCGACGATGGGCTCCAAGTTCCGCTTCGATCCGAACAGTGCCCCGCCTCCTTCGCCGAAAAGGGGCGACGCCTGGGAGAAGTATGCGTTCTGGCCACCGCACTCGAATGCGTTGTCGGGGTCTCACTACCTGGCCAAGTCGCTGCTGTTGATCGGCACGGCAGCAAACGAACTCGCTTCCTTGCGTCTAAACGAGACAGGGTCAACTGTTCGTCTTGATGAAGCCCTTCGCGCCCTCGTTGGGGGTGTGCGTGAGCGCTGCGTGCAGGCTGTGTGTGCAGCATGGAATACAGATGCCGAGAGTCTGAAAGTGCTTGAAGACTGGACGAGAGATGCTGATCGCAAAGATATTACCACGATGCCTACTCGCTTCTTGGCTGTGCAGAGCTTCCTGCTCAACAACCTGCAGAAAATCATGTACGTGGAGGCGTCGAGTAAAACGGCAGTAGATGTCCTAGTCCCACCGAGCAGTAAGCTACTGCAGATGGTTAGGAGCCAGTTCGTGACGAGCTTGTACAGAACATTGAGCGGGATGGTTGAGTGTGCGGAGAAGGGGCGAGCAGCACTGGGCAAGGATTTCGAGATCAAGAATGACGATCTGACCGTAGATGACGATGAGGCTCATAACGCAGGATGGGGCAAAGTCGATGCCAGCAAGAGGGTAAGTCTCCCTCTACGCGCTAACTACCTGACATGACCACCGCTAACACCCACCCAGTCCATCCGCCTCCTGCTCACCCTCTCCAACATGACCTCCTTCCAAACCGAAATCACCCCGCAACTGATCACCCTCTTCCAAAATCTCTTCTCCGTCTCCCTAACCGAGGAGTCCAAGAAAATCGACGGCGTCCTCTCCCAGCTCGACGCCCAGCTCTTCAAATCCTACAACCAGCCCCACGCCGCCCGCATTGCCGGCACCATCGAACAAGGAATCTTTTCGCCCAGCTGGGCGCCGCCCTCTGACCCCGGAAAATCCGTCGCAGACCGCCAGCCCTCGCCTTACGTCTTCGCCATCCTCCTCGGCCTCGTCCTCGTCCACACAGAAGTTAGCACCACCTCGCCGCCACTTACCGCACGCATTCTACGCGCGCTATTCGAGGCCACAACCACGGCGCTCATCAAGACGTTCAACGATCCGCGTCTCTCCAATATCAACCTACAAGCGTTGATGCAGGCGACGCTGGACGTGGAGTTCATGGCGCAGACGCTAGCGAGCTACACCACCGAGGCGGCGAGCGCGACCCAGACGGAGATATACCAGGTGCTGGATGGGAAGACGGATAACGAGGCGCGGGTGAGGCTGCAGGGTGAGCTAGGGAATTTGAGGGGCACGCTGAAGAGTCTAAGGGAGGGGACAAGGGTGGAGTTTAGCTGTTTTAGGAGGGAGAAGAGGGCGCCGAGGGGGTGAGCGGAGATGTGTTAAGCCTTGTGCGTTTTAGGCTGAAGCAGATTATCATTGAGCTGGGGGTTTGGATTGAAACACCACAGCTCTAGTCTCGTGATCTTTAGCACTAGGATAATCTAAGCGAGCTTTCCACCTTTGCTTTTCCAGCTTCACCCCCCCCTTCAAACGCTTTCTCGCATCCACCCAAACCCCACCCACCACCAACGCGAGAATTGAACCAATGGACGACTCCGATGGCAGGCCTTTGTTTGCGTTCCAAGACCTGGATTATGTTCCCTTTGGGTACAGTGGTATCTCGGCACCGTACATTGAAACTGGACCAGGCACCATGCGGGCAGCTGCAACTCTGATGGCGCTTGATATGGTGTTGAAAGACGGGAAGGCAGCTGCAACTGTCATTTGCGATCTTGGTTGCGGCGATGGAGAATTCCGTAAGATGGCGAGATAGCCTATTCTACCTCCATTCTATCCACCATAGATCGACACCTCTTCCCACCTTAGCAGCCGCCAGGGATTCCCCCCACTAACGAAATTAGACAACTCCTACAAGCCAGATACTAATTGTGCCGTGTCAAGTCCTCGGTTTACTCGGCCACATTAATGGCTCCACAAGCAACCTCACCACTGCCCAAGGTGTGGGCATCGATTACAATGCCGACCTGATCAAGACTGCAGGTATCAACTCGTCCACCCAAGGCGCCAAGGCTGAGTGGCTCATCTACGACTTCAATGATGACCAAGACGACGTCGCAAGCACGTTGATCGCTACCTACAAGATCACCCACATGTTCATCTACCTCGTCCCGAAGCAACTGGCCATGCGGACGGTGAGAAGGGTATGCAAAACACACTTCTGGGCTTCGGTGACGCTGTTTGGCTGGCTGACTGGGGAGTTAGATCCTTACGCGACTCCATGAGCATGGCGTTGTGCTTTGCTGTCACAAATTCTATCCCGAATATCTGATGCCTGCGAGAGTGGATGCTTTGATGAGCTTGGCGGTTTATCATCGCCCTAGATGAGGGAGGGGTCTTGGCTTTGTGATCACCTTCGTCTTCCGGGTCCTCTTCAGCGGGAGTCGAAAACGCTGGGTTAACAGCTCAAAGCATGGCGGCTTTTGCGATAGGCGTCGAATAGAAGCTCATTCTGCAGCAAGCCTTCGTCGACATGGAGGGACGGTTCTTGGGTCGTGGTGCATTTGACGTGCCACAGTGGGCTTAGAGATGTGGTGGGGAAATCAAGACTTGTCAAACTTCAATATTTGCCTTCAGCGCGGTGATTCTTCTGATCAGTGAGCAAACAGCAAGCCTGTCCTTTTGAGTGACCTAAAATTTTAGCCCTGACGAGGAGACTCAGCTCTGCCTTGCGGGCAAATTAGCTTTTAGCTGATTAATCGAGACCAGATGAACCAGATAAATATGCTACCCTTTTGTTCTAGCCTAAGACGTGCCAATAGCGCCTCGTAAGACTGCTTTTATTAGACGGACCATGATTTTTCCAACAGGCCTTAAACAGCAAGCCATATGTAGAGGTGTTTACTGTAGCCAGAGCATCACATGGACTATCTTCAAATTGCCCATCACACTTGACGCTCTACGAGAGGATGATACAACTTTCCTTGATGCTGAAAATTGCAGTGCGCCGCCCATGTTCCAGTGGTTCTCCGGTCCATCATTTGTCCAATTAGTCATACGTGTGGCAGACTCGGCGGCGATCAATCTGCATCTTAGGTTTCAACATGTGTGCTTCCAATTAAGATCCCACACAGGCGAACGCGGGGATCTCCTAAGTTTCACTGCAATTTTAGCCCGAACAAGGAGCTCCAGCACAATCTCACCTGACTTTCAGCACTTTGTTTCTAAGGCGAGAGCAGATAATCGATCGAATTTAGGCAGTTGTGCGCTTTTCTTCGCTTTCGCCATTAGTCGCACTTGCGGTAGCCTTTGGACAGTATGTTCAGGTATGTGATGCTGTGTAAATAAAGATTGAATGTCGAAAAACCTGAATAACGATCGTAAATAGCAACTTTATGCAGACATCTGCGTGCTGAGGTGTGAATATTCACGTCGTACTAGAGCAGAGTTGCCGATATTTAAAGGCTCTATAGTGATGGATGCTAGACTCTTCGTTGGGGCTAGAGATAGCACTATAATACAGCCTTGTGCATCTAGACAGGTCGTTGCAACGTGAGATCACAGTCCAAGAAAGTCGACGTGGCTGGTTCGCTTGATCCAGCACGGCTGACTACATACCTCTTCAACAGAAATAGGGATTGTACGTCAAGAAGCAGAGAAGCGTTTCTCATTTCAGCCTGGCCTACGATCTATGTATTGTTGTCCGATAAGCCATCCGCTCGCCAGCCTTGTGACCATCAGCTGCTCGTATTCCGCCAGAATCGCGCCCATCGCTCGGTTTTGCCCCAATCACGCGGCCCGAAAAAAAGACACTGCTTTCTTTAGTGTGGACTCAGGGTTCTATGTAAGGCTCGTAATCCTGACAACCTCTTACCTCTGGAGCTAGCTGGACGGATCGAAAATTGGATTTCTTTGGATATATCCTTCAGGGTCTTACAGGGTCTTAAGAACCACATTTCGCTTACCACTCTACATTAGACTGTTTCTACTGCATGTCGTGTGATATGGGTAGCTCGTACGGATGACTTCAATCTTGTTCTACCATGTCCGGGACCTTCCCTTGTTATAATTTATATATGTATCTTCCTACTAAGGATCTCAACGATGCATCAGTGTCTTGCATGCTCACAATACAACATGTCGAGCATGCAGTCATCACACTAATAGAATTTAACATAAATTCAGCCTCGTCAACAATTCGCCGAGTCTAAGGAGAGCTATGTAATATGAGTGATAGGATGCTTACATTAGCTGACCACTGTCCTCTCCTAGGCTAATAAAAAGAAGTGAACTATCTCACAACTATGCCTGCATGCTCAAGCTCTATCACTGGTAGTACTTCAGCAATTTGCAAGCGCACCAATCGAACACCCCTTCCTCAGCCTTGTCAATCTCCCCACCCGTGCTAAAGAAAGCATTCGAAATGCCAGCTCATCAACGCTGTCAAGTGCCATGATCATCTTTGATTCGTTCTCCCTGAAGATAGAGGCATGTGACATGCACGCTAGAACAATAGTTGCGTGAAAATCTGCGATGCCTTGTTGCGTCTTTTGTTCTGCGCCTCCGAGATTCGATATGAAAAACGATGCAATAGTCAACATACGATCTCCGGCTCAGTCTCTTAGCATCTGTTTGACATCGGGATTGTTGAGAAGCTACTTCGCTAGTGACAATTTTCCACTTACAGGATTTCCGGATGTCTAGTAGACACCGTCTCTATGCCGTAGCCACTGGTCTAGATCACTCCATTTGGCCGAGGAATTAGGTGGATAAATAGCCTATTCAAAAAGTCCGAGCATGTTGCTCGATATTGCTGTCCATACTGTCGTCAAGCAAGCGGAATCAGAGGCGGTTAAAGACTCTTCTGGAATACTCTCGGGAAAGGGCTTTCTCCGCAACACTGACGAGGTTATTGTTCTTCATTGAGGCTTGCAGGATTTCCTTCAGTGCATCTGTCACAAGATTTAGGAATCCCCCTACGAGGCGCTCAAAAGCTTCTTTTGCAACCCAATTGATCTTAGAGCCAATTGAATGGGGATTCACGCTGCTTGCGGTCTGCCGCAGTTTAGGTCTTAGTTGTGATTGTCCGTCCAGTTTGAGGGCTTGCGCACACTTGTAGTCGCGTATCATCAGTCGATCACTCACGGCTTGGAATGATGCCACGAAATCATTCGGCTCGGCTGGGCGAACTTCCTGCCGGCGCTGGAGCTAAGAGCTGTTTCGGCGGAGCTCATGAATGCAAGTGAGACCTCGCTGGACCATCAATTAAATGACCAGGTTATTCAAGCGTCTGTCTCAGTCTCGAGTCATGATATCCAAACGATGTGCCCATTGCAGCAGAAATACTTTCTGCAAGTCGAGTTTTACTCGAGCCGCACGTAGTCCTTGCTATGGATATTGCAAGGCCAATCTGTGATATCAGGGTGATACAGTCTTCAGAAACGCCCACGAAGGGCGATCACACTAACAACGAGGCCGACAGTCTCCATGGCTGTATTGCTGCGGGGTCGGAAAAGGATTGATATGCGCATGTCCAGAGAGCTAGAGCTAGTAATTAGGCCATGGATGAGACGCACCATAGGAATCAAAGACGTGGGATCACCTGGCTGAGCCTTGAGCCGTTGCAACTTCTCATATGATCATCTACGTGGCGCTGCGCCATTGGCGATTGAGGATGCAATGTGGTTTTCTGCCTGGCATGGACCTGTTCGGACACGAGATGAGGACCTCTTACCTACGATGAGATGGTGGGAAGGTGCACACGACCTAGATGTGAGGCTAGCCTTGCTAGGCAACCACCTCATCTCGATGGAAACATTACTACCAACATATGCTTTCAGAGAAAAACTTTACTTTGGATGGATAACGTGGTGGAAGTGCGAGACTGCGTTTTGGACGGAAGACCAATTACGTTTTTAGTTGAACTATGATATTGTGCAGCTGAGATCAGGACAGGTAGGTATTCCCACCAACTCAGAAGAGAAGTGGGGCAGCTGTGCAGCAAAGAACAATGCACTCTTCGACCCTCTAAAGCATCGCGCATAAACTGGTTTAGGTAGACGTGGAAATATTCTGAGGCGGCTCGATCTAGCGCATCCCTGTTCGTCATAGCCCCGTCTCCACAATTAGATCAGGTCCGAGCCGGCGCGCATCGCAACCCTCCGCAAGCTCCCCCACGGGTTGTTGGCTTCAGGCTTCTCGAACACCCCAGCCATGCGATACAATCGAAGATGCACACAAGAATGATAAGACTTTAGTTTGACTATTAATTCGAACCTCCACTATCTACTTTCGCTCGCCGCGCGCCAGGAGCTCCTCGAGAGCTCCCCCAACCGGGCAGGCACCATGGTTGGCCCACGCAAAGGCGCCTTCGCCGAGGAGGCTGCAGAGGTCGAGGTGCTCGAAGCGAACATCGAGAAGATGAAGAGCTTGACGAAGAAGATCCAGGCCTCGCGAAACAGGCTGGAGACGAGCGGCAAAGCGATGAACGAAGCTATGGCGCCTATCTACGGAAATACGGCGAAGCTGCAGACCACGAACCGCAGTATGATACTTTGAAACAGAAGCGGCCCGAAGGCTAACATGGTTGCAGACATCGACCGAATACTTGACGCCATCGATAAGCTGCGTGCACCTTTGGACCAGTCAAATCGGGAGGACCGGATCATCAACAAGGGGTACGTCCAGCTGTGTCTTGACCATGCTTTTTGCTAACCCAGACAGCCTCCGGAACGTCGACCTCCAAGACTATATTGCTTCCCTCGGCCGCACTAGTCAGTCTCTTGCAGAGCTCAAGCGAACGAATATGCGCGCCAATCAACAAGCCGTCGCCGACATGAGTGCTCTCTTGAAGCGCGGACTGAGAGAATTGGAGGATGCTTTTAGAGACATATTGCGAGAAAGCTGTAGGCAGACTGTTGTGCCTCTGGAATATGTCATGAAGAGTACGGAACCTGCTGACCATTTCGGCTTATTTGCTAACGTCTGCAGACAACCCGTTCCCAACGATTCCACAAGAGCAACTATCGACGTTGCGTCTCATCAATACCCACATATCAAACAGCTTTGCTCAAATATCACAACCGGATGTGCGCGAGACACCTACTCAGAAGATTTACGCGGAGGTCAGAGGCGAATACATGACCAGATCATTACAAGATTTGGCTGCAGCGTCCATCAATACTGCGAAGAAGGTGACAGCGGATGCGATCTATAGAAAGGGCACGAACGGCATCGGAATATACGCGCAGGGTATGGAGGGCTTATTCGTGGCTGAATACGACAACATCACCAACATCTTTCCACGCGATGAGTGGACGATCGTCTGCGGAGCAACATGTGCTGCACCGCTTGCAGACTTCACTAAGACGCTACGTGAGCTCAATGGTCACATTCAAAGGAACCTGATGACAGACTGCTTTTTGGGATACGAGATCGTCGACATCGCTTCAAAGCTGTCTATGCGATTAGAGCAGAGGATGTCTGCATTGAGGCGGCCCATTCAAGACAGCATTAAACCCATCCGTGAGACTTCAAAGGCGTCCATGAACAAATTACTGGAGGATACAAGGGCGCGGATACAAACGCTGGTTGCGTTGCCGATGGATGGAGCAGCTGTTCCTGTAACGACGACGACAATGACCCGACTGCAGGAAATGACCAACTATTTGAGTCCAATTAGCTCTATTCTCGCATCGCTGGGCGACGGGGGGTGGAAGTCGACCACGAACACAGGATCATCCTCATCCCTTCCGCTTGATGTCGGGCCAGATGGACAGAGGCTATTTGAGCACTACGCATCCGATACGATCGAAACTTTATTACAGAATCTGGATGGCAAGTCTCGAGCTCTGATGAAGAACAAGAGCTTGCAAGGAGTTTTCCTAAGTAACAACGCTGCCATCGTGGAGCGCATGATTCGGTCGTCGGAATTGGCACCCTTGATGGAAGACTATATGCAGAAGAAGCTGGAACCTTGGAAGAAGAAGGCATCATCATGGTACCTGGAAGCTTGGCGAGAACCCTCGGGCTATTTGCTCGACGTCCAGTACACGAACCGCAAAGAACGTCCGCAATCGAGCACTGCAGGCTCTGCCGACTCGGTGGCCATTGTCAAGGCGCTCGGCTCGAAGGACAAGGACGCGATCAAAGAGAAGTTCAAGAGCTTCAACACCAGCTTCGAAGAGCTTTTACAACGGCACAAGTCGTACAAGATGGAGCGCGAGGTACGTGGGCATCTGGGTAAAGAAGTGCAGAACATCATGGAGCCTTTATACAGCCGCTTCTGGGACAGGTACCACGAGATCGACAAGGGCAAGGGCAAGTACGTCAAGTACAGCAAGGTCGAGCTGGGACAGGCTCTGTCTGGGTTGTCGTGAAGCGGTGCCTAAGGCGTTTGTCGTGTTTTTCGCAGAATACCCATGGTTTCAGTCCACAGGCTGGTGGTTGGTTAATGCGCAGGGTAATTGGGAACTTGGAAGCATGCCATTGGATGTGGCAGCAATGACTGCAGTCTGGCTTGGCGTTGAGGCAGAATGGTGCCACGATAGACAATGAGTCTGCGGCGCCTGGCTGCGGCGCGAATGGAGGTCGTGGAATAGTAACAGCAGCCTCGTAGTCATGCATCATACAAATACTGGTAGCCAAGCTCAGCCGGCGCAACGCCAGGCTCGGGCAATTTGATCGCCCAGTGTCGCAAGCTCGCTTCCGCACGTGATATCTCCTGTTTGGGCAGGGGCGCTACGCGACAGCTTCGTGCTGCAGCTGCACACGGCGCACAGGGCCAGGCGCACACAACAGAAAGCTGTCAATTGCAGCCTGCGCGAGTCTCGTTCTTTCTTCCGCCACCAGCTCTGCATCTGCCATACCCACTCTTACACTGAAGCCGGTGCTGCGCGGCTTGCGGGGAATTTAAGCTAGCGCCCAGTGTCCAGTGCTCCAACGCTGCTCCCAATCCCTGCGCGGACCCCTTTCCTCAAGCTCCAGGAGCGCACCACGCCTTCTCCAGCACAACAGCAGACTCTCCCGCACCACGCCATCGCTGTCCGCGCCCCGACGTCGACTGCTCTGCCCCATAGCTCAGCGTGTATCCATCGCTCAGCAAGCATACCTACCTCTCACTGGTACGTCGCCGCCCCGACCTCCGTCCTGACATTTTTCTCCAGGTTTCGGCCTGTCGCTCGTGTCGCACCTCCGTCTTGTTTAGTTTTGTCAACAAGCCACCCCATCGTTCACTGAAGCGTGTGCTGACCCGAGTTTCGCTCTGCAGGAGTCCCTCCTTGACGACGTTGTCTCTACATCTGCCGTCTCTCGTTCACCATGGGTAAGGGGTCCCGCCCGATCGAGCATCCTTGCCAGCCATTGTGCTACACAGCACCATATTCCGGCGTCTCTTCGCACGGCGGCGCAACTGCTACAGCCTGCAGTCGCCTCGAAACGGGTGTGGCTGCGCTGATACCGCTGCCTCCGCAGACGCACCTCGCCTCTAAATGTCAACACCCGCTAATACACACACAGCATCCAACGGCGCGTCCCCGACGGCCCCTACGCGTGCATCCCCGTCGCCGCCCACCTCGGCCGGGTCAAATCTTGTTGAACAGATGAACGCGGTACACAGCCAGCAGGCCTCGGCCCCTGCCCCTACAACCATCTCGTCTAAGGATCCCAAGGCGGCGGCCGCCGCCGCGAGCGACATGAACATCGTCCGCAGGAAGCTGACCGGATACGTTGGTTTCGCGAACCTGCCAAACCAGTGGCATCGCAAGAGTGTGCGCAAAGGGTTCAACTTCAATGTTATGGTTGTCGGTTCGTACACACGAGCCCTAACAGGTAAAAGTCCTGTCTCTAACATGTCTCGCAGGTGAATCTGGCCTCGGAAAGTCGACGCTCGTGAATACCTTGTTCAACACGTCCCTCTACCCGCCCAAGGAGCGCAAGGCCCCGAGTCTCGATATCTCCAAGACTGTAGCCATCCAGTCGATCAGCGCAGACATTGAGGAGAACGGTGTGCGTCTGAGGCTGACTGTTGTTGACACCCCTGGCTTCGGCGACTACATCAACAATGACGAGTCCTGGGACCCCATTGTTAAGAACATTGAGCAACGATTTGACGCCTACCTTGACCAGGAGAACAAGGTGAACCGCATGAACATCGTGGACAACCGGATCCACGCTGTTGTATTCTTCATCCAACCCACCGGCCACTCGCTGAAGCCTCTCGATGTTGAGGTCATGAAGAAGCTGCACACCAAGGTCAACTTAATTCCGGTCATCGCCAAGGCAGACACTTTGACTGACGAGGAGATCGCGGCGTTCAAGGCTAGGGTGAGTGTCTGGAGCGTTGTGCCAGAGAAGGCTTTAACTAACACATGGTAGATTCTCGCGGACATCCAGTACAACAAAATCCACATCTTCGAGGGCCCCCGCTACGAGCTCGATGACGAGGAGACGATCGCCGAGAACGCCGAAATCATGTCCAAGGTGCCCTTCGCCGTTGTTGGTGCCAATGCTGAGGTTAGCACGGCCGATGGTCGCAAGGTTCGTGGGCGTCGGTACCCTTGGGGTGTCATAGAGGTCGATAACGAGGAACACTGCGACTTCGTCAAGCTGCGCCAGATGCTTATCCGAACACACATGGAAGAGCTCAAGGAGCACACCAACAACCAGCTGTACGAGAACTACCGTTCCGACAAGCTTACTTCTATGGGTGTGCAGCAAGACTCCAGCGTGTTCAAGGAGATCAACCCGGCGGTCAAGCAGGAGGAGGAGCGCTCGCTACACGAGGCCAAGCTCGCCAAGATGGAGATGGAAATGAAGATGGTCTTCCAGCAGAAGGTCGCGGAGAAGGAGAGCAAGCTACGACAAAGCGAAGAAGAGCTGTATGCCCGACACCGGGAGATGAAGGAGCAGCTAGAGCGGCAACGACAGGAGCTAGAAGAGAAGAAGACGCGCATCGAGCAAGGACGACCCCTCGAGGAGAAGGGCAAGAGGAAGGGTTTCTCGCTCCGTTAAGGTCTCGGGTCATCATGACGATGGGGCCTATGCTCCCCAACCTCCACGACTCTTGCAGCAGAAAACTCGGAAAAGCCTCTTCTCCCTTCTCATATCCTATTTATCAAACCTTGTAATTTGCTCTCGGTTGCCGACACCACAGGTGCTGCCGGCGACAGATAATACCTGACGGAGCGGGCGGCCTGGGCGGAGGACAGAACGGCCGAGCGGCGTCGTCTCATTGGTTTAGTTGCTTCGTCGGTTGATTGATACCAGCAGCATTGCGCTCCTTTCCGCTTCCCTTTTCTCCTTTGCGGTACTTTTCATTATTTAGAGGACGGACAGATGTAGTTTTGGGTGGCGTGGACAGGGGCTTCTTTTCGTGTATTTTACACATCATCCTAGTAGTGAATTGGTTTCTTTTGTACAAGCATGTGATAGCAATGACATCGAGTGACATGGTTCGCGTGAGCAGGTGATGATGCTCCGGACGAGCACGCAAGCAGCACATGGGACACTGGCGCGGCTGAGAGGTGATCGCCAGGGTGCGTGGCCTGTGCGTTAGCGAGAGCGGGTGGGTGGGCGTGAAGCATTTCCAGTGTGTCGTCACCAACCCAGAGGGCGGAATTTCTGGTTTCCTGCCTTGCCGACGCGCTACGTACAGCCCCATATCGCAGCCTTATTACCCCTCCTCCCACTCTCTATTGCATCGCATCGCATCCTTCGTCGCTTTTGCATCAGTCGCGTTCGTTGCAGCTTCCTCCAGCTCCGACAAACGTACCCCGCCAGTAAGTGCCCACCTCAGTCATGCACCAACCGCGTCATATGTGCCGTGTGTCAAACGACCAGCCCAGCCACCAGCAACAGCTTTGGGCTTTGGACACATTGCACTGTGCGCGTTTTCAACTGTTCCCATCAGGCACCAGCGACTGTTGCGCAGCTATTTGAGCTTCCAAGTCCACTATCGGCCCCGCGCATTGGTCTCGGGAATCGCTGCCACCGCTCCCACTAAACAAAGAGAGCTCCGCTGACGCACAATCTGTTCACTCCAGACCCCACACACCGAAATCGCTACTCACGATCACCTCCCAACCATGGCTCCCCCACCGCCCGCGACGCTGCCTCTAGGCCAGCGCCTTGCTGCTCTTGCACAGACGCTGCAGTTTGCGTGGTTCGCCGGCCACGTCACGCTGTTGCTGTCGACATTCCGCTACAGCTTGTCGTACGTCACCTTCAACACGGCCTCGCGATGGGCGGCCTTTTCCTACCGCACCGCCTTCCTCTCTGCGTGCGTCACCTACGGTATCGTTGTCTACAAGGCATACCGCGCTCGCGTGAGGCAAGGAAAGCAGGGCGGGGTCCTTTCCCTCGCAACCGATGAGAATGTGCAGTACTTGAGTAAGTTGCCGAAATAACACTCCTGTGTGTGTGTGACACGAGAAGACGACACGCACCCCTCCAGAGGTGCTGCTCATTCTGCACGCTGTCAACTTCTTCGCCGCACAGCCTGAAGTAGCATTGGCGATTGCTCACAAGGGCGTCTCGAGCCTTGCCGCTCACTACTCTGGTCACTTTCGTAACATAAACTGACAATCCCAGTCATGGCTCTCATCTGGCTCTTCTCCCGCCAGATCCCCATGGCGGTCCTACCTTTCGCAGTCTACTCGGTGTTCCACGTAGCCACCTACGTGCGCTCAAACCTGCTGCCCACCATCCAGCCCCCGCCTGCCGGAGCCCAGCCTGGCACCAAGAGCGCTTCTGGCTTGTCCGATGCCATTGGCAAGTTCGTGAAGGAGTACTACGATGGCAGCATGACCCTCGTTGCCATTCTTGAGATTGCTCTCTGGTTCCGCGTCTTCGGTTCCGCTCTTCTCTTCCAGAAGGGCTCATGGATCCTTATTGCCGTGTACACCGTCTTCTTCCGCGCCCGCTACGCGCAGAGCACCTTTGTCCAGGGCGCCATCACCCAGCTCACCGCTCGTGTTGATGCCCAGCTTGCCAACCAGAGCACTCCTCCCGTCGCTCGCCAGAGCTGGGGCACCTTCAAGAACGTCATCAGGCAAGCCGCCGATGCGACCGACATCCGCAAGTATGTTGGTGGACAGCAGGCCGCCGGCCCCAAGAAGACGCACTAGCTGCGCATTGAGAACCAGAGCGATGGCCCATCTCTGTACCCTAAAATGTCAAGGTGCGGTGCAGACCGAATGTCGCCTCGGGACTGGCGATGCCGAGGTGGGGGGTGAATCGACCCGGAAAGATGAAGGCGAGCGTGGGCCGTTTTGAGTGGTGGAGTGGTGGCCCGGAGTAGATGCCCCACACAGTGCATGGACGATTGTGAACACGTTGGTCTGGGCATGTGTTATGAGCGCTTTTACCTGGATAGAGAGGCATGCCAACATGAATGAGTACGGGAATGTGTGGCTTAAAAACGAGCGGCAGGCTTGCGTAGCCACAGTAGTTGAATCAGTCTCCCGTATGGCCATGCTTATGTTACTACTCTGCATTGGTATGATGGCGTTGCTTCTATTTATGAATCGAGGAAGGCTATTTTCATCCTTTGTCAGTGCTGTGAGAAGTGACTACCTTTATCAACATATGCAGGTACCACATTCTCTACTATTGTCCCTGTGCAAGGAAGCCTAAGGTTTCTCTAGCTGAGGTTCTTCCAAATTTGTCGAAATCCGCAGCTCCAGCGCCACCGCTTGCACAATCCCCTACCAACCCCATCCGAGGAATAGCCACAGCGCCCTCAAAATCCCCCGTCATCACGGTGTATCTGTTGTGCCGCGTGCGTGCGGCTGTCACCTGCATAAACAGTGCAACGTTCGAGAAAGCCACGACAGCAAAGATATAACTTCCTTGACCGCCTCCACGTCTTCACATACCACGCGAGCTCTTGCACAAGGAAAGTCGCAGCTGAAGCTCTTCGGGAGCCCGCTCCGATGGCGGTCCACTTCCAGCATGCAACCATTGTCGCAAAATGTATTGTTTGGGGTGCGTGCGCGGTGTTCTGCGTACAGGAATGTGCGCGCTACACAAACACTATTGTATAGTGGAGTGTACGGCGTACGAGTTGTACGAGCACGTGCAATGGCGCGCGCATGGCGAGCTTGACTCGCCTTGCACTCGGGTCTACCTATCCAGCGCATCAAGTGGAGGTGTTCTTCTATTTCTTCACTTCCGCGCGGCCGCACACAGGGTCAATTCTCCGTCGAGGCAATATTGCAGGCCCTCGAACGAGGATAACGCGGCTTGTCGGGCTCGCGGCAACTCCACTGCCAGTGTCTAGCGCGCAGATTGGCGAGGGGACGGATATCTAGCCATGCAATTTTGGGGCTTGGGCAGTGTTTGGGGGGCATAACATGACAATGGCGGTGAAAGACATGGTCAGGCCACCAGCGGAACAACGCCCGGATGTGCTCGCCGGCGGATGTGGTGCGCGTGAAACTGAGGCGGGCTGGCCTGCGAGCGAGGTGCGGGAGGATGCGCAATGGATGGGGTGCGGGATTCGCCTGGCGTTCGGAACGCGGAAGTTGCAGGACGCGGTGGAGTGCACAGGGTGTTCGGAGGAAAAGAGGGTGGGATGCTGTACGTATTATGCAGGCTTGCCGTAATGGCGGTACGCGCACACTGAGGGGGATGGCCAGATGCAGCGTCAATCAAGCGCCATATGAGGTGTCATAAACCGCAACCCGCACGCGTATATTGCTTGTGCGTGGAGAGTCTGGGGCGCCTGCGTGGTCCCTTCTGCCCGGCGCAGCGCACATCTGAGATGGACGGTGCCAGATCAGAGACCATCAGCCTCCGGGGATTTGCTGTGGACTTTTGCGTTGGAGACTGAGACACCAGAGCCACGGTGCGAAGCCGGACATTATTGCTGCACCGACTATTGTGCGTTTCCTGCCAGACGGAGCTCAGGCGTGCATGAGGACAGGTACGTGGGCCAAGGGCGGTGCTACTACCGTTTAGCGCAGGCGCGGATGCGAAGCACGTCAGCCGCTTCACCGTTCCACTCCCCGTTTTGGCGGCGGCTGGGCCATGGCGACGCGAGAGCGTGCGCTGCGAGTCGAGCTGCTATATAGAGTGCGGCGTCGGCCCTCTACCTTTGCTCTTCTCTCCGCTTGGCGTATTCTCCGGGCGGTTGGCTTTGATCGCTGCTTTCACGACTCTGGCATAGATTCTGTTTCAAATTGTTGACCTGGAATGAGCTTTCGACAAAACCGCACTGAAGGGACCTGGAGCCGTCTACGCTGCCAGCCATGAACACCTACGGGAACTTGAACATGAGCATGGCTTCGCCTGCCCTATCCATCCGCAGCAACTTCTCCGACATGGACGATGAAGAGTTGGAACTGTACCTGGCCTCGTGTGTGCCGCTCTCGAACCTTCCTACCCCGCCGCCCGCAAAGGAACAGCCACATCCCACATCAACAGCAAAGTCTCTGCCTTCTCCACCTTCAGAGTCCGACATCGAGCGCCACAGGCGATCTCCTGAGCTAGAAGGTTAGTTCCCACTCACGCGCCCGGTCCCGGTTTCTATTTGGAAACCTCTTGATCATCGTTGATCCCTGCATCGTGTGGAGCTGGTCCTGGCCGACGTCATACGCACTGGCGTCTGAGGAAATTTCCCCTGACCATCACTGCTGGCGGGTCCGGCAACACCAGCCTCTTTTGTGGACGTTGCGTTGCCACTCAATACATCGCTTACCATGCTGCGGAGCCGCGCTAACGACATTGATAGTTTATGCGTTACACCTTGCCAGCCTTGTTCCAAGGAATGTCGCTGGGCACAAGTCATCCGTGGCCGCTATCGAGGGATTTCTCGACAGAGCCTGCCTGCCGGTGGAGATGGTTGCGTTTGCGGCCTGTGTGCTTGATGCGTTGTCGGACGGGTTTGCCAGCCGGTGGCGCGATGCGTTCCTCCCCATGGACACGACCAGGCTGGATTTCTACCTGGGCACTGATTGCTGGCAGCAGCCCCAAATTAGTCCGGACTTGATTGTGCTTGCGGCGCTGGCTCTGGCGCACGGCTTCATCGATGACCGGGGCCGCTCGAACGGGCATTGGGCAAAGATTGAAGCAGCCGGCCGGTTCGACGCAAAACAGGTGTCCAAGACGAAGCTTTGTATCCTGGAGGACATCGACTACGGCCTCTTCCGAATCAGCGAAGAGATGCTTCAGCGTATGGCCCACCAGATGCAGCAGGCGTCCTACTTTGTCACGCCTAGGCAATTAGTGTCTTTCGACGATGATAAAGAAGGACGCCGGCCACGGCTGTCGTTGTCGCTGGGCACGGGATCTGGATCCGCCGTTTGGGCGTACGGTGCACAAACGCCGGAGCCGAGCCCGTGACGGACCACAGACATGGCACACGATCTCTTTTGTACCGGACCAGCGAAGATGTGCCCACGAAACCTCTCTTATGGCCTCGGCTTTCTGACCTCTCATTGACGAAGATACCCCGTCTCTCTTGTTACGATCGACTTTATCATCACGCATTTTCTGGGAGTCTACATGGCGTCTTTACAGGAGTTTCACCGGTTATGGAGGCAATATGTAACTGTGGGTTTGCGGCAGGTGAGTTCGTGAGCCTTGTACTTTTGTATCGTGGGAGGGATCTCTGTCATGGTGGGGTTGTGCATTTTGCGCATTCGGGCTTGGTGTCCTGATTGATCATATTGCGTGCGTCTGCTTGATTGCATGATACCCTTGTATAGCTCTGGCGTTCTGTATTTCAGCTCCGCAATTGGTATAGCAGCGTGCAATAGGCACTGCTTGAATCAAACTCATGTAATGCTTTCTCCAAGGGTTTCTCTTCTTCTGCAAGTGCATGTGCGCGTGTTGGCCAGTCGGCGGTTCGACCTGTGCGGGCGAGCCATCAGCGATGGCGGGCTATCCAAGACACGTCTCAGCATCGGCATCGGACGATGGTGTACAGGAACAACTGCTATGGCGGGGCTGCAGGTTGGTGGCGCGAGCTCCATGGACCTCTACACTGCCCAACGTAATGATCCTCAAGTCCATGCACGCATCCACCACAGCCGTTCACAAGTGCTCACCGCAACCTCTGCTGCATTGAATAGTATCTGCTAGCTCATCAACCAAGCTCCAGGTGCACGGAGGAGCTATCGAGGAGAGACTAGGCAGGTCTGGATGTCGTTCGCGGTGGACGCGCTTACCCCACTTCGTTGGCTTGCCCTCTCATGCATGCGCAATGCTCAACAAATGTTGGCGCGACGCGCTCCCATTGAGCATAGGGAACCCACTTCTCACGCGCCTGCCCATTCCCCGCGCTCTCCCATCCCTCCAGTCGTCATACTCGTCTGATCGAGCAACATGCGCTAGCCTTTGTCCTCCCTGACCACCCGCAGTACCCCGCTGTTTACTGGCCCCGTAAACACCTCGTCTCCCCTCCCCGCCGTCTCTTTCTTTTCTCCATCCTCTCCCTCCGTGGTGTCTCTAAATCAGAGAACGCTCAATTGCAATTGCACCGTCATCCCCTTCCATTGGACCTGCTCCAACCATTCGTCCCTCAACCCCGCCCTCGCCTCTGGCCCATCGCTTCTCGCTCAGCAACTCGAGCTTCGCGGCAATCGACATCCTGCGAATGGCTACCGCGGTGAACTCGGCTGCGCCGCGCGAGCGTCGCCCGTCGACCAGCGCCCCGCTGTCGGATTTCCAGGGTCCTGTTGGTCCCGAGGGGTTCACGAGGCCAAAGCACAAGAGAACCGTCACTGGGTTCGGTCCCGGCGAGATCAAGAGCGTTGAGGCGAGCATTCCGGAGCCGCAGCGGGCTGCTTGGAGGAAGTTTGTATGTCCATCTTCCCAGTATTTCTCATTCGTTAACGGATGGATCCGGAGAGCGAGGAGGTGGGGTGGAGAACATGGAGAACAGCGCGCATGTTGATACACCCATGCATGCAATTACTGACTCTCTTTAGACGCCCAAGGCTTTTGAGACGCCTGATGAGTTCGAGAAGGAGGCTGTGAAACACATTGAGACCACGCTTGCGCGGTCGCTGTACAACTGCGACGAGGTCGCGGCGTATGGAGGAACGGCATTGGCATTCAGAGACCGACTCATCCTCGACTGGAACAAGACGCAGCAGAGCCAGACATTTGCGGACCAGAAGCGCGTCTACTACCTCTCGCTCGAGTTCTTGATGGGCCGCGCGCTCGACAATGCTATGCTTAACGTGGGTCAGAAGGACTCTGCGACCAGTACGTGTGCGTTATCGAAATCAGAAGTTCGAGCGCTAATAATTTGCAGAGGGTCTGGCCGATCTGGGCTTCCGCATGGAAGACATTATCTCACAAGAGCACGATGCTGCCCTCGGAAACGGCGGCCTTGGACGTCTCGCCGCATGCTTCCTCGACTCGATGGCCTCGTTGAACTACCCCGCTTGGGGATACGGCCTACGTTACAGATATGGTATCTTCAAGCAGGAGATCATTGATGGATACCAGGTCGAGGTTCCTGACTACTGGCTTGACTTCAACCCTTGGGAGTTTGCGCGTCACGACATCACGGTGGATGTACAGTTCTATGGACACGTGAGCCGCTGGCAAGATGACGAGGGCAAGCAGCACACCTCCTGGGAGGGCGGCGAGACTGTTCAGGCCGTCGCGTTCGATGTGCCAGGTGAGAAATCAGCATCTTGTATAGAGCGAAGCTAATCCTGTAGTGCCTGGATACCAGACCCCAACGTGCAACAACCTCCGTCTTTGGGGCAGCAAGGCGGCTAGCGGAGAGTTTGACTTCCAGAAGTTCAACTCTGGCGAGTATGAGGCTTCAGTTGCGGACCAGCAGCGTGCAGAGACTATCTCAGCTGTTTTGTACCCGAATGACAAGTACGCTTTCTGTCATGCACACATCTGAAATATTTGACTTACATTCCACAGCTTGGAGAGGGGCAAAGAACTCCGTTTGAAGCAGCAATACTTCTGGTGTGCTGCATCCCTTTATGACATTGTCCGTCGCTTTAAGAAGACCAAGCGCTCGTGGAAAGAATTCCCGAACCAGGTCGCCATTCAGCTGAACGACACCCACCCAACGCTCGCTATCCCCGAATTGCAGCGTATACTCGTGGATTTGGAGGGTCTTGAGTGGGATGATGCCTGGAGCATCGTCAGCAAGACGTTCGGATATACTAACCATACTGTGCTACCGGAGGCTCTGGAGAAGTGGTCGGTACCACTGTTGCAACATCTTCTTCCTCGTCATCTTCAGATCATCTACGACAGTAAGTTGTTCCAGGATACGAGATGACGTAGGCTAATGAATCGAAGTCAACTTGAACTTCCTACAGTATGTAGAGCGCAACTTCCCCAAGGATCGCGAAATGCTGGGCCGGGTATCGATTATCGAAGAGTCGAACCCCAAGATGGTTCGCATGGCCTACCTTGCGCTGATTGGCTCGCACAAGGTCAATGGTGTTGCTGAGCTCCACTCCGACCTTATCAAGACCACCATCTTCAAGGATTTTGTCAAAATCTATGGACCTGACAAGTTCACTAATGTCACAAACGGTATCACGCCGCGAAGGTGGCTGCATCAGGCCAACCCGCGTCTTTCTGCGCTTATCGCGTCAAAGCTCGGTAGCCATGACTTCTTGAAGGACCTCACTTTACTCGGCAAGCTTGAGGCCTTTGTCGACGACAAGGAGTTCCGGAAGGAGTTCCGTGAGATAAAATATGCGAACAAAGTTGTGAGTCATCGTAGGAACCTCTTAACGTAGCCCAATAACTAATGCTTCGATGTAGCGGCTCGCGAAGCACATCAAAGAGCACAACGGTGTCACGGTCAACCCCGCCGCGCTGTTCGATGTTCAGGTTAAGCGTATTCACGAGTACAAGCGCCAACAACTTAACATTTTCGGTGTCATCCACAGGTACCTCCAGATCAAGGCTTTGTCCGCGGAAGAAAGGAAGAAGCTCGCTCCTCGCGTGTCCATCTTCGGTGGTAAGGCTGCGCCAGGATACTGGATGGCTAAGACTGTCATCCACCTCATTAACAAGGTCGGTGATGTTGTGAACAACGACCCCGATGTCGGCGACTTGCTCAAGGTTATTTTCCTGGAAGACTACAACGTCAGCAAGGCCGAAATCATCACTCCTGCCAGCGACATCTCCGAGCATATCTCCACGGCTGGTACCGAGGCCTCGGGCACGAGCAACATGAAGTTCTGCTTGAACGGTGGCTTGATCATCGGTACTTGCGATGGTGCTAACGTAAGTACAATCATCACTTGCCATTTTGATGCATTAGACTAACGACCTTCAGATCGAGATCACACGCGAGATCGGTGAGGAGAACATCTTCCTCTTCGGTAATCTCGCAGAGGATGTGGATGACCTGCGCCACGCGCATCTCTACAACCACTACGAGCTCGAGCCTAAGCTCGCGAAGGTCTTCGACGAGATCCATCAAGGGCGCTTCGGCGACGCTGGGGCCTTCAGCGCGCTTCTTAACGGTATCGTCGAGCACGGCGACTACTACCTCGTCTCTGATGACTTTGCCTCGTACGTGCAGACTCAAGAGCTGATCGATGAGGCGTACAAGGACACGGAGGCTTGGACCACCAAGGCTATCCTCACGGTGGCCCGCATGGGCTTCTTCTCGAGCGACAGGTGTATCGACGAGTATGCGGAGAGCATCTGGAACATTGAGCCGTTAGTGCAGAAGAAGGAAGAGGAGGCGTAGACGGGATAGATCTATACATTCCAACGGAGCGGCTTGGGATTTTCATTTGCAGTATATGCTTCTACGATTAATATGAGATAATGACAAGTCGCAACCTTAATGCTCTTGCCCGCGTCGAGATGCTCATCATGGAGATTTGACCAAGCATACTAGCGCGCTCCAGATTAAATGCCCGCTCCGTATCAACGCGACCTCCGACCACCGACGCAATCTGGCAGCTCAAGCTCCACCAAGCTCACGACATCGCGAATCCACGCTCCACCCCAACATGGCCAACAGAGGCTATGACGTTGTTGTCGACGTCGACCAGGAGGTGTTTTCAACCTAGCCCGCCTCAAAGAACGCATACTGACACCCGACAGGGCGACCTAGGCCACACCGACCTGCAGGAGGACCTCGAATTCCACAGCTCCAGTACACACGCTCCTCCCTCTTCCAGCCCTCAGACCTGACTCTCACCCCAGACTTCGAAAACACACCCTCCACGCGCACCAAGATTCAGCCCGACGCCAACACCGCCGGCTTCCTCCCCACGCCCGCCTCCAGCTCCTCCTCGCGCAAACACTACCTCTGGACGCTCTCCTTCTACGCGCAAGCCTTCGATGTCGACACCGCCGAAGTCCTGCGCCGCTGCACCGCGACCCTATACCCGCGCGCAAACTTCCTCGACGTGCTCGAGGGCAACCCCGACCTGTACGGCCCTGTCTGGGTCGCGACCACCGTCGTCGTCATCCTCTTTCTCACGGGCACGATAAATCAGTACCTCGCAAGCGAGGGTAAGCAGCACTTCGCGTATGATTTTAAACTGCTGAGTGGTGCCGCGGGGCTGGTGTATGGATATACGGGGGTTGTGCCGTCAGGCTTGTGGGCGGTGCTCAAGTGGTATGGGAGCGAGAGTGCGAACTTGATGGAGTGTGTTTGTCTTTATGGGTACGCGAATTTGGTGTGGATACCCGTGGCAGTGGCGAGTATAAGCACGATTAACAGTAAGTCCGCTGCGTCCCATTTCAGCTTGAAGGAACGAGGTGGCGAGATAATGGAGCTGACAAGGGACAGTCCTCAACTTCATATTCGTCGCGCTCGGATTCGCGGCAAGCGTTTTCTTCCTTCTGCGCAACTTGTACCCCGTACTCAGCTCGACCGAGGCCAAGACGAGCAAGATCCTGCTTATCGTCGTGCTCGTCTTGCACGCGGGCTTTGCGATCGCGATCAAAGTCCTGTTCTTCGCGGCGACGAGTCCGGTGGGTCCGAAGGACGGGAAGGAGGCTGGTGGCGATGGTACCGGCGAGAAGAAGGGGGGTTTGTTGAGGATGCTGCTGCGGATGTGAGAGGTGTTGTGGGCTCGAAGAGTGCAGTGATTGGAGAAGACTTGGGCATTGGGGTTTTAGTCGAGTGTATGAGTACATTTTGAAATGGCATATGCGGTGTATAGAGGATATGGATACCAATTGAGCGTTACATGCACATCAAACACATACTCTCTTCATAGCGCATGCTCCACACCACTGGAACAATTCACATTCAGGCTTCTTGAAACATGCCACTGTCGTTGACGCTCTGAAATATACACGGCTACGTTTCTGCACTGCCTGTCGGAATATCTGGAGAGGTCCGCCATAGGAATCAGTACATAAGATAAGTATACCCCAACTGGCACACCTGTACGAGCGAGTGGTTCTGGCCAACACAAATTTGTATTCGACAGGGCATTGTTATGGCTGAGGCTGACGACGTGGAAAGCTCTGGTCTGTGCGCTTGCGGTCCTACGGGAAGCATTGGTCCCGTGGGTCATTACACTGCTTTATCTAGCCTCGACGGATCGTTTATGAGGCTGGTGGTGAGGCCGTGTACTTCCGGCTTCGTCGCCAGACGCCGACCTGAGGCCGGGCCTCCGAACTAGAATATTCCAAAATGTCCAACTCCTGTTTCCACAGGATAATAGCGCGCACTGGGGGCTCGGTGATACCTTGCCAGAAGGTTGTAGGCAGAATGACTACACTGTGATGGATGCTACACATGATCCGCTATACGAACCTTTATTACCAATACTATACCTCTGACAGATATCTACTAAACCCCTAATCGTGAGGAGCATGTGGGTGTGCCTTTTACCTATGCAATAACAAAGGTGGCCAATACTAATTCAACGTTGTTAGGCTTCCTGCCTCCGGATAGCATTTACGTACACACATCCACCTCATTTCATTACTTCTGAATCGCCATATCAAGGTATCCAACGACCCCCGATGCGCGCTGCTGGACGTCTTGTTATTGTTGTAGAGAGTCGCTGCATGGACAGAACAGATTGGGAACATCGAACTATCTTCTACGAAAAGGAAAGGTTCAACGACAAGAAAATCAGATCAATCAATGACTTATGCGGCACTGCATTCTTCAGCGTCAGCAGATTGTTAACGAGGCTGAGCAGAAGTATTTTTTGACTGGTGCGTTGACGGCATACTAGATCACGAGTATACTAGAAATACGCGATGTTGATGGTCCTATTGTTTGCTTGGTGGAAAGAGATGGGGACGAAGCTAAGGTGCCAAAGGCTCCTGGATATCTCCTGTCAACGATCTTGTCTGCATTTGCCAATGGCTTGACCACTGTTCTAAAAGAAACATTTGGTCACTAACGGAAATTGGCATGCTGCAGATTCAGCTTGTCATTGTTGTGTCACGAATGTAGAGACAGTAGGAATAGGACTGTGTCGAGCCGTGCGATGCACATATAGGCTAATCTTCGCCGCTGTACTGTGGTAAGGCTTACCTACTAATGCCACTTGCCAGTATCTATTGACGTTTTCAGCTGGTCTACGATATAGATACCCACTTCCACTACATACCTCGGTTGTAGGCGCTTGCTAGTGTCGCGCCAAAATGATTGTCGTCATCGTTCCGGCTAAAGAGCTTGACCTCACATCCATACTCCAAGGAGAACGCGGGGATACCAGAAATCGGGAAGTCTAAATCTCGCAATGCAATGCTTATGTAGCATAAGATCTAGCTATAATCGAGCAAGCATCGCGGTTAGCGTTTTAACTTTTGCCTAAGTGCCGATCCTCCGCACTGGGTGGGATTCACCGCACGTGGTATAAAGAGGAACTAGCAGATCACAATGTATTTTCTTTAGATCAGCACGTCTCATTGAAGCCAGCTGCTTTCTGTTTTCACCTACACCTCCCAAGATGAGGTCTTCCGTATCCGCTGCGTTGGCCACGATAGTGGCTGGCGCATTGGCTCAAAACAACATGAGCTACTACGACTACACCGTCGAAGGCAATCCTCAGCTCGACTCAAGGACTCTCGCAACGATCCCTCTTGGGTTCCCAAGCTGTACAGATTCGCCATTGGCAGACACGCTGGTCTGCAACAAATCCGCCAGCGCTTGGGACCGAGCTGCGGCCTTGATCTCCATGTTCACAATGGAAGAGCTTGTCAACAACACCGTGAACACAGCTCCTGGTGTTCCCAGACTCGGCCTGCCACCGTACCAAGTCTGGAATGAAGCTCTTCACGGCTTGAGTCACTTCTATCAGCCAGATGAGGGCGACTTCATCTGGGTTACGGCGTTCCCTCAGCCCATCACATCAATGGCGTCCATGAACCGCAGTCTGATCCACCAGATCGGTTCCATCATTTCCACGCAAGGTCGCGCGGCCAATAATGCCGGTCTTTACGGCCTCGATGTCTACTCACCCAACATCAACGGCTTCAGAGCTCCTGTCTGGGGACGTGGCCAAGAGACCCCTGGCGAAGATGCATACTTCCTGACTTCGCTGTACGCTTATGAGTACATCACTGCCATGCAAGGCGGTGTTGGCCCTGCGGTACCAAAGCTCGTCACCGTTGCTAAGCACTTTGCCGGCTACGATATCGAGACGTGGCGCAATCACAGCCGTCTTGGTAACGATGTGAACATCACTGAACAAGACTTGGCCAGCTACTACACTCCGCAATTCCGCACTGCCATTTTGCAAGCCAAGGCCAAGGGCTTGATGTGCTCTTACAATGCTGTCAACGGCGAGGCAAGCTGTGGCAGCTCTTTCTTCCTCCAGACTTTGCTCCGCGAGACCTGGGGCTTCGGTGATGGCTTCGTGTCCGGAGACTGTGGTGCTGTGTATGGCGTGTTCAACCCGCATCATAACGCTGCTACTCGTGTTGGTGGCTCGGCTGCTGCACTGCTTGCTGGCACAGACATTGACTGCGGAACTGAGTTTGCGTATTACCTCGAGGAGGCTTTCACCCAGGGTAACGTATCACGCAATGACATTGAGAAGGCTCTTACTCGTCTCTACTCTGGACTCGTACAGCAGGGGTACTTTGACGGTAATGGCAGCATGTACCGTGACCTGACCTGGGATGATGTCGTCAAGACAGACTCCTGGAACATCTCGTACGAGGCTGCTGTTGAGGGCATTGTGTTGCTCAAGAACGATGGTACCCTTCCTTTGCACAACAACTCGAGCGTTGCCCTCATTGGTCCGTACGCAAACGCAACAGAGCAGATGCTGGGAAACTATTTTACCACCCCACCTTACATTATCAGCCCGCTGGCAGCATTCGAGGCTTCTGGCAGGACGATTAACTACGCTCTCGGCACTGGTATCTCGAGCAATAACGAGACATTCTTCGACGAAGCGCTTGAGGCAGCTCGCAAGTCTGATGTGATCATTTTCGCTGGTGGTATCGACAATACTGTCGAGTCCGAGGCCTTGGACCGAGAGAACATCACCTGGCCAGGCAACCAGCTTGACCTGGTCGATCGATTGAGCAAATTGGGTAAGCCTGTCGTTGTGCTCCAGATGGGTGGCGGTCAAGTCGACAGCACCGCGCTCAAGGGGAATAAAAATGTCAACTCTCTTATCTGGGGCGGATATCCAGGCCAGAGCGGTGGCCAAGCTCTTTACGATCTCATCTCCGGTAAGCGCGCACCCGCTGGACGTCTCGTGACAACGCAATACCCAGCCTCCTACGCCGACGACTTCTATCAGCTCGACATGGACCTTCGCCCCTCTGGTGACAACCCCGGCCAAACATACATGTGGTACACCGGCGAGCCAGTCTACGCCTTCGGCCATGGCCTCTTTTACACTACCTTCGAAGAAAACCTTGCCATGAACGCTTCCACTGGCGCCAGCATCAACATCACCGACTTCTTCATTCAGCCGCACAGCGGCTACGAGTTTGTTGAGCAGAAACCACTTCTCAGTTTCCAGGCCAAGGTCTCGAACACCGGCGACGTTGCTTCGGACTACTCTGCCATGCTCTTCGCGTCGACTACCAGCGGTCCAACTCCGCGTCCCATCAAGTGGCTCGTGGGCATCACCCGTGAGGCTGAGATCGCTCCTGGCGGAGCCTGCACCGTCAAATTCGACATCCCAGTGGGCGCTCTTGCTCGTGCGGCAGAAAACGGTGACCTCATCGTTTACCCTGGCGACTACTCACTTGCGCTCAACAATGAGCGTTCCGTGGTGATGAACTTCACCCTGACTGGCGATGCGATCACGATCGCACACTGGCCTTCTAAGATTGAGACCGGAGGAGCTTGAAGTATTGCGCAGACAAGTATAGGTCTTAGGCTGATACTGGACCAGCCGATGTAATTTAGTAGCAAATGCAATATAATATTTGTCCCTAGTGCGATGCCCATAAGAATCGAGGACCTGCAGCACGACACTAAGCAGTATAGCAGATGTGCTCAAATGCGTACCAAAAGCGACGATGCAAACACGACACGTAAACTTCGCACATTTGATGATGGCTGTGCAGTGTGGACTGACCTGCCGTTTTTTTTTTTCTTTTTGGATCGAAATCTGCGAGCCTTCGGAATTCCGAGCCAGACTACTTAAACAGCATAGCCACGAGGTGCTATTTTCTTCATCACACGAGGATACAGCATTAAAAGCGACGAAGAAATTGCTGACATCTATTGGCCAGTTCTAGAACGTTTGAGGTTGCTTCTAACATTGTCTCTTATTTGTAAACACGCTGATTTACGCTGCGATGCTACTGCTCTATTCTTTTTATATCATGACTCTTCGTTTTTAGCAAACTTTTTCAATTTTCTTCGACTTGTCCAGATTCACTGTCTGCTTTGGAGGTCTCAGCAGCGAGCTTACTTTTCCCTCCGTCAGCAGTGACACGCTGTCTGGTCTTGAACTTGACATAGATTCCCTCCATCCTCCTTATTCCTCTTCCAAGCACTGAGAAGGCAGCTGTTGGACAGAAGAGCAGGCTTTCTCCCAGCTTCAACTTAACTATCTCGTTGAATAACGCTTTGTCGTCTTGAGGAATTTCTGCTGTCTTGTCGTCCTCGTCGGCAGTCATGGGAGATGAAAGTGAGTTCAGATAGATAGCAGCGATGTGTTGCTTTAGTACTTTGAACCACGCAGGGCTCGTGCTCCTATGCACCATGGTGATGCTGCACAGATCTAGAAGCTGTGGGTTGATACTGGGCTCTTGCGTTGCAACAACAACTCTTACTGCCTGATGTCGCTGCTCCCGAACAGTCCGCAGTAGCTTCTCAGTAAAGGTTTTTGCTGAATTCCCACTCTCCGTCATGTAGTTATGCGCTTCGTCCAAGGCGACGATTTTGCCGCACTGCGTCTGCTGGATGAACACGGAGAGGCATATGTCGAACAATGCACATGCTGCGTCAGGGTCAATGACAGGATCCGTCAGGTCGATGATGGTAAGGGTTCCCGGTGTTCCAATTAGGAAGTCATTCTCAGTCATGGCCAAGATCGTTTTAGGAGCATGCGGAGGGTTTTTGCGGCGTTTAGTGGGCTGCTTTGCCATGGGCTGCTGTTGGTCGAGATCCTTCTCCATGAAAGACTCAAGCAAATCGAGACGTAGCCTCATGGGGCCGTCTTGACCACGGGCAAACTGGACGTCGTTTAGCTTTCGCTTGAATACCTCGTAATCGAATGTTGCGAGGCCCTGAGACTCGATGGCCATTCCGCGGAGAATTATTAGTATTGTCTAGCTCTGTCAGCTCTACGCGCAAGAACATGAGATGTGAACTGACCTGCATGTAGAGGGGCATATCGTCATCGTTGCTTACAGCCATCAAAGTCTTCATACGTTCGGTATCAAGATACTTTGATAGAATATAGAGTGGTTTGACGGTGATTGTGCCGCCCTGTTCCCTCGCCATCGTTTCGTATTCCGTCTTGAGTCTAGCATAGTTGCTTGGGCTCACAAGCACTGTAGTCGGGACATTCGTGCAAAGATAGGCGGCTTCACACACACCGCTGCCCTGACATCTATCGTAGTGGAAGACCAGTCCAGCAAGCTGGTGAGGATTGAAACCAATCTTAGGAATAATTGTGTGATCGGAAAGGAGACAATTTTCCAGCATACATGATAAAGAGTGTGATTTCCCAGAGCCTTGGGAGCCGCACAGGAATGCAGACCAAGGGGAATCAATGTTGAGAAGAACCGGAGTACGTTTAGTACTCATCTGAGCCGCTTCCCCGAACCCAGAGCTGTTGCTTCCATTTGGTATGTGGCCTAGTACACCGTAACCTCGGTTGGGTCGATGTCCCGGCTCGAAATGAGTCTTGACCTCCCACCAAACAAGAGGTGCCATTCTCAGCTCTTCATCAGCTGTGTCGAAGACTTTAGACCCATTGGAGCTAGTTATGGGTTGTCGATCTGCTAAGACGGCTTGGTATCGGGCCAGCTCCTTGTAAGATTCCGAGGCAACCATCGTGAAAAAGTATGCAAGAATGTCGTAAAAGTAGGTCAATCTCGCTTGGTCATGTATCAAACTTATATAAGGAATGTTAAGGAAAGTTTGTCTCATCGCTGTTCCAGTTAGTTTGCGACTACTTCCAACAATCATATGGTTCGCTACCTGATATGAAATCGCGGACAATCGAAAATCGAGCAAACGGTGAGGTTCCGGTAACAAAACTCTTTTAATGACTCAGTGTGGCATGTGTCTAGTTGATTTGGTTGGCTCGGAACTGTCATCTCTGGGGCAAGAGAATGGTCCAACGCCAATCACGTGCCCGTCATCGCTTCCACTAAGCATCTCCTCACCTTCTTAGATTGAAATTTTTATCGCCAAACCCTTGACATGAATCGCGTTCACAAGGTGCCTGAAGACAAGGAAGACGACCACGAGGTATAGTATCCGGTGGTCTCCTTAGCCTTAAAAGTCGAAGCATGGGTAAGGAAAAGGGGCTATCTATCTCTAAGTTGCTTTCAACTTGAAGGGAGGACATGCTGTCATCACTGAGGATAGGTGTATTAACGGAGGAGGTATTTGTTTTTAGCAACGAACGATGTTGTATTCTAGCCACTTCAATTAGAACGAACGCTTTCTCCTGACTTGACACACTCGCAAATTATTCATGTGATCAAAACCTAGCCTGGTCTCAAGGGCATCCACAACAGCACGAAGAATCGGGCTTCAAGTCGGCCTCGGCTAAGATAATATGCCAGACTCTGCGTCTTATTTTGGTCAACCTTGCGGCAATGTACAAAACACACTAGCATTTCATGATCACATCAATTCACGAACAGTAAATTGGGAACCGCATTTGCGAATAATATACAATATAGCTCAGCGAGTGGATATGATACAAGGTCCGGGCCCAGAGCTTGCACATGGGACTGTACACCTCCCCTTCACCGAAGACACCCTCACACCTCCACAAATATTTCAGCAGTCTCCGCCGTAGATATCATTGCACGAAGCGAGACACAGTGCCCAGGAAATACCCCCGTACGGACCTGAGTTGAACGCCGCGCAGGGATCAGCGCACTTCTTGTAGCCCTCCTGGTCACATCGCTTCTCGATTGCGGGGTTGGCATCGTTCAACGCAGCGACTACGGGATCATTAGTATCTTGGAGAGATCCAGAGAGCTGAGGGTCTTACTGCGGCGGACGAGGGCAGAATGCTCGGACAGCTTGGTGTCGGGAGCCGGGGCAGCCATGGCGACTGCGATGAGAGCGGCGAGGATTGAGGTGGTGAACTGCATGGTGATTGTGCTTTGAACCAAAAATTCGAAGTCGGCGTTGAAGTGTTGTGTGTGTAAGAAGCTGGAGGACTTGTTGCTTGTTGATGAAGGACATACAGGAAATTCGTGCTCAATTTATAGACTTTCGACACATACTCGAGCTGATGATCTTGCTCTCTATGACGAAAGACAAGAGGGTATGCGAGGCCCTCCGGACTGTAGATCGAAGGATCTCTGCTCAAGCAATTGCTCCTTCGTAGTACTGAAGTACTGGATCAAGGGTAGGATCTGCGGTTGTACAGGATGAAGTGTGAACACGAAGTCCGTACTGACATTGCACGTTCCGTGCGGCCTGGCATTAGAGAATGTGAAATGACGATACTCAAATTCGAGTGACGGTATTATTGCAGATCTATACCTGATTGTGCCGCAGACGTGTCTTTGGAGTTCTATGTATTAGGCTACGCGATGTTTCATCTCATAATAATTGCCGCAATGAAGAATGAAGCATGAAACCAGGTAGATTGTGTCGACGTGTTGGGCATCTTGAGTAGAGCCTGCGTAAGGTGTCCCTGTTACTTGCACTGAAATCCGTGATTTTGTTTTGACTTGCTGTTGTTACACCTGATCCATACGAATGGAAAAAGTGGTTTGAATATCCGAGTCTGGCAACTCAAGTGCTGCGCTTTGCCTCTATAGGGCATCAGTCATCGAGGCATTACAACCCCACCGCTGCGAGCTGCAACTCAATTTACCTGTCACAGACGGATTCTACGCCACCATAATCCCATTCAACGCATCGACATACTCTTTTTGGAGGCGCATAAGCCAGCGCAGGTGTACACCTTCAACACAAGAATGCCTTCAAACGCGAGGGCCGCGCTTGCAGCATGTACGATCCTCTACGCTTAACGCCAACTTCGCCGCTTGTGTGGCTGGAATTGATTATTTGCCCAAGTAGGATTCTAATTGGGCGATCCCTACACAACGTCTACTTCTCCTCCACCCGAATGTTTACGTACAAAGCCAAAGGATTCTCCGCTTCGTACAGAATCTTGGGCCGTACAACGGTAAAGCCGAAGATCTGACCAGAAGAGGCTTGGTTTACGATCCAGAGGGGCTGCCAAGTACGATGGAACCTACTCGTCGTTGCGTCTCGCGCGAGCTCGTATCTCGGTGGCATCGATCGTGGGGTCCGACACTGGTTTCATCGGAGCCATCTACGTCAGCACGTGGTATGCTTCGTAGATCAAGTCTGGTGGTGGCAATCATCGCTTTTCTATGAAATTCGTTCGTTCGTGAGCTTGGGTTTGGGCGACTATATAAAAGTAAGAATCAACAGCTCTATGATTTTCACAAAATGACAAGGGAGCACAAATGCAAATACTTGCGTCCCAACCTACCCAAGAGAAGAAGAAAGGCAAAGACGAGCTCAATTGTTCCAGAAAAACCGAGCCAAGCGATACCGTTGCACCTGAACGTGGTGTCGAGGTCGGTTATTGTGCAAATACGAAGTCCATCATGTCTGAGCTGTATGCATTAGATAACGTTAATGAATGAAGTAACCTAATGGAAATGGCTATTGAAAGGCCTTGGATTTCTCCCAAGCGTGAGGATCGCCAAGTGGCTATGTGGATGTGGGCATAGAGGTAACCTCCAAGCAGGGTAACTTTGCAAGCCCTTGGCCCAGCATGACTACAGTCGTGGTTGGATCACGAAGTTCGGCCTAGGAGATCTTGATACCTGCTAGGGCTGACGTATTGATCTGAGCTCGGGAGTGCGGTGACTGTCACGTGTAGTGTCGTATGTTAACGGCGACACCACTGACAGAAAGTTTGGAAATGTTATCTGTAAGCGAATTCTTGTTTTGTATGCTGTCGCTGCCGTGTATCTCTATACCTGTGATGTGCAATGAAAACCCAGTCCATAAAACGACTGCGACCGCGGTCGCTCTCCAGTAATGCGCCAAAAGAACATGCTGCTAAGGGTATACTGTTCGTGAAGTGAAGTTCCGCTCCACCGCCAGCAAATATGACATATGCCAATCCCAAATGCTCCTCTTCTATCGCTATTTTATCATCTTATCCCTCCGAGTATGCTCCGCTCTATTCTTCATGCTTTTGAAAACCAGTGGAAGAACCGTAATAGTGATGCACAACAAACAATCCTTCTCCAATCTTTCTACACTCTATCGCCCATCTGCATTTCCCTTACTTCTAGCCCTCTCCTGATCCCTCCACCTCCTCTCCTCCCTAACCTCCAGCCACCCCACATAAAGCTGAAACACATACGCCACACAAAAGCACACCGCAAACGCCCTCGGCAAGTCCTTGTCCACGACCCCCAGCGCAAAGCCATACATCTGCGTCGCAATGTACAGCCCAAGCGCAAAGCACACGAAGATGCTCAGCATCTCGGGCAGCGCGGTGGAGGCAGAAGATTTCGTGGAGCGCGGAAGAGAGAGTGGGAGCGAGGTTTTGGAGGCGCCGGAGCGGGTAGAGGTGGTGAGCGGGGAGGTGAGCGGACTGAACAGCTCCGAGGCGACGGGGAAGGCGCGCATTTTGAGAATCGTGGTCATGGTGGGTGTATAGGCGCGCGGTTCGCAATCGGGTGTGTTTGCTGGTGTTGAAGCAGCGTAGGACAGTGTACAATCGTTTGTATATGTGATTGCTCGCACGCTGGCGGCCGCGCAGGGTGACAATCCGAATCGAACGCGGGCGATTCGGGCTGGGGGTGGGGGAAACGAAACGTACAGACAGGTGGCCTAGGGTTTGTAGGGGTCATGTACCCCTCTTGTACGCTTGGAAGTGGATATCAGCTTGGCTTGCGGTACAGCATGCCGGACTCCGGGGCGCAGTGGTGGTCAGGGTCGGGTCGGACATGCGACTCTTGCCTCTTCGACTCACGCCCGGTGGTTGCACGAGAGAGGCGGAGTCCGTCTTATGTCACCATTGTGCGCATCTGTGTGCACGCGCTGGGGCAAATGCACAGGTTCCATCATGCCTCGATTGCGAGAGGAGAAAGCGCGATCTCGCAGCCGTGACGCGGCTGCGCCTCCACCAAATCGGAACGCTAGGCCGGAGAAACAACTAGCGCATCATATAGAATGGATGCGCATTTGTGGGCACGCACGCCTAGACTCTGGGGTAAACTGACCCGCCGATGTCCAGGAGGATCCAAAATGGCCCCGTCATGCGAAGTCCATACATCATTGGTCTATTGCTGAGATGCTACTGATCGGAAGCCCAGCCAGATCTGCCGCCCCGTTTAATTGCGCTGAAGGAGCCTAATCGATCGTTGTGCTGTCGACTACAAACAGCCGGGTGAGGTCACGAGTGAAACCAAATGCAACATCAGGGTTCCGACAGTCGTCTCTGATCTTTGATGTTTGTTCCTTGTCATTGTTCACTGCCGGATATCTACGACGGCCCCAGTTACTATTGCCTCCAAACTTCGATGATGCCACAACCACCATTTCCACCCTCCACTCTCTGAACTGGCCAAAAGTGACCCATCCATCTATCACCATGCCGGCCCATGTCAGATCTCCGCATTAAAATTAAAGCATTACTAGCTTCATGCAAAAGTCGGAGACATAGCCTAAAGGTAATCAATCGGAGAGAGATCTGCCTAACACGCTCCGGTCGCAATGCAGACGCCGGGTTGAACCACGGCCAATAATGGATTGCTGAAGCAAAATGTACGTTTGGGTGGGTATATAACGCCATTGAAATGCTTGTAGTAATTCTGGACGAACGTATGCATTGCAAACATGATTCGCATAACTCCATGAAACTGTCAGCTCGGGCTTTGGTATTGGTATGGATGCTGGCCTTGATCCTTCTGTTGAACATTGATTCTGCTTTTCAAGGTCGCTTTTTCGGGTCACTATCCGGATCTATGGTGTCCAGAATATTGCCGATACGCTTGGCTGATAGTAGAGAGGTATCAAAGTGAATGGCCACAAGCCATGCGCACAAAATGTTCGCCAAGTGATGTAGAACGTAAGCGTACGTGACGCCGTAAACCGCCGCGTATGCAGCGATCGAAAATAAGATGGCGTTTGTCAAGAGTGAGAGACGTGACTGGACACGTGGGACCATGCGGCCTGTGCTCAGGGTCTCGACGAGGAGGATAAACGGCATGATGGAGAGAATATTGTGGTGCGACGAGAATGGGGTTAACCAATGAATCGTGAGGTTGCGAATCCACACCACGAGCACTGGGAGGTTGATAGGCAAGATCCATAGCATGAGGATGAAGATGGAGTGTGTGTAGTTCGAAAAGTTGTAGTTCGTATCCAAACGCTGTGGAGAGTCAGCGAGAAAGTATGCGTAACATGGAAGGAGTGGACCGACCGTATCTCTTGTCAGACTTATACTGCGTACACAAGTGGCTAGCTGCACAAGGCATAGCACTACATATGCGAAGTGGTAAGGTATGACTGTCGATACTAGTAACAATAGGATGGAGGTCGTGATAACGCGCTGTCTCGTCGAAGATACGGCGAATGTAGCAGATGTCGTCTGGTCGTCGACTGTCGATGCAGAGGGGAACAGGGAGTACAAAAGCGCCAGAATCGTAACGAGACCCAGTGCGACATAGTTGACGACAACACAGACAGCGACACACATGAAGCCAAACAGCGGGACTAGGAACCAGAAAAAGGTGTCTTGCGTACCCAACAGTAGCTCGTGGCTCGTGTCTCTAAGGTGGCTAGCATCGTGAGTTGAACCAGCAACTTGGTTGCGGGCTCCTGCCAGTGAGATGGCCAGAAGCGTTAAGGCGCTCAAGGTCATAGGAAGCGAGGTTCGCACACATTCATTCATGCCTTCGGTGAAGCTGACGAACACACCAGTCTCGTCGTACGTCATAAACTGATGTCGAAGCACTATTGCGACGACAAGCAACGGGAAAGCTGCGAAAACGATTCGGTAGCGCATCCAAAGTTTTCCCAGACTACCCAGGAGATCAACTCTTAATGTGATGTCCATTCCGCTGTCGCAGGTGGGATCGCTCCAGACCTGGAAAGAGAGACCATTGGTAGTCTGTTTTGCGAACAGGGGACGTGGCATGTACGGTGCAACTCCGTGAAGATTAATGTCTGCGTCTTTGACGTTCACGAAGTATTTGCTCTCGTAAACTTCGGTGATGTACTGTCGGACAAGTGGCACGAATAGTTCTCCATCGGCGCACTGTACCTGCTCAATGTGAAGGTTGTATGCAAGGAGGCTTGAATGTAGCGCTGGTACCTTCACTTCCGTGATCAATGGCCGGTGCGAGGGTAGGTGAAGGCTCAAGCCTGTGACTAAAAGGCGCCGTAGGCTTACATTTGCCTGGTACATTGACTGAGCTTCGGTGCTAAACTCGGCAATGACCCAGCCATAGCTGTGTTGTTTGGCTCTGTCGATGACGACGATGAACTGGTGTCCCGAAAGATCTCCCGCCTTGTATTGTAGATACGAAAAGGGTTGTTGGTCGTTCTTGAACGGATGCGTGGAATGTATCGTAGACGCAGGAAGAATGGCAGTATCAGATGCGACATTTTTACAGGCCAGTCTGGTAGGGACAGAGCTGTCACTAGACAGATCTGTGTTCACCTGAAATTGACTCGTGGACTGTCCAGTCTGAGCGTGAAATACGTTGCAAAAGAGAACCTCAAGTCTGCCGGCTTGCCCAGCGGTGTCCAATTTTTCACTCGTAAGAAGGGTGAACCTGCTGTCATGGGGTAGCCCTTCTGGTATAGGGAGAATGTAGGGTTTCGGTCCTGGCCCAAACTGACCCAACGTCCTCAGCACGAATCTTTCGCCCGAAGCTACGCCAGCGCTTGCTTGTTCGACGGTCAACAGCGTCTCTGGTTCTCCACGTAGCAAAACCTTCTCGACATTGTCCTCGAGTCCTGTCAAGAACCACCTCTTGAAAGCCCGCATGCGATCTGCGCGTGGAATCGTCTGAGTAGGTTTCGCTACATCAATGACATCGTAGAGCGCGCGCACCACGCTTTTCCGCACTTGATCGCACCATGTAATGGCCAAATGGTCCGCTCCAGTCCACGCATTCGGAATGGAGGATGTAAACACAGTGAAGCCGTGTGTCTCGGGCACGAGAGAAGCAAGGCTTGAGTAGTCGGAAGACACTATTGTGTCCAAGCCTCCACCGGCGATGGAAATCAGCGTAACGTGCTGAAGAGGATTGTTGGCCGGCATTTCTTGGGAGTAGGCGCGTCGCCAGTAGTTGTTGATTCCGTCGTATGTACGCACAATGTCTCCGTCGAAAGAGACTGGAGGCCTGGCATGAGGTGCGGCAAGTGTGACGATGGTATTGATAGAATTGGATTGATAGTTCGGCATGGTGAGCATCGTTCGAGCGACTACACCACCCATGGAGTGGCCAACTATGAGGATCGATGTTGGGTCCGGCAAAGTCGGATCTCTCAAAGATCGTGATGGCGTATGATACAAAGATAAGATGAACGCTATAGCATCATTGAGGTATTCAGCCTGGTCCAGCAACGTTTGTCCGTGAAACGCAGTAAAATCTTCATTGAAGTCCACAGCGAAGAAGTCTAGGGGCCTTCTGCTTGCTCTATTTCCTCCGGTCTCGTGGCGAATGGAGTTGTGGTAGTGGTACGCTGCTTCGGAGGCGTACGATCGAACCTGTTTGTGACTTCCAGCGTTACCCGGAATGAAGAGAACGGGCACGCCTTTGACCTTGGAATGATTAGCTGAATGAGTCTATGTCAGGAAAATTTCTCACCCTGGAATCCTCATCGATGCCACCTTCGCGGTACAGATAGAGGGCGTACTTGTTTGCGAATCTTGTGTGCTCCGTATCGAAATCGTCAAACTTGAGGTAGGCTGGCCGCATGTAGGACATAACGCACCCCTTGGTGTCCATTTGCCTGGTGAGGAAAGACTGCGCCATGAGAGCCAGCGCCCCCAGGCCTAACAGGGTGGCAACAATTGTATACCGCGAGCATGCCCATGAACTCCTCCGGCTGACTCGCTGTTTGTCATCCCGATGTTCCACCATGCTGTCTTGTGTGATGTCCTTCGCTAGCGAGCTCATTGTCGGCGCTATATTTGCATTCGGCGGGTGCCGTACGGTCGACCTAGAAGCGTTGTGGGGACGAGTTGCTGCTTCTGCCAATGCCTATATGGCACAGTCGCGTATGCGCCTGAGCGGTCGTATCCTGTTCTATAGCCGTCCCGTTGGTGAATCAGCGGTGGCCATGCTCTAGCGGATGCGGAAACGTGAGTGGCAGGGTATGTTCCTGTGGGAGGTGAGTCAAATGCGAGCGTAGGTGTTCTGGGGGTGTAGCTGCCCTACAACTGAGATATTCCGACGGCGAGCGCCGATGGCTCCGGTCACTAGGAAAGGACCACTTCCAGCAGGTCCAACAGCGGCTCGAGAGTCTTCGCAGTTTTTGGACCCGAAGAACGCCCTTGATACGCACAATTGGGCTTGAGTATGTGTTCCGACAAGCTCAGGGAAGTCGCGATGCAGGGCAACGCGACGTGCCAAGAAACTATCACAGACGCGACTTCCCCGCTATGGGCCGACGACTCAGTGCAGGAATGTGCCATGATAACGCCACCGGCCCCAACACGAGATGCGGACAAGCAAAACGCGTTCACGACGTCGGGGGTGAACGCATGGTCATGTTGCACATCCACTAACGCATACGCGCCACGTGGTGTCCACGTGTATTGCCAACAGTCCTGGGGTAAACGCAGCCGATAACGATGAGAATAATCACCATGACTGCTTCAAACGGGAATACGCTTCGAACGCTATTGACGTCATGGATACTGCCAATCGAAGCAGCTTGAAGACTGGTCCTTCATCTTCGACGCTACAGAGTACAGCCCGATGAGCATGTCGAACGGCTGTTCCAGTGCTAGATCCAGCAGGGCGATTGTGTTGCGCAAGAGGAGGTAAAGATATAGCTCCAAGTGTCGCACTCCGGCATCGATAGCGACAGGCCCTTCGTGCTTCCTAGTGAGAACGTTGCGGACGTATTCTGGGCGTGCCATCAGAAGGTCGCAATAGGCCAAGTAGCACGTTGTTTCGGCGATGAGTACCACTGGCCGCCCTTCAAGAGTCTGTGCTTCATTTAGAAATGCTCAGACTATCCGCACGAAAGACTTACTCCATTGTCTCGGTGGAAACGACGCGGACATCCTTGATAGGCAGGAAGTCGGGGGACACGTTGTACCTCCTGCGCTCCCTAAATGCTATCGTGGTAATCAAGTCTCTGACTTGCACGAATGCTGATGAATTGATAGAGGGCCTACATTATACATGTCCCATACTCAGCAATGCCTTTCAAGAACTCCAAATTATAAATTAATGATGGAAAAAGCATGCTGCTATCGGGTCTGAGAGAAGTAGCAATGGCCAACATAGGTTGCAAGTACACTTTTCACTTTGCGTATGCATGTGGCCATGACACAACAGGACCGCATTGTGAATACTCAACCAGATCTTATGTATATAATGCCGCTCTCGATGCTTTTGTCTAGTTCAACACGCCCCCAAAAACGATCCCAAATACACACCTGCAGCTCAATTGCACGCCACCACTGAAATTCAAACTCTCGCAGGGCGTTTCAACCCCAACCAAAACGAAAGAAAGCCTGAAACATGTCCGTCATTCCCTTGTTCGGGCTCACCGTTCTCTTTGAGTCAGCGAGCCAATTTGACGAAGTGCGCGAGGTTGCGAAATTCTTAGGACGCTTCGTCTACAACCTCGTGCGAACGGAGATTAACGTAACTGACACTAAAATCGTCTTCTTTGAATTAGTCAGTATGTACACTCCGCAAAGCTCTCTTGCAATCGCGCTGACGCTCTTTGGTCATAGTCACCTCGCCTCCTTCGAAGCTGCCGTTCGATCTTCGCTCGCGGATGTGGATTATGACGAGGGACTACTCAGCCATGATGACCCAGTCTTTCTGCAGATCACGGCTTGGCTGATCCGCTGCGCGTGTGCTCCGCAGGTGGACCCTTCAGGCTTGCTCGCAAACAAGCTGCGGGACTTCATTCAGGCTCAGCCGCAGCTTTCGGAATTGCCGCCGCCGCTTTTCTATGTTGGTGGGAGCGGAGATCTCAGGGAAGAGATCGATCGCGCCATTGTTGACTTGGAACTGGAGGACATTGAAAGCTGTGTTTGTCCCATTCGCAATCACGCTCTTCAAATCTTGCGCGAGTTCATGCGTCTTGCCATGAACTGTGGAGCAGTGTGGGACAAATATGGTCCGAAGGAGTGGGATCTTGCAAGCAGCCCTCCCCAATTGAGCGAGGAGGCGAAGTTTGCCGGCTACATGTCAGTCATCGAGACCTGGCGCCGCATGATTGCGAACCCGTTCTCCGAAGCACCGTTGCACATTCGGCATATACTCGCACGCGTCAATGTGGTCGTCGCAGTGGGGTACTTCCTTGAGGATCTGGAGAAAATGAGCCACAATTACTCAGACGTGATCCCTGTCACCATGGATAGGATGGGAGATCGCTTCGTCCAAGAGGTGCAATGGGCTGCAGAGGATATTGACTATGAAACATTCCATCAGTTCAGGGAGACCCGTCTTCACAACCCATTTTTAGGTCCGTGCATCCCACAATCATCATTCGCGCGGCCTCTTGGTGAACTGGAGTTCACGCGACAACCTCTTGGAGAGTCATACGAGGTCAGTGGTATCCCTACGAGTGATCGGCTCCACCTAGCAGATCTGGCTGGCGTTGAACTCCCAGCTAATTTTCGGCGGTACGAGTACTTGACGGATCTTTTCTACGGCCCATTTCCCGAGACCATCGTTCGACCGCATCTCGCTCGGCAGCCGCTCCTCGTAGAAGATGCCTCCATATACTCGGGCCAACTCGAGCTTGCAACTCCCCCTCGACTTGTTGCTGTGGGGCCTCTCATTCGTGCTAGCGATTACAGCCATCCCGTCAATGAGGCTGACCTTCGAGAGGATGACCTATGCTTGATCTGCCAGAATAATTTTGGAAAGGATGTTGACCCTACCAATCCCGCCGTTCGCTTGCATGCCTGCAATCATTTGATCCACCTGGAAGAGTTGGAGCAACTTCTGAACGCCGCATACTTTGCGCAGCCTCAGGTGCGGTGTGGGCTCTGCCGAACTCCTATCTGTGCAACGCGTCAGACGATCGAGGTTGTTGACTAAGAGCAGGTCCCAGAGGAGGAAAAAGTTCAGTCCGATCACAAGGTACGTTACTATGACTACCTGAGCAGCGATGAAACAGATGAATTGTTGAGGATAAAGTTCGGTAACCCGTGTATAGGCAAATGACGAAGTTCCCCAATTCTATGCTTGCGCTATGGTACCAGAAAACCGAGCGCAATTGTGGTAGCCACTCTCTAGATCCTATAATGAAGCTTTGCAGCTCACGATAGAACCTTCCAATGTTGAGGATTGTATAAAATGAGCTTGTCCTGTGGATTGCTTCCAACCCCGATCGTATAGCTGAACCAAAATCCTGGTTCCCGCGCCTTGTATGTGCTAAATTTACGTCTGTCACATATGTTTTTCTCCACTGAGTATACATCTGATCCCAAAGCTAACCAGCCAAGCGTACTTTTCATCCCTTCGTCATGGGACACCCTCCCACACGGGACTATGCCGGTAGAAACTAGAAACCTGTACACTTGAGCGCATGCATGATGTTTAGAATTGCAATAGTGGCGTTGCAAAGGAGCCGGTATGTTAAAATAGTGTACGAATGCATTTCGCATTTCTATCATCAAATGTACGCCTTGTTTCCGTCTAGGGTCCGCTTTGCGATGTTTACCACGTGGCATATTTCTGACACCGCCCGATACTTGCCTTTGCTGTGATCAGCGGCATGGACTATAGTCAATTACCGGTAACCTGCAATACTTTTTACACCGCGTGCTAGCCCCAGTTGTAGTTGACTACCACCCGATCCAAGTAACTAACTCTAGAGCACGAAATATGCAGATCAAGCAGAATTTTGTTTTTCGCAATTGACCATTAGAAGGTCCACATTCTGTCAGCAGAGCAGCAGGTCAGCCATGCAACTAAGCTCTGAAGCCGAAACTGCACGGAAAATTATACGAAGCTTCCAATCGAATTGTTACGGATTCGTTCGCGCGTGCGCATTATCCGCCACCAAAAGCATCGCATTGCTTAGGAATGCCCAGCTTGCGACCAGTAACAGCTTGCAACGTGTTTGTGCGACAGCGGCTTATCCTGCAACCCCTTTCCCGCACTCAAGAGAAATCATTTCTCTGAGTGCCTTTTCGTGGCTTTGTGCTCTACGTTTTCTTCCTGATAGTTCATACTCCGTTGTGCAAAGTATGACAACATACGAGTCCGATTTGAAGTCCTTCTTGGACCCATTTCTTTGCGCCAACACGGAGCGTAGAATTGATGGAATAATCAAACCATGCGAGAACGAAGCTCGGTCAACCTGCGTAAAATGCAAGTTGGTCCAAGTAAGTCAGACCATACGCAAGATGCAGACACCTATCACTGCATGCCTACAACCACTACTGACTTTCGCTAGTACTGCTCCAAGGAATGCCAGAATGCAGCCTGGCCTTTCCACAAGGCTATATGCAAGTCAAGACTCTTGAAAAACTCGTACAAACCTCGGTGGCAGATCGAAAAACGCATCCCAGAGTTCATGGGTGGTCCACCGCTAGCGCACTTCGGCTCACCCCAGTACCTATGGGGTAATATACCGGCGATAGACCTGCTGAAGGTCGCCGAAAACGAAGGCGATGAAGCAATTATGCAACAAGACGTTTCGTTACTTTTTGCAGCCTCTGGAGATCTTCGAAACGTCGTTAAAACCATCATCAGTCTTCCCGAAAAATGCCTAGGGAGTTGCAAGGCAGTTATCAACGACAGGAACACGACTGTTGTTATACGTAATGCATTACTCTTACTCGTAGCGTTTCAATTTGAGCCTGAAGTAGCCACCCCGATAATGCTGCATCTCTGGTACTCGGCAATGCTTCCACCAAAAATAGTCAAAGCCTTACAGAAAGGCATTCTGCCGTGTATTCGGAATGTTTGCGACAAGATCAAGGCGAAGCTCGATAATTCGATACAAGCGAAGACATTCGTACATGGCAAAGGCTCTATACGCCTAGTCCTCAAAAAATCCGAGTGGATTGCGCTCGCAAAAACACTTATGCCATCTAAAGAGTTGACTGCACCTATCGCCCAGACCATCCGCCGAAAAATCACCCAAGCAAGAGTCGACCATATCGACCGTTCGCTGTACAGGATGCCATTAGGTCGCCGTGCAGGGGCCATTGATTTTCGCGAACATGGCGTGCTGCTTCCGTATGGCGTTTCTCGCAAGGAATTCACTGTGCCGAACCCGTACGTGTAGAGTGATACAGTTACAAGTGGGATTGCTAATTTGTCTTGTGCAGGACATTCTTCGCCGATCAGACCTGGCCCATGAAAGATGATGCGGATCCCCTCGATGGATGGTCGTACGTCGAATACATGAAGTTCGCACCTATTGCCAAAAATGATGCGTACGGTGCTTTCTTCTTCTACTTAAGACACTTGCTACTTGCCTTTTGCAAACGTATTCGAATTTTTACGATATCTTTTCAGCTGCTAGCCACTGACGCAGTTGATCTCCCAAACTATCTGACAGACATCAAGTTCGATCGAATTGAGGTATGTCTTCAGTCTCTAAAAACCTCATCATGTTCTCATTCTCACATATCGAAAGGTATCCAATATATGCGATCGCTGCTACATCGGCCCCCACCGCACGCTTTCCATCTTCTCCCCTCTTCTGAAGCCTAAAACCCAGAACCCCAGAGCAGCGCTGTTGCTCCTATTCCTCAACGCAGTGGGCGACGAAGACGACCAAAACGTCACCCGCGCAATTAGGGCGCACCGAGGCCGCCTGATGAAGAAGTACTTCAACTACATGGAACCGTGCCTCGTCAACGCTGCGCTGGGCGAGGGAGGACTAGCGTCCATGCAGTATATTACAACGCCGGAGGTCGTCCTACTCACCGATGCCATGACATATTGGGACGACTTCGATGTGAACTTTGCGCGGTTTCTGAAAAATGCAGACCCGGCGTCGCAAAAGCCCATTGCATTGAAGGACCTGGCCGCTAATTATGGGCTAAGGATCAAGGACAAGCACACCATCATGCCGCCGTGGCCATACCGCGCCTCTGAAAACATGACACGCGAGGAGTTTGACGTGCTACTTGCAGAGAGCACCGGCGGGCATGAGCGGTATGTCGAGCTTAGTAGGGCGTAGAGCACAGGCTATGGGGCATAGAATTCGATGGCTTAGTAGTGGATGCATTGAAAACGACGTAAACATTCCGTCAGACTCCCGTTCACTGCTTCGCTACAATTTACTGCCAAAATCCCTTGATTAAGATTTTTCATGAACTACCTCACCGAGGATGCAAAGGGCAGTGCGAGAGTCGTGTGCTCGCATTTTAGCTGTGGACATTCAGAAATTATAGTTCAAGTCATATATGACAACGACAAGCAAAATAGGTCTCTTTCTGTGACCGTGATTTTGGCAGACAAGACTTTGAACACAATCACCCAGTCTGTCGCGTACCCCAGGTCAACACACTTTACTTTAATGATGCAAGGGCATGATCTGCTGCTCGCACGGTCTCTTTCTTTTATTGCCGTGTATATACACCTGCTCAGAGCAACGACTAGGGCATTTGTGCTAATGATAAAATTTGGTAGGCCCTGGTCTGTCACAACGACCACTGAGTACTGGAAGGATCCCTGGCATAGCTTTGTACCGCACGTGACATGCTTTACAGCGCAGCTTTGAAGAGCGAATGGTGACACGGTCGGAGTTATCCTGCTCCCGGCGGACGTGGCTGCAGCCTCGCGATCGCTCATTGGTCAACCTCTCCTAAGCCACCTCTATGCAGTTTTCTGACGTACACTCTCGCGAAACAGTAGGATGCGACATCGCATTCGACGCAAGAGTGATCGTACTTGATGATGATCGACAAAGAGGTGTCAAAGAGGTGTCGAAATGCCGTCCGCAGAGAATTCGTTGAGGCGGAAATTCATCGTACGACCGACCGGCTTTGTCACTTTCGCTGACCGAGCCGGGACTTCCGAAGCACCGCGAATGTGAGCATGGTATATATCAAGGAAATCCTTTATCTGACATCCAACATCCGATCCTAAAACTTCCATCGCGTTTCACAGCAACACCTGGGCGATACTGCCGTACTTAAATTTAAGGTCTTGATAAATTCGCGACTTCAGAATGTCGTCTGCCCTCACGTTTGAGATCGCGTATTCACTGTTCCACTGGATGAGTGGAGATATATCTCCACAAGAATTGGCCGCCAAACACCGGCGGACAAGTTCCACAGCGAGCGTCAGCTCGACTACGAGCTCAATAAGCGAGGGCGTGGAGACGCAGGCTTCCACCGAGCGGAGGGTAAGCGGAGTGAGGCACCGAAGATCGAGTTCGGATACAAACGGGAGAAATGTGCGGGGTATTTGAAAGGTAATTTGGGACTCAAAGATACGAAAGCCGAGCAGTTTAACAAAAGACGAGGTTCAGGTAGGGCTATACATTCGACTATGTAGGACGATACTGATGCGCACAGATGGTGTTCTTCCCAAGGCAGCAGACATAACCAGCACGTGTTGCTGAATCGGCCGCAGTCGAGCCAAGCTAGCGGCGACGCAGAGAGTTGCGGGCAAAAGGCGGCTCCAGGTATAAGGAAGCCAGAAAAGCTACACGGTGGTATTGAGGTTTGATGACTGGCAGTCCTGGATCGTAGGAAGACAGGACAAGCAGCAAATTGGTAGAGGAAGCCTTGCATACGGTTAGAAGATTACTCTTATTGGGTTAGCGAATGAATGACGTCATGACCAACACACAAGTCACCTTTTTCTTCCCTGCATCAGAACAGTTCTTACAAGCTCTGACTAAACTAGAGGTATGTCCCATGGTGGCTGACGTAGAAAATGGGAATGTGGGCAACTCATTATGTATTGACTCATTTCATTGTACGTTGCTAAACATGCATTGTGACAAGCTATCGTGATGTTCACAGTAAAGTCATCCACGTCTTCCATCTTGAAGTCAATCCCGCTCGTATTTTCGTCCGCGAGACCTCCAACTAACACACCAATCTTTCGTTCTTCCACTGTGCTCTGTCTCAACAGTAATTCGCGGTCTTCCAGCCCGAAAAGCACACCGTCTACCTTCGCCTTACTCTTAAGCTCACAAGACTTCCCCTTGATTTGTCTCATTCTAAACGCGAGCACGAGAATATCAGCGTCCTCCGAGGACGTCGATGTTTTGGCTTCTCATCAGAAATTGCCCGTTGGACCAAGTGCAACAGCAGCTGCGCCACCATTGAAAAAAGTTACGTCAACACTGGCATGGGCATATATCCCTCTTTCACGCATCGAATGGATCACTCACGACGCGCCTGGTGCCACCATAAGTCCCGCGACCATATATATCTTCTCGTGAAAATATTTTCCGGAATGAACCCGTCATTATCCTCGTCGGCCACTGTTCTCCTAATATACTGCACGCTTAGGCGATACTCGCACCACTTCATGGGTTTTGCGGTATACTAACAAAGCTCGGTTACTCCAAGCAACGCCGAATCGATGAAGGGTCTGTCCACGGCATCTTTCGTAGGCCAAAAACAACGTCCGAGCTCTGCTGGTGGCAAGCTGTTTGATTCTGTCGACCCAAACAGCCCTGGGTAGGTTCTGTCACGACATACTTTCTGGCTAACATCATTATAGAACCAAGGGGGGATCTTTGGTTTAAGGACCTGAGAGGCACGGCCTACAGGTTCTTGGATACGTATAAAGACTACGTCTACGATGGCCAAAGAAGCCTTTACAGGAGCGCTAAAGTAGCGATTCTTGATACTGGTGTTGAAACTCCTCAATATCTGGCACGGCAAGGATAATCAAAGCTCGGAGTTACGGATGTACGTGGTGCAAGGTCGCCGATAACCCTCTCGAACCGCGGCGCGGCGAAGATCGACACTGGACACTGGTTGCCAGCATTATACTCCAAGCCACCCCTTACGCAGAATTGTGCATTTACTGAACTACACGCGGTAGGGGTCAATCGATCAACCGAAAAGATGTAGCCGCTTCAATTGAAGATGCCACCCTCAAACACGATGCGGACATTATCAGCATGTCGTTTGGTTGGGAGCAGGAACATGAAGAAGAGCATAATGATGCATTTCGTGCAACATTTGGAAAATATTACGATAAAGATGTCTTGGTTTTCGTGGCTACCGCCAATGAACATGTCGCGTCCGTGTTAGATATGGCATACCCAGTCCGCGCTGACAGCGTGATTGCCATCGACGAAGCGACCTCAAAAGGAGAGTATTCTCATACAGTCCCACCAGAGACTATGCGTTCTTAACACAGCGTTTCATGGCGCTTGGTGGAGATATCAAAAAAATGCAGATCAGCCGCGCATGAATGGCACGTCAGCTGTTTTACCTGTTGCTGCTGGATTGCGGCGCTGATCCCTGAATTTGCGCGTCAGCCTCCGCTCGGGCACGCTTCTGATATAGCCAAAGCGCTGAAATGCTCAGATGCGATGCGCGAAGTATCAGGAGGAGCTGTCTCAATCAGACATACTAGACACGGCGAGCACCGTCATTTGGCACCTAGGAGGCTCTTCAAATGTGACTCCACAATCAGTGACGCTGGCGATTGGCCTTCGCTACTGTCGCGTCGGCATGATTTCGGGGAGTCAATTGGCAGCATCGTGAAATCCAAGTATGGCCTTGAATTACTGCGTCCCGTCGATCAAAGTATTCAGCAGCCTTGCGTACGAGAAGGTGCTAAATGATGTCCGGACCTCAAATCGCCCAGGAAGGAATACGATGTCATCAAATCCTTGAGCGGCACGTGTCACGTAAGACGGCTCTTTACCTATGGCGAGCATTTTTTCGAGTGAACCAGACATGCAATTGGATATATCGCACGGATTGCCGCTAACCTCTAGTCCGGTCCACGGGAGAACACGAATGATGCTTACACACACTCGCTGTACTTGTGCATCGTGCCAAGGATCTGGGAGCCTATAGCGTTGGCTAAATCATACGTGGAGGCGGTATCAGTTGCTGCACGATGCAGGGAATGTATGCAGACCCCTCTTTCGATGTTCGATTTAAACGAGGCTTACTACTTAATTTGCCCAACAACTGTCTCCTTACTATCATTTCGATTTCACTCAAGTCCGGTACTCAATTGTATAATTCGAGTTACACGCCATGTCTACAGCGGATCAAGTAAAGGAGGACTACCACAAACATGCAGAAACATACGGTGGCTACAACGTTCTCCCTGCAGGCGTTCTTGAGTCCCAGATCATCAAGAACGCCCTGGGCGATGCTACTGGCCTCGTAATCCTCGACCTTGGCGGCGGCTCTGGAATACACGCACGCGAAGCCATCGATGCTGGAGCTCAACGAGTCGACATCGTGGACATCTCCCCAGAGATGATGAAGGTCGCCACAGATACCGAGAAATCACTTGGTCGCGACGGTCGCATCCGTACATTTGAGGGAGACGTCTCAAAGCCAATGGACCACCTACCGCTTGAGACTTACGATGTCGTTATGGCCAATTGGGTCTTTGACCATGCGGGGACCGTTGAAGTCCTCGAGGGTATGTGGCAAAACGTTGTCAAGTACCTCAAACCTGGAGCGAAGTTTCTGGGCATCCATGCAGAGGATCCGCGGAGACCTTCTCTCAATGGCAAATACGGCGTCCGCAACAGCAACTTCAGAGAGATCCCTGGGGGTATTGCGTACACAGTGGAGATGCTCAACGACCCGCCGTGGAAGTTTGAAGGCACGTCGCTGGAGATTAGTTTCTCGGGGTCCTTTGAGTTGCATGAAAAGTACGCGCTTGAGAATGTGAGCGTCGTTCCGTACGACAACACCGAGGCCGTCAAGCAAGATCCAGAGTTCTGGAAGCTGTTCCTGGAGCATCCATTCTACGCTGTCGTGCAAGGATTCAAAAAGCCGTAGATTACAGTGCTAGATGGGATGCACATTGCTTTTGACGGATCGAAGGCTGAACAGGCTAGGTATAATGTGGGTAATCTTAGTTCGAAACTGGATGATCACTAGCAAAGCTCTCATGGTCATGAAGGCTTGGGCAAGCAAATTGATTGGAGAGGTATTTCTATGTGGCAGTGTAGCACACTAGCGTAATATCGGACATCTAATCATTGCTGAGACCGCGAGGTAAATATCCCTTTCAAGCCATGATATGACCAAAAGCCCCACCCCAACAAGCGCCCGATGGCTAGAGGAAGACCAAAGCGAACCCATGTCCTTGGCGCAAATATCTTCACAGCCGGAACATAGGATTTCTTCAGGACGGCGTCATTTCGCGCACTTAGCTCTTGTGATCTTCCAGCCATCTTCACAGCCTGCAAAATGGCTGCTACGATCTCGACAGGCATGCTCAAGAACGGGGAATGACTGGTTGGCAACTCCATATGATGCACTACTCCACCCTGGCCTCTGGCCACGCCAACCTGCACTCTCTGGATGACCACAGGGAGCCCTCTATCCTCGATAGTTCCAATGTACCACGTCGGCACGTCTTTCCAGCCTGCGTAGACATGCTGCCCGCCCTCAAAGAGTGACTTCAAGCTTTGAGTCGTCAATTGACTAACCCAGTATTCGCCTTCTTCGCGAGGCAAGTCGTGGTAAAAGAGCTCGCGGTTATCAGAGGTCAATTCAGCAAAGCCAGTCTCTTTGTTCACGCGCCAGAAGGGTGGTGGAATGCCAAACAGTGGGTCCATGAACGCGAGACCGGTGAAGGAGAAGCCCGATGCGATGAGGACTAATGCTATGACAAAGCCTTTCGATGAAGCGGATTGAGGTATGTCGGATCGAGGTCGCGTAAGGCCTTTTATGCAGCTGTTGCCAACCTGGCCGCCGTAGGAATGCGCGATAACGACTGCATCGCGGCCTGCAGTCAACTCGGCAATGAGTCCATTGCGAGCAGCATCAACGTCGTCTTTGAAGGTAGCGTATGGGTCGCCATTGGTGGAAGGTAATGTTATGGAGATACATGTAAAGCCGTGCTCGTCCTGGAGCGATTTGATGACTTTTTCGTAGCATTTAGGCTTGTGCCAAGCGCCTGGAATGAAGACCAGAGTTGGTTTCTCGGCCATGGATGAGGTTCGGTGTTGTCGCGCTCTGTGGTACTAGCTGGTTCGATAATGTTCAGCTTTCTGGTGGCTTTCTTCCTTGCAACCAAGATTGCGGTGTTGACGCTGGACGGTATCAACGCGGAAATCGTGTGGTGGCCTGCGACGGTGGTCGGTGTAGATAGAGACTGCTAATAAAATCGTGTGAGTATCGTTACAAGGTGAGATGAAGAGGGTCCGCATGTTTCTCGCAAGTCGTGTTCCCTGTGACCACTGACCCGGAATGTCCCGAGTCGGTAAAACCTCACCTTGGCGGTCTACATTAGGCTCAGCTGAGTGCTTCCTGGTATATTTAAATACATCACTAAAGTAAGAGTTTGAGCACTTCGGACGTCCTTTTCGTCATTCATGGGACAATGCGCCTCCAAGAATTTCCGATGTGGTCGTGATGCTGGCCTCTAAAGATCCGGCAATAATCTCGCCCGGCAAGTCGGTGCGCCGACTCAGCTTCGACATGGGCAACACAACAGAGCGTCAGCATGTCCAGTCCCATTCCGAACTTTCATCCAGGCCTGTCCGCAAAAGCCCCAATATGTACTCTCCTGCGTTTTCCACCTGCCAGATCCTTCCTCCATAACCTAACAATATCGCGTAATGTCCTAGCACCATCAGAGCTTCCGTGCTCTTCACTGACAACAATGTGATAAATTCCTTTGGGACCAGAATACACCACAGAAACAACATCTGGTATCGGTTCCCTTCCTCCTCCTGTTCCGCAAGCAATGCGTCAAAGCCTACTTGAAGGTACCCTATCGCCACCTGGCATGCTTCCTTGTCATTCGAACTGAGACCTAAAGACGCTTCAACGAATTCCTTGACGCGTTGACATCGATTTCCGACGGGTGCGCGCGAAGTCAATGACGAGCTTAGTGATAATATCTGCGCCAGAACAGACTCCTGCCAAAATGGCTTAGCTTCAAGAAAGATCGCATACACGCCTCTAAGTGTATCCAAACACTGTACGAAGAGCACCAGAAACGCATCCAAGTTTGTCGCATCTCGTCTGCATAATGTATCTGCTAGGACATGGTGGCCTAATATCGTCGCAAAAAGGAGAACGGGGACGCATGTCTCCCTTGTTATGGGAGTATTTGAGGCATTGAAGAGTGAAACGGCGCGCGTCTGTAATGTCATGGCTTGGTGCATATGAGCAGCCGCTTTGGAAGGCTGTATGCTGGCGAGATGTCGGGCCGAGAAGGCGAGAATCTGATGCAAAAGGTAAGGATTTCGGATGCTGATGTCTAGTACTTGGTCGGTGGTCAAGTATTCTCGATGCGCCGCACGATCGCCTCCCAAGCTAAAGAGATCCTCGGCTTGGGTGAAGTGAAGGAGGAGCTCCATATGCTCAAGGTTGACGGCATTGTTAAGGACCGAGTGTAATGCCTCTGTCGGTTGGTCTGTAGCTCTGGAATATATGTATAAAGTAGGCCGAGAAGTCTGTGGAATGGGTGGTGTGACAGATTGCATGGTATTTGATGCCTCGCTGGGGGTACCCTCATCGCTTGACATAGTTGACTGCCCGTTAACATGTCCTTTTGTTCTGGCGCTTATGCTCAGAGGCTGAGTTGAAAAACTGCATGCGTGCCCGGAGACAACGCAGAGACGACACGCTGGATGTTGTTCGTCGCACTGTCAACAAAGACGGCTTAGCACTGGCCAGGTCCTTCATGCAGCGCGCTTTGATGCCCCTACCTTGACGTGTCTTCGCTTACTGTTCGGAGATGTATATTAGAACTCCGTTCTCTACAGCTTTTCAGAGAAGAGAAGAACTCAACTTACCATTGCAAGCACCCACCGCGCGATTTTTTGTGGCTTCGCCTTTGCATAACTTCCAGGGTTGAGCGACCGACCCACAAAACACTACAAATTGTCACAGGCCGCAGGTGCGCGTGAATACGCGTGTCACATCTTGGAGACGGTGTTCCCTGGGTTGCCTAATAGAGGATGTAGGGACGCCCACCAATGACTCGCCCATGTCTTAGGTAATACGCGTATTGCGTCACTCTGCGTGTTAGCGTCATATAGCGATCGTTCATTGGTCGATCCTTCCTGATAGCGTCCGCAAGACCAAAGAGAGGACATGTATTGTTCATGATAAGCAGTCCATTCATGTACCGTTCCTAAATATATCGTCCAACGACCGGGTGTAGGCTTCGAAGAGTCTGTGAACTGAAACAATTGCAGGTGTATCAGGCCCACTGTCCAGGTCTATTATCAATAGCCATGCCGAAGATCCCAACCGCAAGCTGTAGCACCCCAGAAACGTCTACGCCGGAAGCGGGGACAGCTTGAACTTCCTGATAGCTGAGCCAATGGTTCCATTGAACGCTGCATCGACCTAGGAGTCATTAGCAGGAGGATGGTGAAAGTCGTTGAGGGCCATACCGCTTCAGCAATTGCGTCCTCATCGAGACCATCCAGAGGATACTCTGTGCCGTCCTCAAGGATCAAGCCGTTGACAAGCGAGCCATCGGTGGGAGAATTTGTGGAGGAATCAACTTTCTCTGAGCGGAAGAAATAGTCTCCGGATGCGATGAAGGCGGGCGAGCCGCCGAAGTAGCAGTAGTCCTGGAGATTACCACCCGAGCCGAAGCTATCGCCTCCAGCAGTGATGGCCAAGTCACAGTTGCTACCAACGTGGCCCCGCATGGTGATTTTCCAATCACCGGGCACGGCGCCAAAGGAAATGTGGCTGCTCTGACGACCGTTGGGTAGGTAACCTAAAGTGCAAATCCAAGGTCAGTCTGTACGTCGAAGGAGGAGACTTGAGCAGCCGGTGTGCAAGAAAAAATATCACACATTTCTAAACTTGACTTACAGCATCGATTCGGAGCCTGGTTCAAGCACGACGCGACAACACCCTTGCAATCTTTAGTACCGCCGAAGCGGATGTCGATTGCCAAGGTCGCAGCCGCAAAGAGAAGGAGCAGCAAGCATAGGAGCTTCATCATGAACGAGTGGAGGTATTGAGTAGTTGGAATGGTAATCGACAGAATCTAGCCGGGAGTCAACGGAGTTGAGCGAGCTGTTGACGAGGAGGGAGTGTATTGTTGCCGAGCTGACGACGAATCTCCAAGAATACATACTGAGCGTACGATCTAGCTGGCTCGTGCCTTCCATTACTATCGTGGGTTGTCTCTATCACTGCGGGCAGCAAGAGCCGTGCTCGCTTTGTTTCTCTCACCTCCACGTCCGGACGCCGCGCTTCACTCCAATCACTATCAATGTTCGCACTAAACTCGGGCGCCCGACTTTGCGCCAGGTCTTTTGGGAGGCATCTTCTATTAGATACCTCATGTAAACGATTTCCACGAGTGGAGGTGAGAGTCCTGGCTGTCACAGCGCGCATTCATCGGCACTGTTCTTGGCTCCTGACTCTCTTGCGTGTATTATCAATGACAGATGCATGAATTTCCTGCGTGATAAGCCTCCTACTGCTGCCCTGCTGCCCTGCTGCCCTGCTGCCCTGCTATCCCTGCGGGCTGCATCGTTTTCAGCAAGTCGCATTGCTCCCTTCCCAACAGATGTCATCCCAATGATGTACGGTGCTAAGTTTAGTTCTGTCGCAAGTCTCTCAGCCTTGATCAACACGCAGGACTAAATATCCTGAAGATGCTACGAGAGAATTACGAGGGGCCATAGTGGGGGCCGACGAGCACAGTCACAGCATGAACACAAGGCAAAGGCAACGAAGATGCGAGCCATTAGGTCGGCGAAGCTACCAGTGCTTGCCACTTTCTACCTTCACCATTATACAAGGCCGGTGTTCTCTCGACATGCATCCTTGGCGGTGCCTGCACTAGATGGCTTCTGACTAGGACAGGCCATATCGTAGCACCTGGATTGCCGATGCGAATGGGCGCAGAGCTGGAATGATCTTTTCGAATAGCTCAGATCAACAAGACGCGGTTGAATGAAGTTACCGAGCATGGTCGCATGAATCGCTCCTACCTTACGTAACACGCGTACTTGGTTCTCGCCCTCTTCCAGCATCGCCTGCTGCACGTTCATTGGCCAATGCTCGACCAGCGAGGCGTCCTGGGCGAAGAAGTCGACGCCACGGAGAGGGCTGCGGCAGTGCCCACAGGGTTTAGGTACACGCGTATTTCAGATGGCTTAATGGGGTTCCAGATGCGAGTGGTACTCACCAGCTCTTCACGCTTCCTATCGTCTTTATATAAGAACACAGGAGGATGCTGCCATGTTAGCATTCGAATCAATAGCATCTTCCAGTGTGATTGACTGCAGACCGCGAAACAAAATTCCTCAATTCTAAGCCCACCCGGTCTGTAACAATGGGCGCCGACCCAGTCCCTCTCAGCGTCTACATTTACGCGCCCAACAGAGTCGCACCCATTATCTTCACCATCCTTTACGCCACGAGTACATCCATACACCTGCACCAATGCCAGTACGTTCTCCCCAGTCCGCCCACTCCCACCACGCTGACTCTCATCCCAGTCGTGATACATCATGGCGCCTCCTCTCGCTGCTTCCCCTCAGCGCCCTCTCCTTCACCCTCGGCTACGCCCTCCGCACCGCAAACGCCTTCGACGCGTACCTCTACTCAAAGTCCAACTCCACGAACCTAGTACTCTTTATCATGAGTCAGATATTCATTTATATCCCCCCGCCACTGCTCGAGCTCGCAAACTACAACATCCTAGGGCGCATCCTGTCATACGTCCCGTCGTGTGCGCCGCTGCGGCCGAAGCTTGTGGTGCGCGTGTTCGGCAGCGTGATGCTCGTTGTCGAGACGGTGAATGCGCTAGGAGTCAGCTTGTCTGCGAATCCTACGGCGAGCGCGGTGACACGTGCGTTGGGAAAGGGGATGGCGTTTGCGGCGCTCGCGTTGCAGCTTCTGGTGATATTCGCGTTTGGGGTGCTGGCTACGATGTTCTGGGTACGGCTCAGAGCTGCCGGCGTGAGAGCAAGCGCGGTGGAGACGGCGCTGAAGACGCTTGGCGCGAGCATGGCATTGATTCTGGTGCGGTGTTTGTATAGACTTGTGGAGCACGTGGGGAATACGGAAGTGGATCTGGATGACATGGAGAAGCTGAGGAAGCTGAGTCCAGTGATGAGACATGAGGCGTACTTCTATGTGTTCGAGGCGGTGCTTATGCTGCTTAACGTGGGTTTGTGGAACCTCTGGAATCCGGGGAGAGCATTTGCGAAGAATGTGCATCTGGCAGGCGACGGGATGACAGAGGTAGGGTATGAGGATCAGAGAGAGCGCTTTTGGACGAAGTGGTTCTGGCGTAGCGATGGCAAGATGAGGCTGCAGGATGAATTGCAGATGGACCGGGATCTGCGTCGCAGCTCGTAGGGCAAGACGCCGGTAGTACACTGCGAATACCCAATGGATTGCCTGCCTGTGTCAGCGCGCTTGCGTTCAGACTTTCGACATAGACATGCATGGACACAAGATAGAGTTGGCTGTTGGCCAAGAACGGTTCGAGCTGGCTATAATCTACTCTTCTGCTTCGCCTTGTCTCGCGTCTGTTGAGCCATCCGCAGCAATGCGTACAGTGTCTGCATCCTGGGCATCTCGAATCCCCTCTCGCGGGCAATCCTGATTGGGTTGCCGAGTATGACTTCCAGCTCCATGGTCTTGCCCTGTTCCCAGTCCAGCGCCATGCTGGGCTTGCTGCCGCTCGTGTTCTTCTGCGTGCTCCGCAGTATACGCTCGGGCGTCGCGAACTCCTTTGGGAACGGCTTGCCCAGGACCTTTGGCGCTGTGTCCAAGACCTCTTCCATGACGCCCTGCAGGTGTCTTGCGAGCTCGGAGTCATTGGACATGGCGTTGTTCGAGATTCCGCCTGCGAGCACAGACGACGGGTTCATGGAGGCGTTGATGGCGATCTTGTGCCAGCGCACGAGCTGCAGCTTGGCGTGGTCGTAGGCCTCGGCGTCCTTGATGCCGCCCTCCTGCAACAATGCGATGAAGGCGCCGTTCTTATCCACGGCCTGTGCATCCGAGGCTCCTGCGCTTCCGACGTCGAGGTGCGGCAGGTATGGCCCGCTGTTTATGCGCGTCCACCGGTTGTGCTTGATCTGGCCCGGGCTCGTCTGCGCGCAGCTCGCAATCGTGACGGCGCTGCAGATGGCGGCACGCGGGAATCTTGCCTGGTACGGCTGCTCCACGCCCAGCCCGTTCTGGATCAGCACAATGGCGGTCCTGTCGCCGACCAGCCCCTCCAGGATCGCCGAGTCGTCGCTCACGTCTGGCAGAGCCTTCGTGCTGACGACAATGTAGTCCCATTGTGTCCTGCTGTTCCGCGCTTCATCCGGGTTCGCAAAGGTGCGCGTCGGTGTGAAGGTGTAATCCCCGTACTGCGGCGACGTCACTTGGAAGCCGTGCGCCTTGACAGCTTTGTAGTTGGAGCGGCAGATTACCGAGACGTGGACTTCGGGGACGCGAGCGAGCCGCGACGCATAGAAAGCTCCAATCGCGCCGGCGCCGACGATGAGGATTTCGGTAGGCATTGAGATGATGGAAGACGCGTGCAAGCGCCTTCGTAAATGGTCGAGGGCGACGCATCGTCGGTGCTATCAGTAGCTCCGAGTGGAGACCTCGGCATTTCCGCATCTGGCGCGTGTAGCTCGTTGCATAAGTCCCGTCGCAGACGCGCCATATCCACCAAATCGGCCAATGCTTCGCCCTCTACATTCCCGGTCTGAGGGTGCCATGTTCGGCGGGCGAGCTTCGGGATCATAGTCGTACCCGAGCCTCTAACGCCTCCAATACCTACTCGACGCCACGAACACCGCCCCATGGCGCAACGCAAAGAGGGCATTTCTTTCTGCACTCCAGGAACGCATCCATCCATCCCTCCTACGTCGCCATTGATATATCAGATTAGAGTCACTGGAAGCGCACGATCTTGCTGTCGGGCACAGTGACCAACACAAGTAACAACCCAACACACGACTTTCCGCAAGCCTGATATCATGACTCAACCCCAACATCCATCAGCCCCCACCATCATCAACTTCCAAATCCGGACCACCCTCGGCTGAAAACATTCCGCGGTTTCCAAACAAGACGCATCGAGTTTTGAGACGGTTGGTTTCGCGATTCGAAACGTGGAGCTGAAACCGTGGTCAATCATGCCAAGACTTTGATTGGCTAAAAGTCTCGAGCACCGAGAAAGACCAAGCACCGCATCGTAAATATAGAATCCTCTTGGCTATAGCTTGTAAGAGGCTTGTTGAATTGGGCTGACGCTTTGTAACTCCCCGGCTATGTTGCATCGTCACCACCTTCATTTGGGCTTACAGATTGCAATAGCCGAAAGTGCACTACGAGAGACAACCAGGCAGTGTGTAATCGCAGACATCAATGTATCCTCACCAGATAGCTTGTGTTTCGATCCTAGTTTCGCTCTGTCTGCGGCACCATCTCAATCAAACCCTTGGCATCAAATCCAAATATAGAAACGCATGAAGCACCCCACATACCACAGTCAAAAACACATTGCGCTTCGAAACGCTATCCGATGTCTTATGCATAGCTGTCGACTACACTGTCTTGACACTAACCACCACTAAACAGATCGAGCCAAGGCCATTAGGAAACACTACAGCACAGCCAAGTCTTCCCTAGGCATACCTTTGAGGCAAGAAGCGCTGCGGTTCAGCCACTACACCGGGCTGTGATGTGCCGTAAGGTTCTCAACCGAGGATGGAAAATGACGATGAGGACCGCAATTGGCTTATCCGGTCAAAGTCCAAGAAACGAGGAGATCATGGCCGCAGCGTTTCCCAAGAAGCAAAGCAGCGTCTTTAAGATACAAAAAGGACGACGGGAAGCGACAATCGGAAGAGCATCCAGCATCAACATCTTCACTTCTGTTCCTTATTGCTAATACAGCCGACAGCGAGTCTGTGGCCCTTCAGTTCTACATTCTATCACTCACAGGTTGATCCTATATTTTCTCTATTTCTCTATTTCTCTATTTCTCTATTTCTCTATTTCTCTATTTCTCTATTTCTCTATTTCTCTATTTCTCTATTTCTCTACTCCCTAGAACAAACAATCACCATGCGCTACTCCATCATCTTCGCTGCCTCCCTCGCGAGCTATGTCTCCGCACACGGTGTCGTCGTCTCCATGAACGGCGCCAACGGTGTCACCATGCCTGGCCTTACCATCGCTGACGGCACTCCTCGTGACTGCTCTTCCAAGTACGTCTGCTCAACAACTCATTCACTCTCGCTTACTAATCCCACCCAGCGGTTGCGGTTCCCAGGCCGACACTGCCATCATCCGCGACCGCGAGATCTCCTCCGGCAAGACCGGACCTCTCGGACGCACTCAAGGCAATGGAAACGTTGATGCCTCCGTCATGATCGCCGCCTTCATGGGCACTGGCAACGCGCCCACCAACCAAGGAGCCTCTGGTGCCACTGGTGTAGAGGACGACCTCTCCGGCACTGCCGCAGCCGGCAAGAACACGAAGAAGAGGCAGCTTCTCGGTGGCCTTCTCGGCGGACTCGGCGGCGGTGCGGGCGGCGCTGGCGGCGCTGGGGGAGCCGGTGCCACCGGTATTGCTGGTCTTTTCGGCGGCGGCGGCGCAAAGGCTGAGGGTCCCCCCGAGACCCGTGTCGCCGCTGCTGCTGGGCAGGGCGCTACCAGCGGTCTTCCCACCGCCAATGCCGACGGCACTGTCGACATGACGTTCCGCCAGGTACATACACATCTCCCTCCCACGCCATGGCCGTAGATGCTAACTCACTTCAGATCAACCAAGACGGCGCCGGCCCCTTTACCGCTGACGTCGATGGCACCTCTGGCGGCACCGACGAGGCCGCCTTCCAGAGCGCCCAAGTCACCAAGGACGTCCCCGGCCTCGGCGTGCAGGGCATCTCCCTCGCCACCTCTACCGAGTTCGACATGCAGATCAAGATGCCGGCTGGCATGACCTGCGATGCTACCGTCGCAGGCGTCAGCAACGTCTGCGTTGCGCGTGTGCGCAACGGCGCTGCTGCTGGTCCCTTTGGTGGCTCGGTTGCCTTCACGCAGACGTCTGCGGCCCGCAAGCGGGCCATTGCCTACCGTCTTAAGAAGCGCATGGAGATTGGTAACATCCACTAGATGGAGGTTCGGGAGATGCTGGTAATTTTATCAAGGCTGTTTGGGTAATGGATAGATTGGATACACTCGCTTGGCATGGCGAGTCTGACTATGGACGGGTCTGGGACCTGAATGATTAGATCACGACTACGAATTTATTGTATTGTTTTACGTACCTAAAACGACGTCTTGTTGTGGAAATGCTTGATCGAAGGTGTCCATGGATGCAACTTGATAGAGCCAAACTTGTGCAAGTATGCAACGAATTTTGCATGCCGTCGTGGCCTCAGGGAGCATTGTGACAATGGCTCACAGCGAGGAAGAGCATAGACGCCTTCCCAGTCCACCGCAAGTAGACTCATGCAGCGCGGAACGACCCAGTGGTGGATTGGAGCGCGATGTCATACCTCGAACGAAATCTGGCGCGACTAAACTGGAATGTCGTTGTTTTGGGACGTACCTCTTTTGATTTGACCTGCCGTGGTTGTTTTTCAATGGTTGTCTGTTGGTCGATGCCATCTCTGCACTAGTCCGCAGTAGGTTACTGCGCAGTTATCGTATGCACTACCACTGGCACGATGCAGGCGCGGGGTGGAACCCGCCAACGCCAGCACAGGCGAGCGTTACCTTTGGAGGTGCGCAGCTCCGAGTGATGATTCTAAACACGAGAATCTATGCCTCCAAAGGCATTCGCATACGTGTAGGTGCCACAAGCGGCTTTGCTGTGCGGGGTATCTGGGTCGAGAAGCAGCAAACATTCTCCCTTCTCGTCTCCACTCATCAAAATGACCGTGTTGCATCCTTTTGATCCTCTCACTCCGGCGGAGATCTCCAAGGTATGTGCCAGCATTATCCAGTCTTTTGCAAGTGTTACAGACTGACCGTTCCAAAAGGCGGCTGAAATTGTCCGCTCCCGGTATATGGGCCAGGATGTGAACTTTCGAGTGATCACCCTGAAGGAGCCTCCAAAGAATGAGATGATTGCATTTCTGGATGAGGAGCATCGGAAGCGGCCTACAAACCGGGTGCCGATCCGTAGCGCACGCGTTGAGATAACGCTCAAGACTGAGGCGGGCGGCAATGAGCTACACGAGTTTCACGTCAATCTCACAGATAACTCTATTCTCAAGCATCAAGCCTTGAAGGGAAAGCACTCATACATCGATTCCGAATACATGAAAGAAGTGGAGAATGCATGCATGGCTGACCAGAGAGTGCAAGATGAGATACGAAAGTTGAATCTGCCTCAAGGTGCGTCGGTTGTTGTGGAGCCTTGGGCATATGCGACTGATGGACAGAACGACATGTCAAAGCGTATCTCCATGGTAAGGCGCGGCCTCACCCATCGCAGCTAGTGCCGCTAATGCCTGTGACAGTGTTGGTTCTACCTTCGCCTCCTCGAGCACCAAGATGCCAACTACTATGCATACCCGCTAGACATATGTGCGGAGATATCCGAAGAACTAAAAATCATCAAAGTCTATCGGCTTCCATCATCGCCTGATGAAACAATCCACAATGAGGATCGTCCTTTTGATCGTCGAAAGATACACTCGACCACTGAAAGCGAATACCATCCTGACTTGCGGTCGAGCCCTCGATCTTCAACCAAACCCTATCAGGTGGTTCAACCGGAGGGTCCTTCCTTCAAGGTCCGGGGCAATCTACTGAATTGGGAGAAGTGGTCGTTCCGGGTGGGGTTCAACTACCGAGAGGGACTGACGCTCCATGACATTCGCTATGACGGACGCAGCCTATTCTACCGTCTATCACTTGCCGAGATGTTCGTGCCATACGGTGATCCACGAGCGCCGTATCCGAGAAAGGCTGCATTTGATCTGGGCAACGATGGCGCCGGGATCAACGCCAATAACCTGAAACTTGGATGCGATTGTCTGGGTACGTATCTGGACGAAAGTCTAATGAATTGCTCAGCGTGTGACTGACGCAAGCGATGCATGCAGGTACGATCAAATATTTTGATGCCTGGCACAACACACGATCCGGAGAGCCCATGAAGCTCCCGAACGTAGTCTGCTGCCATGAGCAAGACGACGGCATACTATGGAAGCATACCAACTTCCGCACCGGTCATGCGGTGGTGGCACGGTCTCGAATACTAGTCCTACAGACCATCATAACTGTCAGCAACTACGAGTACATTTTCGCCTTCCACTTTTGCCAGGATGCATCGATCTTCTACGAGGTTCGTGCTACCGGGATTTTGTCCACCGTACCGACCAACTATGGAGACGGCAGCAAGATTCCATACGGCACTGTTGTGGCGCCGGGCGTCCTTGCGCCCTACCACCAACACTTGTTCTGTCTCCGCATCGACCCTGCTATCGACGGAAACAAGAATTCAGTATCGATCGAGGAGTCTGAAGCGATGCCTGTTGGCGACAGTAACCCATTCGGTGCGGGCTACGTGACCAAGAGCCATTATATCGAAAAAGAAGGCGGATTTGACCTTGACTTTACGAAAGCGCGAACATTCAAGTTCGTCAATGAATCCAAGATCAATCCTACGACCAACACAGCAGTCGGCTTCAAGCTCTTGCCCTTCTACAGTCAAATGCTCCTCGCACACAAAGACTCCTTCCACGCGAGGCGCTCAGAATACGGGCAACACGCAGTGTGGGTGACCAAGTACCGAGACGACGAGCTCTTCCCATCGGGGCGGTACACGATGCAGTCGATGGGAGGCGACGGGATCGCGTCAGCCATCCAGAAACGTGCAGCGTCTGATGACGAAGCTGCGGTCAGGAACAGCGACGTGGTTGTGTGGCACACGTTCGGCTCTACACACAATCCCCGCATCGAGGACTGGCCCGTAATGCCTAATGAGAAGATGGTGGTGGGGCTGAAGCCTGTCAACTTTTTCTCCGGAAATCCGGGCCTCGATGTCGCTCCGTCGACGCAGGAGACGAACAAGAGCGTGCTGTATACGGGAGAGGATAGCGGCCCCAGTTGCGGTGCGTCCAGGCTGTAGGTGGAAATGCATGGATCCGAAGTTCGGCGACGCACAGCAGACATGGTTAGATTGGCAGATTAGTGATGGTAAGCCCGAGTAGATAGTCATCCACGGAGCGGGGCTGTCCTACACATAGCACTCGTCACACGACACGGAGGTCCGTATCAGGTTCGATGCTGCGTGCAGTCCGATAGTTTCGATTCCACGAGGTGTTTTCTCCCTGTGAACTGGCCTTATCAATGTCAGCTACAGCTCTTGGAACAACGACGATGTCGCCTCCGTAGTTGCCGTTGTAGGAACGTAGCTGCCGTTGTAGGAACGAAGCTGCCGTTGTAAAGACTCTCGCCGCTGCAGGGCTATATTATCAGGGAGCGAGCCGAATGTCGTGTCGTGGAAAGACAGATAGACCACTGCAAGCCTAGCAAGTTTTGGAATCACAGACTCTGCGCGCTTGCCTGACCTAGCTATGTGCTCGCTCAAGCTGTCTACTTTTGAAGCGACAGGGAACATTACTAGGACATCATACGGCTACGTTGCCCGCTGTAGCCGAGTGCGTATACGATTAGGCTAGATCTATATGTGATAGGAAGAAAAGTATACTGGAGAAAGAATCGTGATAGATGTCTATACCACGGCCGTTTCGAAAGAGAGTTTTTTTTTATTTCCACTTCCGCAAGATGGCCCTGTTCTAGAGCTGTGTGATCTTCACTGTCTTCATGATCCCCTTGTGGCCCGCCGCACCCCCATCGGCCGGCCAACTGTCCTTGTCCTGGTCCCAATCTTTGTTCAACCCAATCGTACTTCCGCTCGGACTCGATCCACCTCCACCGACAACTTGGACATTGTGGTGTTTCGAGTCTTGGTCAGTGAGCTGGATGTCGTGTTCGCCATGCTTGCTGGACGTTTCCAGGTACCCTGATCGTGACGGGTGGCCCGAGTTCCACATGCGCGAGTGCTTTCGAGAGGTGCTGTCATGCGTTGACATGTCGCCGAACACCTGGCGGAGCAAGGGGCGGAGAGTGGCGGCCGCGGAGGTGGCAAGGCCGATGCCGGTTTCGCAAGTAGACCATATGGCGACGTCTATGGTGGAATAGAGGAAGTCGGGGATGTCGTTGAGTCCGTGTATGAAGGGAATGCGGACGATTGTTGCCGTGGAACCGCTGGTGCTGAATTAGTACATGGTGCAAGGAAGAGGTTGAAGGCGGGGTGAGCTTACATGGCGCAGAAAGCCAGTACCACAGCCACGGTGATCTTCTTTTTCGAATTCATCTGCAACTTGTGCACGATGAAGATTGGAACAATACTGAAGGTCCAATCGGTGGCACACGATAGTGCAGAATAGCCGTAGAAGGAGTTTACAACGAGCTTCGAGGGGATGCAATGGCCTTTGCCTCCGCGAAACTGTTCCCAGAAGAACGAAACAGGCCAGCATTGGAAGGTGAAGAGGAAGAAGAAGTACACGCTGTATACTTGGATGATGATCAGGGCGGCCCAAAGGATTATGCGGTGAGTTCTGTCCACGGCAATACGGAGGAGGAAGATGCCGATGCTGGATTTGAGGAAGATGTTCGTAGCAACGTAGGTAGGTTCGCAAGACCACCACCACTGATCCAGCCTGTTAGCTTTGCACACAATGCGGTGGACATGCAATTGCACACCTTCATGCCGTTGGGATACTTTTCGTCCGGAATGAGATATCGTCGCTTTCCGGTTCCATTTTGGATGCCCAGCAACGCAAGGGTACAAAAGACCAAGAAGGATACCAGGGTAAGGACAGAGAAGTAGTCATCGGCGGCGAAGTTCTTCACGATGACCAGCTTGCAGTAGACTCGCAGCAGTACCAGCAGGGTGCAGATACAGATGAAGAAACCCAAGACACCAGTGAACTCGCCGGACCGGTCTGCTCGCGCCATGATTGTCGGCAGAAATGTGATGTAGAACAAGAGCCCAACTCGAAACTCGTCATGCAGGAGAGACGGCTATGTAGTCTGTCGAACTTTTTGCGCCTTCATTTCCATAGGGGCTGACATGACTCCGGCACAACGCTACGCATGCAAGGGCAGGCGAGACGCCCGTGTGGGGGAATGATTTTCCGCAAGGTGGGCAACAAGCGAGCGAAGTGATCCACGATCCGTCTCCGCGATAATCACAGCCTGACTCGAAGATTGATGGCTGACTGTGGTTGAGCTGCAGAATGTTGTGTGGACTATCAGCAGGGCAGGTGTGCCGGGGGGGTGGTCCCATGTGCTTGTCGGCGTCTCCACAGTGGTGGGTCTGGAACTGGATCTGCGAGCTCTCCGACGTCAGGCACCGCGGAAGTATCTCAGCCATGGTGTTGCCGTGGCCACCCACTCACTCGGTCCTGAGCACAAGTATCTTCAGTGGTGGTTGAGTACCTGTGCAATGCTCGCGAGAGGGAGACGCGATTCTCTGCATGCCAGAGACAATGGAGGTGCGTATGAAAAACTAGTTCTGCGACAGGTACGGCATGTGCCGCTGTCGGTGCTGAACGCTGCTTCCGCGGCAGCTAATTTCACCATGGCGGGTCTGTCGCATCAGTTGCGGAATAGGTTCCGACTGCCGCGCCATTGCGAACAGAGTAGCGCGACAGGTACCTGACAGCAAGGTCCGCCTGGCCCGAGGTGGCGACCACGTTGTGCGGACGGCTCACGAACCTTGGAGGGACGCAGGAGACGCTTCGTACTGGTTGAGTTTGTTACTTGCGACATGGCGCCTCTCCAATTGCCGACCTTGGCATGGAAGACACTCGGCCCTATTAGTCGCGGGCCAGTCGTGGGCCTCCGCTTGAAGATCCCGCTCATGGCTGTCCTTATGCAAGGCTTTCGCTACACCTCGGGAAAGCCCGAGACTGGGGGTTCTGGAGGATGAGGTACGCAGCTAGGTCCCAACAATGCCTGGAAGCATGTCGTGCAGGACGCACCATGGTGCGCGTGCAAGCACGTGCCACGACTGCCTAATCAAGTTCGGAAGAAACTTTGCTGGCGGCGCTGCTAGCGCCCTCATCTCCTTCGCCATCCACCACCTGTGTTACCCAGCTCCATTTCCCAGCTCCATTCTCCACTTCTGCTGTTGGGTCCTGTCTGCCACCTGGGCAACAGCACCGTGGGCTCGGCGGGGTGGTAAATCATCCAGGCGCTTGTTCGGCCAACATCCGAGGAACCCAACGGCATATGTTTAGTACCAACGCGAACTACTTCGTGTATCCGCATCGTCGCAACGCAAATGTCTAGTCAACCTATTGTACGCCCACAGAAGCTATTTTGCGGCAAGCATAGTCGGCGCTATCCTCCTTCCCTGTTTGAGCATCGCGGCGGGATCCAGTTCCTATACAACAACATGACGATCACCCCATGTTCACGGCAGCATTGCCCTTGGCTTCCGTTTTGCCGGATTGTGCTGAGGATGCAGCACCTGGCGTCTTGAAAACCCCGCGCTTGGAGACGTGTAGTCAGTTCGAACAGCTTCTTGAGCTTTCGCGGTGGACCTGTACCGGTCAAATATGTCAATAGGGCCGCTTGGTACATGGCATGTTCTGAAGGAGACACTAAGACGGTGCAGATCCGAGCCCACTTCCTGGTTACGCTGATTCAGGCAAGAGCGGATCGTCGAGATCATCTGCCACACCGCAGTTGAACGCGACTTTGAGTGGTTCTTGGTAGCCCGGATACCGAAACGCTCGAGTCATTGACGAGGATCCATGCTCTTGTGAGCCCTTCTGGTTTTTCATCTCCTGATAAGGGGAGCCAACTATTCCATCGTTTTGGTTTGATAAGAGAAAATGAGTGTGGTGTCAACATCATGGTCGCTCGCGCGCTTGGGGTATTCTCATATCCCCATCTCTGACGCTGTCTCTTTCGCGATCCTGCACTTTCTGCCTTCGAGCGTCTATCTCCTGCCCGGGCAGGAGTTATACACTCAACACAGCCAGCGAATGGCTACATGTCTCCACCTGCCTTTGCTTGGTCTTTTGCTCTGTCAATTCGTCGAGGTCTTGACCTTTTGTGACATTGTATAATCCATTCACGCTCCATGTGGTCTCAGTCTCATTCTCATTCGTCAGTCTAGTAACCCAAAGCACGCCAAAATCAGCAGGTTGCTTTTCTCGCGCGTCCTGAGTCTTGACTGTGCAGGGCACTCTCCGCGAATGGTAGCTTATGAGCTGTCATGGAGCGGTGCACCAAGAAACTCTCCGACGCGCAATGTAGTTTATACGGCTTCCTTGTATTTTGCGATGAACAATTGGGCAGTTCAAAGCATGGGTGGCCGGCAACTGCTCAGACCCGGGTAGCATGTGCAACAAACTACCCGACGCGGTGCATGCTGTTCACATTTCAGAAGCTGTACACGTGGGGCTGCACGATAGCGTAATCAGTTCGAGGTCCATAGAGCGAGCGCAAAACCATTACTGGAACAATTTCCAGACGAGTCTCATTCTGACTTCCTGCCAGTCCAACAAGCTGCTGAGGAGTGCGCAGGTCTTTCTAGAATCCACCGGCTATAAACAACCGAACTCAGCCATCTCGCAATCTAAGGTTACCCTTGGAGAGAGCAGGAGATGTTACTTAGCATGGGTAGGGTCATTCTCGCACATCGAAACCCAGCGCCACTCACCATCTGAACTGGCGCAGAGCCGGTCGCAGGGCCTTCGGACAGAAATCCATTTCGGGAAACAAGCCCAGAGAAGCGTCCCGCGGGCGAAGCCGTACGCTGCAGGACTTCATGACTTCCAGCCGGCCCTGCTCTCCCAAAGTACCGAGGCACAGTTTTAGGACACGGGGACGCTAAACATGTTACTGCGAACAAATGTACGTATTGAAACGTCCCAATACTCAGAGAAAAGCCATCGAGCTGCTGGCATAGTAAAGCGGCTTAATCTAGGCCAGGTACCCATGACAATGATTGCATTCACATCCTTCCCTCCTTCGCGAGATCAACAGGGTCTGCACTAAAAAGCAAGGCGAGTACTTGAATCCAGGACAAACGTGCGGAGACGAACATTTGTACCCCATATATCGGCATTCCTTGTCTGCCAGTACAGCATTTGAGCTACCGCGCAAATCTCGTAAATGCTGGGGTTCACAATTCCTTGCCCCCATGTCTAGGGCACAATGAAGGAGATACACGATCCGGGTGTCACTGGGCGGATGCCCACGAACTATAATGCTGTACCTTCCCCATTAGTCAAGGGAACACTCACGGCAGGGACTGGCTTGGCGTCGTAGCGATGGTCGTCGTAGGCCCGAGGCTGAGACAGCTACATCCAGAAGAGAGCTGCGAGGCCGCGTATTTGGATAGCCGCTTACAGGGAACCTTGGCCTTGGGCCCGCGTACACAGGGGAGTGCCGCGGTCCGTTTGAGTTGCTTAGCCGCGGGGCAGGTGGACTAGGTAGTGGTGACTGCAGTTGGGGATGTTGTCGTGATTCAGTCAGTGAGCTATTCTATCAAATTGAGTAGGCATATGAGGGATAGGTTTACACGGTGGAGGTTGTCCTAGTCGTAGTCGACGTAGCGGTGGCAGGGTTTCTTTATGTAAGAGAAGCAGAACAAGGTCACGGGTGCTCCCAAGCCCTTTAGCACAGTGAGGGCTTCGTCAACGAGTTTGTAATTTACTGCACGCTCCTCGATCCGGTTTTAGTGGGCCAATGGGAAAAGGATGACGTTCAAAGATGTCAAGGCGCCATTTCTCTAAAGTTTTCTGGTAAATGCTGGATATGCCTCTTGCGCAATCCGAATCAGATCTTCATATATCATGTGATGTGTTAATTTTATAGCCTCGCTTTATCAGCACGATTCCACTCAATCGGTGTGAAGCCACCTCGCTCAATGAGGATGGGCATGGCGAAAGGCATCGAGAGCAGTAAATCAGTGCAGTCTACGGGGTGTTGCCCGCAATCTCGAGCAGCCTGTTTAACTCGACTAACCCTTTACCGAGATACACTCTGACATTCTGGATGCAACCATACGTCGCGACTGGATAGGGCGAGCAGGTGACTCGAGAAGAACAGTGCAAGACTCTGGCCGCCAGATTCAGCCGTTGGGTGGCTGCGCACTGGTTTCGATGCTTGGCCGCCGAAAAAGGGCTCGAGACGTGGAGCGAGGTCCGTAGGGCTGGCTATTATAGTCTAGCACAATACAATAATGCTACCCGTCCTGCATGTTATGTTGGGCAGACTCCGATATGGTGAGCTCGGCGTCGCTTGAATCTACCAAACCATTCTTCGACATGGCCAACAGATTGCTACAGGCAAACAGGGTTCGCAATACCCTTGATATGGTCGATTAGGTGCGCATGCTGAGGACTCGGAAAGATTGAATTATATCAACAAACATACCAATGACGATTTCGATTCCGGATCCTGAGAAACTGTTGTACAGTTGAACTAGAGTACGGGAAAATTGGCCACGAACGCCGAAAAACATGTTCTAGGTAATATGTACGCCAAAATTCTACAACAGCGCAGTGGGACTTAGAATATAGGGCATTGGCTGGTCTCGCACGATATATTGCCAGTATTTACGAGCTTAGCCAGCCAGAGGCCGCCAGAGGCCACATCATATGGCGATAGAGCAAATTATTGCAGCGACTTGACCACTGCCATTGAATGCACTGTCATTAGCGCTTTTATCAGCAATCGTTCGGATGAGATTGCGTAACTTATGCTCACCTTGTCATCGATGTAGAGGCTATTGGTATTGAGAGCGACTACTTGTATCCTCCTAGGATAAGTTAGCAATATCCTGTGATGAGATCCCGCTAGAGATGATGGTATATGTGACTTGGGTTGTGGCACCCAGAGCGAAGACCACAAAGTGAGACAGATGCTGGCGATAAAACACATCATTGATTACTTGCAAAATGTGTACGCGATCCATCAATCATCTCCGTGATGAAGAACGTGCCGCTTCGTTACCAGTGCGAACACAATATCATCGACCCTGAATGCCATCAAAGACAATGACGCTCATGTTGAGAGGCAGAAACAACGGCGGGATTGGTAACTGCTGCCACTGAGAATGAAAAGAATGGCCGGATTTTGACCATCCATCTTGGGCAGGTAAAGCCAGTTGTGACCCTATGACAGCCGTGTTGTGTTGGTTGTGGTATATGGAAACGAGATCTAGACTAGAGATTGAGGACGAGAAGACATCGAGAAGATTGTGGATGCAAATGAGGGACTAGGTTCAGAGCCTACCTTCGCACAAGGTAAACGTCACGAAAAGAAGAAATGGAAGCGAAGAACGTATCTGACAGGATCAGACCCGGTCTCAAGAAGGACGAGCTGTCTCGCACAAACACTAACAAACCTGACTTGGACGTTGGAACTTCTGTACCTAGAAGAAGCATCCTGACCGAGTTGACCATACCGCCTCATGGATTTAGTTTGATAAAAAGATGACCAGGGCACTGTAGACACCTACCATCGGTAGGTAAGTTGTCTCAAGCTGCAATTCTTCAGCAGTGGAATGTTGGGTACGGCGTTGCGCATGCATGCAGGCGTGAACTACAACGTGAAACGTTCGAGGTTTCTTGACAGCCCGGGAAAGACCGAGCGACTAGTACTCTTACAGCACCGGTAACGGCTACCCAATTTTCTATTCCGCATCGCAATCGGAGTTTCCTGGACGCGAGCGGTTCTTTCGGGAGGGAAGTCATGCTGCATAACTGCCACCACAAATTTGCAGTCACTCGCCATCATCATTGGTAAAAGGTTTCTTCTATGTCATCGTATCGGACAAGATGAAATCTCAGAGACATCTCTCGCCAAGATTGGCCCCACTTTGGTGCATACTCACCGTGTGTAAGGCCACCGAATCTTGCCGCGCTAGTCTCCCGTATCCAATTATCTCTGGTCGACCTACAACCTACACGTTTCCAAGGCAGTCCTACTTAATCTTCATATAGCCCCCAGAGAGACTGAAAACTACCGCAGACACTTACACAGACCGTTACTTCCAAACCTCGCACTCACAAACTATTTGTCGTTATTGAGCGATAGACGATAGTTGTCTGATTGCTTCCAAAGCAGTACTCATAAACCGTTCAAAGACACTGCAAGCGTACTTCATAATGGCCAGCAACACGAAGATTCCAACCATTGCCCCTTCTGCCCGCCACCACGAAGGCAAAGTGGCAATCATCACTGGTGCATCCAGAAGTACGTGCGCCCTCGTGCGAGTCCAATTTCTTCTTAGCTCATCATCGACGGGCTGTGACGAACTGCATCAGCCCTGTTTCTAGTCAACTAACACGCGGTTCCTGTGACACAGGCATCGGCGCCGCCATCGCCCGTAACCTTGCTGCCAAGGGTAGCAATGTGGTGATCGTCTACCTCACTGAGAATTCAGACCCCTTAGCCGCCAAACTGGCAGAAGAGCTGACCTCCGCGCACGGCGTTGTGGCCATTCCGGTTCGCGCTGATTTCACAACTGCCGAGGGCGTGCAGAAGATCGTTACAGAAGCCAAGGGAAAGATGCCGGTGAACACGAAGACTGGCAAGTTTCAAGTCGACATTCTCGTCCACAGCGCCGCGCTGTTCCATGCCATGCCCCTCGAGGCATGCAACTTGGAAGATTTTCAAAAGGTGTATGCAATAAACGTTTGGGGGCCTATCAACTTAACGCAGGCGGTCAAGCCTTACCTTCCCACGGATCGGTCGGGCCGCATTGTAAGTTCTCATTCAAAGACGCAATGGGCTCCCAGATCAGTATCTACGGCTCTCTGCTGGCTGCTGGCTGCTTAACAACTCGTGCATTGTCTTTCCTACCATGCTGCTCCAGATGCAACGTTAGCTCATAGATTATCTATCTTCCCACAGCGGATCGTCGTAATCCACTAACACCAGCTTCCAGGTCAACATCTCCAGCGTCGGTTCGAAAGTTGGCCTCCAGTACCTTACCCTCTACGGTGGTTCAAAAGGCGCCCTGGAAGCCATGACGCGCACCTGGGCGCGCGAGCTGGCCGAGCAAGCCACCGTCAACTGCATAAACCCCGGTAGCACAATGACAGATATGTACCGCGACGCAAATCCAGCAGCTAAACAGGCTAATGCGCTGTTCAACCCGCTGGTTCCATTGTCTCCTTTACGCGAATGGGACACTGAAGAACAGCGAAAATTTGGTGAGATGTATGGTGGACGCGTGGCTTATCCGGAGGAGATCGCCGGGATTGTGGGCATGATATGTTCCCCGGAGAGTGCATGGATGACCGGAAGCTTAATCAGCGCTAATGGAGGGCAATGGATGAGCAGCTAGAGATGTAGCTAGTATCAAGGAACAGCATCAAGCGAAGACCAAATACAAAATGATCAACGGTCTCCGTCCACCTTTACCCACTTCAGACCAAGTCGTTCTGGTTGATACATTTCGTTCAGCAGTGTCATCTGGATGTCAAGGGAGATTCGCTGAGCTCTCTGCCTAGACTCCGTAGCAGATTCTCCTGTCTCCGGCACAGGCTCAAGCTGTTGGTTTCGAAACAGTATTGCGAGGACAGCAGAAAGTTCTACTTGCGAGAATCGCTTTCCAGGACACACTCACTCTCCGTGCGACCAAGGCATGTATTCACCGTCTGCAAAAACGTGAAATTGCTCTGCCTCAATCTCGTGTGTGCCTTTAACTTCTCCAATATCGATAAAACGCTTTGGGTCCCAGGCCATCGCAGTGTTACCCCAGACAGTTGTATTGGTGTGTAGGGCACAGAAGTTGACCTGCACGTTATAGTGCGGTGGGATAGTGTATGTATTGGCTCCCACCGTCAGAGTGCATGCGTCTTTAGTTAGCTTCGACGATGAACCGAGTGGGTGGCAGAGTCGCAGAGTTTCCATCTAGAAACTGTATCAGTCAAACAGTCATTGACTTAGAGTCGGACGAGCTTACCACTACAGCTTGGCATCGTTTTAGCTTCGTCCACGTGGCGTAAGACCACTTATTGTAGTCATCATCTTCGCAGTAGTGTCGGATTTCCTCGCGGAGCCAACTCTGCGTATCAGGGTTGGCGGCCAGGTTTACGATAATATGAGCAAGCGTTATAGCCGTAGTATCGTTTCCTGCGAACCGTATACAAATGTGTTACTGATGATGTCCTGCTCTGTGATGGTCATGTCGCGGCCATCGTTTTGCTGCGCCATCGACGCTCGCACTAAACATGAGACCAGATCCTTGCGAGCCGATACGTTCTTCTGAATGTTGTCTCTCTCTTCTTCAATCATATTGAGAACATACGATCGGAAGCTCTCAACGGCTTCGCCCACTTCCTTCATTGAGGTTGGGATCCAGGATGAGTTTCTTAGAGCTTCCCCACCGAATATAGCAATAGGAATAATGCCACGAAGAATCTTCGAAAATGAATCCCGATATTGGTGAGAGTCGTCTGATTGGTCGACTGACCTAGCATGGCGCTTCTTCATCTCCTCCTGTCCCTCGAATGGATACGGCTTCGTGAAGAGCGCAGCCGCCAATACGTTGAGAGTTAATGTCTTGCAATCGTCTGCCACGCTTCTGATTGGCCGTGGAGCGCGATGAAGCCAGTAGTCGAGCATCCCATTGCCTTGTGTAAGTGAAGCCTGCCACACAAGCTCATTGTTTCTTTCGGTGAATGTAGCTGCAGTGACCTTGCGGTGCTTCTGCCACTCATGTCCTTCCGTTGTTGATAAATTCTTCCCATAGACATTCAGAACTGCAATTTGTTCAACGTTATGACCAAAGTCGCGAGGCCGTCTCAGTACATCCCAGGCAGTCTTCGGATCAGAGATGTAGATCCAATTTCCACCAGGCGATACTAGTGTGAACGTGTCGCCAAAGTCTGCATGGACCCGGTATCGCTCATTTGCGTCCCATCCAAAGAGATAAAATCGATCAAAATGTTCTGTCGCGAGTCCAAACCGGCGAGCTAGTCGGACGAGGTTGCTGCCGAAGACCATCCATAGTGGATTGGTTGGTGTGACGTAGCGTACGAGAATCGGAAGCCCTATCGCGCGTGCTTTATTCAGATTTGTATTGAGGGTGATCAAAGACCAGATGATCAAGGTCGCAGGCAACGCCGCAAGGGAAATAACGATGGTTGCAAGCATGACTAGGTCCTGTCTCGACAACAAGAGAGCGTGGACAACTGACAGAAGAGCAATACGCAGATGAGTTACGGAATGCGAAGGCTTCGTGGGCTAGCCAACGGCCAGAACAAATCGCTCGTAAGCGCCCGGGCACGGGGCTGGGGCAGAAAGATGCAGGAGCGATATTGAGGGGCAGTATCGGTTCCAGAGCTTCGGAAGGCGGATGAATTACTATGTGGCACAGCCCATCATGCCCACCTGGGCTTCTTTCAAACCACTGACAAATCAATTGGATGAAAATACCTTTCGATAAGATGTTCATTGAGCAGTAGATAAACTCAGACTATTTGAACGTGCATCTAAGCCAAAGGCCACCAGGCCGATCTATATCACAAATGTACGATGGAATAGCCCGTCTACGAAGCCATATCGCAGCCTAACCTCATATAAGACAAGAAGCTTTACATGTATCACGGACCATAACATGTTCTTACGAATTATAAAAACCTTTGTTAGCTAGTTGGGATAGACGTTACGCCATAGCTCGTCAGCCAGAACAACGGTGTGTTTTGTCGAGCCAACCTCGAGCTCAAATATCTTGTTGCCAAAAAGTATTTGAGCAACTGATGTTGAGACAGTGCAGCCCACAAGATCCCAGAGGAGAATCCGACTCTTGGGTGTCCTTTGACCACAGGGCTCATGCTTTCAATCCCAAATATCTCAAGCAAAGGCACTTCACAGATCGTCGGCCTTATCAGGAGAAAGTTTCCACAAATATAAAACCTTGTTGAAGTGTCCGAGACTCATCATCTTGACAGGGCGAGAGGTAACGCGGGTGTAGAAGGCCTTCAGGTCGGGGTTGTGACGATGAAGTATACCCCTTATGGCAGCTCTATGCACCGCGAACAATACAAGTAAGTCGTCGAGGAACTTGTCCCAATAAACTGTTTTTGCCTTTAGAAATGCTGCCATGACGTGTGAGGGATCAAACTAGCAGTGAATCATGGTATAGTGAGTTGACGTCCAAATCACAATGCACTCATTATGGCCATATTGGAGCAATAGTTGTAGTGAATAGCTCGATGACATCACCGCGAAGGGGAACGCCTTAGCCACAGTTGTTTCCTATGTATGGAATGAAAGATGACCAAATGGGCGGTGAGCTGGGCGCATGATCGGAAACTGCAAAGTGCGCCCGGGGCAACAATCCCTCCATATCGGGGACAAGGGTAGACATCATATACCACCATCTTTTTTTACGCACGTATCATGGCTCATGGTTTATTCGAAAAAGTCTTTTGCTACCTCGCTCAAGTCTCTAGTCTCAACATTTGTTCAAAGATGAGGAAAACCTGCAACAGGATGAAAAACCTCATCAAGACATAGCCACTCGATCAAACTCTGCTGTCGAAACAATAAGTTTCACAGAACAATGCCGATTGCAATCAACACAGGACTTACGACTATAGTTTCTAAGCAGCACAGATACATGTCTGCAGGCAGGTGGTGCCGGACTCGCAGAAGATCTTGTTCCCATCGCATTTGCAGTAGGTCTTCTCGCAAATGTTGGTGTCGCTCAGGCCTGCTTGGCACTGCACCTTTGTGGCGGCAGCGGTCCACATCAAGGTGGTAAGAAGTGCGCCGATTGCCAACTTGAACTGCATTTTTGCGGTGAAGGTTTCGAGATGACTAAACAGATAAGCATAGTGTCGTCACGGGCTGAAGGTGACTAAAACTCACTTCGATGGACCCTGAGTGTAGTTGTAGTCGGGAGGTGAAAGTTTGAAGGTACGGGTTGATGATGAGAAGGAATAGGTGAAGAAGTTCTCGACTTTATACATGAATTCGCATTCAGGCCTCCCACATTCTGCATATCCCTTTACTGCGTCTCACATAACTTGCACTTGATCCCTGTCCTGTATGGCACTAGATAGATCGCTACGGACGAGAAAACCCCTCTGTTGATTCTGGAAGAGGGCGGAGGAGCGTAAGCCAACGTCACTGTTTCCCCACAAAACCGAGTCGCATGGATCTATACAGCTAGGATGAGAAGGTGATACCAAAGGTGCAGGATCAGCCCGAATGAGACCGAGCGGGTATTCCATAAGCGCCTGCGAAGCCCATATACAGGCAAGCAGTCTAGTTTTACTCGGATCGTGCACTCCATCTGACAGATGTCTGTTTCGCGCGCCATCATCCAGCCTGACAGCACCATACAAAGAGGTTGGAGTTTGCATCACGGGCGTTAAAGCCAAGTAGAGCTTATTTGCCCATAACAAAGCTTGTCTCGCAACCGCATGTCGCTCGCAAGGTCCGATTGGCCGGCCGGTTGTCTGAATCAGGAATCGGGAAGCGTATGGTGTGGGGCCCAATATAGGAAGGATGCGGCTCCATTCGGCGAAATTTCGTACAAAACTCTGCACGGTCAATCAAGGCATAGCCAGTGAAAGGATTGCAGTCACTTGGATACCCCACATGTGCCGGTACACCGTAAGTTTCAGGGCTGACCACATTCTGGGTATGCATGCATTGGCTATGATGATCAGAGCCTCGATAATGAAAGCAGCATATTTGCAGCGTTCGATCGAACAGTGCTGATTGAAGCCGATTGAAGGTCTTGGACATACAGTTTTGGCCCCTTGTGGAGGGCAGCCATCGGTTTACAGCAACTACGTCACCAAGATAATATTAATCATTTCATCCAACCTCTACACCAGGCCGGCAATCGGACCCCAAATTTTACTATGAAAGACCGGTCAGCAATCTCAGCCCGAATCAGGCGCCCTCTGGTAGCGGGACACAACCTAATTTAAACATCCATCGTTGATTGTGCTGAATTTAGAGCGGAGAGCCCTGCAAGTCGTTTAGGGTCCGTTCTACTGGGAAATCTGTATTTGCGAAGGGATGGAATGCCTAGCAGCTGGAAAGCTTAGATTAACCGTTGGTCCTAACCTGTGTAACGGTAATGTCAGCCTTGTAACAGGGATGCCCGCCGTAAAGAGTTATACGCAGCTGCCCATTACCTGATATGGGTTAGTTTACGCACAGGCTGGACGTGACTCAGGTTGCAGAATCTCAAAGCACTGTCTTTCTGGTCCCTATCATTGGGCCATGGTCGTTTTCATGATGCAAACTACATAATCAATGACCGTCTGCTTTACCTAACAAACCACGTGTGCTCAAGGTGAACATCTATCGTTTTGGTTAATCGAGATGGCCTAAACGCAGCCGGAACGTCGCGGATGCACGTTGGGATCCTGCCCGCCACGCGAAGCAACGAACCATGAGAGGGCGAATATAGCGTGTACGTGGCCTGAGATCATCTGTCTAGGGGAAATGGGGCGGGCTGTGGAAGCCTGTTGCAACGTAACCTTGACGTATCCTTCGGGAAGGAGTCTCGGATAAACTCTCATACTATTTCGATCGACATATTTGCTACCACACGAGTGAAAAAACTCATCTCATACTCATATACAGAATTCAGATCATTGCTCTGACTATTCAAGTCCCGACAATCAACCGAACTAGCCAAGACAATGCTGTCCAAGCCCAAGCGAGCATACTGAGACCAGATTAGATAGTGGTGAGCATTAGCACTGGCCTCCAATCAGAGTAGTCGGTAGACCTTATCAGAACGGTGACCTACGCAGGGAATGTGGACGCAGTTCCTTGGGTATGCATTGCATGGCCGGCACGAGAAGCTGCAGTCTCGGACTTGAAGTTCCAGGGCTACCACCCCAGGGACAGTGGAGGCCACGGCAGTAACAGCAAGTATGGCTGCTATGGCGAATTTGACGATAGTAAACTGCATGACTTGATTTTAGGTACGGCTCGTTCGAATGAAGGGTATGGTGGAAATGATTGCAGGAGAATACACGACGTGCAAGAGTATGATTGTGTGCTGAAGAAATGCTCATGTAACACGAGATCGTCTTTATACACTCTGCACCAGAACGCGAGGTGATTGAGCGATAGCAAAATGGCGCATCTTCGACCACGTCTGCGCGATTTTCCATTAGCAGTGCGGGAATTTTAAGTGTGTCCTGGGGGCGGTGTTGATGTCCGCCTTGCTGCTTCGAGCTAGGTAAATCTACCGCCCAACAGAATGCTACAGATGCTTCATTACCTACCTGTGTTGTAGCGAAAATCCTTAATATCCCTGAGTGCGCACACATAGGATTTGTTCAGTGACGCATGTGTTTTTGAAGCCACCGTTTTCCTTCCTACTTATCCACATAGCGCGCATGACAGTGAATCAATGAAACACTTATTTTCCGAATCTCAGAACGTGGTTTTGATGGTTATCCATTATTATCACAGGGCATAGTCTCCCACGCAAAGTGGTCCTGTGCATATCGGACCCTTTCAACTCCCAATTTCCGATTCCTGATTCCGTCCAGTATCTTTGGAACAGACGTTCAAGACTCAGAAACTTCCCTCCGATAAGCTCTGGGCCTGAAGAAGTCCTTGGTACCAGCTGGTCTCCACACTCTGCCAATATACCAAAAATCGATGCCATCTCCCGATGGGCAGGCTCAGCATCCTTCTGTTGCAACACTGTCGCTTGCCCGTCTCCAACCTCTCGATCCTGTCAAATGTAACCTCAAACCTCTTGATCGTTATCTTCTCCGCCAGTGCTAGAACTCTATTCATCGTCCCATCGTCGTACGAGATCACACATACACGAGGCCAGTCATCCTCCTTCAGCAGCCAGGCAATGTAATGCGCCAGGTCAAACGTGTACGTCTAGGAGATCTTGCCATCTCCACTCTTGGGACTGATCGGCCTGCTGTTCTGCAAACCGATAGACCACACCATTGACCTAAGCTTCGCCTTGATATGTGGCATACCAAAGTAGTGAATCATGAAGCCGCAGTGAAGTTTTGTCCATTGCAAGTTTCGATTGCATCAGCATCGCAGAATTGTCATGCCGGAGCCTAGGAATAGGAACGTCCGCAATGCTCTCGGGATTGCGAACGTGGCCGTACTGGGGATCAATGGTCGGGTGATAGCCCAACAGTCGGCTGCACGCGTCGGATTTTGCTAGCTTTACGCGGCCACGGAGTTATCAATTAGGATGGCCGATATGAACATGTCGATCTTGTGGTTCTATAGGGTGCACTTCGTGGCTACATGGTCGTGATAGTCGATTTTGGCATATGCTATTGTGGAGGACGAAGGTCCGCGCTCGGAATGTGCCTACTGTCAATTAAGGCTCGGGCGACTTACTGAGGCGATGAGTTGAAGAACTGCATTAGTGTGCTTGAATTTGAATGCCACGCGTGGATGAATGGCGGCTGAGCACACCAACCATGTAACCAGTTCCAGCCAACACCACTACACTTGTTTGTCCCAAAGCGCTATTCCCAACAGCAATTGCAAAGCGAGGCATTGTGTGTACAGAAGAGAGTGTCGCTGTCTCAGAACATCTCATCCGATACCTCTCTTCGACGATCTGATTGCGGTGTCTGACGTGCGAGCGTGTAGAAACTCGGCTTTTGGCCTAAGCCGAAGACCTGACCGGATCAAAGCATCATCCCAAGAGTTTGGGTGACCCTGTGTATTGCTGAATTAGACACTTTAGTACTATCCTCCCAGTGAAAAATGGCATTTGTTGATGAACATCCGCATATCCGTAGTTCGTACGCGATATGAGCGTGAAAAGCAGCGGAGCAGAATGCACCGCGCAAGATCGATACTTAAGTATGGAGCATATGATTTGATTGCAGTGGGACATGTTTGTCACGCTCAATTATCATCGCCGGTTCGATGAAAAAGATGCTCTGCTTTCATCGTGACTATACTAGGAAGGGTGAATACGGAAGGGCCTAGGATGGGGGGGCAGCATCAACTGGATGAGATACTACTCGCGACCAATCCACATGGTACGACTTGTTCGATTTGCTCGACACATGTGCTCAGTTCCGAGGCAGACAGTAAGAAACCATGCACATCTACATCCGGATTAGGGATTACGTAACATGTCACCGTAAATGCCGCATCTCCCCTTACTGGGACATCATACTCCTAATCTCAGCATCCTCTTCCTCGAACTCCGCCAGTTTCTTCCCCGGCAGCTTAACAGCTCTGTCCAGTGCAACGGGCAGCCCTCTGTGTCTCCCTCTCAGCATCACCAAGATCATGATGATCTTGCTGCCTGTGTACATCCCCCCGCTAAAACTGTACGCCTGGTCCGGCAGCCCGATGCTGATTCCAATCGTGGTGTAGCCGGAGACGATTTCGAAGAGTATCGTGAAGACGCTGTAGGTCTTGGGATCCTCGATGGAGTGGTGTGTCTCGATGAGTGTGATGAGGAACAGCGCAAGGGCGATCCACCAGACGTCGTGCGAGAGCTGGCCACGGACCTGTTGGGAGACCAGAGAGGGCGGGTGGGTGGGCGGATGGGCGTTCAAGCTGTGCACCGAGGTCGCGCGACCGAAGTCCATGGTGACGGACCGCTTAAGCGTGGTAGGAGTTGTCGTTGTCGCGGGTCCAGCGACACCGACACCCTGGAAGGCTGTCATACGCCGCTGGATCTGGCGACCGACGAAGGCCGTGCCTCGACGCCCGACAGTGCCGAGAGTCTTGATGGGTGTCCGAGGTGGTTTCCCTGAGACTGAAGTGGTGGCCGGTAACGCGCCATCGACGTCGAAGACCGAGCTTGTGGCGGAGTGAAGCTGTTCTACTTCTGCTTCGTCGCCTTCGTATATGCCGAGGGACCGCTCCTCGTAGACATTCGTCTTGCGCATGGTAATGATGTGGGGATACGCTGCAGTATAGAAGATGACGAGCCACAGGACTTGCACGTCGAAATACATGGCGGACGGAGAGACGATAGCATACCCACCGGACGGGATAGAGAAGCCTTCAAAGAGAGAGATAAAGATGCGCCGGCCCAACGGTATCACTTCCATAGTGGGATTGCCTATGCTCAGGACCAAGATGAGTATCCAATCTGCGGCAACGAACGAGCCGAAGGTCGCAACGAATAACCAGGTGTCTCTCGCTGGAAACATACTTGTGTATACACGACGCGGGAACCTCAAGATAAAGTCGAAGCCCTCTTTCCATACGCCATACTCTTTGTTCTTGGAGAAAAGATCGAGAAGGGTCGACATGGTCCAGATGAGAAAGCGCACAAAGACCGGGAACGACGCTGGACCAGCGAGCGAGAGAATCGTTACAACTGTTAGGACATAGTATGAGGACTGGAACGGTAAGAAGCCCGCATCCAGCAAGGTAAACCCGGCGTTGTTGTAAGCAGAAATGGCGAGGAAAGCACCTGCCCACCATGGGTTCTGCGCGTTGACGGCTGAGGCCTCCTGCTCATAGACAGCCATGTATGAACCGAGCGCGATGGCACCGAAGAACTGCCACAGTATGAAGTATGCGAGGACGAATACCGATAGAAACTTCAGCGCCCGGTATTCGACTCCGCCAAGGTACTCTCGTTGATCGGACGAGAGATTAAAGAACTGTCCGTTACGACCGATGTTGCGCTTCTGTTCTGTCACGAAAGACTGGACATTGAAATCACCCCCCAGCTTAGACTCGCCTGCCAACGATCTCCTCCGACTTGACACGGTCTGCTGGGTTTGCACGTTATAGATCGAGTGCCCGGTCGTTGCTGTATGTGGCCTCTCATGGGAAGTGCGCTCGCGGATAGGATCCAGAAACCCGATGTGATGCGGCGGGCTCCTCCCGCTAGCCACAGGAGACAATCCGATGTCAGCTTGGTTCTCCAGGATCGGTGTGGTGGGGACCGGTTCACTTGTGCTCGTCACGGCCTGCCCAGTCGCAACCTTCAAAGCCCGCGGTTTGCTTCGTCGCCTCCCCTTACCAAACGAACTCATGACCGGCAGTCCGAACATCGCTCCCGCCATCCCCACCACAGCTCCTGTGTTACCTTTCTTCGCCTTCCTGTTCTCTTTCTCCATCTCCACAATATCCTCGAACCGCTTCTCGAAGATGTGCTTTCTGAATGCGACAGTGAAGTACGACACCAGGACCTGACTGCCCATCATCATCAAAACCGCCAGTTCTACTTGTTGAAAAACGGTCAGCTGACTAACATTCACGGTGTTGAGTCCCGTTGCCGTTACAGCCGACATGACCATGAACATGCTATCCCACCATCCCACACTCCTCGCCGGACTCGAAGCCCCCCAGAAGATCAACGTGCCGACGATTGTGACTGCGATGAAATACGCATAGTGTAGGGTGATGAAGTTGATGGGTGGAATGTACGGGTCGGCAGCGGCCGCTAGTTTCCCCACACGGTCGTAAAGCTTGGGGTGTTTCGCGCCAAAGGCCTCCCATCGGTCTTTGAGGTCCATTGCTGTAACGACACAGCAGTTGACGGAGGTGATTGCATGTCGCGTGTGCCCGTGACTGCAGAGCTGAGAAAGGAGAAAGGATTGTGGCTTATCGTGCGTGTGCTGGCGGCGTAGGCCCAGAAGGGGATGAAACAGACTGGGGTGGCGCGGGCTGGTGGGGCGCGCGGCGGGAGCCAACGGCTGGCGTTCCGCCCGTGGCTGGTTCCCTGTCGCGCGACGAATCGTTCACCGCTACAACTTCGTTTGCGCACGACGAAAACATCATGGAAGAAGCAGCAACCGAATCGATAGTAGCACGATCCTCATCAAAGGGTTGGTACTCTCACCACCGGAACAAGCGATACTTCACGCCGTACCTGCTCTGTAAACTTACTCCCACAGCCCATGCGATGCGACGTCTAGTTCCTAAGAAGCTGCCGTTCCATCGCCACATTAGCACCCTACCTGACTTTGACAGACATGCTCATATAGTATTAATAATAGCTAACAATCTCACGCCCAGCCCTCCCATCTCTCTTCACCCCGGAAGGCATTGCCTCTAACACCCTTCCTCTTAGGTACGACGAAGTACAGGATCGAGTACCTATCAGGCGTCCTGCCCTCTTCAGCAACGACTCTGTGCACTGCCGAGGGATATAGGTCTAGAAGCGGTATCGGTGCTCGCGTCTCAGCAGTATGCCAGTACAGGCCAGTCGCACTATTTAAAGCTCGCATATACATGACAGCGTCTTTCCATCGACGTCGCAGCCAGGAAGCCTGCAGTCTTCAGATGCCGGATTCTAAGACCTCTGTTCTCATCCTGGAATAGGCTTGTAAACAATCTAATTTGCCCGTCAGCATTTTTTCGTTCTATCCACGACACCACTTGCGTCTAGTCCGTGCGCACACCAAGTTGGCCCCAGCCCTTCTTCGCATTCTCAATGCTAAAGTAATAAGCCAGCCTGAAACCACTCTCATGCCCTGTACACAGCGCCTTGGCCCCTTTGGCCTCTTCCTCAATGGCGTCAAGCTTGCGGATCAGAGAATTAAAATCCTATCACACAGCTGGTAGAATTCCCAGAAAAGCTGGGTTGTGAAGGCTCGAAAGCCCGCTAACACCACGTCACGGAGCCGTATGTTATCGTCGACTTTATTCTCTTCGCTACGCATGTCGTAGCTCTCCTTCTCACAAATTTACCTTCAAGCCCGCACAGGACCAAGTTAATATACCTTGAAGTCTGAAGCTTCAAAGCTCGGTCCATCCTGAGCCTATTGGTTGCCCAGATATTGTTATCGAGTACCCGCTGTGCGGCACGATAGTTGCAGGATGTGGCGCTCTCATCTTGTCCTCGTATGGGAGGTCGAATAGCGACTTGACGACACGAGAAGCTTCGGCCAGACGTTCAGGCGGTATGCGGTGGCCTGAACTGCCCATGCAACCCTTGCTTGGATGGTGCCGGGCGGATTGGTCGGCTACAGATCGCTGTGATTGGAGATCATCTGTTTTGGTCGAGGGGGAGATATCGACGATTGAATGCCGGAAAATGAGAACGAAGCCATGCTTATGTATGTAGTCTGGTATCCTTACATACTGATGTGCTACGGTTCGGGTGCAACAGATTGAGAATGCAGGTAGTGATGTCGACGTTATGCAAGAGCTTCATAGACCATTATACGGGGGTTCCCACAATGATAATTCGAAAAAGTCTATCTCATCTAAGCGGGATACAAAAACAAGATACGAGAACCGTGCCACACCCATGCATACAGTATGCTTGCACACTGCATGCACCCGATCGGCAATTTCGCCGGAAAATCCCAACCATCCATCATACCGAAAACAGAACGCCGTCAAACTCCACATTCATAACGACTCATTCAGCCCATGATCCATCTCGCCTTGGGCCGCGTCTCAGCCTCCACCTTCTCGCGCTGCTCACTTCCCCTGCGCACCTTCGCGAATGTATCCTCGCTCCATCCAGGGAAAACAGGAGCTTCCGGAGTCGCTGTCGCTACGTAGCCCGACTCCACGCCCGACGGTACGAATGCAGATGCAGTGACAACATCGGAAGGGAATGGTGGCACAAAGCCAGATGCCACGGGGCCTGGGTAGTATCCCGACGCGATGACCGTAGCCGTAGGTGTAGGGAAGGGGAACTCATCCACAGGGTACCCAGATGCGACACCAGATGGCACCGGGAAGCCTGGCACGATCCCGGACGCTTCAGCAGTCGCAGTGATGAACCCACTTGCGGGCACCCCCGGCTCCTGGCCATAGATGCTGTTCTCTAGACTCTCGACTAGGGCGTCTGCCGACTCGGCCCTTGAAATCGAGTACGTGAAGTCGCCGTCGTAGAACTCGCCGCCCCAGACTTCTTCCCAGCCGAAGCACTCAGCCGCGATCGAGGAAAACGCGGACTGGCATGTGACGGAACCCTGCGCGGCACCATTGGTGGGCATGGTGATGATGAGGTCGACGAGCTCGCTGGCGTAGGAGACGGTGATTGAGTCCGGGTTGACTTGGTACATGGAGTCTGTGGGACGGTCGCAGAGCTGCGAGATGGCATCTGAGGTTGCGGATTGCACGAGTTGGCTGATGGAGCTTGCGGCTATGCCGAGGGGAGAGGAGGAGCAGGCGAGACCATTGAAGGGCAGGATGTGCATGGAAGCCATTACTGCGGATGGGGTTCCGATGGGTCAAGCGATTGCTGCTGCTGAAGGTGTTTCTGTCTGTGTACTTGGATTAGGAGAGGGTATATTCGAGAAAGACAGAATGGTCAGAACGAGCGACTAAAAGAGTGGGCTGACGGAGGAAAGCTTGCGAAATATGCGCATACTCAGCCCTCAAGAAGTGAGCAGGCAAACCTGTGCAGTGACCTACACCGCGTACACCTGCAATATCCAGGTGAACGACTCTGCGACATTTCCATCGTAAACGGACATTTACGCTGTCCGACAGGGGTCTACGGGGAGGATTCTTGCCCCGCCAAGACGGTGTTTCAAGACATTCTCGTGCGCTGAGCCCTGTGTTGTACCGGGTCCAAAAGTAATGATACTCTAGGTATTGGTTTGCGAGTGTCATGAAGGTGATAGAAGGGTGAGAAGATGGGCAGAATGAACGTCGCAAAGGGTTGTGAAGTTGGAATGGCAGTTTAGACGTCTTCCGGTGAAGATTGCTCGCCGTGCTTCGTTCCTTGGAAAGTCGTAGAGATACCAGGAACACCGGGGCGGAAACATATCCATGCATATCTGACGGGTAAGCTGTCGATCTTCTCCAAAGAGTTCGCACGGGCATAGCCGCAGCCACAAAGGCATGCGGGCGCACTTACGAATCGCTGAGGCTATGCTCGCGTTCAAGCACGTGCACAATACAACGCGTGTGCCATAATGTGGATTACGATAACTCGGTTCCATTGACCTGCCTGAGTCTACTCGTCACGACCGCGCGGTTCGTAAGAAGGCATCCTTCACAATTTCGAGTTTGCGCCAACGTACTTGCCTGCCGGTCCTTCCAGGTGCGCATCCAACACAGCTGTCCTACCGTTCAATACGCTCTGAATGGCCTCAGGCAGCAGTTTCGCCAGCTCATCTGCTGTGCTTGCGTGCCCAGCCCAAATATCGCCTCCTGCTGCGGCTTTCGCAATACCCGAATAATCTGGTGTCGGCGCGAATGAGATGTTTAGTTCTTCGTTGTTGACCTTGGAGCCTTCTCCGTCAGGATGAACAAGCAGCATGCTCTTTCTCGGTGCGTTCCATCCCTTGTTGTTGAGGACTATGGTCAGAATCGGGATGTTGTAGCGCCTCGAAATCCAGTATACAGATCCCGGGACGGAGAACAAGTAGGTACCATCGCCAACAATCTGACACACGAACTGCTTCTTGCCCTCGTAGTCGGAGGCGAGCTTGATGCCCAGAGCACCACCGCCGGACCAGCCCAGACCGCCTCCGCCGCAATTGAGCCATGACCCGGGCAACGTGGCTTGTATTTGATCTGCCACGAACGCGGTGTTTGTGACAGCTTCGACGGCCCAGATGGTATCTTTCGGGCAGCTTTTCCGTACCTGCTGGATCAGATAGGGCGTACCAAAGTGTCCGTTCGCATCAACTACGGCTTCAGCGGCTATCGCTTGAAGCTTTTGCTTGTGGTATGTTTGGAGTGCTGCCCAGCGGTCGGAGAAGATGCTACCGGACAGCTTCTCTTTGTAATTTGACTCGAGGTATGCGTTCAGTTGCGACATAGACGTGTAAGAGTCTGCACGGTATCGATGGAGTGCTTTGATGTAGAAGACAGGCATCTGCTGCTTGAGCGGATCGACGTCGATGTGATATATTTTGGCACCGTCTTTGGGCTTGCATTGCGTATTTATCCATGGTACGTCGCAATCGAGTACAAGGATAACGTCGGCAGTTTTGACTCGCGCTTCGTTGACGTACCGTAGGCCGAGCCAGGCTGGATGATCCGCTGCAAGTTGTCAGTATGGCCCCTCACATACCGTCCATGTGCCTTACCGGGGAAGCACATATCGCTGCCGCCAGTGTCGAGTACCCGTAGCCCCTTCACGTTGTCTGCCAGCCTCACCATTTCCCCTACCGTCTTATGGTTCCGGCCGGAGTATCCAGTGATGACGAGCGGTTCCTGGGCGCCTACAAGCGCGTCTGCGATGGTCTGAACACCCAGAGCCGGCAAGCCCGCGGGTTCCACCGGGCGCCAGTATTCCTGCTCCAGATGATAGGGCGTAAGATCCTCCTCCATGGCTTCTCGCGCACCGTACAAGTACACCGGCCCCTGCGGATCGCTCGTCGCGAACGACAACGCGCGGTTGACCATCTGCTTCACGTTCTTGCCCGTCTTTATCTCACCCGTATACCGGCAGTACTGCGCCACTATCTGCTTCTGGTCGGGCACATCCTGTATCCAGTGTATGTATTCGGTCCTGCTCCCGCGCGCCTCGCCCTCGATGGTGATCGGAGACAACCCGGCAAATATCAACACAGGCGCGCGCCCGCACGAGGCATTGTGTACAGCAGCACCGAGGCCCTGGGTCCCGACGTCGACGTGAACGATCACGCATTGCGGCTTGCCTGTGAGCCGGGCGTACCCGTCGGCCATCGAAAGCGCGACCATCTGCTTGCTGTCAGTGCGCGACTCGTGTGCGCGACGGCCTACGCACCTCATTTGGGCAGGTAATGATTTTTGGGAACTGGCCCTTCTTCTCATTTTGACCCTTGACAATGGCCTCCATGATACTGGGATGGTCGGAGCCCAGGTTCACGAAGCAGTGCGTGATGCCCGCCTCCCAGATGGCCTCGAAAAATGCGAAGGATGCCGTATAACTGCATTCTGTCAGTGGTGCACTACTGCGCACACTCTCGAGGACATGACCACTCACACCATGATGCCGGCGTACTTTGGACTCACGCCTAGTTTCGCGTGCTTCCGGCGCTTGAGGATGTCCTATCTGCTATAAATCCTGCGAAGACAGGCCGCAACCTCGGGCACCCCATGGAGCTCCGACATAGCGCGAGCCGTCTTGCCTGATCCGACCTGCGTGCTTGGGAATGCCCCACCCCCGACGCGGGGAACGCTTGCGCGGTTGACGTGTTGAGCATGTTGACAAGGGTTGGCTTTGTAGCCGGCATCGGACTCGGTACGTACTGGCGCGGATAGCCTGGAGCTGGCAAAGAACGGCTCATTTCCGCACTCCCCCACCTCGTACGCCAGCACAACCATCGCAATCCTTATCCCATCCATCACATACACCTTGGTTGAAGGCATCGCAGAGGTTGCAGGAAAGGACGTTGTGCTTGTGCATAGCCTGGATATGCTGGATCGCCAGCGTTCATCCACGCGAAAAGCCCGAGTGCTCACCTCTACGACGCTGTTGCCAGCTGTACCTTGCTGTATGTCTATACGAGCCATTGCGACAGCTGAATGGACCAGTACATCGTTTAGAGCCTCTTCTGGAGTCTGGACGATGCGCCGCGGGGAGCGTCTGTCACAAGGGGCAGCTGTAACATCTGGAGCTGAAACGTGTTTCACCCTTTGCATCCTCAGGTATCAATATCAACTATGGTTCTCCCATCTTCGGATTGTTCTCATCGTACCTGTGCAACGACAAATTTTCCCTTCTCCGTGCCACTAACCCGTTCGCCATCATTATGCTCACCCTTGTTGCGCTACTTCTCACCGCGTTCGCGTCTCCTGCCATATCCTGCAGCGAGTCCTCATGGATAACCTTCTCTCGATCATGCCTGGGCCCACCTCAGGTATGGGAGGCACGACCCAGCCCAGGCAAGGGCATTGGTGTATACGCTACCAGAGTCATCGAACCGGGCGACACCATTTTGTCTGAGCCAGCGATGATCCACATCACCCCTCCCGAATTTCGAGACGGCGTTGCATATCCCCTGGGCGACATCAACACGCTCCTACAATCGTCTTTCGATGCTCTTTCCCCGGAACAGAAAACAGAAGTCATGTCTCTCCACGCCCACATGTCACCTTCAGAGGATGCCAACGACACGCTCATGGCCATTATGCGTAGCAATGCATATACTACCGGTAACAGCCTCGGATTGTTTCCCAAGGGCGCGCGCATCAATCACTCATGCCGTCCATCTACTAGTCAGTACTGGAACCCTCAGACAGGTCGCCGCATTGTGTACGCAAATCGGCGCATTGAAGAAGGCGAAGAGATTTTCGCTACCTACATCCCCTTGCTGTACAGCCATGAGGCTCGCCAGAGACGCCTCGACCAGTACGGTTTCAAATGCACCTGCGAAGCCTGCGCGCAGGAGCAGGAAGCGCGACAAGCCAGCGATCAGCGCAGACAGGACCTCCAGAAGGCGTTCGTTGCGTTTGAGCCGCAGCTCACGTTGTCCGTTCCGCAGTCGGTCGTGGGCAAGAGGAAGGCACGGAAGAACGCTGAAGCGAGCGTTCAGCTGGTCGAGCAGCTCGAAGAAGAGGGACTTGCGGACTACTACGTCAAGGCATATCACATCGCCGCTATCGCGCATGCCAGAATTGAGGATTGGAAGCCGGCTACGCTGTGGGCGAATAAAGGATTCGAGACGAGTTTGCTGGCGGACCCGAATGCGCGCTCGACGGGTGCGAGGGAGTTGCAGGCTTTGACGAACCATCTGATCATCAAGTGGAATGAGGAGTTGAGAGAGAATATGACGCGGCACGGTTGAACTGTTTGCAGGCTTTGACGCCATCGAAAAACCAGCATGTTGACAAGCAAGACGATGGGCCATTCGAACTACACTTTTCCAGGTGAAGGCCATGTCTGGACGAATTGAGGCTGCCACATTGGACAAGCAGCTTATGGTGAGCACGAGGATGAAATACTTCCTCGCTTCTGCCAACGTTGCACCGCGACTTAGTCAACAGCTTTCAGATGATTGCATACCGGAGGCGATGGACATGATGCACGAGGATAGCTTACCTTGACCTGGTATGGCATTCCAGTGTAAGCAAGGTTGTGGGTTTGAGGAAAAACCAAACGTGCTGAGCCGGCCCCGCCCCTAGACCACCGAAAGACGATGGAGGAAAAGCAGATGTAACTGCGGGTGTTGTGTCTTTCAACTTGGAAAATCACAGTTCGTGATTTTCAAGCAGCTAAAGTCGGTCCACTGGCACGGTCATGTCTATAATCTATACCTTCTGGCAGACCCAGATTGGGTGCTTCAAATATACTCGTGCAGCTTGACCATTGTTCACAGAAGTTGCTCCTTGCCCCAAAGACCGGCCATTTTTGCGTTGCCTGCGACAGCGTCCTTCCACTTTTCGTTCTTCAGGATAAACCGCACTCGCGCCTCCAGCCACTCGGTGTTCCCCCAGAAGCCCCAGCTGGCCTGGAAGCGTAACCAATCCACCAATGCCATCTCCCAATGATTCACCAAAATGTTCCAGTCATATTCCTTGCCAGACTCTTTCTTGAGCCTCACCCAATACCGCTTAAGCAATTCCTTCTCACCATCTGGCATCGCCAATTCCCGCGGCACCGGCCGATCATCTACAAGCATCTCCAGTGGCACCGAGCAGGTAAATAGTTTCGCTAGATCGCACACACCGAGTCCAAGCCCGACATACTGGAAGTCATAGAAGACGACCTCCTCGCCATTCTTGCTTGTGAACAAATTCTCGCTTTTTACATCCCCGTGGATAAGCGTAGTGTACCCCTCGATCGGACTCCAACCTTCCTGCTTCGGCTCCAGCACGCTCGCCACCAGCTCCGCAATCGAGAACTCGTCCTTCTCCCAGTCCGTCAATGACCACCACTCGGACCCATGGTCAGCTGCAAGGTTCGCATACTCTGTGCGGCGCGTGGCCAGATACGTGTATCCGCCATTCAGCCACACAGACTTGTGCCGCGCGTCTTGGCCGTCGGTAGTGACCTCCTGCAAAGGCGGGCGAACGAGCTGGCTGCGGTCCAAGCTGGGGATGCGCGGCCACCAGAACCCATGGAACGAAGAAAGCCAGTCGAGTGCGGCATGTACTTGGATCTGATTCAAGACGTCGCGTTTCTCGCCTGCGACGGGGTAGGTTTGCTTGAGGTCGCTAATGATCATGGCCATAGATACGCCTCCATCGGAACGCGGCTCATATATGCTCGCGATGTGTCTTGCGACGGGGATGTGGGGCGGTAGTTGCGGTGCGAGATTGGTGTAAAAGTACTGCTCGACTTGATAGCTCAGAATCTTGCGCGTATGGCCTTCATTGTGTGCTTTGGTGGTTGGAGGTGTGATGAGTTTCAATATGTACGACTGAACTTCTTGTGGCGTTGAAGCGCTTGATGCTACTGTTGATCCTGTTCGCGACGTGGCGCCGGATGAGTTGGGCGACACGTTTGGGGTTGCTGTGATGCGACATATTTCCCCATACCCTGCCCATAGCGATTGCAGAACATCAATGGACTTTAGGGCTAGGCCTTGATTAGCTAGTAGCGAGGACGCGACCTCGTGCGCGGATTGTGCTGAAGGCATTGTGGGCAGTTGGGGGCTTGAGAAGATTCCCACGTAACGGAGTAGGAGCACCTGTAGAATCGCGCACAAGATGGTGAGTCGGAATAATTGACGCCGGGTCTGCCGGAGTCCTATCAAACCGGGCATGTAGAACGCATGGCAGTTTTAGGGACATCTGTGGAATTGTCGACGACGTGTGTGGTTTTCTCGAGGGTGAGGCTTCTGTGGCTGTGCATCCGCCAGCCACACGCCATCTCGAAAAGAGACACAATCGCGACTTTGGTCTGGAATCAAAACCTCTTCGTCCACATTTCCTCTTGCATCCACAGCCTCGATAACCGCGGGGGAAAGTGCGCACACGCTCTCTGGAAGATAGAATGGACGTTTGCTTGGCTCACGGGTACCACAAACGGTTGTAGATCCCACAAAGCGCACGCTCAAGCCCGTCGGATTTCTGCATGTACACCAGCCGTGGACTACCGGCGCCCTCTAGCAAAAACCCATTCCGTAACCAATTTTGAGAGCACGATTTTGAAGGTAATCTCCGCAAAAAGTCACGCGGCGCAACTTCCCAAAATTATAGATAGCATTCTGGTGACTTTGGACCAGCATGCACGCGTGATCGTATAGATGCGACGAAATCCAGGATAGACTATCAGATGACGGATTTATAACCGTCTCATGTATTGAGATCCTACCGGATAAGGTGTGCTGGATTCCAGGGTTTTGTGTCAGTCACTGTGAATAATATAAGAGCCAAATCTGTACTTCCAGCTAAATCTAACTATCAAGGTCAGAATTGATTGCTCCCAGCAATCACTCTACAGCAAATGGAAGTCTACATAAATCACTCCATGAGAAACATTGAATTGTGCATTAACGAGGGCCAAGGAAAAATGGCAGTAGGACATTTACTGATTCACAGCACGATCGGCGGTACATGTAGTTGCTCGAATCTTACGATCAGGACAAACACTCTAGCAAATTTGACTGTCGGTGATGTTCAGGTTCACGCTCTTAAAGCTTCTGAGCCTTAGAACCCGCCATACATTTTACTTTTTAATGCTGGGAGGGCTGGGTGACCGTGCATCTCATCTACCACAGCCGGTTCCGCATGCTGACAGTCTTGACGTCCACATACGGTTGGCCAGGTCGCCCACGGCCTTCAAAATCATATCATTTCGCGCGTTGCATGTGCTCAAGGCATCATCGAAGCTTATTCACATAGCACCTTCGCCATTTCAAGCATTTCAAATGATCTGTGAATCCTAGGGTGGCAGGGGTCCCGTTCCGCATGCCTAAGCTATCTAAAATCGCGGAAAAATATCTAGTGTATGCTCTAGCATACATTCGGAACTATCATGCGATAACAATCGACGGTGTCCTGCATCTCTCAGTGCGTCACAGTGTCCGACGATAAAAGTGTGAATCCTTGAGACCCTACTGTGCACCTCAACACTGACGTAGGGTTGCAATTTCACAAATGTATAATAGAGTGAGGCGGCTGCTACGTTCTTATTGGTTGTGTCTGCCACTGTGCATCTAGGCGTCCAGTGTTAGCGGCCGTTAGCTCCTCGAACATTGTCTTGTACGTTTCCAAGTCTGTGAAGCGTAATGGGAAATCACATTTCACCATTGTGTTTCAATATTGCATTCACCACTTACAAGATCACACAATGCAAGTATGGAAATCAGGCTCGCGATACATTTGCCCTCCACCATCGTTTTCTTTCCATTGGTCTGGAATCATGGCACCGGTTTCTGGATTTCGTCCCTGCAGCACTTTGAGCGGAGTGGTATACCCTACTCGATGCTTTACGTACCGGTTTCCCACGGGGACTGGCTCTCATTACTCTTCATCGCTGCCATATTCATTTGATGAGACAATTCCGAAGATGACGAACCCAGCAAAAATTTCCTCACGCCCAAAACAGACTGCTGGGTTTGGCAAGCGTCACAGGACAAAAGCACATACGCACGCATCAGTCCCCGGACGAGCGACGAACCTGCCAGAAACAGCAGCGATGCATCCTAACGCTACCGTGTTTATATCATCAACCACGCTGGAAAAGACACATCCATCATCAGCCTCGGACTCCTTGCACGGTGATGACAATCTGCCATCCACGACTTCCAAACCAATAGGAAGATCTCCGGACTTGACAGATCAGACCAGCATGAAGATCGGTCTCGCTTTCCTCGGCGCGATGCTTCTCATTATAGTATGGCTGTGGATGGTCTTCTTCGGTCTACCAAAATACCGCAGGTACTTAGGTCGCCGCGGAGCATGCAAAGAGGCCGAACCAGTTCAAGGTCAATGGTGGGACTGGGTCAAGGCTGACCGTGAGAAGCCCTGGATCCCAGCATGCAGTCGAAATCCAGAATTCTATCAGGTGCGAAACTTGAGCAAGACCTCTTCAGCAGTGCTGGGAGAGGGTGCTGCAATGTCCCCACTGCGAGCGTCTGAGGCGACGACGTTAGGCTCGTGGCCCATCCAGAGTATGCCTGATCAATTCGACTTTCTGAAACTCTCTACGGCGATGTATTTGTACATAGAGGTGCACTGGTAAGTAGAACAGCTATTATAATTTACTTAGAATACATCTCACAAAGCTACTTTACGTTGACTCCACTCTGGAACTTCCTCTCTACTATCCTATATAACCACGTATAATACACGTCAATGAAGCGCAGTCACAACGAAAGCCAACATTTGAAGTTCTAGAGTGATGGTTGATTGTATGCTTAACACAACGAGATTAACTAATGAAGAATGGCCACTTCCTCGGCAAGATCATCGGAGGCTATCCTTTCGCGGAGTCTTGCCCGCTGTTTGCGCTCTTTCGTGAGTCTAACGAGCAATCTTCGCTGTATATCTGGTGGACTTGTCATGCGGGAGGTGATCAAGTTTGCTACATCGGCGGTATCTGGTCTCTGAGCTTTGACGTAGAAGAGGCGATCCGGCTTCTGGAAGTACGTCATATTGTGCTGCAGAGTAGTTGTGAGTGAGGAAGCGTCTCTGTTATGAAGTACAACAGCTGTCTCCAATAATTGAATTGTACTCTGCCAAGTGGGACTGGGCCCGCTACACTTGATCTTCTTGGTTTCGAAACACCTGGTCGTGATGTAGGCGAATGTAGCAGAATCCTCCGAATCCGCAAGGATGCCAGCCCATGAGTTTTCTTTCTCGCAGGTGACCCTGAAACATCTGAATAATTCATGTTCATGCGGCCACGCCACCATCAAGATCTTCCCTTCACGGTCAAGTCCTGTATGCTGAAGGATTTTGAATATCCTTCGAATCATTCTCAGAACGTGTTGTTGAAGTTGAGAAGAAAGTTTAGTCAACAGATCGCGGATAGTGTTGTGTCGAAAGGCGTTGATAATATCGACCTTCAGGAGCTCTTCCCATAGATGTGTTTCAGCATGGGAAGATGACGACATCGAAAAGACTGGAAGTAAGTCGGCTATCATTTCTCGGAGTGGCACTCTTCGAGCAACACGCGTGCAGAAGCTCACTTGTACGGCCCATATGCTGTCCAAGAAAGGGACAAGCATTTCATCGTCTTGCTGAAGTCTATGTTGTTTCAAAGTCAGACCAGGAAGCTTGTGTGAAGCGGCGATGGCCTGAAATATGACGTAATTTCCGGCTTGCATCCCAAACTGCTTCTCGTCAAGCTCCCAATGAGATCCATGAGGCCAAAGGGGCTCGAGGAACTGAGATGAAGTTGCCCAGCAATGTTTTGCATCGGCTACGCAATTCCCATTAACAACGACAGACGTTCCAATAATCAGCTTGCTTAGTAGATCGAGAGGAATTCGAGGTAGGCTTTCAATGGAGACATCTCTGCTCCAATGGAATTTGTCGTTGACATTCAAATCAGATAAGTAGACAACCCCGTTACCAATCTGGATGGCGAAAGGCATCATATCTGTACCTCGAACTAAGAACTCGCCGGGGCCCCATGTGTCAAGAAGATCATACGCAGTTGTACAAAGATTGTATATGGTTCCTTTGGTGGATGGCAGGGAAGGGAAGCGGAGCTGCATCATGTTGAACGCAAGGACATGAGATTGTATCATGTCTCCGATGCTTGTCAGATTGTTAAGACTCGCTTCTATCCAATCTTGTCCATCAGTAGATGTCAAATTGCCAAGTAGACGGATTTTCTTCAGCGGAGTATCCAGAAAAAACGGCCGGATGGTCCCAGCATGTGCCTGAGTGTACGATAAAAAACCTAAGCATACGACCTGAGTGGCCAAGCAGCAGATTTGGAGACTAGCATTGACACTGTCGTCGTAGGAGACTTCCGTAATGCCTTGCCCAAAGGGTCGTAATATCTGCGAGGCCGTCTTCTGGGCCCTCAGAATATCTACCGGGCTTGTGTTGGGTATGGCAGATAAATCTTCCAACTCCGATAGCAGCTGGAGGGGGAGTTCGAAGTCGATCCGACAGACCTCTACCGAAGGTTCCAACGGAGATTGTTGACGAGTATATTGTGTCGGTAGCCACAGTATAGTGAATGAATCGCAACAAAGCCCTGCAGCTTGAACGTGGCCTACAGCTTGGCAGAAGCGTCCGAGAGAGTTTATGAGCCGGGAAATTATCCTACAATGCTCCGCATCAACACTTTCGAGAGGTTGAGAACATGTCACTGTTGCCACAGAATTTTCCTCTTCAAATCTGATAGAGCCATCCCAATTTTCTGTGTTTCGGGTTGTTGGCGTGACACCGGCTACACCGCAGAGTTCTTCAACAATTTTGATAACACGTCGCCAACTGCCAGAAGGAGAAAAAGGTACTTGTGTTGGGGCTGATTGATAAAGAGTGGATCGATCGGATGAGGGGAACTGATGTACGCATCCTGGAAGATGAACACCAGTTCGTACTGCGGGAAGATTGTATATGCTCGGTTCAAAGTATATCCAGGGAGCATCGTTGGCCTGCTCGAACAAAAGTTCTGCAAGTTCATCGTGTGTATAGCCAATCTCACCTAGCTCACGAATCCAGGAGTACTCGCCCTGGGGAACGACCTCAAATCGTTTTTTGAGTAATTTTTGCAACACCTTGATGTTTTGGGAACGCAGCGCTTCCCTTATTGTCGTGGGAGGATTGACTAAAGATTGAAGGCTCGATTTGAATGCCTGAAATGATGGTCCTTCGGTGAGAATGGTCACTACCGACTCGATATTGGGAAGCTTCTCAATCTGAACGTTCTCAGTTTCGTTGCCAGATTCTCCTTCTTCTTCCTCATTCTCGTCTTTGTCATTGTTTTCATTGTCATTTATGTCATCGATAACTTCATATTCTTCTTCCATCTCTTGTAGGGGCTCACTCCTCGCTTTGAGATAATGGTCCAAATGGTAGCTCCGGTCTTCTTCTTGATCTAAAATCTGCTGCAGTTTTTGCTGATCTGCAAGGCTGGAGTGTGGTCGATTAAATCGACAAATGTGCGCCGTCACTTCTTCCCGTCTCGATCGAGTTCGGAGGAAGCGAACGGCTTGCAGATGGATATGGTCTCTCCTCTCCAATCCAAGGTCTGCTAGGAACTTCTTCAGAAGTCGGTCATGGTGTGTTGAGAATCGTTCTGGCCCGATATCTTGCAGAGCACGAGTATATAGTGGTCGGAGAAAAGGATCCTGGGACAGTGTGCTTGCCAGGTATTGAGTCGCCGACCAATGAACATCTCCAAACAGACCCGCAGATGAGCGGCTATCCAGAGAAGAGTTTGCATTGATGCCAGGTTGGCCATGCTGGTCAGCGTGTCTGGATGGTCCACTCCGAGCTTCGTCTTGCGCGTCTCTATCACTTGCACTTGCAGCTTCTCTGCGTCGTTCCATCGAGCTTGGTCCTTATATATCGATGCCAGATTGGCCATGCTCGTTAGCGTGTCGGGATGGTATGTTCCAAGCTTCATCTTGCGAGTCTGCATCACCTGCACCTCTAGCTTCTCGGCGTCATCCCATCGGCCACCAAGTCTGTATGCCGATCCTAGACAAAGTGTCCTTATGCTCTTGCCCTAGCACCTTCTTCCGCGCTTCCGCTGACTTCGTAGCTAGTGTTACAGCGTCGGTAATATTGTCCATCCTCTCTGCATACCATGCTGCACGGTAGAGCACTGTTGCCCACTCTGCTGTCGACGACTTGTCTTTGGGCTGCTGCCCTATAGCGGCCTTGGCATGCGCATAAAGTGCCTGACATGCTGCCCAGTTTTCGTACTCACCAGTCGGAAACGTTGCGAACAGGTTACTGACAAACTGCTGCTTCCACCGCTCGAGCTTGTTTTCCCGCTCGAGCCATCTCTGCGTCGCTAGCTGCACCAGCGCAGGCATCTCGAAGCTCGTGCCAGCAGTGTCAACAGAAACAAAAGAGAAGTTTTGGAGAACTGCTACAGCATCTCTGAATTCTACGTCACCCGCGCTGGACTGTGATATATCGTCCCCTAACTCGTCGTCGCTGCCATCATCCGCCTCTGTCTGGTTTGTTTGCCCTCCTGCCCGCTCGCTGCAAGGTCGCAGTAGGGCCTCTGGAATCCCTTGTCGGTCAAAGAAACTCATCAGCGAGAGCAAGTCCGCTGCGCTTGGTTGTGTCTCCCTTATGTGCTCAAACGAGATTTGCCAGGTAGCAACGATAGAGTTCTTGGCCTCCCAGTCTCGCCGGAGCGGGCCGTTATTGAGGGTGAGTAGGCTTGATCGCTTGCGCTCGCTCTTCCTAAATTCCTCTAAGTACTTCGCCACTGAGTGTCGGGGTGCTCTCTGCGAGATATACGCTGCAGCTTGCACAATAGCGAGCGGCATGTACTCAAGCGCCGCTACAAGCTCGGCAGCATCGCTGTTATCTCCCTGCACTCGCAACTTCTTCTTGAAAAGCGCCAGCGCATGCGCCTCGTCCATTGGCTTTACACTAACAATGTCGCGCTGCTCAACCAGCCTCAGCGCTGCTTCCTTGTTCCGCGTCGTGGCAAGGATAGAGCCGCGCTCGCAGTGGGGAAGGTACTCGCGCAGCGGTTTCCGAACAACCTGCGCGTTAGTGGTCTGGCCTTGACCGTCGCCATTCCCCTGGCCGCTAAGAAGAAAGCGAGGGTCGTCAAAGTTGTCCAGCACAAGGAGCCATCGCTGCTTGCAGTCGCACAGCCAGTTATGCACCAGCTTGAAGATGTTGGCCTGCAGGTCTTGCCGTCCAGCGATCTTAACACAGTCGGCAATGTCGCGATAGCTCTGCTCGAACCGGGCGGCATTGCTAGCGTGCACCCAGAACACCCACGTCTCAGGCGACTGCTCGCGCGTGCGATAAGCATGCTCAATAGCGAGCTGCGACTTGCTTCTCTGCAATTAGCATGCAGTGCTAGCTAAACAGCCTCCTGCGTACCCTACGCCGCCTAGGCCGACGAGCGCAGCCCGCGCGTTCGGTTCAGCACATCTCTGCTGGAGCTGATCGAGTGTCGACCCTCGCTCGACCAAGTCGACTTCGCGGCAGAAAGGTATTACGATCGATGGGTATGGTGGAGTCTCCGGTCGTTCTGAGGCGGGGCTATGGTCAGTGCTTGCTCGGGCCCTACATGTCTAGGGCAGTCCGGCAACTCACCGGGTGGCACGTGGAACGCAGTGTTCACTAGGCCGTTGGCAATGCCCGCTTGGAAGCCAGCATTCGCGTCACCGAAAGAGATTGCGAAGGCCATGATACTTTTGTAGTAGTAGCGTCCAAGCAGAAGTGCTTGCGACCAAGTGCCAGCTGTAGTAGATAGGCTCAGCCTGGCCATTCAGGCTTGGCTTGCAGACCTCCTGGCTACCCGACCTTCCTCACCACTCTAACATTACCGGCCCCCAGCTGCTTAATGATGCCGGGCCAGATACCATAATTCCTACCGCTAAAAGATGTTGTTCCTGCCATGATACGGTAGCAGTACTGTAGTGCGGTATTCAAGGGTGGTGTCTACGGCAAAACCTCAGCTATGCTTCAGCCTTGCGGTTTGCTCACCAACCATTATACGATTCTGTCATGATAGATCCCCACATGCCACGGTTCAGCTCAGAATTCTGCCATATCATTTTCCATATCCTTCTCACTTCTTCTTCTTGATCGTGATCAGGTCCAAAATGACCAATCCTCTCAACATCACCGCCAGCATTACGAGTATTACTATGCCAGCCGTACACGCATACAACTGCTCCTAGAAGACAACTGCTCCTAGAAGACCTACAGCAGCCCAAAGAGGCGCCAAAACCGTCAAGCGCCTATCGAAGGACGTACAGTCTACCGACACATCGCTTAAATTGCTTCAAGGTGCTGAAGATAAAATAAAATAAGGATCTACTCAGCGCAGGCGTAGTAGAGGAGTCCAAGACCACAATTAGCAGCTACACGCAAGCATGCAACCTCTTCAAAACTAACCTCCAACACTAGGCTCGACCCTCAGAAGGCAGGGAATTAGCATAGCAGGATCGAACAAGCGTGGGAATCTTCAAGCAAGGGCAGATCAAGGCTATATCAGAGCACCTTCAACGCTGCAAGCTCTTAGTCAAAGATACTACTAGTCCTAGCCCTTTTATTCCAGTAATCGTCCCCTGTGGGAATGGCAATACAGTGTAGCGTAAGACACTCCCCTATGGTCTACGAGAGCACGGTAAGAAAAGGGGACGCCTAGAGGTACCCCTTCTACTAATGCATGACTTTCCTTGTCTATACCTACTAAAGTGATGTGATGGGTGGTCGTGGTGGTAATGGGTGAGCGCAACGGCAATCCTTAGGCTGCGCCGGTCGCTACCACGCGACAAAGAACACGTTAGCGAGGGAGATGCATTCATGACAAGAGCCACAATTATTTTTGGATCCTTATCTAGGTAGATCGGATGTAGCGTATGGCGCAGTATTGATAACAACACCAAGCTCGCGCATTATAAATTACAGCTAAAGTGTCGCACTGCTGTAAGGGCACAGAGAAACTCTCGGAACAGGGTTATAAAGCTGCAGATCGAAAGGAGGCTTCTAGTACAGGATCTGTACAATTAAAACTCTCGTTTCTATCTTCCGAGATATTGATTAGTCTGCTAAGGACTCATGCAGCCGGGGTGGGAAGAAAAGCACAAGCTGATGAGCGTCGACGAAATGATCGACAGTATCGACAACATTGCGATTGTTTCGGCCAAAAGCTAGCATTAGACTCATTAAATGCTATGTAATGGGTTGCTATCTTCTTAGAACAAGGCTCTTACAATAGGACGAGATTTTAAATTCTTCGCGCACAAGTGTCTCGCTCCCTTTTGTGTCTTGCTTCGCAGTAGGTGATATTACGTGTGTCTTTACTATGGTTTCTCTTGGAGCAGCTTTATCGCCCAACAAGGCACTAGAAGAATTGTGGTTGACTTCATTTGAAATAACAAGCTGTCCCCGTCTGGATCACTAAGAGCTTATGCCACTGTCATGCACGGGCACACTTTTGTCAGCATTGTGCAACACATAACTCTGACTAACTGTATGACACCAAAATTTTGTATGAATAATATAATGCATAGTGTATATACGATTCCTACCACGAATTACTATTTAAAAATGGTATAATTCTCCTCCGTGAACATAGTAGACAACCTGTAAGACTCCCATGCCACCATAACGAGACAACCTTCTAGGCGTTTACGCGCTATTATGATGGCTACTAATCGCATTACCGTGGTTGTGACTCTCACGGATTACACTACTGTGTTTCCGACTAGGTTGCACTCGACCTCTGTTCCAGGTGTCACCACAACGCTCACTCTCACGGATTATACTACTGTCTTCCCCTCGAGCTCTCGGCCGTCTCCGGGTCACACGACTCCGAAAACCGCGATGGCTAGCATCCCTTCCCTAGCGGTCTCACATTCCTATATTCAATCTTCATCGGCCTCCAGCCAGATATTAAGCATCAGCCTCCCGGTAAGCAGACACTCTTCCACTACACCAAGCTCATTCACACCTTCCAGCCCAATCTCAACGGTGAGCAGCAGCTTGGAGGCAATTCTCCCCTCGTTCGTCTTCCAAACCCCGACTACTTCAACCTTCTCATCTTCAATCACTTCCAGCTTGAGCTCAAGCTCAAGCTCCAGCACTAGATCACGTCCCATCCCTAACCCCGGACTTCCCACAGGCTGGCGCACCCCCGAACCGGCCGTGGAGAAGCATTACAACGATGTACTACCGATTCTAATGATCCTGTGGCTGGTCTTCATTGCGCTCTTCTTCCTCGGCGCACTCGTCTACTTCGCGTGGCGCTTTGCGCGCGGTCACTGCGCGGACTGCAATCTCAAGACTGCCGAGGTTATTCACTTGAAGGCCCAGCTTGCGGGGAGGAACTCTGTTACATCAGGAATGGTAAAGCAAAGAGAGGCGGGCATGAGCATGGGGCTGGGCAGGGGTCAAGAAGTGAGCGTTAGCAAGAGGGACTTGCAAGGTGAGGGAACCACGTTTAGACTTCATGATCCTGAGAGGGGTATTCATGTCAAATTGAGCAAAGAAGCAGGGAGTCCACGGCCTCCCCCGCACTCGGAGAGCGAGGACCCTTTCTACCTGGAGAATGCTGTCCCCGTTAGATCGCACTGGTCCGATGGCACGATTAAGACTACCAGTAACAACTCTGCTGAGCAGACGAGTGCGCACTCCGCAACCGCTTTGTTTCGCAGTGGACTGAGCATGGAAGAAAATCGCGCGCTGGCGCTGGCTGAGCTTGAGAGGAATCATTCCGTGACAAAGGAGGAATTGAAGGTCCCAATCCCGTTCTGGAAGCGGACGCTTGCTCGCGTGGATTTGAGGGGCGTTGACCGTGTGGAGAAGTTTGAGCGCGATGAGCCTGGCACTGACAAGTTTGTCGCAGGGCCAGAATATCGGCCGTCGATGCGTGGTCCACTGCGCACGTTTTCAAGGCCGGGTCCTCCACCCGCGCCCCCAGTCATACGCGCTCCCACGGATCCATATGTTTTCTACCCACGGAGCGCATATTTTCAAGACACCGGCGACTCGAGCAGCGGCCGTGGAAGCAGCAATGTTGCTCCAAAGCAGTATCCCCAGCCCACACCTCAGTCGAAGAAGAGTGAGTTTATCACAGTCGGACTTGACGATGATGTAGACAATCGGGTCGATATGCGACGGGCGGCTGGGATCAGGTATAAGCACCGGACTAGTGGTTATAGGGGTATAGCGTCTCTTCTTCCGGAGGGTATGTATAAAGAGAGAGAGCATGCGCTGCATTTTTGGACTCTTTAAAATATGGAGAAGCCGTAGCGAATGATTTGAGTCACTGAAGACTCGATTTCCTTGTGCATTGTTTGTGCTTGGGACGGGTGGTGACATGCTTTCGTTTCTGTGGATCTCTTGCAAATAATCGTTAATTTTAATTTCTGAACAAGGACTCATCATGATCACCATTGAACTCATGACTGTCTTGATTCGCCACTATCGACATCCCTCCCTGCCCTACGTGGTGTAGCTGTTCGCCGAGAGAATGACTACCCAGCGTCGCTGATCGAAAATCATGCCGCCATGGTTGTTAGCAGGTTCGGATGATGCTGAGCGGGTTTAGGTTAAAAATATTAATGCACCGACTCCAATGAATGTACTTGATGGGAGACGGTAGAGAATCTGAAAGTCTCTCAAGACATATCGCCATTCATTGTCAGACGATAGTCAAGCTGTTTTGATCAAACCTGAAACGTGCTGCCATTACCGAATCGCTCAAAACCGCATACCCACTGGAAAGCTCTCCGGTGATGTCTTCTCTAGCTGGAGCACAATTAACGGCGAGGAAATCGATACATGAGGTCATGCCTAGTCCATGGTCATTCCAAAAGTTGTGAAACAGCCTCTAGCCCCAACCTCCGAACCTATAGATGCCCACAACCAAGTAGGCGCTCTCTATTTCTCCAGCCATGGTCGAATGCCTTTCTCTCCGGTCGGAATCGAGTGCCAAACCAGATTTAACAACAAAAGAGCACTCTCATAACCCGCAAGATATCTATCGTTAGGGCGAATTCCAATAATTTCGCAATGCCGGAAAGTGCTGGCAGCTTGTCTTAGGCATAACCTTGAATGAAGTTTAGAACAAGCGCTGGCGACGTCACGGCGCGCCGCGAGTCCTCTCCACCTCGCTCGCAGAGGTGCTACTGCGCGACATGGAGTCGAGCATAATTATCGAAGGGTCGCCGCCGCACAGCACGGGCGAGCCTCCAGGACCAGCGGGCGTGCTGGCACTCGCACGCTCGTACATGGCTCCCCTGCGACACCATGAGCCTGTACAATGGCACGCCTTCGTGATACGTAACTTCGCCGCTACGTCAAATCAAGCTACTAACTATGTCCATGATAGGATGTAGTATTATTGGTGTATTATTGGTGTATCAAAAGTTTCCGGAAGACGCTAGGTATGAAATGTAGATATTTTATCGTAAGGTATAGGAGTCTCTAGGATAACGCTAATCCATTGTAGTAAAGAAGATAGATTACTTTTTGCTACACAGGGTTCTCGCGACATAGGGACGTTACCCTGTCATGCCTTTGTTCCGCAACCCCATTCATTGTTTCAACTCTCAATCGCGACCTCAGTAGCATCCACCTTTGAACGGCTCCTTGAATCTCATCTGAGGGTTTTCACCATCTTTCTTGTGCTTGTTCTCGACGTAGTACATCCAGCCTTGGTCGTGCACATCAATGAGATCAATGTCATCCAGCGTGGTTCCGTTGACGCTCACATAATGCAGTCTCTTTCCATCGTAGCCTGTCGCACCACCTGATACCGGGGTCGTCTTGAGCACCTTTTGCAGCTCTCCGCTTCCATTTTCCTTGCCGGACCACTTCGCAACATCGATCTCTTCCGAGACCCACTCGCCGCCCATACCAAAGGTGCGCACGCCGCACCGCTTGCAGAAATACCACCCGATCTGCTCCGAGAAACAGCGGTATTCGCCCACGTCCTCAATCTTGGCGGGTGAGGTGACGATGAAGTCGTTTGCCAGGTCGTTGGGTCGGCAGTGGAACATGCCCATCTGCAACAAGTCAGACGCTCCTGTCGTAATAACTGTGCCTTTCACTGCCGTCGCATACCTTGTGACAAGTGCTGCAGTTACATTTATAGATGCGCGTACCTTCCCTCTTAGCTGCAAAGTTCGTGCTGTGAGATCACGTCGCGCAATGTTGAATGGCTTGACCTTAGAATGAGGGATTTGGCATACCATCAAAACCGATTGTATCGTTCGGTGGTAGGGTCAGGCGGATCTGGTATTTGACGTCGCCACAATGGCAGGACCCGGTGTAGGCCTTCGTAGACATTTTGCGGTTTTTTGGTAGAGTCGGGCACGGAGGGAAGAGATTCGGAGACTTCGTCTCAGAGGCGAGTTTAAGTAGATCTGAGGAAGCTGGAAGTGGGAAGAGGGCAAGTCAAAAGCTTTCGAGCAATCCAACTCCGGAGTAGAAGCTAGAAGGATGCGAGAGATACGAGAAGGCTACGCCACACGCTGCTGCCTTCCCTTTAGCCGCTTGGTATCACCCGAGCACGTGACCAGGCGTCAGCACGTCGTGCGCGGCCAGGACCGACCAGGCCTTCCACATTAACTCCATGACGCGTTTCGGAGATGATCTATCTGTAGCAGCCCTTTGATGAAGCGTACAGACACTCAGAGGCGTCGTCGAGAATCATCAGACGGATGGGGTTGGTGTGCGGGCGTCGGGAATCAACGCACATGCGCCACCAGAAATACGGAGTATTGCTGCTGTGAGTGTCAGAAATCTCTAACCCGGGAGAGCCCAACAACAAACTGCGAATGTTTCTATGAGATGTAAATGTTGCTCTTAGAAGCGACACCACGCTCTTGTTCTTCCCTGTCTGTCGTCCTTATGTGGTCACATGTGCATTCATGCAATAATTCGATGAAACCATGTAAATAACATCGTTGACACGAAACAAATAACGGTAGCGGAGATATATTCTCAATAATTTTCTACCTTTGGATGTCGACACATGCAATCAAGCTTCGTCGCATTCTTAACGAGCTTGAATGGAAGGCGCGAGGAGTCGGCGATCAATAGCTTGTTCGACCAGGCTATCAATTTTTCGTAATGTATAATATCTTGTGTGCACGGCCGTGCACCCTAGGTTGACGGCTGCACACAGCTTACGTTTGGTTGTACGTCGCTGAGCTGCTGAATGTTGTATTGAGGTGATCGGTGGTTGTTGCTGATAGCGTCGGACGCTCGGTCGCGATGGAAATCCAACCCGAATGTGGGAAGGCGCGAAGGGTCAGAAAGCCGCGATCTCCCATGCACCGCCGAATAGGACCAACAGCAATCATGTCGCTCTACAACGCCATCGTGGTACCACTGTCTGTGATAAGCGGGCTGTGGATACCATGCATCCTTTTATGTTGCATCCCATGGGTGCAAAAGCAGTACGTTCGTGCGCCTCAACGGCCTCAGCCGCTGACAACGCAGGATGTTGTACCTGCATTGGGTGACCTTGTTTCCTGGAAGGTGGCTGGCTGAGCCTGAAAGAGCCGGTTTTCTCAGTGCGTCGGTTGTCCGAAACTCTTAGATGGATGCTGATGCAAGCAGAAAACCAGGTGGCTCCCTTTCGCATCCCGACGAAAGATGGGGAGAGGTTGTTCGCATGGCTCGTTGCACCAATTGGTGTGTACTCGCGCCATGTGCGAGCTTTCATTGAAGAGGCGCCAGCACAGGGTGACATAGAACGGAAGCAAGTCTTCAAGCTAATAAAAGATGATCCAGAGGCGCGATTGGTGATATATTGTCACGGAAACACCGCCACCGTGGCCCAAGGTCGGAGGACTGAGGAGTACCGTATGTACAGCGCCGGCGCCTCTGAAAAGATCTTCGTCTTGGCTTTCGATTACCGCGGATTTGGGAAATCCACCGGATCGCCAACGGAGCCAGGTTTGATTAACGATGCGGAAGCGGTTGTCGAATGGGCTCGAGGAACCGCGGGCATTTCGCCGGATCGCATTGTCCTCCTAGGCCATTCTTTGGGAACAGCGGTCGCAACTGCCATAGCTCACCGATACGCCAACCTTGCTGTCCCGGTTGAGTTTGCCGGGCTCATCCTTTGCGCAAGCTTCACAAATACTGGGAGCGCCTTCGCCTCGTACTCCATCGGAGACGTCATACCCGTTTGTCTCCCACGTGACGATGGTATCTTTGGCAGCCGCTGACTCTCGCCGGGTAGCTCCTAGCGCCCGTGAAACTTATTCCTCCTCTACAGCAGTGGTTCAGACGACGGTTCAAGGATACTTGGCGGACCGATCAAAGGCTTGCGTCGCTCGCCAAGCAGTAAGTAATTACACCGCTACGAAGCTTGAGCTAATGTGACACGCTCTTCGCAGGTGCGAGAATCTGCGGCTATTGCTTGTTCATGCTGAGAATGACGGAACGATGCCTTGGGACCAGACGGAAGAGCTATTCACAACAACGCTCAGAGCTGCGACGGATCAGGCGGGTCCGAATCGCGAGGTCGTGGATCTGGGCGAGGCGGGGAAACAAGAAGTCTGGCGGCAGGGTACCCGCAGCGTCAGCAAGCTCATCGCAAAGCACGGCGGTAAGTGATCCCCATATCATGCAATTTATAAACGTACAGAAAGGTAAATCCTAACAATATGTTCAGACCACAATACCATAATGAAATGGGCGCCGATCTCGTTGGCCATTGTTGAATCTTTCGGCCTCACAGACGTGAACGTTACGCGAATAGCCGAAACACCTCACGAGTAGCTTTGTCTCACCACCCCATGTCGCCCCACAGCACAAGTCTTGTGTGACGCAAATCACACAGGGCCGCATTATGGAGCGTTTTCATGGCCTGTCAGCCCCAGAAAACAGGCGATTCTTCACACAAAGACTAGACCCACGCGCGTGCGCTGATTCACGCTCAAATGACCACGCAAGCGCCGCTTTGTCTATTCACCTATTGAATCACCATGCTATCGTTGCCCGGCGCCACAAACGCCTTTCTTTGTCGTCCGTGATGCGTGTCCTTCATAACGACTTTCCTTGACTGTTTTCATTGTATAATTATCCAGTCGAGCAGAGCTTCATAGATGCGCCGGACGCAGCCACACAACCTAACTCATACGAGCCGCACCAACCGCTCACCATAGCGCACCAGGCACTCCATCCAGACCCGAACGACTGCTGCGACCGACCACCATGCCACTGCAAAACTACCAATCCAGCGCCGCCCCCGCAGCAAGAGATCTCCTCGCCTCCAACGCCGGATCCGAGCTCAACGGCAAGAACATAGCCCTCATTATCTTTGTCGCCATCGTACCTGTGCTCATCGTCGCCGGGGCAGTCGGCTGGCTGCTCTGCTGCTACAGCCGTGGGAAGGGCTGCGGACGCCGGAAGAAGGAGGACAGGACTACGACCATCCCAGGTGGACCGACTACGTCAGGCGCAAACGCACCAGCGGGAAAGAGCGCGGGATGGGCACCGAGTCGCCCTGCGCAGGCGCACACAAGGAATGACTCCATGCTGAGCAAGAAGTCGAATGAAAAGGCTCCAACGCTGCCTCGGGGCTTTGTTTGAGATGATTTCCAAAGAGGAGGGAATGAGATCCTTGAGCTTCATGATTTATGACTTTGCTGTGCGCGGGTTCGTCGGCCTTTACGACGGCGCATGGATGGTCGTGTTACCACTGGATGGACGGACGGTGTATGAAGACATTGAAAGTGCTGTACCTGTGCAGTTGATCTGAACGTCTCGAAGACACTTCAATGAAGTTCGTGCCGCTATGGGCGGTGACTACAGTCGAACGTCTGCGGGGAGCCACCAAGCTATCAGAGCCCGACAGTTGAATTGCAGAGACACCAGCACACGTTAAGGCAGCATATGGTTCCGGCCAACGAGCCCCGGTTGGTTCTATGGTGTATTCAAAAGTATATATTACATTAAGGCGCTTGGCTGGAACCTCGGCCCTGCGATTTCTAGTAAATGATTACCACATTCTATACCTGTTGGCCCCCAAAGTGGAGAGTTCTTACCTTCATTGCCATTCCCTGTGGCCCTTGGAATTCGGATTTCCTTTCAAAACTAGAATTGAACTTTGGAAAGCCGCTTGCTGTTCCGCAGCCGCTCGCCGTAGATCCAGAATAGTAGGGGCACAGGTATGCATGCGACAGCAATGAAGCCAAGCAGCGAGGTGCCCCACCCAACACCTAGCGCATCATACATCGCGCTGCCAGCCAGCGGGAGCAGCGCGCCAAGGAGCGAGCGGAAAACGGTGGCGGCTGCGGACACGGACGCCGCGTAGACAGTGTATGCGTCGATGAGGTAAGTAAGACCGGGCATCTGTTTGGAGCCGTCAGCGTCAGTCCGCCGCACTGCTTGTTTTCCTGAGTTGAAAAGGATACGTACGAAAACAATCATCAACGCGGCGCCGATAATTGCTGTCCCAATAACTGGCACAATCCAATGCACCTTTTCCTCTGCGGACCAGCCATACAAGAACAGCCCCACAGGCACAAGTATTGAGCCGATGATCATGACGGGCAATCTGTATTCCGGTTTTGGCTTCCCATTATTGTAGCGCTTCGCGAGATGGTTCAGCAAACGGTCCGAAATCGCGCCTGTAATGAAGAGGCCGATGAGGGAACCAACGCCCACGCCGAGGTACACGAGGGCGATACCTTTCTCGGAGAAGTTGTATTGTGAGCCGAAGACGCGGGGGTAGGTGGTTAAGAGGAGGTAAAGGTAGCCGTAGACCTGGAACGGGTTAGTGCATGGACGAAGAGAGAGAAGGGGTGGCGTACCGCAGCCATAGTTAGGGACATAAAAAAGATAATTGGGCTGAGGTAGAGCATGCGGATTGGGCGGACGATGGAGGTTTTGAAAAGCTGTCGTGGGGTTCGGCCGGTGTCGAGCGCAGAGCGTAGCTTAGTATTGCCAGTCTCTTGCTGGAGGCTTGCTGTTTTCCGCTTTAGGAGAACGTATGGGTAGGTCTCGCGGTTGAATATGAAGCTGATGATACATGCGGCGCCGGCCTATGGGTGTCAGGGTGAACGACTCCACAGGAATTGGCCAAACGCTTACGAGGATGGTAATAAGCCAGAACGTCCATCGCCAGCCTTTGGCTTCCGCGAGATATCCACCCGCTATTTCGTGTTAGTTTAACTGCGCATCTAGGCTGGTTGAATTTTCTGCAGATATCGCATAAACGGGAAGCTCACCAACAGGCCCAACCGCTGGTCCGAACAAGGGTCCCAAAACCATACTGGCCATAGCCTTGCCCCTCTTCTCGACCGGGTACAGATCTGCCACTGTTCCACTCGAGATGGTGATTGCGCCTGGAGTGAGGTTTAGTCCTTGAAGAACGACAAATATCCTTAGGGGTTGACTCACAGCTGGCCGCAATACCTGCAAAGAAGCGAAATGCAATCAACGCGCCAAGATTGTTGGCTACGGCGCATGCAATACTGAAAATCAGGAACAGAATGTTGCAGATGTTGTAAATTGGCAAGCGGCCGTAAAGTTCGGAAAGCGGGGCCCATGCCAGTGGTCCGAAAGCATAGCCCAAAATGTAGACCGAGGTGATAAATGCGCCAAGTGTTTGGTTAGTCGAGCCAAAGTCACTCATGATCAGAGGAGTAGCGGAGGCACTCATGGTGGACGCGAACGGCCTGTAAAAGTGTAAGGCATATCCTCTCCAGTCTCTTGGGTCCGCTGAGGAGCTGTAGACGAATGTCTGCGACTCAGTTCCTTGTACTTACGAAAGCATAGTTATGAATGCAACGACCGCCACAACACCAATCTTCTTGGACGATGGCCAGTTCATTGGCTTGTTGGGATCATCCTTCTCCCAGTTGACGACGTTGGGATCCTCTGGTACTGGCTTCTCTACGGCATCCTCCCATTCGCCGCCCTTGTTCGACTGGCGTTCTGCATCTTTGATAAACGACATCTCATCTGTATGACTGGCAGTGCGCGAGGTCTCAGTGTTGTCCTGATTTTGAGCTTCTGTCTGGGTGGCCATGTCGAGGTAGTCTGGTAAGTGCGACAGACTTTCGTCGGAATCTATTGCTGCGTGAAGACGTAGTATATTCACGCCAAATATTACTGCAAAACGAAGTGACTGTAATGAGACCGTGGAAAGCTGAGTTCTGTACGGCAGTCGAGGACCTTAAGTTAGCTTACGCCCTGAGACCCGATTGGCTCGTCCTGGTGTTGTTCTGCATGCATCCGAACGGCGATAGTCGGTCATCTCGGTGGCGACTGTCGCCCACGGAGTTTCCGTCCAGCTCCCATGACACCCATGCTAAACACCAACAACACAAATACTAGGCTTCAGTGCTGATCCTAGATAAACAGACTCAAAGCCGCCGTACGTGGGCGTATATAGTGCTGGTTAGTACAGTACCTCAGACCGAGACTGGCCTTGTGTGGTTGTTCCCCCTAGTAACAAGATCCATCAAAGATAGAAAAGATTGGGCGTATCTTGACGATCTCCCTTTACGATATGTGGCTGTGAGGTCAGACACAATCAAGTCTAAGCATTCCGGGCCGAGTGGGGCAGCGGGAGGGTCTCCGGATCTATTTTCATCATTCATCCCAAGAGCTACCTTCTATTGGGCTCCAAACTGGTGCATAACTGAGCAGAGCAACGGACTTAAGCATATTCACGCATTTTTAATTGTTCAATGTCTGACAGAAGCTATGGAGATCGCACATATGCAGATAGCGGGCACAGAAATTGTCATCAGCGGACTTGACACGCTAACCGCTTCAAATGTAGCCCGGAATTTCCTCCGCGGACTTTGCGCGGAAAGCGGCTCATCTGATAACCACCCCTCATATCCGTCAACCTTCCGCGGCAGAATCGCTCCCATGCCCAAGGAATTCCCCAAAATAGGGGGCCCACGCCAGCGGCCCATCTCCTGCAAGTTCTGCAGAACCCGGAAACTCCGTTGCAGCCGAGAAGCACCGTGTTCCAATTGCGTGTCGCGTGGCCTACCGTGTGAGCTGGAGCAAGCAACACACAGTGGCTCACCTGCAGATGATGATGATAAGGCTGAGTTGCTCGAGCGGATCCGGAAGCTGGAAGCACTCGTGGAACAAAGCACCAGATTCACAAGTGTGAGTGTGGCGAGCCATGATACACCGCCCGCCACAGCTCTTCTACCCAATGCTTTGGATGGCCAAGCCTCGGGAAGTTTCGAGGATGTCGCCAGACAGAGCTGGAAAAATTCGATCCCATCCCCGAGCGAGCAACTGGATCGTGATTTCGCGTGGTTGGAGAGTATCTACGATGGTACAGAATGCGCGGTAAGTGCAAGGCGAGAATCGTGCCAAAGACTCACCACGTTTGCAATTACATCAAGCCTCAAGCTATTGTTGCATTGCCCCGAGCGGCCACAGAGCAGACTCACTGACGACTTCTAGTCGGAGGCAATCCCTTCTACGAAAGTTGGATTCCGAATATGTTCGTTCCAGCTTGTGGCAGAGGTAGAGCAGTTCGTCACAGGGTCCTCCTCTTCCGATCCTTCAATCTTTTTCTGGTTGCCGGAATACTCAGAAGCCAAGATCCTGTTAGAAAAATTTACAAGGGATATCGAGCACATGTATCATGTTGCCCTAACCCAAGATTTGCCAGTCGTCCTGGAGCGCACATATATATCTTTAACTCAGCAAAAGCAAGTCAAGTCAGGGGAAATGATCCTTGTGTTCAGCATCTTTGCCTCGGCTATGCATTCGTGGACTGACGAAGACTGCCGTGCACGTGGGCTGTTCACAACCTCTGCGGAGCCACATAGGCGATCGGCTTTATGGGTGAAAGCCACCGAAGACTTGCTCGACATTGCCCATCGAACGACTCTGATTTCACTCGAAGGTATTCAAGGTATCATAATTGTAACATTCGTCGCAGCAAGTTACAAAGGCTTTTCGAGGCGGTGCTGGTTTCTAATGAACAACGCTCTGGCTCTTGCTCGTGAAATCGGGCTCCACTGCATAGACCATCCTTCAAATGCGGATCGTGCCAACACAGCTGAAGCAGAAGTTGGGCGCAGGGTTTGGTGGTATCTGGTTTCGACCGATTGGTAAGAAGCCTGGGTTCAACTAGTCTTTCATGCACAGAGATCTGACATCTTTTTAGGGCAATGGCTACTAAATATAACGGATTAGCCCGCGGCACCTATCAATGCCACCCGAGACATATGAACACAAACAAGCCGTTGAACCTCAATGATGAGGACGTTGTCGACGGCATGACCCGAATGAGTAGACCATTATCGGAGCCCACATCGATGACATATTTTGTATTCCGCAATCGATTGAACGAGATATCGCGGACCATAGTGGATCGCGCGCCTCTTATGACGGCTCTCGCAGGCGGTCCAAGCTACGACGTCGTCATGGACATCGACACTGAACTGCAACAGCTAATCAACGACCTTCCCCCGTTCTTCTTCTCGATGACGCCTTTTGAGATTGCTGGGAGATACAGGCTCAGTGACGACCGGGCCAAAGTCATTGCACGTCAAGGCAACGATTTCCGAACCATCTTCTATGCCACGCGCTGCAAGCTCCACCTACCGTACGCCCGCCGTGGATTTACGGAGTCACAGTACGCGACTTCTCGAATTCTGTGCATTGAGTCCGCAAGGCTGATCGTCGAAACGGAATCCGAGTATCAACGCCTTGGGCTTGACAAAGAATTCGCGCGCTATAAGCCTCTTTTGTACAGCATGACCGTCTTCCTTGCTTGTACTGTCCTCTTGATGGAGTACTGCCACCGCAAACAAACACAGGCACCGGATCAAGAGAAGTCCAAGATGGAGATCTGCCATGCTCTAACTATGCTGGAAGCCGCACGCTCCGAGAACGAAATGGCGTCCAAGTTCTTGGATTCGCTAGTGATGGTGCTGCACAACCATGGCATTGCACCTCCAAAGAGACTGCAGCAGCAAGAGAAATCAGTGGCTCTTCCTGGGGAAGGACTTGTGTCGACCCCTCCATTTACGAGTCAAGCGACAAGCTCGTTGCCGATGACGCCAATGAGTGGCCCGCAGTTAGCTGCGTCTGCCGTGGGAGGAGAGGTGACCTGCACTGGAGGCTTTGCGGGGCTGGATGCGGGATCTGATCTTAATTCCCTTGTTAAATCACTTGACCAAGGCGTAGATGTTGGCATGATTGAGTGGGATGATATTTTCCTTGGGCTTGGAGAATCTTCTTTCCTGTAGAGTATCCTTGGACCCTCATCGATAATCAGCGCGCAGGTAGAGTGTAATGTACTAAGTGCTCGGTACGTGTATAGGTCTAAATCAGCTAACTTTCGTCTGCTTGCCGGGCATATTTTCTATTGCTATAGATGTTTCAGTAGTGATCGAGATCCACTTTTTATCGATATCCCAACGTACCGGCATGAATGAAGAGACAATTGGGTTTCAATGAGGCGAAGACCGGCAATACCTTGATGCTAACCAAGTCGCCTTCTGACAGTCTCGCGAACACGTTACTGCAAGACAGCAGTTGAAAAAGAGTAGCAGAAAATCACTCTGTAGACACGATCTTCATACGACAGTCTTCAGCACAATAAGTCATATATATATAAGTGGGTACACATGATACCAACGAGCACATAGTGAAGGTCTGCTCGTAAGGAATGAGCTGTAATTGATCCCATTGGTGATACGCTGCTGCAAATAGGACAGCATATGGACCATGTCAAATATGCAAATTGCGAACGCTAAGATATCACAACTCCACCGACTCCGACTCCGACTCCTTTCATCTACGCCTTCAACCCCTCCATAAGCGCCCCCTCCTCCCTCTTCCCCACCAACCTGAACGCTCCTTCCCCACCCACACCCTCGCCCTTTTCTGCCTTCGCATACGCCTCCTCACTCCGATCCAGCAACGTGTCCAACTCCTTCTTACTCAACACTCCTGCGTCCCCAACCCCTTCAACATCGAACTTCTCCCCATCGCTCTTCCTCAACAACCTCTGCAACTCCTCCAACTCCTGCCCAGCCTCGACTTTGCCACCCTGCGCCCGTGCATTTCGCACGCCACCCTTGCGGATAACCAGCTTCTCCAGCCTGCGCTTCGCCTCCGCGGACTCGAGCAGCTTAACTTCGACAGTGTTGCGCGTGGCGAAGCGGTACACGACGACGTTCCTTGTCTGGCCGATGCGGTGCGCGCGATCAATGGCTTGAAGATCCTGCTGCGGGTTGAAGTCGCTGTCGAATAGTATGACAGTGTCAGCGGACGCGAGATTGATGCCCTGGCCGCCTGCGCGGGTGCTTAGCAGGAACACGTTGGTTGCATTTTTACCAGAGGAGGGCGCGTTGAAAGCTCTGATTTGGGACTGGCGGTCGGGCTGAGCGGTGCTGCCGTCGATGCGGGCGTGTGGGTAGCCGCGCAGGTCGAGGTAGGAGGAGAGGATGTCCAGCATGTTTGTGAATTGCGAGAAAATGAGGACTTTGTGGCCGCGGCGGAGGAGCTCGGGGAGGAGAGAGTCGAGGAGGAGCATCTTTCCAGACGTAGTGACGATGGTCTCGTCGGGCTCGGTCTCCATGGCGAAGGTTTCTGCGCCGTCTGTCTCGGCTTTGAGGAAAGGATTGAAGAACATGTAGGGTGAGTTGCAACAGAGCCGTAGTTGCATGTATGGATTGCCGAGTTTCTTTTGCTGGAGCTGACGCTTGGCCAGCTCAAAGGTGGCTGTCTGTATACGTTCTTCTTCTGCTTCGGAATCTAAAGGCTCTTCAGTCTCATCTGAGCCGCTATCTTGATCCAGGTCGGCGAAGAACCGCCGATCACTGACTTCCTCATACGTCTTCTTTGGCCGACCACGCCCACGTTTCGATGCCGTTGATGCCGGGGTGCTCTCTCGCGATGTCTTCGCACTTTTGCTGGGGGTACCAGCATCGTTGGACAAGACTTTCCTCTTGAGGCTTCCGTTGTTACTGCGGACGCTTAGAGGGGTGGCAGTGCCGCTTGCAAGACCAGCGCTGAGCCTCTCGTACGACTTTTCTTCGAGGTATTGGCGGCTGGTACCGTCCAGGATGGTCTGGTAGAGCTCTCTTTGCATGGGAGTAAGCGGCGCAAAGAGAACGTATTCACGCTTCTTCGGCATTAGGCTTTCTACGTCAGTCTTCACTCTACGCAAAAGGAACGGCTTTAAGACTGCGTGCAACGACTTGACGAGGTACTGCTGTCGCTCTTCTGACAGAAGCTGTTCGAAATTGTCTTTGTCTTTCAACCCGGAGAAGTCGAACCAGCTCTCGAACGTGGACAGCTTGTCGAACACAGTAGGCAGGAGGAAGTGCAGAAGTGACCAAAGTTCGGTGAGGTTATTCTGCAGAGGCGTTCCGGTGATGAGCAGACGGTTGGCGGACTGGTATTGCTGCAATTCGCGGATCAGACGACAGTCGAGATTCTTGATGCGGTGACCCTCGTCGATGATGATGAACTGCCAGCCGAAGTGGGTCAAGAACTTGCGATCGTTCATACAGATCTCGTAGCTCGTCACAACGATTGGGAACTGCGCAGTGCCGGGGTGCTTGAGCTGTGTCTTGCGCATCTTCTCTCGCTCCTTCTTATCGCCATGGTATAGTAAGACTGGTATGGTGGGTGTCCACTTGCGGAACTCCTCGACCCAGTTGCTTGTGGTACTTAGAGGCGCTGCGACCAGAAACGGGCCATAGGAGCCCATTTCCCACAGATGCGCCAGAAGAGCAATAGTCTGGATAGTCTTGCCCAGGCCCATCTCGTCGGCCAGAATGCCGTTGATGCCGTTCTCGTATAGCGAGAGCATCCACTCCAGACCCTCGAGCTGGTATGAGCGCATGGTGCCTCCCGTCACAAGCTTTGGCTGCCTTGCTGATCTAAGGTTCTGGAACCCAATGTCGCCAGTCTTCACGTTGTCATCGTCTGCAGCTTCCTTCAGCGCCTCGGTAACGCTCGCATTGTTTGTTTTCTTCTGCAGGTCTTCCTTCTTGAAGAAGCTGGATATCTTTGCGTGCTTGTCGGCGCTCTTCTTGGGCCGTCCGCGGGTTTTCTTCATCGATGTAGTCTCAGCGGGTGTATCTTTGCCAGCGGCGGCGGCGCGTGTTGCTCGTCGCTGCGTCTCGGCGGCGGCTTGGTCTGCCTTCTGCTCGCGCTTCGAGGCTTGTCCCTGTGTCTTCGCATCCTGGGCCTTCTCCGCGTCCTCTTGGCGCTGCATCTGGGCGAGCATGACGCTGGCGTACAGCTTACTCTTGTTCATCAAGAACTCCAATTGCTGGAACTTTTTGTCCAAGACATCTTTGCCGCTCTGAATATCCGCCTGCCGCTCCTTCTCGAGCTTTGCCTCGCGTTTCGCGTCTTCCTTCTCGCGTTGTGCACGGATTCGGTCCTCTTCCAGCTGCAGACTGCTGGGCACCTTATTGTCGGCGTTCTTGGGCTGGTTGTCCATGTCAGCGGGAGGCGGCGATGAGGCGGGAGTGGTTTTTAGTGAAGCGGAATCGACAACAGACGAAGACGACATTCCGCGGCGTAATGAAGCAGTTTCGTTGTGCTGCCGACAAGAGGCAGTGAGTAGCGCCAGGGGTAGGTGGTGATTGGGAACAAAAGAGCGACATCGATGACGCCGAGGAACGCGGGCGCGACGCGAACTCACGCGCTACGCAAAGTGGCGCTTTCGGAACGTGCATCGACCTCCCCCAATGCAGCCCTCATGAACACAGTGCCTTCGATAGGGTTGTCGTAATACTTGTCCACTTCTGCAAATCCACAGCGCGTGTACAACTTTCGCGCCGCCGTCATGTTCGCCAGCGTGTCCAGCAGCATGTAGTCGTAGCCCAGGTCCCGCGCTTTCTCAATCGCGGCGTTCATCAGCCGCTGCGCAGCACCCATGCCTCGAGCTTCTGGCACAACATAGAGGCGCTTCAGCTCGCATGTGTCTAGCGGCGAGAAAGCGCGTACAGCGATGCAGCCGACGATTTTGGCAGGCGTTGAGTCTGCTGCCTGGGCCAGAAATAACGTGCCACCCTTCTCTGCCGCATACTTGCCCGGTAGCTGTGAGAGTTCGTCGGTAAAGCTCTGGAACGATAGATCGATGTTCAACGACTCCGCATACGCTGCGAATAGGGCAGCGACAGCTTCCCGGTCGCGAGGAAACTCTGCAGTCGTAATCGTAATCTGCGACATCTTTTCGTATGGAATTTGAGCAGACGCAATGCTCGAGGGGTGTGCGACGCAATTGTCAGAAAATTCGTTGACTCTTAACCACGCCGCCATTACCCGCCTGTATCCTACGGCAGGAAGGCGCGACCGACATCGGGAAGGAGCAGTGCTGCCTCTTCTGTTCATTACATGTACTCTACGCTTCCTGAGAGATGGACATGCGTGTTCTCAGCGCAACTGGGATCGCTTTTCCGCCACTACGGTTCACGAAGCTGCACTGGTTTTACCCGGCCGTCTATTATGCACCACCATGATGAACGTAAATGAAGACCTCGGAGGCATGCAGACGCGATCGCGGTACTTTACACTGCCCAAGACATCTCCCTCTTACTGCCCATTCCATACCTAAGATTCCCCCTTTGCCCACACTACTGCCTTTTCCGTTTGTTCCCACCCAACATTGCACCTGGCCCTCGACCAGCCCATCCGCGACCATGCGCCTCGTCACACGAGCTATCCCAAGCCTCAGTGCGTTCGCCCTGGCCGCAGATGCTCTAAACACAACCTGCTCCTCCTTCCCAACCTACAACGCCACAACCCTCGCCACGTCTCCCTTCACTCTCCTCGCCTCCTCTCCTACAGCCCCCATAAACGGCACCGCAGCAAGCTTCGTAAGCTTCACAAACGACGGCGTAGATCGCTACGGCTTCGTACGTCTTCCTGCCACACGTCCACACATTCTCCTCTCCCCTCCTGCTCGGAGTCTACGACCGTGTACTGATGCGTGAGAAGGTTACGATCCCACAGTCCAACCCTACCTTCGGCAGCGCCCCGCCTCTCTCCTTGCAGTGCACCGGGTCCACCCTCTACGTCCAACTCTCGGGCCTGAACTGGGTCCCGGTGTCCATCGCCGCGGACGAGAACTGGCAGCGTGGTCTGTCGTTTGGGCTGGGTGAGGGGGTGGGCGTTCAGGCGTATGCGCAGAATGGGGATGTGTATTTGGGCGCGGAGGGGGGCCAGGGTGTAGTGGGATTGAAATGGAAGTTTAAAAGCAACTGGGGTGGGAATGCGGGGCAGTATTATCTAGTGAGGTGGGCGGGGGGTGAGGGGGAAATGAAACGGCAGGTGGGGGGCGAGCCGCCGGTTGTGGATGATCGGGACTGGGTTGGGTATCTGAAGGTTGTGGTTTGAGGGTCTGATGTAGTTGGGTCGGTGACGCTGTCGCGCGGATGTATGTGTTTGAACTTTATTTTTGATAGAAGTACAAGTCTAATCGTCGATAGGCAGCACCTTGCGGATCCCCTGGTCGATTTGTTCTACGCTCGTTAGCAAGATTCGTAAAAGCTCCCATGAACTGCAAAACTCACCCTCCAAATACGGCATGATGTGCCCGTAGTCCTTGCACACATGATGCCCGTTCCAGCTCCCATCCATCGGCCCATTGTCATCCGGATCCGTTTGCTCATGTGGCTCCATGGCCATGTCCGCCGAGCACATAATGCCCTGCCGCAGGTAGTCCACGCAGTGGAGGTAATGTGAGTGGTAGTCGCTCATAAGCTTTTCGGGCATCTCTGAGGTGAGCGCCGCGTAGATGCGGCCCATCATGAAGAGACAGTGGAGCTGGTGCGTCATGGAAGTTGTGAAGAAGGTGTCTTCGGTTGGGGCACCCCAGCCTGCGCCGACTGTGGTTTGTCAGATGTCAGATCAGCAAAGAGGAGGAGGGAGCGGAGAGGTGGCGGTACCGGGCATGATGGTGTTCCATTTTTCTAGGGTTGCGGGGGAGAAGAACTCTGCAGTGTTGTTTGGGACAAAGGCTTGGTCGGCTTCGAATTTGACAATCTTGGTTGGGACTGCGATGAGTCAGTAGCTGTATGATTTTCTTGGGCTTTTACTGACAGTCCGGCCCCGTCCCGTCGAAGCTGCTGCCAACCTGCATAGTGCTGGTCGCATTCTCCTGGTTGAAGTTCCGGAGCAGAACCACCGACAGCGAGATATTGATGACCAAGAGCACGAGATCGACAAGCCATCTGAAGCGGCGGAACTCAGCTACCCACAGGCTCGTCCTCGATCGCCGTGGTCTTGATCGTCTAGGACGATGAGTCTTGGCCTTCTCCGAGTCCTTCTCGTCGTCGCCATGCTGGGATTCAACTTCAGTGCTAGACAGGTAATCTTCGTCCTCGCGCTCTGAGTACGAGACTTCTTTGTACTGCTGGTTCTTCTTGATGTATTCCATGGTGTTGCTTTACTTGGCGCTGCCAGAATGCTAGGTTTTGGTCAATGAAGAAGAAGGGATGGGCGTGGAGCGGCGACAAAGAGGAAGTCTCCCCATGTCACGTTCTAGCCTCACAAAAGACATGTTGACGAGTCCGCGGCAGTCTGAGGCAAACATGCACCCTCGTCTCAGTGTTATGCGTGTCACGATGTAGAGTGTTCTTGACCAGGCGTGTCATTGAGTTTCATCGTTGCGGGACTATTCCCGAAGCGGACAAGGTGATTATTCCCGCTGACATTTGATTGGTCCTGCTAGCTGTAGCGGGCCCTGGCACAGTATGGCCCACTTTGCCCAGACCTGAGGCGTTTGGAAATGGTCATCAAACAGTGGCGCGGGCAAGGGCGACGAGTGCCGAGGAGAAGGTTTTGGCGACGTCTGCTGCATTGTGCGAATGGGGGTCAACGTCGTCAAATGCGCGATGTTCGCTGCGTTGGAGAAGAATTGATAGTTGAGGTTGCAAAGCTAGAGTGTTCGAAGCGCTGGTTTGACGTTCTGGTCCCATTCTCTATCAGTCTGTATTTTGGATCGGTCATAGCGTCAAAGTCGAAGACCGCAAGTCATGCTGAGAGAAAGATGGAACGACGAAGTTTCTTCAACTACACGACGGTTCGTTATAGAGGCGACGCAGTAAGAATTTTATTATTGGATTTAGCTGTAGCGTCGTATAATGGACAGTCGCTGATATACTCTAATCCTGGAACTGGTAATAGGTGTTTGATCGGTTGTAACACTCCAGATCACCTATTCCACGAATCTGGTTACAAAGTCGACCACGCCGCATCGATGGGTAGTAATGCACCGTTCACCATCCGCGCCTCGTCCGAGGCTAGGTACGCGATACCCTTGGCGACATCGTTAGGGGTAATCACCGGCACGGGCTGTCCCTTCTCGTTCTTTGCGACGTGCATTTCCACCACGGGGCTGTTTTCGTCAGTGGAATAACCATGGCGATCAGAAGGCACATACAAGAAGCTACTAAAGCCGTCCTTGTCGAAGCAGTCCATGTTGACTGAGTTCTGGATGTTTGTTGCGACGCCTAGATGAAGTGAGCTTCTGTTCGGTGACCTCAATGGAGAAGAATGCATACCACCAGGCAGCACAGCGTTGCAGCGAATATTATCATTGCGGAAGCGCCACGCCACGTTCTTCGTCGCGCCAACCTTAACTTAAATCAGCACGGCTTCCAATCACAACCACCATAGTCCAAACTCACAAGTCCATGCTTCGACGCCGTGTAAGCAATCCCCGCTGCCGCCCCGCTCACTCCCGCTTTACTCGCCACATTGACGATGCTCCCTTTCCCCTGCTCTTTCATCGCCGGCAAAACCGCCGTCATCAGCCTCACTGGCACCGTAAGGTTGATTGCCATGACGCGCTCCCACTCGACATCCTTCAGCGAGTCCGCGCTAGACCACCCATCCGAGATGCCCGCGCAATTGACGAGGACGTCTATCCTTCCAAAGATAGCGGTGCAACGCGCGACAGCTTCCGAGGCAGCTTGCGGCTCAATGAGGTCAGCCTGGTGGAACTCGAAGGGAACATCCTTGGTGGTTTCGGCGGTGAAAGGTGCGATGTCGATGCCGAAGACTTTGGCTTGGCGTGAGAGGAAGAGTTGTGTTGTAGCGAGGCCGATTCCAGAGGAGCAGCCAGTTATGATGACGACTTTGTCGGTGAAGGATGCCATGTTTCTGTCCTCTGTCTATCTCTTTGACTGCGGAAATCGGATGCGCTGGGGAAGGGTTGTATTTGTACACCTCTCGCTCTGGAAGACGGTTGCGCAATAATACGTCCTAGCGCCGTCGACCCCACTAGCCGGGCGCTGCCAATGAGAATACGGGCGATACGGTCCCGCTGCTACACCTCATCTTATCACTTGTCCCGACGGCGGCGGCGCAGCGGTGGCAGAAGTGTGTTCAAGGTAAGATTAGGGAAATGCATGGCCTGGGACATGCTGCACGGTCAACCGAGACTGGACCTGCGGGTGCATCCTGCGGCATTGAACCCTCGGCCAATCAGGAAGCAGGTAATACGACACACCTCATCTTATACCAGGGTGCGACGACGAAGAGTAGCGTGCTAGGACGAGATGTGGATCTATGATATGTATCTGCCCCCCAAGACTCTCGTATGGCTAACCTGAAATAGCCGGAGGTTTTCGTCCGAAAAGCACGTGATCTGGTACAACCGAACCGTGAACTTGTTGAAATGCGGGCTTGCTTTGAAATCGGCTCGGTATACTGCAGTATATCGCGAAACTAGATGAGGGAGTGGAAAAGTATAAAGACTAGTTTGCGAGACGCGTGCATTGGGAAGAATAGATTAGCTTCACCAACTCGGCAGCTATTTCGCCTTATCAACGCAGTGACTTGTTCTCAAGTACGTTCGAGAAGAATCTGTCGGTAAAATGTCAGTCGTTGTCGTAGTCGCTGGTGGCTCGAGTGGTCTGGGCCGCGCAATCGTCGATGCCTTAATGGAGGACGGCCGGTTTGAAGTCTTAATCTTCTCACGTACTGTGTGTTCGACTTGAGCCCTGTGCCCAAGCTATGTCAGCTGACTATAGATACAGGGAAATTCCCAGATTGAGAAGGAATCCGGCGCTCGTGTCCTAGCAGTGGACTACTCAAATGTGGACGCCCTCACAACGATCCTCGAAACTAATAATGTCGAAGTGCTTATCACAACCGCAAACACAATGCATGATCCAACCCCGGAGCTTAACATGATCGCAGCAGCTGCACGATCGCACTCTACGAAACGGTTCATCCCTAACACTTGGAGCGCGCTGGAATTCAAGGACGAGTGAGTAGCCATCCACACCCCAGCTTTCAGACCTTCCGCTAACTGCACACAAAGACCTCGATTCAAGAACTTTCCTCTGGCACAGGGCAGACTTGAAGCGATGGCGCAGCTGCAGCAAACCGGCCTCGAGTGGACAGCCATCTACCCCGGCCTGTTTATGGAATACGTCACCGAAGGCCTGCCCTCCACTCTCACCATTAACACCATGATGTTCGACGTCAAGCACAACGCTGCAGCCCTCCCGAACAATGGCGAGGCCAAGATTACGCTAACGTACTCCCGCGACATCGCGAAGTACATTCCCAAGCTCTTGATGCTGGAGAAGTGGGAGCCCGCGTACTTCATCATTGGCGATGTGAAGTCTTGGAACGAGGTTGTTGCTGCGGCTGAGAAGGGAAAAGGTGTGAAATTCAACGTCACGTATGACTCGTTGGAGCAGTTGAGGGTAGGGAAGGTGACGGAGTTGCCTGGGCATGCGCGGATGTATGAGCGATTTGGTGGGAGGGAGAGAGCGTTGCCGGTTGTGCAGGGGCTGTTTGCGCAGTATGGACTTTGGATGGATGAAGGGTTATTTACGTATCAGGATGGGGCAAAGTTGAATGATTTGTTCCCTGAGGTTGAGACTTTGGGTTTGGAGGAGGCGTGGAAGGTGGCGGGTGGGAAGGCTTAACTAGACCAAATATCGTGTGGATGGGCAGCTGGGAATCATGTCGTGAAACAATGAGTAATAGAGGCTAACGATTGGCTGCGCATCCCCAGCGGATATTCTATCTGTCTCGGTGAGCTCTTTGTAAGCCATACGCAGATTCAAAGCGCACAGTTATAATACATCAGTCGTAATGAGCTTGCCCTAGCCAAATTTCTTGATCAGTTCTCCTTTCCTTCTTCTCTGTCCCTTTAGTTGGCATACTAGGTTTCGATGCGCGATCCAAAGCAATCAACTCCAGCCTCCACAGCACCCAACAATCAATACCTCAAGACATGCGCCGAAGACCCACAGTCTTGGATGCGCTTTGATCGATCCCGTGATAGGGAAATTGTTTTGATAGGTATGCGCGTAGCCATCGCTATCAGTATCGGAGAGGTACGTCATTACTGGGAGATGTAAAAATTTGATTGTTGGTGTGCTCGTTGTCTAGTTTGCAGCTTGAGGGGGTACAAAGAGAATGGAGTGGTGTTACTTGAGGTTGATATGTAAGACAAACGGTCGGCTAGCGGTTGGTGGCATAACGAGAGGCATAGTGCGAGACACAACTGTTCTCGTGCGAATGGGACGGAAGCAAGTACAACAGGGGTTACCACTACGCTTATGTAGTCAGACAAACTGTAAGCACTCAAATTCAAACCAATTCTCTCGTTGTGGATGAAATCCAAGTAATCCAAAGCCAGTATTAGAATCAAACTCACTCCCTGACTCCCTGATTCGTGCTGAGACTGATTTTTGGGCAGTGATGGGTTAATGTTGCAACTTGCACACCGCTTCGGTCCACCGTCGAGCGCATGAGTCAGGGGTTAATCCGAGGGAGTAAGCTACTTCAAGCCCCCCAAGACATGTTGGCTACAAATATATGATACTGCAAGAAACCTTGGGAAGATATGAATGGCTGCAAGTCTTACTGTGCACCGGCCTGGAACATTACAGCTGAAAAGCAGGAGTTCAGGAACCCTCTCTAGTGTAATGACACACCATCTCGTGCGTTTTCGGACAAGTGATATATCTAGAAAGAGAGAGGATGCAGTTAGGAATAAAGTTAGCAAAGGGTCTTACCATTGCGGACAAGCAATGCTTAGAAGGAATTTTGACAATGAACAACTGTCCGAAGCGCGACTCTCATGACAACGAAAGAGCGAATATAAGCTAATACTTATGATAGTAGAAGAATAATAGTACAGCCTATCGTAGCTCAACCTACTATACATTTCAATGGTTCTTTACTGATAGTGTATCGACGGTTTTTACGGTGTCGCGAAAGCGGCAACTACAAATGGCCGATTTGGGAACATCCGAGACCCGAGATATCTCATGTAAGGCACACCATCACTCCTTTAGAAGGACTAAAAGTGTCACTTGCGGAGAATTACGATGAGATCTCAGGCGGGGGAGGATAAGTGAGGTATTACCTCGAGTAAGATGCCACCAGCCAATCCATCGATGCGCGAAATTGGGCGCTCCTCTTTTATTCCCATCTCTGAGAGATAGCTTGCTTTCGTCTCTTATGTTCGGTGCGCGCAGGGGTACTCTGGCGTATCGGCGAAATGCCCGGTGTTGCTCTAAGGTATCTACTTCGGCACCCATTTGGTGCCATTCTGGACACGTCGCTCCAACGCAACCTTTCGATGGCTGGTGGTAGGTAGGGCTGTATTGAGTCCCATGCTAGGCTTCAAGAAATGCACCTGGTCTAGGGACGTCTTGATGCTTTCTCATTCCATCGCAAAAGGTCGCTTGCATTGGAACAGTCTTCATGCATTTCGGGGATTATTCTATCTAAATTATTGGCGTTGATCGCAACACCGGATCTACTGAACGAGTGTAATCAGACGGATAAGGTTGAACGGGATACTAGACAGATAGGTTACCACCTTATCTTACCTTGTACGCACACAGGATATATAACTAGGGCCATATGTGGGTCCTATATTACAAGGGAATGAAGGGGCAAACGCAGAGATATCAAACGTCAAAATTGAACAGTTGCAGAAGCCACCTGTGGCATCCATGAATGGTTGACAGCAATGTGATGAACGCGGAATGAAGTGGAATGCAGCACGCGAGCCATAATTTATATGTCATCAAACACTGATGACTGCCACGAATCTGTTGGTTGAATTTTATTAGGCCGCTCCTAACATCAGACGCTAAATCGCGGGTCGGCCGATGCATGAACGGTGGCATAAGTGCACGATGACATCTGCTTACCAATGCAACACCATCAAACGACTACATCTAAAATTTCCCGAATAGGTCAGCTCAGGCTGCGAGGTAAGACTTGCCCTGGCGATTACATCAAGAAATGCTTACGAGACCTCGCCGACCACGAGCTTTGTAGAGCTCCAGGTGATGTGAATAGTAAACCTTGCAGTTCGTTCCGCCGCTGGCCGAGGTAATAGGACCCCGTGCGGTGATAACAGTCTTTGAAAGAGTGCATAAAAAGCTGTTCTGACTTTCAATGACCAGAGCATAGCACCAACAATGAAGTGGTTTGCTTCCACTATCGCAGTATTTGCAGCCTTCGGCACAGGTGCCCTCTCAAAACGCGCCTGCTCCAACGCGGAACTCAAAGTCGACGTTTATCACGAGAAGGAAACCTCAGTTCAGTACCAAGGCAAAGACGTCCTTCTATACTCACCAACAGCCTATACTCTCATTCACAGCGACAAACAAGCCGTGCTCGTTGATACACCAACACTGGCTAAAGACGGTGCCGTCTTAGCCAAATGGATTGCCAACACTGCGCCTGGAGTTTCGCTGAAATATATCTATATCACACACGCGCACGCCGATCACTTCAACAGTTTCCCCGCAATCCTGGAAAGATTCCCCGAAGCCAAGGTCTTACGACAGACGGCGTAATTGAGCATATGCCTGCCCAATACGAAGGCCCACTATGGGACTACTTCTGGAAGGGCTTATTTCCAAGCATCGAGAAAACCGATCTGTCCTTGGTCCAAGTCCTCCCCGCCGACGGAAAGTTCACCATCGATGACGGTAAACATGAACTACATGCCATCGTCGTTGGCGAAGGCGACACTGTGGACTCAACCGTTTTGCACGTTCCCTCTTTAGACCTCGTAGTCGGAAGTGACGTTGTTTACGGCCACTGCTACCAATACCTTGCCGAAAACCCCACTTCTGAGATGCGAGCGCGATGGCTGCAGAGCTTGGACAAGATCGCGCAGCTAAAGCCTAAAATAGTAATCCCGTCACATATGCAAGCGTTCGAGGATTTTGGAACACAACATCTGGCTGAGACAAAACAATATATCCATACTTGGGATTTGTTTTTGCACAAGGCAAAGAGCTGGGAAGAGTTGGAGGGTATGGCGAAGAAGAGATTTCCAGAGAGAATTGGAACATTCATCTTGAGGTACACGGCTCAGAGCTTCTTTAATGCGACGTTCTGAATATCGCGTACGAGAGGCGACACAATAGGCAACAACTAGAGCTCGATACTCCCAGCATACCGCAGTGTCGATACGTCTTAACGAAAATTCTTGACAGGAAGGAAGGTTTGGGCGGCAAGTTACGGAGATTGATGATGGAATCCTTTCTGTGGCGGAACAGTCACGTGTGATTAGGTATAAGCCAGTCGCATTGATTTGCTCTATTGATTCCTCGTACTCGTGAGTCAATTTCAGCAGTGGTATTTCTCGGCCCTAGCATCCAGATGCACGGTCTTACTCTTATCCAAGTTTGCTGTTGACAGCAAGCTGATGCCTGGGCTAGCATAGATAGAACTGTGTTGTTATTTCAGCCATCTATTGCGAATTGTCGATTCAATAGTAGATTTGCCAACAGGGGCTTTTGCCAGTCTGATATTGCACTTTTATGATCGTCAGATATTGGTGTCAGCAGACTTACGATTGGTATAATATCATCTTCGCCGTCACAAAGCAGATAAAAAGTACATACACCTATTTTTTTTTTTTATTAATTCAATATTGGTGGCCAAACTGCTTACCATCTCCACCCTTTGGCTGCTGCACTCGCACTCCCGGAGGTCACCATCAAGAAACTCCCAGTCGGGTTTGCCTCTTACCCCAGCTACAACGCGGATACCGGCGAGACAGATGGTTGACAGCGATAGCACAGCCATCGAAGATTTCCACGACACTTCTGAATATTCTGTTGATACCGGTGCACAGGGGAGGCCCTACATGTGTTGAGGATATAAGGAAACGCGTAAATCTTCTCAGGCATGGCGACTAACCTATGGTAATAGCTCACTATCCCCACCTGGAACGACATGGCCAAGACCGGTCTCAAATGCCTCAGCGGCGTTCTCTGCGCCTGGTTCGACAAAGAACTGACAGCTGCGGGCGCACCCACAAAAATTCAGTGGGCAGATTTTGCGCTCTCCCCTTGCGCCAACAATGGCGTCATATTGTACAAGATCGAGAGCGAGGAGTAAGGGTGTATGAGCATTATATTGACAGCTGGGACTGTTCCTAGGAGGATACGATAATAGCACGCATGGGCATCCAAGTACGTTGCGCCGCATGCGACGGACCTGGACGGCGACTATCAGATGAGACTGACTCGAAACAACCGAAGCAGTGGGTTTGAATGAGACGAGGGGGTTCGTGAAGGTTGACGGTGCTTATTCTAATCCTTCCGAAGTCTCGCTGGCGAGAGAAATGGATTCTTTTACAGACTGTATTTGCCGGAAGGACCTTGGAGGCCAAGAAGTGAAGGAAAGGCTAAGGCATGCTGCCAAAGTTGATTGTTGGTAGTGATCGAAAAGGTCGTTTAGTCTTGAGCTAAATAGCTATAATCGCTCTATATTGTCACCTCTTGGTACTCTAAATCTCTTCTTTTACATGTTTGCAAACATGACTTCTGCAGCCGGTCCGCATTCTCCCCATTGTGGTTGGCAGCCGTAAGCCGGTCTACAGTAATCGTCTTGGTTCCCACACCATCCATAACTCGAACAGCAACGTCCGTATGTTGACCCCACACACCCTACACCATTTCCGCACTGGCCGTCCGTGCTCACTGGTATCGTGGGGGTCGGGCGCACGGAGCTGGATGTGGAGCTTGTACTGGGGCTTGGAGTTGGCGTTGGCGTTGGCGTTGGTGTAGGCGTTGGCGTTGAAATGGGCGTTGATGATGTTGACGGAGATGGTGTTGGGACTGGTGAGGAGGAAGATGAAGATGAGATTGGCGGCGCGTTACCGCAAGTTCCGAAGCCGGAGCGGCACCCTGTACCGCAGTAATCCACGCTACTACCGCACCAATACCACTCTGAACAGCAATTGCCAAAAGAAGAACCGGCACAGGTTGTGGAGTTTCCACAAAGGCCGTTCGTGGAGACAATTAGGGTGCCTGATGGGAGCGGTGGAGAGACCGTAGAGCTGGACAAGATGGTCGAGGAGGACGATAGTTGCGAGGAGGTAGAAGATGTGGATGGAGAAGGTGTAGGGGTTGGCGTCGGCGTTGGAGTCGGTGTGGGTGTGGGTGTTTCGATTGGTGCGTCGCCACATCTTCCGTACTGCGGCTGGCAGCCCACCAAAGCGCTGCAGTAATCGAACCCAGTTCCACAATACCCATATGTCGAGCAGCATTGATTGTTCGTGCATCTTTGGTTGCCTCCATCAGGTCCGCAACGCCCCTCCAGCTGACGCGAGAACAGATATCGGGCAACTGGATTAGGCGTTGTTACATTGTCCCTTTCCAACTGTCCTATCGCCGGTTGTGTCAATTCCAATGGAAGGGGTGGCGCATGAATATTGATCACCGTGGATGTAACAGCGCCCAAAGAGCCCAAGGCTCCAGTCAACAGGAAAACCGAGAATCGCATCGTTTTCAACAAAGAGACCAGTTTGTAGGTTTCAGAGGACAGAGAAGGAACAGATCACTCTTAAATGGTAAACTACGTAGCTTAGAGGTCCCTTAATCTGTCAATGAATAGCCACAGAGTCCAGGAATAGTGCGGCGGGACGAGAAGAGAACGTGTTTCCACATCTTGACCGCGCGTGGACACGCACGCGATGCTTTGCGAGAACATCAAAATATTCTCCGGGTCCATAGAATCATAATCCCAAGCTTGTACCGAGACATTCCATGCATGCCCGCGACCACACAAGGAAGGGCCGCATTCCCAGGTTATTGATCAATATCGAAGATGCTGTGGAAGAACTGGCCATGTGGGGCATGTTGCGTTGGTGTTCAGTGCGACGATGGCCTTGTCGAGCCCTCAAAAATGCGGATAATCATGAAGAGACCGCAATCAAGTTGCGGAACTACAACGTTATAGGAGTCTTCCAGCGAGAAGTGGTGTGTGAATGCGCGGTACCATCTTGCAGAGCTCAGCTGCAGCATGGCAGCTCCCCACCATCCCGACTACCAGGTGGGGCAGGTCAAAGCTTGTCGAGCAACCACAAAAAGTGTTGGCATTGCATATATTTCCATTTGCGTCGGAAAGAAACGAAGCAGCGCCTAAATGCGTTGCCGAGAGAACCGAGATCGAAAATTGCCGGTAGTGAGACGAAGCTCGGCGCAGGGCGACAGGGCGACAGGGTGACAGGGAGTTAAATTGAGACAGTCCAACTCATACGATGAAGCGGAACGCTGTGCATAGATTTTGAATAGGACTTTTAGACCAGAAGCATTGCGTTCGATCAACTGAGCAGTTTCTTGGTCTCCGTATCTGGATCGCGTGCGAGGATTTTCAACTCGTATGTGTCATCGATGGTGTTGCAAGCTCTATTGCATTGTTGTAGCACCAATGGGTGTACAGATTCGCGAACCTTTCGCCCACGATATGGAGAGGTTTGTAGGTGGCATTCTTAGTGGAGACAACGATGGGAAACCACCGTTTGAGCCCCAATATTCGATCTTGAGAACCTCGAAGTTGTTCTCATCTCCTATGTCTGGGCTCGACACCATCAGCAAGATTCTATCATTAGTTTCAGCATCTTGCAGCTAAGAAACATCCGTCTTGAAGATTGAGTCGGCTAGAAACACTCTGCTCAGTACTGACATTTATCGTCATGCTTGCGGCAGGATAATTGTTTTATTCCTTCTCAAGACTTCACTAAGTGTTGAAATTAAGCTCAGAGATTTGTTTAATTTCACAGCAGCTAAGTATGAGAGCAGCACCTGTTTTCGGGGGTATAAATGATCAACTTGTGAAATGTCCTTTGATCAGATACGAACAGTGCTTTGAGACACGATAGTTATGGGATTGATCAAGCTATAGAAACTCGCTTTCGGCGTCTGAGCAACAATCGAACTTCTTACCACACGACTGATGATCTGATAGAATGTTAGTGAGCTTCGCCTCTAGGTGGCCTTCACATCAATTTTTGTAGCAGTCTGCTTAAGATCCTCATCAACCTTTGGTTTGTCGATGTTCTCTTCAGTATCCTGCTTCTGCACCCCAAATTTCTTGCTGAACACTGTTGCGGCGTCAGTGACATGGTTTTACATACTCGGATGTTTCGAACACCAAAAGCTGGAAGTGCCAATCTCGCAAATCTAGCGAAGATGGGGAACTAGGCACTTACATTCATTCATCTCTTCCAAAGACTTGCCCTTAGTCTCAGAGATGCAGAACCAAACGAAGACAATAAGAGCATAGTTGAAGACGGCAAACATGACGAAGGTTTTCCAACCCAGGTTTGTTACCGCATGGGGAGTAGCCTGGGAGAAGGCGAAGTTGAACAACCACTGGGTAGCTGTGCCAATTGCGATGCCTGCTTCCCGGGTGCGACCCGTGAGAATCTCTCCCATGTATACCCAAGGGACTGGACCCCAGGAGATGTTGTAGCTCATTGCTTCCAGATAGATCATGGTCAAGGATGCAATCGATGGCGAGGTGAGGCCCGCTGTCGGATTGGGCGGGAAGGTAACCGTAAGAACAGCTACGATGAGCATGTACGTGCCCATAAAACCAGCACCAAGCAGAAGCGACCCGCGGCGTCCTATCCTTTCGACGAGGAAAAGCAAGAAAAACAAGCAAGCAATGACCTTGACAAAACCAAAGAATCCCGTGAGCAGCAACTTGTTTTGGCCGGCGCCAACGAGACTGAAGATTTGCGGGGCATCTATACGATACTGTCAGAGCTTCAGGATCGCAGAATAGGGTATTGCTGACTTACAGTACGCCAAAGAGGTATTTCCAGTGAGTTGGACACCAATCTGCAATGCAATGATAAGGAAGATGCGGTATCGATTGACGGGCTGTAGCAGTTCTTTCCAAGTCACACCCTCTATGACTCGATTTTCCTCTTCAATGCTGCTCATGATTTCCGCGAACCTATGAGCCAGGTTAATACGCAAACCTCCTGCTTCACGGACACTAGCCTACTTACTCTTCCTGTACCTCGTGCGTGTCTCCGCCGCGCACCCAAACAAGTGATTGCATAGCCTCCTCGTGACGACCCTTCTTAGCAAGCCATCTCGTGCTTTCCTTGGTCAAAAGCATGCCGAGGCCGAGGATCGATCCAGGCACCAGCTGCAAGCCGACTGGCAACTGCCACTGAACGCTACTGTCGTCTGAAATATGCTTTGCAACTGCATAATCAACCCAATAAGATGTCATGACCCCCATGGTGAAGAAGAACTGGAACATGCTTCCCAGCATGCCACGGATATTCTTTGGGGCCATTTCAGCTGAGTACATGGGGACGATCACAGTAGCCATTCCCACACCGACACCAGACACAGTCCGAGCGACATAGAAAGCGGCGAGTGAGTGTGTGTTGATCGTCTGTACGACAGCGCCGATGTTGAAGATGCAGGATGCGAGGATGAGGGACCAACGTCGACCAAATTTTGCGGTAAATGGCCAGATAAAGAAGCAGGAAAAGAAGGCTACACATCAGAATGAGCATGGAATGACGGGTTTCTTTGACACGTGGAAGCTTACCGCCGGCTTGCAGTAGACTCGTAGAATTTGACCCGACTGAGGCGCGTTGCTTGTTCGTGTACCGAAAGTCTCTTTGGAAACTGGGGAAGGTCAAGATGCCGCCAACGATGCCGGTATCGTAGGCAAACAGAAAGGAACCAACGCAGCATAAAGCTACCAGGTAGACAGCTCGGAAGAGCCCCAACCCTTTGGACATTTTGGCTGAAGTTGTGGATTGTAGCGATGAGATAGCCGGTAGATACCGGACTTTGAGATGGCTAGTACGCCGTGATACCCTCTAGTAGTACGAGGTATAGAAGTGCAGCTGCAAGGGGTGGTTCTGTGGTACGTCAAGAGGCCCTGGTGGTTATTTGTCCTCGTGGAGCAACTAAGACTTTAGAGAACCCGCGCAGGGGCTGCCATGGGAAGCATGTGGCTGATGGGGACAGCATGCGGAGACTCGCTCGGTTGTTGTGACCAGGCGTCTTGCGAGTCGGAGAAAAGCTCCCGGATGCTATGCGCCACCAAGCTACACTTGCTTTTGCGTGAATCCACAGGCCCAGAACAGTAGCGTACATATGTGGCTTGGGGAACGAGCTCTCTGGGGTCTGGTCGCGCGGGGCTCGGACTACTAACCTGAAAGGCAAGACCCGGCTGTCGGACTGCTAACTCGAAGTAGTAAAACCGGCCGACTTCCGAACGGAACAGTCTACCGGCATTTTGGCATGGCTCAGAATCCAATTACCGGATGCAAGATACAGAGGGATGACAAGCATCGTCCGACGCCGGCCAGTGCACTTCACGTGAGAACCTCCGGTCGGCGATTGTGATAGATTGTCGGGACACATTCTTGCAGTTTTTCACTTCACTTCCAGTTCAGTTTGTGCATCACGACACAGAGGAACTCCGTGAAGCGATCCTTCCTTTCACAAAGATAACTGCGCCGAGACCAGTCTTGCGACTATCATCCACGATGGATTCACGACCCAATATTTTATTTATCATGGCCGATGACCACGCTTCAAAAGCTATCAGTGCTTATGGTGCTGGCATCAACAATACGCCCAACCTGGACAGACTGGCCAAAGACGGAATGCTCTTTAATCACTGCTACGTCACCAACTCTATTTGCACGCCATCGAGAGCAGCTATCCTGACAGGAACTCACAACCATGTTAACGGAGTAATGACTCTCGATAACAAGATCAACAAGCACATGCCTAACGTAGCTAAACACCTCCGCGCTGGCGGATACCGAACAGCCATGATTGGGAAATGGCACCTTGGCGAGGGTGAACAACACGAGCCCACGGGGTTCGATTATTGGAGTGTTCTCCCAGGCCAGGGCGAGTACTGGGACCCTGAGTTCATTGAGATGCCAGTCTCTGGGAAAGGCGCTGGCGTTGAGCGAGAAGAGACTGGCTATGTCACCGACATCATCACCAAAAAATCCCTAGCTTGGATAACGGCAACGAAAGACTCCAAAAAACCGTTCTTCCTCATGTGCCATCACAAGGCCCCACATCGCTCTTGGGAATGCGATACGAAGCACCAGCATCTTTATTCCGATAAACCTATCAAGGTCCCTGAAACCTATGATGATGACTACAAGAATCGTGCCAAAGCTACTCGAGTCGCTAAGATGCGGGTCGCAGAGGATCTGACCTACCAGGACCTAGGGCTTGTGCAGCCTGAAGGCGGGCACTCTGTGGGTGAGCGCGTAAGACAGGAGTCTGGTTCAGCTCAGCGCAAAGTACCCACGGATTCAAGCATCAAACTCATCGACAAAGACGATGGCACTGTTTTCATTTTCCAGTCGCGTGCCGAGTTATCGGCCTTCAAATTCCAAAGGTATATGCAGCGATACCTCCGCGTTATTCAGTCCATCGATGACAACGTGGGCCGGATGCTAGACTACCTTGACGAGAATGGTTTGTCAGAGAACACATTGGTGATCTATACCTCTGATCAAGGCTTCTTCCTCGGCGAGCACGGATGGTTTGACAAACGCTTCATGTACGAGGAGTCTTTCCAGATGCCATTCCTCGCGCGATACCCCAAGGAGATCAGACCAACATCTACTTGTAACGATATTATTTGCAATGTGGATTTTGCACCAACTTTTCTGGATCTAGCAAGCATCAAGATCCCGAACTACATGCAAGGAGACTCTATCATGCCGCTCTTGCGGGGGAAGACCCCAGAAACCTGGCAGCAAGTTGCCTACCACCGTTACTGGATGCACAACGATATAATCCACCAGGCATACGCGCACTACGGTGTGCGTGATCACCGTTACAAGCTCATTTATTGGTACAACGAAGATCTTGGTGTGGCTGGAGCTCGACCAGGCAAAGCCGAAGATCCGAACCAAGAAGAGGAAAAAGAGTGGGAATTATTCGACTGCGAAAAGGACCCGTTGGAACTCTTTAACGTGTATGACGATCCATCATACGCGGCTGTTGTAGCAAACATGACCGCTTTGCTGGAGGCGAAGATGGAACATATTGGAGACGATCCCATCCATCTACGCTTGACTGGTCCGGGCAAGGGCGTGCCGGAATCTGTGAAATACGCAGAGCAGAATGGACTACGGCCCGAGAGCGCCCAGAAAGTGAAGCACCGCTTATAGTATGATTGATCGCACGTGGCTTGAAGATCACAAACTGTACTACAGTGTTAGATCCCGCAACCTGCCATTTGGCGTTCAGTATAGATAGAAACCGCATGCTCTGATTTTGTTATACCGACTATATCTAGGACCAAATGTCGCTCAATAATGATTTTTAGGTGTTAACGCGAAGATGCGTCGCGCAAGATGACAGACGAAATGTGCCGCTCGATGAATTATGCTAGTTACAAGTGAAGGATGAAGCTCGGTAAACCTCCGTGAAGGTGGATTATGTAATGAACTAAACAGTACGGTAACAAATCGTCTAGTTTGATCTGGGCAACCTTGGCGCTACGAACAGAACCCAAAGACGGGGTTTTGCGGAGCGAGCTTGACCCCGCAAACTCTGATTGCCACGTGCAACCAAGGTCGTGTCGCCCCAGGGGCCAGCGAGGATCTCACACATGCATCATAGCAGATCGCCTTCTGTATCGCCACTATTTGCTCTGGCTCAACTTTCTTTACACATCTCACCTGCATGGAGCGTACCAGTTGTTTTGGAGTGCTTGGTCCCCTCGTAGGTCCTCAGACGTGTATGCAATGCAGACAACGCAAGGTGGGTATAGGTGCATTTCGATTGCATGGCTGTTTCTGAACATCTTCATCGTCAGGTCCGCTGCGACAAGCGCCAAGGAGCATGTGGGAATTGTGAACGTCTCAGTCTTCCTTGCCATTCCTCAGACGACAACTTTCCGAGCAATGGCGGCATGTTCCAAAGGCGACTTCGTGGCTCACGAGCTTGTACCCCCTGCAAGTCCAGAAAAATCAGATGCTCTGGCACAACTCCAAGCTGTGTAGCATGTAAAGAACGAGGGAGAGCATGCGCTTATCCTTCTCCTAAACGTTATTTTCGTCATAACCATACCATGGGCACCCATCAGTTTATCCTGGAAGTGCCAGAAGCTGCAGCCTCACTCGACGTCCACGATGCAGTTGATCTACATATTGAAGGTTCAGGAAATCCGTTGTCACCAGGAGACGTATGTGCCCAGCTATCAACTGGTGACGACTACACCTCGAGCCCTGTATTCGCACCCACGGAATCGCCCGAATCAGTGAGTTACCAAGGAGACGCACGTTCTGGAAAGGAACTCATAATGCCAACGCGAGATGAACTCGACGAGTTCCTATCATTTTTCTTCGAGGTCCTTTACCCGATGCCATCGTACGCTTTCCTCCATCCTCGAACTACCAAAAGAAGATGTTTTAGCAGGAATAAATCATGTTCTCTGTCTCTAGCACTCTGTGCTGTGGCTTCAGTACATATGAAAGTCCCATCTGGAGGTGCCATCATGTCAATGCCACAAGCAGGAATCCAAGAGCGAGCAACAGCGTGGGTGCACGCTGCAGAACAAAGTATCTGGCTACAGCTTGAACATCCAAGCATATCGCGACTGCAGACTTTACTTCTTATCATACATTACCACATGGAGACTGCCCACCTCCAACGAGCTTTTATGCTGATTGCCACAGCAGCTCGGTATGCCGCTGCTCTGAGATTGAACCATGAACGCCAGCATTGCGATCACATTGCACAAGAGACCGGTCGGCGGATCCTGTGGTCCCTGAAAATTGTTGAGCGCTACTTCTCTGTCGGTCTAGCTGAATTCGATATGGTTCCATTAGAAGTCGTCTACATCGATTTTCCGCAAAAGGAAGAAGAGTTTCTGAACTCAGATTTAGATCAACAAAACTTACAAGGCAAGCAAGAAAATGGCGCATACAGACTTTTTATACAGCTAGAGGTTGTGCGTCGGGACATCATGAGACTGACGCGGAACATTACACTGCTGGAAGAGCCATTGGCGAATCTTACCGAACTCGTCGACCACCATCGCCGCATAATAGCTGGCATAGAGACACCAGCCCCTACATTACTGAGCCGTGACTCGACGGATCTGGAAGATCCATTCGAAGACCATTGGTTGCCACGTCGCATACTCGCACACATATCGTGGCATCAGGCCCATTGCGACTTGTATAGGATATTGCTACCTGGCTATTCAGACGCAGCGCCAAGCACAGTGCTTCGAGGCTACGATGCTACAGAATTGGCCCGTGCCGAAGACCTTTGCTCGCATCATGCGATGCGCATCATCGACATAATTACGACGCTAAACCAACACAGCGATCGGTGGCACCTGCTGGAATTCGACACTGCCATTTGCGCGTACCATGCCACCAGACTGGTCCTCTACATTTCTCGCCTTGGTAATACGAGAAATCGTTTCTCACCAGAGTTCGCATTAAGTCGCGCTCAATTATGTCTTGCTGCTCTGAAAAGATTCTTCTTTGCATCAGCCCTCGTTGCACCCATAATACGAGAGCTCGAACAGTCTATCCAAGTCTTCTCTACACAGCAACAAGCAATCCAACAAGGTAGAACCAGTTCTTTCGCTATGCCACCACAAAACGATAATGGTCCAATGGCCCGGAAAATTGCAGTCCCAAGCAATGGGTGGCATGACCGTACGCAAGACGGTGGAAACAGCGTGTCAGATCAGTGCACCGACGAAAGTCAAGGTAGGCATCTTTCCTCAGCAGCACAGATCCGCCAACGCCTTGCAATCCACAGTCTTTTGAGGAGAGCGGATTTTGCGGACGGCGACGAGGAGGAGGAAGAAGCGCAGACTGACCAGTGCGAACTTATACATGCACCCCGCCCTCCTCAGGATGGCATCACTCCCTCTCTGGCGGCTGACCACGAGCGATTGAACTCTATCACGAGTCCACAAACGGACATATGTCAAGGAGAGGCTCTACAACCCGGTCAAACCGATACTGAACGAGGCTTCAATGGACGCAGCCCAGCCTCCGCTATGATAAGCACGATGGGAACAATCCAAGACAAACTTTCATCGAAACAGTATGCTCCCAATAATCCTGCAGCCAGTAATCTGCCGATATCGAGTAACTTAAGCGAGCAAAGAAAGCCAGCAGATCTTACTGCGTCTACAGTCGCATCTCCAATTACTTTAGATGCCACTACTCAAGCTACAGCTTTGGACCAGGATATGATAGGCACCACGATGCGCAATAAGCCATTCGACGCGACGGACGCCGGGGATATAGAATTGTCTATATTTTCTTGGTGGGGCGCACAAGACTGGAGATGGCTCTGACAAGAGTGGAAAGCCGATGTCCTGATCGCTCAACTGGTGGAATACAGTTTCCGGTTTTAACCGATCTTGCTGTTCTGATGCAAGGTCTCGTTTGATTTTGTATTGTCAGGCCAAGCTGTGGATCTCACGTACCCAATAAACATCAACTTCTGGAAGAGCAGGAGAGATTGACAGTGAGCAAAGTGATGATTTTGCTGCGCCTTTGGCACACCTAATGAAATTATATGACGACATTTACAGGAGTGAGATCCGATGATCTGGAGGAGCTACCGACCCAGAAGGTATAATTTCCTTCTTCAACAGTCCACTCTCCATTCACGTAGAATCCAAGCTCAGTCAAAGCGATCCTATCGAACTCCACTATTTCCATGCTTCCCACAGCAACGCTGACCTTGGAAAACCGAATGAGCTTCATTACAGGTCGCTCAATGATTGAGTATTGAGGGCGAAAGTAGACTTGGACAACTTCTTTGCCCCCCATCTTGCCTCGATTAGTGACCTTCGCAGACACATCAATAGTACGATTCGATCCGGTACCGGATGTAGAGACTGAGACTTCAGAAATCGTAAAGTTTGTGTAGCTGAGACCATAGCCAAACGGCATAGCCGGCTTTCGAGTCAGTTGCGGCCAATGCCAGTCGTACTTGGTATATGTTGAAAAGCCGCCAACGTCGTCTGAGGGAAGATAGTCGTATGCGACAGGGAAAGCACCATTGTGGTCAGGGATAGATACGGTGAGCTTGCCACTCGGATTGACCTGGCCAAGAAGAATCTCGACAAGAGAGTCGCCGGAGTACTCACCAGCCAACCAGGAATGCAAAATTGCCTTGCAGCGTGAAGTTGACTGATTGATCACAAAGGTCTGTCCAGCGCTCATGACTAGGATAGTCGGTACACCGGTATTAAGGATTGCGTCAAGCAACTGTTGTTGGGCCCCAGGGAATCCCAGGTCTGCATGGGAATAGCCCTCAGTATCAGTCCGTTCGTTGTTGAAGAACTCGGGCATGAAGTTGCCATATCCAGATCCAAGGACTACAACTGCGAGACCGGCTTGTTTAGCTTTATCCACTGCAAACGAAATAGCAGCTTGATCCTTCGCTTGTGCATCGTGGTCATAATTGGGCAGCACCGTACTGGTTCCCTGCGCATAGAGGACATTTTCTTTGCCTAGAGCATTCTCGAAACTTCGAAGGAAGGAGTTTCCGTAACGCGGGTCGGCTGGATCAACGGGAGCATAGTTGCCAGCATTGATGAGATCTGCGTACGGTCCTATGACCGCAACCTTTCCCGAGCCGCTTAGAAGGCCCTTAGTGAGAGGGAGGAATGCATCATCGTTCTTGAGCAGAACAATCGATTCGCGAGTGATGTTTCGGTTCAGCAATAGGTGACGCGGATTACGGAGAGTAGCGGCCATGTTCTCGATTGTCGGTAAAGGTTGGTCGAACATCCCAGTGGCAAACTTGATCTGAAGCATAGCACGAACCGCCTCGTCCACCAAAGATGCGATCTCTTTGTTAGAATGCAGCGATCTCAGCTCAACGAAGAGTCCAAGGCCATCGGGCTTGAGCTCATGCTCGAGTCCTGCCTGGAGGGACTTAACGGCTGCATCGCTTCGAGTTCGGGCCACTTTCGACTCGGTTAAGAGGTACTGTATCGCATTCGCGTCCGACATTATAAGACCTTTGAAACCCAGGATGCCGCGTAGAACATCTTGGAGAAGATACTTGTTGATAGAAGCTGGAACTCCATCGATGGACGAATACGAAGCCATGAGCGAGAGTGGTTGCCCTTCTCTTATGGCTTTGCGATACGGTGGAGCAAGGTCATTGAGGATATGATTGATTCCCCCAAACATGCTGGCGCGGTTAACGCCTCCACTGCCAGATCCAAAGACAAAGTGTTTGATGGTCGTGGCGACCTTCACAAATCCGTTATCGTCCTTTTCCTGCATTGTCTTGATGTAGCGGGTGCCAAACTCACCCACAAGGTAGGTGTCTTCACCATACATCTCACCATTCCGCCCATTACGAGGATCATGAATTATGTCCACTTCGGGCGAGAGTACCCAGTTGATTCCCATAGCCAGGTTTTCGTCTCTCGACGCTGCAATAACCTGTTCATAAAGTGGCAAATTCCATGACGAAGCCATGGAGATAGTGCCAGGAAATACCGTACCACCGGAAAACCACAAGCCATTAACGGAATCAGCCACAGTGATGTATGGAATGTGGAGGCGAGATCCATTGATTTGTTCGGCGCGAAGTTCGTTCATCCGTGGCAGTAGGTCCATTGCCCAATTTGCTTGTTGTCCGTAACCTTGAATCATGTCAGATAGGGTCTTGTAACACTCAAGACTGATGGCTTACCTATTTGTCCATTCTGTGTGGATCGTATCTGCTCGAAAGACGTTCTATTGAATGCAACACTTCCATTGATGCTTCTGAAAGCGGCCCGGATGCCGCCCATCTGTCCAATCTTCTCTTCCCAGGTTAGGCGTTTGAGAAGGTCATTGGCGCGCTCGGCCGGCGTCAATGAGGCGGTCTTGTACGGCTCCGTCTTCCTGCATACTTGACTTCCACCACAGTCGCTCGGGGTGCTAGATGCTTGCGCGAGATTGCTGTGGATCAGAAGTAGCGCAACAGCGAACAGCTGTGGCAGCGCGCCCATCTTTAGGCCCGAATAAGGTGGTCGTTGAAACTGTTTGATGGAGTATATGGCCAGCAATGTGCGTCGTGACTATGGGAATGGAAGGCATGGCTTGATGACACTTTATGGCTGCCATAGAACTTCTAAGTGGCCGACTGAATCGTACTTCCCAGAACAGTGCCATAGTCGCCCTCCGACATAGGCTGCGCTATGACCGAAAGCTCATTGGCAAAAGTTTGGTGGAATTTACCCCTCCCACGAACCCCATATCGGCGATTAGTTCCGACCCTGCATTAGTGTCGGGAGTCGGTCGGTACATCCGAGATAGGCTAGGCTGTTAGCCCCAGATTTATCTGCCGGGCGGAGAATCCCGGCGTAGGATAAACACGTGACCATCGTTGATCAAAGGGAAAGGGAAATTCGGCCATATGATCGCCTTGCACGTATGAATATCGCAGCAAGCGCGGTGAAAACATGACGGCGCGTCAAATCATATGCGGCTCGCACAATGAGGGAGGTCAATATGGTTACAATAAGAGTCTTTTGAGTGTGCTATTCGACGTGTGCTTTGCTGTTACTATATTCCTAGGCGACTCTTCTTTATATCCTAAGATATACTCTCGTCTTCAGCAGAACCGTTTCTGGTTGCGTTTCGTGCCAGTCTGCGCTGTAGCTAGTGGACGTAAGATATTCTAGGAGCGAGATTTGGTGGTCAACGTAACCAAGTACGATTACACAATTGAACATTCGTTCGAGATACCACTGAAAGGCAATGGGTGGTCTTTCGAGCAACACAATATGGTCTTTTTCATGCCCGACCAACTGCGATACTATGCATGCAATAGATTCCTGAGATTTCGTTCCTTCTCTGCTTTCTTTTCTGTAATCCACGGTAATGACATGGAATCTTCGCGTACCACCTCATCGGCGCTATAATGTTATCCTCCGTTCTGAACTTCATCCTGGCACTGGCCGCTGGCATTCAACACGCCAACAGGTCAGGCGAGACGAAGCCCAAGATCATTTTCATATTGTCCGATAACGAAGACAGACGACTGGAGTCCGAGGGGTCCGACTGTCAAACTGTTCTGCAGCGGGAAATCGTCGCCAAGGTCGTCGAGTCTACCAAACATTATGGCACTACCGTACAGTGCTGTCCCGCCCGCACAAGCATCCTCCAGGGCCGGTTGTCTCACAACACCAACATTACCCACGTCAAGGGAGCTGGGTGAGTGACTCTCCTCTGTACTCCGCACGTGCAAAACGATGCCAGACGGCCAATGCCTTCGAAGCGACATATGAATATATTCATATATGCCAAGGCTCCCAGGACCCCTAGATGGAATCCTACGGATGAGTTCCAGATTAAAAAGGGCCGCTGCTACGCACCCTGCTTGTGAGCGATTTTGTCAACTAGGCTTACTTCACCTACCAGTCTACGAGACAGGCACTACAAGGCGTGTATAAGCTTTTTGAGATGCCGTTCGCATGCTGGTGGCTAATAGAATTATGGACATCACCTACAGTAGGTGGATCCAAGTTCAAAGATGATGTCAACGCTGGATTGGCGTTTTCACTGTCACTACTTCGCGCCTCCATTTGCATCGATAGACAACTAATATTGTAATTAATCTTTTCTAGTCAACTATACATTAGATAAGGGGTACCACATCGGCCAGAATCGGGCACCTGCCCGCAAGGTACTCCTCTACGTCGAGGACCCAAGTCTTCATTTTGCTGTTCGTGGTCCCAGCATACCCGAGGGCATGAAATCCAGCCTACCAATTACGCATGTCGTCCTCTTCCTAGGTTTCTCAACATTGCTGGCCTAGGACGAGAGAAGCACCCCTCTTTCCTGGATGGCATGAGACTGCTCGACCAGTGTCATCGTCCAAACCAGACTAGTGGCCTAAGTCATGGTAGCGCGAGCTAGTCCTAAAATTGTTAGGTTGATTTTCAGATAGGCGCCCCTAGCACAGGGCAGCGTCAGCAATTCTTACTATCCATGCTCTCGCAGGTAGTGTTCAATCCTAGACGAGTTTAGATGCGCTACATCTGGCCGTGTCAGCAATCTTGTCCGGTGCCCGCCGTAGTTACCCACAAACCATCACCATGCTGGCTAAAATTCTGCTGAGTGCTGTCGCTGCCTTCGTCGCGTACAGCTTCATATCAACAACCTCGACAAAACGTCGCCATGCTATCACAGCAAGGGCGCTTGGCTGTGAGCCTGCTCCAGTCGAGCCCCGGGCAGATCCATTCGCACTCATCAACTTGGTCAAGACTATGTGGGCTCACGGCAATAATCGGATCCTGGAATACTTGAAGGGCACTTTCGAAAAAACATCTACGCATGCAAATAGGACGGTATACACGTACGAGACAGAGTTCTTGGGCGACAAAGTTCTCTTTACTTGCGACCCGAAAAACATTCAAGCCATGTTGGCAACGCAATTCAAGGATTTCGAGTTGGGCCAGATTCGAACAGGGTCGTTCAATCCATTGTGAGTTGCACCGATTCTCGAAACCCCAAAATTTTCCATCCAAGCGACTGATCGTGTCACGTAGACTTGGTCACGGCATCTTTTCGGCTGATGGGAAGCAATGGGAGCGCTCCCGCGCTCTTCTGAGACCCCAATTTTCGCGCGATCAAGTCAGTGACCTGGACCTAGAGGAACGCCATGTTCAGAACATGCTCCAGGCTTTACCTGCCGAAGCTAACGCGTGGTCGAATGTGATTGACCTACAGCCGCTCTTCTTTAGACTTACCATGGACTCCTCAAGCGAATTCCTGTACGGAGAGAGCACTAACACTCAGCTCTCCGCACTATCCGAAGAGGCTTCGGCCAAAAACGCCGAAGACACCGCCTTCGTGGACACTTTTGAAGCGTGCCAAAACCATATATCCATGGCTATGTTGCTCAATGAGTTCTATAAGCTGATGGAAACGAAGAAGTTCTTGGACAAGTGCCGGCTCTGCCACCGATACATAGATCAGTTCGTCAACAAAGCTATGAGCCGCAAAGACAGCCGGAATGGCGTGGAACAAGGCAGGAAAGAAAAGTACGTATTTCTCGACAGCCTGGCGAGTGAGACCGATGACTCAGTGGAAATTCGCAATCAGCTACTTTCCATCCTTGTGGCTGGACGCGATACCACGGCCGCATGTTTGAGCTTCTTGTTCCTTATGCTGGCTCAGCATCCCGAGGTCTTCAGTAAGCTCCGCATGACCATTATAGAAGAATTTGGCACGTTTGATTCCCCCAAAGACATTTCATTTTCGAGGCTGAAGGCCTGCTCGTATCTACAGTGGTGCATAAGCGAGACACTGCGGCTGTATCCCAGCGTACCCTGGAACTCACGACGAAGCGCCAAGGACACTTCTCTTCCTACCGGGGGCGGCAAGGATGGTCTGTCACCGATATTTGTGCCAAAGGGAGTCGAGACGGTGTACATAGTGCAAATAATGCAGACGCACCGTGAAATTTGGGGTCCGGACGCAGAAAATTTTAGGCCTGAGCGATGGCAAAACCAGAAACACGGGTTCGAATATCTACCGTTTAATGGTGGGCCGCGGTAAGCATCTCAACCTGAGACGATCTTTGACGTATACTGACAGTTGAACAGTATATGCCTCGGTCAGCAATTTGCCTTGACCAAAGCTGGATATGTAGTCGTGCGCCTTTTACAACGGTTCGACAAGCTGGATGGCTCGCCTGGGGCATCCGAACCCGTCAAGTGGAGTGTAGCCTTAACAGGCAGACCGAAAAATGGAGTCAAAGTACGACTGCACGCTGCAGCTGGGTAGCAGAGATGTCAGCTCGAGCTATAGGTATAGCATTAAAAGATTTTAGCTTCCCAGATGGCGTGACTTGAGTTTCCCATTTCCGCCTTTCCCATGGCAACATGCCTCCGTTGCTGAATGGGACGTTGATCATGTGATTTATAAGCGATTCAGTAAGGACACTGAAGTTCGTGATGAATTTTCAGCATACTGAAACAATAAAAGCACTATAATCTCATCCCAAACAGCTTCAGTCAAGAAAGACAACTTCGGAAGACAACGAAGCAATGTGAAATAGAGATAACGTGTTTTACAAGCGAGCGGCGCGTAACTTACAAGCGAGCGGCGCACCCCACCAACTTTGCGCACCTATCTCATCTTAACCTACAATGGCTCCACACAACAATGCTCAATTACCTTCAAATGAAGCAGATATTCAGCTTGCTATCTTATCTATCAATACAAAACAGATTCAAGGCAATCGACCTGCTGCTGCAGTCTACAATGTACCCGAAACAACGCTCCGCCGCCGACGCGCTGGGAAGCCTGCCTGACGCAATTGCCAGCCTAACTCAAAGAAGCTCACTAAGCTAGAAGAGGAGGTGATTGTTAGATATATACTTGACCTAGATCAACGTGGATTTGCGCCTACGTACGCGGCTGTACGCGATATGGCTAATAAACTGCTGGCTGCGCGCGGCGCTGGTCAGGTCGGCGTCCACTGGCCGCGCAACTTTGTCAAGCGCACGGATAGTCTCACAACGTGTTTCAATCGAGCCTATGATAGGCAGAGAGCCCTATGTGAGGATCCGATATTAATCAGAAGCTGGTTTGAGCTCGTAGAGCAGATAAAGACCAAGTACGGCATCTGTGATGACAATGTCTACGTGGATGGGTCACAGTGATCGCTGCAATTAACGCTACTGGCTGGTCAGTCCCACCGTTCCTTATTTTCGCTGGCCAGTATCATCTATCTGCCTAGTACGAGGAAGTAGAGATCCTACGCGACTGGGCGATTATAGTCAGCGACAACGGCTGGACGAACAATGAGCTAGGAGTAGAGTGGCTAAAACACGTTAATGCTTATACGAAGACTCGTGTCGTTAGTGCGCGTCACCTGCTCATCCTTAATGGCCATAAGAGCCACCACTCTCTTGAGTTTTAAGAGCTCTATAAGGAGAATAATATCTATACTCTTTATATGCCACCTCACTTATCTCACCTGCTACAGCCACTTGACGTTAGCTACTTCTCGCCGCTAAAGCGCGCGTACAGCCATAAGATTAAGAGTCTAATCCGCTACTACATTAACCACATTATGAAGCTTGAGTTTCTGCCAGCCTTTAAGGCAGCCTTTACGCGATTATTTACGGCAGCTAATATCTGCTTAGCCTTTTAAGGCGCAGGCCTTGTTCCTCACTAGCCAGATATTATTCTATTAAAGCTAGATGTGCAGCTCCATACGCCTACACTAGCTGCTCTACCAGAGGCTCTCTAGGAAGCCAAAACGCTGAGCAACGTACGTGAGCTTAAAGCTTAATTAATATTAATACGTAATCGTGTGCGGCGACATAAGAGCTTATCACCAGCCTTAATTATCCAGGCAATTGACCAGCTTAAGAAGGGAGCTGAAGTGATAATGCTCTCAGCTAAGCTAATACGCGATTGGATCACCAGCCTTAAGAGGGCTAATGAGGCAGCAACAAAGCGTAGGCAGCGTAAAAAGAGGCGGATATAGAAGCGCGGGACCTTAATAAAAGGAGAGGGAGAGGATATACTAGCTCAAAAGGAGGCTGACTAGCAGATAGAGCGTGAACAGCGTCAAGGTGGAGAGTGATCAGGCCTCAGCCACCAGGCTCTTGCGCGCTGCAAGAAGTGTAAAGAGACTAGGCATAACTCCCATACGTGCAAAATAGATAGTTTAGATACTATTTAATCTACTATATTAATATCTATACATTGTTCTACACGGTTGTTAAGATATACATCTGCAGAGGTGCGCAAAGTTGGTGGGGTGCGCCGCTCGCTTGTACGCGCCGCTCGCTTGTAAAACACGTTATATGGATAACGTACCTGGCAAGCGAGCGGCGCAGGCAAGCGAGCGGCGCACCCCACCAACTTTTCACCACTTCATAGGAATCTATCTCAACAATAAGATAAAATAATAGAATATACGCATTATGCTAGATTAAGCTGCATCTCTAGTATCCTTCTTACATGTTCGCGAGTTATGGCCAGTCTCCCTACAGCGCCTACAGCGCGCGGAAGCCTGCCGACTAATACCTAATCACGCCCTACCTTGACGCGTTTCCCCCTCAAGCTGCTGCTCAACCTCATTTTGAGCTATAATTTCCTCTGCCTCTGCCTTTAATAGGGTGCCTTACTTCTAGATATGCTTCTTTTTGCGCTTTCTGCGCATTATAGTAGTCTCATTTACTTTCTTAAGGCTCTTGATCTGATCGCGCATTAATGCTATTTCATATATTGCTATTGTAGAGCCTTTCTTAAGCTAATTAAGTCTCTTAATAATAGATGTAGGTGATGAGCTTCTATACCTCTATATCCTATCACGTATTAATATTAATTAAGCCTCTAGCTTATACGCGTTGCTTAGTGTTCGCGCTTCCTAGAGGGTAGTCTCTAGTGTAGGTAGTGTTAGCGTATAAAGCTTTATATTAAGCTTTACTATCACCCTATTAGGATTATGCGGTACTAGGCCAGCGCCTTAAAAGCTTACGTAGATATTCTCCTTTATAATTAACTAGTTGTAGGCTGCATAGAAGGCTGGTAGGAACTCTAGCTTAGTAATATAGTTAATGTAATCGCGAATTAGGCCCTTAATCTGGCAGCTATATGCGCGCTTTAATGGCGAGAAATAGCCAATATTAAGTGGCTATAGGAGGTGTGACGAATGTGGCGGCATATAGAGAGTATAGATGTTATTCTCCTTATAGAGTGCTTGAAATTTAAGTGAGTTATGGCTCTCATAGCTATTAAGTATAAGTGTTAAATCCAGAAGGGTAGCTAGTCCTAAAGGGTTAGGGTTGGTTCTCGGGCAAGACAACTAAGGGAAGGAAAGGGGTTTTGTCGAGACGATAGTATTAGAGGAGGATATAACGAGTTAACAATATAGCCTAAGTGTAATCCAAACGATAGATTAATAAATAGGTTGAACACGAGTATAAGGGTTCATACCCACGTTCCTATATACCGAGCCTGATCAGTTACTTAGTTGAACTAATTATGGTGATTAAGTCGTGCTTAGTGATTAGTATACGAGTTGCTTAGTATGATTAGTGGGCTTGGCACACTAATCACTCTAATTAAGTTACGTGACTACGGTCACACCTATGTCCTAGTTACTTTGCCTAATTACATGTGTGGTCCGGATGACTATTTATCTCGGATCCTAACATCACCCCCTCTCTTCCTCAGATCTGCCCTTAGATCATGTGACCTAGTCTCGTGCCTAGATATAACCGGAGTAGGCCCCACGTCATAAGTAGCGTCCGCCTAGTCTCGCATTATACCTAAATAACCCACTTCCAGCACCTCCCGTCGTCATCTCTTATCCAACTTTATTAACTCTTTTGGTGAAGCCATGGTGAAGAAATATTTAACCTATATTAAACATAGCCGTGTCTATAAGATCCACGTTCGTTCTAGGAAGTATGGCGAATATATTCGTCGTGGTCAGCGCTGCAATGTACGAGTTTTGGAATCCGAATTTAAGTAACTGCTTACTAAGAAAGAGAAGTTGCGTCTAAAAATAAAAGAATTAAGAGAAACGTAGGAAGCTGCGTTTAAGGCCCATAAAAAGGTATTAGAAGAGTTGCGTGTTGCGCGCGCACGCAAAGATTAATTACGTTAGTAGATAGATTTATTAGATAAGCGTGCTAAAGAAGCAATTACCATAGAGGAGTAGAGTATTAAGGAAGCCAAATCGCAAGAGGTCCCCAGCTTCCTTTTATCCTTAGAAGAGGTTCCCTCGGGTCCTTCCCTATCTCCCGCCACCTAGGGTGCTTTTGAAGGTCTCCCTAATGGGTTTTGGGACGCTTCTAGCCCATTACCATCCTAGGTATGTTATAATCTTCGCTACTAGAGTGGTGATATTCTTAAGAAGAATTCTTATATGCGTTACTAATAATTGGAGAGGTTTCCCTTTAGTTCCTATATATTTTCGCTTAGTGGGTATTCTTTCCATTTAATAAGATATTCTTCTTTGTCTATAAACAGATTATATATTTGTAGGATTCGTTCTACTTCAAATTCTATTTCTTTCTCTGGCTAATGGTAGAAGGCGGTTTTGACTAGTGTATCCTGGTCTGCTGGTTCCAATAGTAACACATGGAATACTGGATGTATATTCGCGTCTAGTGGTAACTTAAGTTTATAGTTTACTGGTGATATTTATTCGGAAATGTAAAATGGTCTAACCTTAACATAATCTAGTTTCTTATGTTTTCTTTTCTAGGTACGAAGATTCTTCGTAAGTAAATATGCTTTATCCCCCTTCTTTAGCTAAGGTGCCGTTTTACATTTTTGGTTTGTGTAGGAAATTGCTTGCTATTAAGCTTTCTCGAGATTCTCTCGGAGTTGTTCGTATATCTATTTTATATTTTCTACTATATCTATGGCTTCTTTTACTTTGACATTCGTAGGAAGTGTTTAATTAAAGAGATATGGATATCGTCCGTGATTTGCGTAGTACGGTGTATGTTTTATTATTATTAATATCTTATTATTATACGCGAGCTGTGCCATAGGTAGTAGTGAAACCTAGTTATTTTTCTAATTATTATAGTATATTCGGAGATATATTTCTATAGTCTAGTTTATTCTTTCTGTTTTTTCCGTCCGTCTGTGGATGATAGGCTATTAATAATTTTCGTTTTGTTCTAATGAGTGCTGTGAACGTGGTCCAAAAGTTTAATATAAAGAGTTTGTCTCTATCACTTATAATTATTTTTGGTATACCATGGTGTCACATCCATCTATCCATAAAGAGATACGCGAGTTCTTTCGCTGTAATCTTCTTAAGGCATGGAACAAGTTCGATATAGCTAGTAAGTCGATATATAATAACGAGTATACTATTATATGAGACTTCTATAGCTGGATTAATTGACTTTAGTATTTCTATGACAAAGTCTATAGCGATATCCTCGAAAGGTGCTATTGGTATCTTAATTACTTGCATTTCTCCATATTTAAGATGTGTGCTATATTTATTCTTTTGGCAATCTATACATTTTCGGATATATGCTATTACAGCTTCCTTTATACCCTTAAAGGTATAGTTTCTTTAGATGAGTTCTATTATCTTAGTGATGCCCGGGTGTCCGTATATAGGGTTATCATGATATTGTCTAATAATCTCGGTCTAGAGATGCTTTGGTACTTCTTGGTTAATAACTAAGAGTTAGTTGAGTTCTGCCGTTAGTTCTAGAGATCTATCTTTGGCTTTACGAAGGATTGCGGAGAAGGTCTTGACCTTTTCTCCTGCCAAGTCGCTTCGTCTGCTAAGAGCGTCTGCTCGTCCGTTTTCTTTTCCTACTATATGGATAATTTTGAACTTATATTACCTAGTGGTCTATAACCATTGCTGTTGTCGTGGCGTAAGTTCTTTAGTTGTCGTAAACTTTAGTAAGTTCTTATAATCTATGTAGATTTCTAGCGTTAAGTAGCTAAGAGCGTAAATCCTCCAGTGCTTTAAGGCTTTTATAATAGCGTAGAGTTCTTTATCGTGTACGTTGTATTATATTTCTGTATTATTAAATTTGCATGAGTAATAGGCAATTAGGTACCATTTGCCATTCCTTTCTTATTTGGCATAGGTGCCTAGCGTAAGGTCGCTGGCATCTATTTCGAATCTTAATGGTTTATTTACTCGGAAGTGTACTAAGACTGGTTCCATAATACATGCTGTCTTAAGGAGTTAGAATAACATTCCGTACTCCATTGTCCATTTAAAAGGTATATCTTTCCTAGTAAGGTTCGTCAAGAGTATTATAATCTTTGCGTAATCCTTAATAAACTATCAGTTGAATCCATAGAATCCTAAGAATTCTAGAATGTTCTTAGCTATCTTAGGTATAGGCTAAGTTCTTATGCATTCCACTTTACTTAGTGCCATCTCTATTCCTTCTATGGTGACAATGTATCCTAGGAATTCGAGTTGTTTGACATGAAATTGGCATTTCTTAAGTTTAATTCGCAGGTGTGTCTTGTCCAAAGCCTCAAGTACTATTTATACATGCTTAGTATGGTCCAATTCGTTTTCTAAATAGATGAGAATATTATCCATATACGCGATAACGAATATGTCCAAATATTCGCGTAATACATTATTAACAAGTGCCATAAATATTACTGGTGCACCTATGAGTCTAAAAGGCATGACTATGTATTCAAATAGTCCGTAGTGTAATCTAAACGCTGTTTTCCATTCTTCTCCTTTCTTTATCCTAATGAGGTGGTATCCGTCTTATAGGTCCATCATGGTAAAGAGTTTTGCTCGAGAGAGTCTGTCTCTAAGTTCCAATATGTTGGGTAATGGATATCGGTTCTTAATCGTTATATCATTAAGTCTTCTGTAATCAACGCATAGTCTATCTAATCCATCCTTTTTCTTGACAAATATAAAGGGGCTGGCTACTAGTGACTTCAATGGTCGTATATAGCCCTTCGCGAGGTTCGTTTTTATAAAATCGTGTTCTTTCTGGAGTTCTTCTCCTAACTTGGGGTATAGTGGTCCAAAAAGTGGTGTTTTCCCTTTATCTAAGTTAATTATATAATCCCAAGGTTAATGTTCTAGTAGGTTTACTCTTCCTTCCTTTTCTATAAACATGTGTGTCCATTTCTTGTACCATTTTGGTAACTCAAGAGGTGTGCTATCGTCCTCCTTCTTGCGTATCGTGGTTTGTTTCTTACCATTATTTGCCAAGGATTAGTCTAAGTTTTCGACTTTGTGTCGCGGTATCATGTTGTTGATGACTCCCTTATCTACCATCGGTTTCGTTTAATGCGTAGGCTTAGCTTACATTGCATAGTTGCAGCGTTTAAAGGATATCATTTTTGAACCCCAGTCAATATGTAGGTTATGTATCCTTAACCAAGGCATCCCTAACACAAGTTTATGTGTGGATCCTTTAAAGACATTAAGGGTAATCCTTTCCCTATATCCTTGGACGTTGAGTATCGTAGTGACCTCTTGAGTTATTTAAGGCGTCTTGGGCATCGGGGTTCCATTCGCGACATGGATTGTATAGGGTTCTTCTTTATCTAGTATAGTAAGTCCGGCTTTCCTTGCTACCTCGTATGATATGAAGTTTTTCCCTACCCCTAAGTCCACAAGAGCTTTCGCCCGTATTCCTTCAAGCTGTACCGGTAGCTTGATTAATGCCGTGCTGTAGGTGGCATTTAATTCTGCGAAGGCGTCTTCCCGCCGGAGCCTAGGTCTAAAAAAGACACATCGTGGTTATTGTATGCTTCTAGGGCAAGGTAGTTGTTTATCCTTACCTTCTTTTTCTATTGACGCTTTAGGTATCATTCCTTATCGCTGTCTATTTCCACCTAGTTGGGATACTTTTCCCTGCTCTATAGTGCTTCACCATTTTCTCGTACTGGTTTAAATTCCATAAAGGTGATCCATCACTTAGGTAGGTCTTTAAATCCATTTACATATTTCTATTCCATATATGTGACATAGTTAGGGTGTAAATAGGTATACTAGTAAGGTTATATACATCATTTATTTACTAGCATTAAGCATGCTTGGTTCATAGCGGCATTATAGTGAGGAAACCATTATCGTTCGCGCTTATCCCATAGATGTTCATCACATCCTATAATGGGGCAGTTAAACTATTCCCATCTACAACATTATATGCGCTTTAGTTGTTTATTATTTTCTTCTTTCACTTAGTAGTATATCCAGCACGTGTCCTCTCCACACTCTATCCATCTAAGGGATACGTACGTGGGATTTTAGTAGTCCAGGTTATACTATAGTGCGTAGTTTACTTCCTCATTTTTATAAACCTTATACGTGGGCCAGTTCTTGTATATTATCTCTGCCCAATCCCGTTGTTCTTTTGAGACCTTGGCTCCTCCTTATAGTTTAAACGTGATGGGTTGGACATATCCATCCAAGTATATCACTACTCCATAGGCAAGGTCGCCGTCTTAAGGTTGGTTAGGTTCTAGAAATTCCCATACGTTTGGCGTATCACTACTTAATCTAGGTTCTAGTGTATAATTAGGTGTTGTTAGGTTATTCTTAAGGTGTCAGCCTTAAGGGTGAGGAGTAGGAGATTGTATAATCTCTTCTATGTCTAGCTCTTCCTCTGTGCTAAGGTATACGTCCAAGTCTTCATTTGGGTCTTTATATAGTCGTAAGTTAGGTGAATCTAGTTGGTCCTAATCCTTAATCTTGAGCTTCTTAATATTAGTGAGTACCATCCATTCTTTATTAGTTGCCTCTACATTGCCAGTGGATAGTACATTCAACTACACGGTCCTTATAACCTTATTCTTAGAACGGTAGTTCCTGGCAATATAGCCCAGTTTGCCACATATAAAACATTCACGGGTCTTAGTCGTCTTTAGTTAACTTCCATCTGAGACGCATAGTTTAGGCTTATGGAAGCCTAATGCCTTTCCTTTTCCTTTGCCCAAGTAGTTAAACTGGACACCTTCCATGGGTGCGTAGCCATACGAATTCTGCGACTGTCGTTGGTGAGGTTTGGTCGATTTTTGGTAGACAACCGGTGGTGGTCGCCTAAAGCTTACTCTCGGGTTCCTTATAAGATCCTGTCATAGATTATACCATTCTCTATTAATCCTAATGCATTCGTTGTATAAGTCCTTAAGGGTATTAATGAGTCCACCACTATGCTATAGTTCTTCACGTAGTTGCTTCTTAAGTCCTTATTTATACATTTGCATTAATAATTTGTCTTCCCAGTCCAGCTGTATAGCGTACTTGCGGAACTCCATAGTATACTTAGCTATAGAACGTTATTAAACTAGGGTTTAGATAGTTCGTGCGGCTATTACTTCCTAGTTGGCGATTCCAAACATCTGTTTGACACCATTCTTGAAGTTCTTGTAGTCTTCAATGAGTGCGACGACGCTAAGGTTGCCTTATACGTAGTTAGGGTTAACGTTATCATCATCGATATCCAAGTACTTCGTGATATAGGGTCGGATCCATTCTCCTACATCTCCTCTCATATAGGATGCTGCAAAGAGAACTTTATCTTTATCGTCCTTATCTTTGTTTTCTTCGTAGAAGTAAAGGTCCAACTAAAGAAGCCAGATGTTGGTATGGTTTCTAGCGCCATAATATAGGTTAGGTTTATGCGCCTTAGTACCCTTATATTCCATTAGGGTTACCGTAGCGTTGCCCGTGTCCATAGAAGAGGTAGGAGTCCCTATTATCATGTTAAGGGTGTTCAAGATGTTAAATCCAGAAGGGTAGCTAGTCCTAAAGGGTTAGGGTTGGTTCTTAGGCAAGACAACTAAGGGAAGGAAAGGGGTTTTGTCGAGATGATAGTATTAGAGGAGGATATAACGAGTTAACAATATAGCCTAAGTATAATCCAAACGATAGATTAATAAACAGGTTGAACACGAGTATAAGGGTTTATACCCACGTTCCTATATACCGAGCCTGATCAGTTACTCAGTTGAACTAATCATGGTGATTAAGTCGTACTCAGTAATTAGTATGCGAGTTACTCAGTGTGATCAGTGGGCTTGGCGCACTAATCACTCTAATTAAGTCACGTGACTACGGTCACACCTATGTCCTGGTTACTTTGCCTAATTACATGTGTGGTCCGGATGACTATTCATCTCGGATCCTAACAATAAGTAGCTAGCGTGCGCCTATCCTACGCTCTACTATATACTTAATAAAGTGCCTCAGCCACTCTACTCTAAGCTTATTTATTGTCTAGCCATTATTGCTAACTGCGAAAGCCCAGTTACGTGGTATATTATTATCCTTGTACTAGGTAGAGAGGTGATACTGGCTAGTAAAGATAATAAAGGGCGGGATCACCTAGCTAGTAGTATTAATTCTATGAATTGCTGTAATCCACTCGCGATCGCCTAGCTATAACGCTTTTAGCCTGCCTCGTCGCTCTGAGCCTGTGACAATAAGCTAAGCTGATATCCTGCCTATTATAAAGCCAGTCTCATCAAAGTTATAGGTATCCTCATTATAGATCCTATAGGTAGCTTTCGTGTGCGCTATAAGGTCGAACTAGGCCCTAATTACCTTAGGATCCTCACATAGAGCTCTCTGTTGATTATATAGTCAGTTGAAACGTGTGGTAAGGCTTTCTATCCACTTGACAAAGTTGCGTGGCCACTTCTCGCCTACTTAGCCAGCGCCGCGCTCAGCGAGTAGTCTATTTGCCATATCTCGAACAGCATCTAGGGTAGGTGAAAACCCTCGCGAATCTAGGTCAAGTATATACCTAGTAATCACCTCCTCTTCTAGCTTAGTGAGCTTCTTTGAATTGGGCTCACAATCGCGTCGCGTAGTGATTCCAGCGCGTCGGCGGCGAAGCGTGGTTTCAGAGACTCTGTATATTGCAGCAGCGCGCCTTCCACTTTGTAATTGATTCTGATTGATAGCTGTGATAGCTAGAGATATATGAGCTTCATTGTAGCGTGATTGAATAGTGGTTGGTTGATCCATTGTGATTAATAGGTGACGCGTCGCGAAAAGTTGGTGGGGGTGCGCCGCTCGCTTGCCTGCGCCGCTCGCTTGCCAGGTACGTTAGTGTGTCTTAGATCCGGTTAGTATCTTCCACGAAGACTAGCACTTGAGCCCACTTCTTACTATCAACCCTATCTTCACAGGCCCGGCCGTAAGCCGCAGTAACTTGCAATGGAAGATGTTACAACAGGAAAATACGACTCAGATCCCGTCACATACACATGTACATGCCCCGCCAAAACCCAAGGCGGAAGTGTCCTCCTCTTCTACCGCTACTGGGCCAACACACCAGTACTCCCTGCGAAACACTCCCCTGAAACCCAGAACCCACAAGACCTTGCCAACTTTCACAAAGACATTGCAACGTCACTCCACATTTGTGGAAAATTCCGCATAGCGACCGAAGGCTTCAACATCACGCTGGGCGGCACCTCCTCGGCAATAACCCGCTACATCGACGCCTGCTGCACGCACTGGTCCTTCGCCGGCATCGACCTCTCAACGCCGCAATCCCGAGAAGCTTACTTCAAGCCCACGCCAGGCTGCGCGTGTGCGTTTGGTGGGAAAGCCTCTGTAAAGGTCACAGCTGAGATCACGCCACTCGGCATCACGAACTATGCGCCTGCGACGTGGAGCAACGTTATTTCGCTACCTCCATCCGAGTTCCACGACTTGTGCCAGAAAGGCGATGTCCCACTGATAGATGTACGGAACCACTATGAGTCACGCATCGGGTACTTCGTTACCGGAGACGGTAACGCAGCCGTGCGGCCAGCCGTGCGGAGATTCAGCCAGTGGCCTGGTTACGTCGTCAGGCATGTGTTAGGAAACGATGTATTTAAGAAGCCTACTGGAGTGGCGACGTATTGTACGGGTGGGATCCGGTGTGAGAAAGGGGCGCGCTGGATGCAGGAGGCTTTGGCGGATAACGGTGGAGAAGGCGGTGCGCCGGTCTATACTCTACATGGTGGTATTGTAGCATATCAGGCTTGGATTGAAAAGGAGATTAAAGAGGGGAGGAAGAAGCCTGAGGATAGCTTCTTCAAGGGCACGAACTACGTGTTTGATGCGCGAGGGGCGATCGGGAGACAGCAAGTGGTGTCGAAGTGTCATGGGTGCGGAGAGGCAGAAGATCGGCTCGGCAAGTGTGAAGTACCTCGTTGTCACTTGGTTCTCGTTGTTTGCGAGGCTTGTGAGGCAAAAGGTGGAATCAGGTGTTGTGAGAACTGCCACCATATTCACGAGGGACAAGGGGTAGCTGGGCGAAATACTCGGATTTGTCAGTGCGAGAGCGAGCGAGAGAAGTCGCTTTGGGGTGACGGAGGAGCAAAGTTAAGTCAAGGGAGGAAACAGGTAAAGACAAAGAGCGCAACAACACGGTGACAGTGTCTTGATCCTGGAGCAGTCTCACCATCACCGATTCAGACAGGCTATGGTGTATATTTGGCATTACGAACTGCAACGAATCCCCATTTTCAAAGTATCCAAGCTTCAACATCAGGAACGACATCGAAGTCAGAAACAGCCCCAACGAGACAGGTCTTCGCAGAAGCTTCGCTCACATGTCGTACAAATACCTCTCTCAAACGTCGTACGGGCTTCCTGGATCCACATTCCATCCAGACCTCTCACCCAAACTCAACCTGTTCTTTGTTGTACGCCTTTAACCACTGTTCAAACCTTGGCCTGGAGTAACAATTTCTTGCCATCTCATACCCACCGTCGTCAGAGTTGTCCAGAATACAGTCAATTTACATTCGCAACGCCTCGAAATGCTCCTCTCGTAGAGGCTTCTTGTCCTTCCGCGCAACAAGGCAGCTTCCAATGCGACCCTGCTGCCAAGCAGCCGGTGCGAATACAGTTGTATCATCGATGCTAAGGAACGTGGCCTTCGGTTCCAGTCCTGGGTCAATGTGGGGTACATGCTCGTTTCTGATCTTGTAGATGACGAGTGGAATGCGAATGAGCCCTGGGACCGGAAGCACCTTCTCGTCGAAGTTGGGTTGGCTGTCCGGAATGCGAGTCTTAAAAAAAGCGCCGTTATCCTCTCTCGCACACTGCAAACGTACACCTCCCATAAAGTTGGAAGATGAAGCGGCTTTGGATGTAGCGGGGAGTGCTTCGGGTGGCCTCACGGCCGGCTCTGCTCGGGCAGCTTCAGACGCCTCCATCATCTGACGCTGGAACTCTTCGACTGGACCATGGAGAATTGCTTGCCGAGTCCGGATATCCCATCATCCGCTGGTCGGGCTGGTTTCCTTCCGCGGGACCTTTTGTACTGTTTCCTGTCGCTCCTCTGGCATTCCGTTGAACAATTCGATTTCTCGTGGCAAGCAGCGCATTTCTTCAATCCACCAGGGACTTCGCACGCGCTCGTCTTGCAAACAGAGTAGTTGCGGTCTTCATTGGCCATCGTGGGACGCCGGGCAGTGTAAATGAACGCAGGTAACCAACGTTCGAGTTTGACGCGACTGGATGTGGACAGGCCGGGTCTTGCGGTTTGGGCTTGCCGTAGCTTGTGCTGCTAGCGCGTCTTCTTCGGAATTTGTCAGCTCCCGGTGCGCTTTGCTGCGTCGCTTCTTTCTCCACCCATTTGCATGGAACCAGCCCATGCTCTAGTGCGAACCGCGATTTTGTCGCTTTGCATGCCCGCAAACGGGATGCATCATACACCGCTCATCTTGGCCGGGATAAAAGTTCTCTTGTCACGCTCCTAGGAGCTCATCGAGAGTTGACCTCGCCATCTGGAAGGCTATGGAGCATGCCGAACTGTCAGGTTTGGCCATGGAGGCCATGCCATTTTGTGACCTTCGCCCATAGAGCTCACACGACTTGAATGTCGTCGAACCAGTCCATCGATGCTATGCCTTGTCGTCGCGAGCCAGTATCTCTAGGACATACAGCCTCGATATGCTGCGGGATGTCTCGGTCTTCTTTCACGCCGAGGCTGTCCCCGGAAGACGTGGACCCTCGCACAGAGATCCGATCTAGCACTGACTTGAAGTCGTCGAGGACGATCACATCGGCCGTACACTTGAATATGAATGCGATCTGGAAAGTCAGCTTCAAAGAACATACCTAACGAAAATTGCACACGTACCTTCCACAGTGGGTTCTTCCCACGGCATGGCGTATCAATGACAAGAACGATAACAACATCGGCAATGATGAAGCCGATCGACAAGGCCATGGACGACAGTAGAACCAGGAACTTCCCACTCGTGCGGATAAGGTGGACGATACTGCAATCGTAGGCGCGCTTGATGATGTATATTAGGTAGCCGGTCGTGAATAGCCACCACGGTTCCCGGCAGAGGAACTCCCACGGTCGCAAGTGAACGAAGTAATCGCTACCGAGGTTGTTGTTATATTGAAATAGGAAGTAACACTCCACGATCCAGTACGGCCACACCAATATGAGCGTGCTGAGATAGACCCAATGTCCGGTTCTACTTAGGAAGGGTTTGATCTTGATCCAGTTGATGACATTGTGAAGGTTGTACGAAATGTACAGCAGCACAGACGTGCAACTGGAGTACCATCCGGCATTGGGTCCACTGAAGAATATGTATGTCCCACGGAAAGTAGCGAGGATAAGCTCGGCAAGAATGAGCTTATGTAGAAGTACATGGCGGCGGAAGCTTGCGAGGGTCAACAGCATGAGGACAACCAGGCCGCCGACCATGTACCCTTGTCCCCATGCCTCAGCAATGGTACCGGACACTCCATCGACAGTGTGAGCGCATTTGTCGCGAGCAGCGCCCATTTCAGATCATTTTGTAGGGAATTATGTAGGGAGGAAGACAAATGAAAACGACAGGTGGATGCGGCGGGACTGGGTTTCAAGTGCGGGCGGAATGCACCGGGAAATAGCTCCCTTTAGTGGCCTTTCCCCACGATCTATAGCGTGCGCGTGCACGCTAGGATAGCCTCGCCACAGATGCCCGAAAGTACGCGGACGGCTCGCAGATTGAATTTCATCCCCGGAGGGCTGAATCTCGCATCGTCTGTTGGTCACCATCAGGGCGCTTGGTCACTGGCATGTCGATCATCGCCCTTTTGCCTTCAAGCTTTGCGCGTAACCCCTTCTCCATCCGAACAGTAAGTCTGGCCTAGATCATCGCCCCGAGAAGCCGGCGCTAAACACTGGGATAGTGAAGCGTAACCTGTAAGAACTTACTTACTGAAGAGCCTTCAGGTCATCGCAATTGACGGTGAGTATGCGCTTGCGCTGAAGCCTAGCTCTTCACATCCACTGGTTGTGAAACCGGCCGTGCGGTGCAGTCTGTTGTACAGCTAGCATCTGTCCATTAAGAAGGCATACCGTCTTGTTGGGTTTGAACCGGATCATCCCGATAACCTCGCGAAAGTCCCGCACTCGTCCCGTCATGAGCATCTCACGATCTTCCAAACAAGAAGCACGAAAGAACTCTGGAGCTCTATTGCCCTGTGCGTCAATGGCAATCATACACTGAACTATCTTTTCATGACGAAAGATGGTCGTCCATCCAACAAAGGGTGCGATCTCATAATGCATACCTTATCAATGTGTTGTATAGTGCATTATATATCGTAACTGTACAATGCTAGCCGACTCTTCCAAGTGAGCAGTATATATGGACTCGGGTCGTTGCAATATTACTTCATCCAACCCTAAACTGCAACTGGCATTGCAAGAATAAGCACACGACAGTTTCATATCAAAACGCACAAAGCACTTTCGTAGCGAAACGCAATCATCAATAGTTACGCAGGGGAGATACTTCGTATCTGAAATGATGTATCGTGCTCTCCAACTCCGACGTCCGCAGGCAGAAATCCAAGCTATCATGACGATTGCTAACATCCTCAACGGTAGGATCCTTACAGCTCCTACGGCTCCTACAGCTCCTAAAGCTTACGTGATTCCCTCAGCTCGGGTACTTACCAAGCGCCTCGATAGAAAATATTGTCGAATCTGTGATAGCTGGTGCCGGCGCGAAAACTTCTCCAAGCATACGAGGTCCAAAGCCCATCGAAAGGCCTCTAAGGCCACCAACTTATTGAAGGCCGACGTTCCTCGTCCGGATTCCATGATAGTGCGGGAAGTAGCTATGCTGGACGCCACTACCCTAGCATCTATCCAAGCTTAGGTAGATGCCGTTGAAGACGCCCCACTGGTGATGGATGAGCCTACAGTGGGATGATGATGTGGCGGTGGACAGGCGTTCATCAGCAAAGGGTGCGGTCTCACGATACCGGCTCCGAAAGTTCATTGTATCCTATAAAACATAAGGCCCATTGACAACGTTGACTCACAACTCCTAGAAAATCAGTACTTATGGCTCGAGTCGCCGTATTACCACCTCATCTAACGTCACTGAGTGCGAAGCGAGACACACAGAGTACCGAGACACTATTGCACTCAGAATTCGAAATCTCGTTCTATCGCAAGAGCCTCGTCCTAAGAATGTGGTAACGAGTTCTATAGCATCTGCTCATTCTCATACTAGCTTGTGAGCGAGATCCCTGCGGCATGGTTGACGTTGTCGATCATTTCATTGGCGCTCTTCAAACCCCGCCTTCCTTCCTACTCCTGCTTCTTAGTTCCTGAGGGGACCAATCGATATTCGGAGGATAGAAACAAGAGTTGTAATCATAAAGATTATATACTCTTAGTCGCATGGCGATCGGGAGCTTTACAGCCCTGTTCCAAGAGTTTCTCCGTGCCCTCATAGTATTGAGATAAATTAGCCGTATTTTATAATCCGAAAGCGCAGTTATGTAATCAACAGTACGCCATACACTAGACCTATCCCAATGAGATTCCAAAAATAACCGTGGCCCTTTGTTCATCCTTGGCAACATGGCCTTTAATGCGCGGCAACGGCCGGCCTCTTAAGGGTTGCTGCCTCGCTCATCCACCATTACCACCAACACTCATCGCACCACTTTAGTAAGTAGTCATGGACAAGGCAAGTCGTGCATTAGCGGAGGGGGTTCCTCCAGGTGTGCCATTTTCCTTCCGCGCTCTCGCAGACTATAGGGAAGTTCCTCACTCTACAGCCCATCATCGTTCGCAAGGCCGACGATCGCTAGAGCAAAAGGCCCAAGACCAGCAGTACCTCACTCCGTGGGAGGAGGAAGCACTCGTCAAGTTCATCCTGCAGATGTCTAACTTTGGCTATCCTATCTGGATCAAGTTTATACCAGCACTAGCTCACCGCCTCACGCTGCAGCGACCGCAGTCCGCTCGACCACGTAAGCCGCCGCATCTCAACTGGACAAGAGCTTTCAGGAAGCGCCATCCGATACTTGAGGCAAGGATGGTAGGAGCACTAGACTGGAACCGGCACGAGAAGAACATATACCCGAAGAGTGAACACTGGTTTAAGGTGATTAGGGAAGTATTACAAGGCCCAGTAATCCTGGCTGAGAATGTCTACAATATGGACGAGACTGGAGTCATGCTGTCCATGCTAGGCTCTGTTAAGGTCCTTGTCAGTAAGCATGATAAGCGAAAGTATAGAGGTGCACGCGTTAAGCGTACGACCGTGACCGCCATTGAATGCATTAGTGGAGACGGTAGGTATCTGAATCCTATGATTATCTGGCCCGCCACCACCCATCGAAGTAACTGGACTACATTTCCTACCCCTGGATGGCAGTATGCATGCTCTGAATCTGGATATACTGATTCCTACATCAGCCTAGAATGGCTTAAGCGCATCTTTGACCCAGAAACCAAGGACCGAGCCAATAGTAGTCCTCGAGTGTTAATCTGTGACGGCTTCGGGACCCACGAGACTCTCGAGGTCCTTGAGTTCTGCCTAGAAAACAACATTATCTTATGTCGCCTTCCATCCCATACCTCTCACAAGCTCCAACCTTGCGATGTTTCTGTGTTTGCTTCACTCAAGGCTGCCTATCGCGATGAGGTTGAACGACTAGAGCGAGGCGGTGTCAATGCGATAGGTAAAGAGCACTTTACCTTACTCTATAGCCATGCAAGGAACAAGGCGTTCACCCAAAGAAACATCAGATCTGGCTTCTCTGCGTGTGGGTTGTTCCCGTTTAACCCAAATAGAGTGCTTGGAAGTATGCCGAAGCCTCCACCGGAGTTAACTCTCATCGACACGAACGAAGCAGAAGTAGTGCCAAACCCTCAAGATACTGTTCAATCACCTCGTACACCAGTGACGCCAGTAACAACTCAGGGGATAGCATCGCTGCAGAACATTATAACCAATCAAGCCACCCAATGCCTTGACCAGAGGAGCATCCTTAGTCTCCAAAAGAATGTTCAGAAATTGTCAAAGGCTGCTCATTTAGCGTTCTCTAAGGGCACCCTGCAGCGGGACCGGATCCAGTTCCTGATGAAGATCAACGACGAGTCCAAGGCCCGACGATCAGCCAAAGGACACATACTTGGAAGGAGGGCGGAAAAGGGCGAGGGAGCGGTTATGGGATGGACCGAGCTTGAAGTAGCACGAGCGAAGCGTGCTGAGCAGGAGGCGGCCACGGCAGCCAGATCTACAGTACAACGTGGAAGAAAGCGTAAGGGTATAGCTGGAGGAGAGCCTCAGTCGAAGGTAGCGAAACAGAGTAATACACAGGGTGGAGTCCAGGTGGTTGGTCAGGTTGCGTCAACATGGAGAGCTCCTGAGGCACCTATGCTGCATAATAGGAGAGGGTAACGACATTCTAAAAGATTGGATTCTGCTTAATAGTGACAGCCTTGTCTTATGATTGTTAGCTGCTCTAAGTTGCTACCTATACTGGCGTTACTATACCTTATCTGGCGAACTATGAATATGCTTGAATGATCGCGCCGTCCTATATGCGACTAGATAAAATATTGCTCGCGTGTTATCCTGCTTATTGGTTGGTTAGTTGGTATTTCCTACACGGTTTCAGCAGCGAACCCGCAGCTATGCCCAGCTGGTAGGCTTGGCAGACAACCGACGCGGTGCGGACTTTATCCCGCTCATTGCTTAACGGACGCACACTACGGATCAGGAAGCGAATTCCGGCGAAACGTGTTTCTGAAGCCTTATTGGCCCCGCGACGCCTGCCTGCAATGCAGCAGCGCTCAGCCCCGTTAGCCCTCTCAGCCTCGTGCAGCAACGATGGATCGTAGCACTGCAACCAGCTTGACAGCGGCCTGGCTGCTGCGGCAGTCTACGATCACACGAAGCCCCATCGATCAGTTTACTTCATCTCCGCCGCAGACTTCACATCATGGACGGTCTTTCGGGCGCAGCAAGCGTCATCGCGGTGATTGACGTATCCGCCAAAATTATCTCGCTGTGCCTCCAGTACTCTAAAGCCGTCAAAGATGCCAAAGATGATATCGAGCGTGTACAGAGAAAGGTTAGCGATATCACCCACATCCTAGAGCAGATCAAGCAGCTCCTCGACAGCCAGGACAAGACGCGGCTCTCTACCACTCAGGGCCTCTTTAGCTCGCTCGCAAAATGCCTAAAGGAGCTAGAAAACCTGCAAGTGGAGCTAGAACCAGGAAAGGGCCGCAAGACTATGAGTCGGATCGGCTTCCGTGCGCTCAAATGGCCGTTCACGAGCAAGCACGTTGACAAGATCGTTTCGAGCTTGGAGGGATACGAACAGAGCTTTAGCTTAGCGCTACAGGTTGACCAGACGTAAGCCTCCGTACCCCGATCTGTCGTGCGCTGAAACATCTTCTCACTGACTGCAGAACTGTCGTGTTGAGCATAGACCAGAAACTAGATCTAGCCAAACTACCCATCGCCCAAGGCGCATCCTATGACTCGCATACGGAGGAACACAACGCGCGATGCCTACCGAACACCCGTACTGCACTGCTGCAAGACATAACAAACTGGGCACAAGATAAGGATGGCAAGTCTATATTCTGGCTTAGCGGCATGGCTGGCACAGGGAAGTCTACGATTGCGCGGACAATCGCAGAGTCATTTGCCAGCCACGGTCAGCTGGGAGCAAGCTTCTTCTTCAAGAGAGGTGAAGGTGAGCGCGGCAACGCCTCACGGTTCTTTACTACTATCGCCACTGATTTAGTCGCCTGCGAGCCAGGCATAGTGCCCGGCATTAGGAAGACGCTCAACAAGGACTCGGCCATCTCATATAAAGCTCTAAAAGACCAATTCGAGAAACTCATCTTGCAGCCACTTCTAGAGATTAAACAGACTCGTTCGCAGGCTTTAGTGCGAGTTATTGTAATTGACGCGCTCGACGAATGTGAACAAGAAGCGGACATTAGGGCGATCCTCCAGCTCCTCGCTCAGACAAAAGATATTCGCCCAGTGCCGCTACGGATCGTGGTCACTAGTCGGCCGGAGCTCCACATCCGCTTAGGCTTCAAGGAGATGGCGAACGGCACATACCAAGACTTAGTCCTCCACGAAGTACCAAAGAGCACCATTGAGCATGACATTCGTCTGTTCTTAGAGCACGAGCTTGGTACGATACGAAAAGAACGCATGCTAGCTCCAGATTGGCCAGCGCAACAGCAGATCCTCGCGCTGGTTGAGCTGGCTGTGCCGCTGTTTATCTACGCTGCCACTGTGTGTCGGTATGTTGGCAGCAAAGGAAGCAGTCCTACGGCTTTTCTAAACAAGGTCCTGCAGTATCAGAAAGCGACCTTCTCGCAGCTAGAACGGACATACCTCCCTGCGCTTGATCAGCTGCTTAGTGAGCAAGAGGAAGACGAGAAGGAGACATGGCTTCAGGCTTTCCGAGAAGTCGTTGGCAGTATCATTGTACTCGAAAGCCCACTCTCTACTGTCTCACTTGCCTGCCTGCTCCAAGTCCCGCAAGAAGAGATTCAGTGTCGACTTGACTCTTTGCACTCTGTGCTTAGTGTTCCCAATAATAAAGACGCGCCTGTTCGCCTCTTACACTCATCCTTTCGCGAATTCCTTGTTAGTCCAAAAAAACAAGGAAATAGCTCATTCTGGGTAAATAAAGAAAGGACACACCAGAAGCTTGCATCTCACTGCCTTAGGCTCATGTCTGGATCTAGCGGACTTCGTCAGAACATGTGCAGCCTATCAGGCCCTGGAGTGCTAAGGGGCGAAATAGATGAGAAGACAATTGCTACTAGTCTGCCAACTGATCTACAGTATGCGTGTCGCTACTGGATTAATCATCTTAAGCAGAGTGGGCAAGGCGTCGTTAACGGAGACGCGGCGCACCTCTTTCTGCAGAAGCACCTACTTCATTGGCTCGAGGCTATGAGCTTGATGAGAGAATCGAGCAAATGTGTTGACTTGCTTAATAGCCTTGAAGCAATTACTAGCGTAAGATCTTTGCAAGATACCTTTATACTTAGTGACTCTGCTAATGTTCAATACAGCTATCTGCAAAGCTGGTTTTAGGATTTCTCCACGATGTTAAGAGATTTGTGCTGCGGTTCCAATTGATGCTTGCAGATGCGCCGCTGCAAATCTATTACTCTGCGCTAGTGTTTGCACCTGAAAGGAGCCTAGTACGACAAACTTTTATCAGCCAAGTGCCAGAAAAGATTAAGATGCTGTCTATAGCAGAAACAGACTGGGACGCGTGTCGCAGCACGCTCGAGGGCCATTCCGATGAAGTCAGCGCGGTGACATTCTCGCCAGATGGGCAGCTGGTCGCGTCGGCATCTGACGACAACACAGTACGGCTGTGGGAGACAGTAACAGGGACGTGTCACAGCACGCTCGAGGGCCATTCCAGTGAAGTCAGCGCGGTGGCCTTCTCGCCAGACGGGCAGCTGGTCGCGTCGGCATC